TCTCTCTCTCTCTCTCTCTCTCTCTCTCTCTCTCTCTCTCTCTCTCTCTCTCTCTCTCTCTCTCTCTCTCTCTCTCTCTCTCTCTCTCTCTCTCTCTCTCTCTCTCTCTCTCTCTCTCTCTCTCTCTCTCTCTCTCTCTCTCTCTCTCTCTCTCTCTCTCTCTCTCTCTCTCTCTCTCTCTCTCTCTCTCTCTCTCTCTCTCTCTCTCTCTCGTTGTATGTGCCAGACTCGCACCATTTCTTCGCATCCCAAGTCTATTGTGACGAGGCAAGACACGCCTGTTGTACGTCGCTACTCTCAGCATGCGCCGACACCCAGAGTAAGTGTACCAAACCGCTGCTAGAGCTACCTGTGGCTCCCGTGCCCAGAGATAGCCCTCAAGTGTCTTTTGATGCATGGCCACTCGAAGAAAGGCACTGTCTTGTGATGGCGCCGACGGAATGCTCATGGGGCCCATAGTCACGCTGTCGGGTTGCCAACTGCAGATCAAAAGATCAAGTCGAGGACCGTTTGGTTGATTGCTTGGTTGGTTGGTGAACTCGGTGGCCGATATGTAAGCCTGTTGGAGCTGCGATTGGGGATTTTGAGAGCTGCTCCCTCCGTCGAGGGAGGTGAGGTCCATAACAAGCCTTGCCTAGATCCCGTGGATCCCGTGGATGTGGATCCCGGACGTGATACTTGCCAAGACGCACTTCGGACACCGTCTGCATGCACCTCCACCTAGGGTGCTCGTCAGCGGAACATGCGTTATACAGGGCGCATGTCCGGATACGAGTGCCTCATGAGATGGAGAACAACGGTATGGACATCGATCAGACCTTCACATGCTACAAAAGTCTACCACGGCCAGCGAGTCACCTTCCCACGAGCGACGATCCCAACGAGAGGACGAGATGACCGAATCCAAGTTCAGAATCGAGACCGAACGCCTCGTCCTCACCCACCTACAACCCTCTGTGTCGAGCCATTGCGACTTCATGGTCAAGCTCTGGAACACTAAAGAGTTTATTGCTTCCACTGGTGGCAAACCAACCTCCATCACCACCACCGAAGCGGCTCGAAAGCTCATCGAGAATCGCTTCCAGGCCGAATATGCACGCAATGGGTACGGCACCTATCTCGTCTCACTCAAGTCACCTCCAGGAAATGAATCCTCCGAGGCAATTCCACCTCCACCTAGTGAAGAAGAACCCATTGGTACCGTCTCGCTGACTCGCGGGGCACATCCAACCGCCTACTCCGCACCGGATCTGGGGTTTGCGATTCTTCCGGACTATATGCGGAAGGGCTACGCTCGAGAAGCAGCGACAGGACTCTTGGCGTGGGCAGAGTCTGAATTGCATGTGTATGATGTGTTGGGCCTGTGTGATCCTACGAACGAGGGTTCCAACGGCGTGTTCAGAAGTCTGGGCTTTGTCGATCGAGGCGTGAGAACGCTCAAGGAGTTTGGAAATGTTCAGGGCGCGGTGTGGGTGAAACCCGGGATGGCGGAGGATTTGTCGGTTTATGGCCTGTAGAATTTCCTCGCCAACAAACAAACGGGGAGATTTCGGTAGTAGTAGTACTAGTAGTAGTAGTAGTAGGAGAGAGAGAGAGAGAGAGAGAGAGAGAGAGAGAGAGAGAGAGAGAGAGAGAGAGAGAGAGAGAGAGAGAGAGAGGGAGGGAGAGAGGGGGAGAGAGGGTGGGAGCATGCACTTCATATGGTTCTACCAGGTCGACTGCTATCTGAATGAAATCACACACAAGAAGACAAAATCGAAAAAACTCGCTTGGTTTCTGCATCTTTACGGATTCTGCCAGGTCTGATTGTACCTGGCTTCCTGCAGCCTCTGGAAGTCCAGCAGCTTGTCGAAATCAATGCAATCGTGTTCCACTCCCCAGCCCGTGACCGAAGTCGCATGGCCATGGCCGACCCTGATCTGACTCTCGCCTTCGATGACCAGATCGCCGCCACAGGAGATTGCTTGACGCAGGTACTCGAAGCAGTGCTCAACATGGACTTTCCACTTGACGGGCTCGTCATTCTCGACTTGGAATTTCTCCACGTAGTATTGGTATCGAATCATGTTCTGCGAAGGGAAGAAAGAGGTAGGATCAGTCACAGTACCAGTAGGAGGGAAGCCGGGGATGAACGTCAAGAAAGCAAGCACAAGGAAAATGAAAATGAAAAGGTCACATACCAAGCAATGAAGTTGATGAAGAAGCGAAACGACGTAAAAATTCCGCGGTTTGGGTATAGGTGTATTAGGGTGGTCGAACGGCGCCACGATCCCTTCACCAAGACCATATTTGTCCGGGTCTTCTACCCAAAGAGCATCATGACCTGTGACAGAGGAAAACAAGAAACACGCATAAATCATCAGCACATGACATGGCAGACTTCTACTTCCAAAAGGATGACGGAGAGGACAGAAAACCGGTGCCTGTTCAATTCCTTTCTTTTCCACCCAAAACACTTACCAGCAACAAGCAAATCCCATTCATCGTTGACTTCTTTCGAATATCCCATATACTTGGGATCTTTATCGAAAATGACTTTGACGGGCTTGAAGACTTCTTTCGGAATCGGCGTGTTGGTGTATAGATGTAAGGGACCGTTTTCTTTGGGCGGTGCACGATGATTGTACACAATGGTGCCCACCCACCCGATGGCGAGAATGGAAATGCAGAGATAATGCCAGATGCTGCTCCTGCTGCGAGAACTTCGAACGGGCGGGCTGCCACCTTCGAGGGTCGGAACCTCTTCGTATTTGTGTGCAAAGTCCACCATTGAAGGGGAGGAGCATGTAACAGTGTCAGGAAGAGTGGGTGGGCGGGATGAGAGGAAGAAGAAGAAGGGAGTCGACTGTCGGTGAGTATAGATGGCCCACGAACCATATGAAATACGACTGACGGATCACGAGTTGCGACTTTCCGGAGTCCGCAGGTCACCTGGGCCAGTTCCCTCTTTCGCAGAGCGTGTATACCTACTTTGCCTATTGCAGCTATGCAAAGAAAGTGGAGGTCTTTTTCCACTTTTCCCCAATACCAACATTTCCCGCATCTCGAAGGCCGACTCGTAACTCCTAAGACAGAACAGTATGTCAAAAGCTCGTATCGTCGGCATCCGCTTCAGCTACAGCTGAATTGGCTCCAAAGCCCCTCCAACAAGGAGTGGAGTGTTGCCATGTAAGTCCCTCACCCACCAAAATCGCTTGGGAGATTACTTTCCCTCTTTTTTTGTCTCTTTTTCCACTGCAATTTGCATCGCCGCCGACTTACCACTTCTTCTCTCAAGCCACCTTCATTCCGACCGGACAAGAACATGCCTTTCTCGCGATATAGGCCCAGAGAGCGCGCATATTCGGCGCTGGGAGACGAAGACGACCAGCTGCTCGGGAAGACCACACCACCCACCACGAGGTACTCGCCCAAGAGTACGAACAAACCTCGTACAGGCGGTTTGATGAAATATCTCCCTTTTGCTCTGTTCAACATCACCTTGGGCTTGGCGACCGGCTATTGGTTGGCGGGCCTCAAGTCTGGCAGCAGCAGCAGCAATGGCATCAATACCACCACCACAAACGAGCTCGGACCCGAGCCTTCAGCATTGCAGCAGATAATGCGCACTCGACATGACGTACCTTTTAGTCCCAATTATCATTACATGGGACCTTCGGCCGAAGTGAAGGCCAATTGGATGGCTCTCACTAAGAGTATGTGGGAATTCCTCTTCTTCTTCTTCTTCTTCTTCTTCCTCCTCTTCCTCCTAACCGAAATATGATTTGAAAAAAAAAAGAAAAAGAAAAAGAAAAAGAAACCCCCCCTCCCCCAAAAAGCCAGCCGCACCGCACCAATACACCTAATCATCACGATATCGATAATATAAAATCATGTCCAGGTCAAGATTCCATCTACCTCTCCAACCCGCACGCCTTCAACATCCAAGACGCAGGAATCCGGGCCCCATTCTTCACATTCATCGACCCACCTCCAGCAGCAGCCAAGGCGCCCAATCTTCTCAATTTCTACGTCTTGAGTAATCTCCACCAGCTACACTGCACGCACATGATTCGAACACGATACAACGAATTAGTCTATGACAAAATTGATCCGTTCAAAGATACCTCGTTTGATCGGAATTGGATCACGCATGTGGAGCATTGCTTTGAGTATTTGCGATTGAGTATTACGTGTGGAGATAATATGGTGTTTGAGAGCGATTCGCCGCCGGGGAGTCCCAAGGAGTTTTGGGAAGATGGGTTGAGTTGGGGCGTGGTGCATTCGTGTATGGATTGGGAAGGGTTGATGGAGTGGCAGGAGCAGCAGTTGGTACTGTACAATAGCACGTGGAGCTAGTTGTTGTGGTAGCGTTGAGATTGTATTTTGGAGACATCATACACACCCACTCATATCCTCCTCCCATGTGGGACGGACGCCGAAGTACTGCTGTTGATCCGTATATAGCTCCCGATTCCGATTCCGATACAGGCGAGTACCTCCTAGCTACCTACCTGGTACTTATCCGGAACATGTTTCCCGGTGAAGTCGGTCAAATTCTGGGAGGGGGGCGGGGGGGTCGAACCGGTACATGCACCTACCTCCTAGGAACGGAACCAAGTCCGTCCGGGTGGGAGACTAAGCTTTTCTCAACGATGCGGAGCCAAGTCGGATCTACTTCGCTTAGCACAAACAGAAAAACAGTTCAACCGTACCACGCTACCCGACTGAACTTACAGGAGTCACCAACTTCACCGTTGCACACCTAATGTCACTTTGTATACATGTACCATAGGTAGACACGACATTGAGCCGGGAAAATCGTAAGTCTGACGAACACTAGAACTCTACCTACCGCTATCCCATTTGCGTCGGCAGTGTGGTCGACCGGGCTTCACATCGCTCCCCGTCAATGCCTGCTCTTCAGTCCATGCATCAATGTGGTGCTGTTGCGAGCCCAACCAAGGCGCCATGGCCATGCACAAGGCTTGTGATCGCCGACGCCATTCTAAGGATACGAAGCAATGCCTGATGTGCATTCCTCGCATCTGCAGTCCGGCTGATGGCCGTCCATGACACGAACCGGGTTCCAGTGCGGCCTCTGCTGTGGTATCTGAGCCTGGCCGGCATGGCCGAGCGGAAAGCTGTGATACCATGCTCCACTGTTGGTCATCAAAGCAGGCGGCGGCACCGATTCGGATGTATATGGATTAGGCAGCATCATGCTCTGCATCTGCGCGAATTGCTGAGGCGTTAAGGGCGGCGCCATGCTAGGTGGCATCTGTGCTAGGGATTGCGAAGACAAATTCCTTTGCTGCTGAGCGCGCTGCACGGGCTCACCACGAGGCCTGCTGAAATGGCTGTCTTTTCTGGTCAGAGGAGGAGCTGGTTGATACGCCGTACTGGGTCTGCCAGCTGGGCTTTCTCGTCTTGGAGCCATGTTCTGCGAGAGTGATGGCGATATGTGTGGTTGTGGAATCAAAGGCGGAGCTACCCGACCAGCTGTTCGTTGCTCAAGCCCTTTCTGCGAGTTGTGGAGATTATCTTTCAATGCATTTGGGTAGCTGCTTCCAACGCCGGAGACGACCAAATCATCAACGCAGTCATGAGTTGCCGCTGGAAGCTTTTGCAGCGCGATATCCTGGTTCTGGCTATCCTGTACTCCTGTATGACTGCCTCTCTTACTCAGTTGCTTTGTTTCCAGCTGGTGGATCAATTGCGCCACGGCAGGATTGGCAAGGGCGCCGCTGAACATACGCTGGATGCTATCCTCACTTGCCGACATTCCATGGACAAAGTCCTCTGGGTGCACTCTGCGAATGTGATCTTGCATATTCCTCGCCCGATGGACACCATGAGTAACCTTGATGCACATTCTTGAAAGGCCCCTGTCCGGGAGGGGGCATACTATAGTCCCGTCGCCAAGTTTTGTCACTTGTGGTAAGTTCGTCACTTGTGGTGAGTTCATCACTTCTGGTAAGACAGTATCACCTGCTGCGGGTGAAGTTGCAGCTTCCCCAAGGGAGTGCACCAAAGGGGGAGGTTGAGGGGTCCGTGAGAATGGTAGCGGAGGTGAAGTTGTGCGTGGCTTCTTGCCAGCCGTCTGTAGCATGGTCGGATTTGCACTTGCCGCTGGAGACTCTTTGGCCATAGCTGAGCTGCCGTGGAGAGACTGAGAAACTGGCGCATCGACTAAGCGGTCAGGAGCGTGTTGAACAGGCACAGAGTAGGGATTGCGCGGGAATTCTTGCTCAGGCAACAACTCTGTATCGGACTCTCGAGGTGCATCTTCGTCCAGACCACATAACATAAGTGCAGTTTTTGGTTTCTTTGCTGCTTCTAGCGACCCTTCTAAACTCGGATCGTTTGGCATGAACCTTCCAAAATCGCCAAAGACATTCTGAGCAGCAGAGCTATTGCTCGACATCCTGAGCTCGTCATTCACCAATGTATTTTCGTTCTTCGGCTTGCCATGACCGACTGCCGTGGCAGCAATAGTTCTATTTGTAGGTTGTCCCAGTCTCCCCTCCACGGGTAAATCAACCCCTGACAGCGCAACATCATCGTCAGCTGGTCGTGCTCGCTTCGCCGTCTGCGGCGTCGGCGAGCCTGTGGTGCTACGGACCGGTTTGTCAGGCTTGACACTCACATCGGCGTCTTCCTCGTCAGACAGTAAAACCGTTCGTTCCAACAGCGCCGTCCGTTTGAAGTTATCGCGCCCTGAAGCCGCTTCGGCCTGATTAGAGTCAGCAGCGTCGATCTTGGCAGGCTGTTCCCGCTTCTTTTTCCCAGTCTGCATCTTACTTTCACGGATGGCAGTTTGAGCCTCTCGCCGATCATGTTCTCGGGATTCCTCCCTACTGCGAGTGGCTTCCGCGCTGGGTCGGATGTCTCTACTGCGATCTCGAAGGTTGATGTCATCTTTCGTAGCTCTGGCTGTTGTCCTAGTCGCACCAATAGATCTCGCACTCTGCGTAGGGACAACAGCCACGCCAGCGGGCTCAGTAGCCTTAGCTTCAGTGAGGGTGCCGCCTTCCGCAGTGGACTTTTGGCTCTCTTTCGATCGCTTGAGCCGGTTCATTCCAACCGGTGCCGAATCATATGCCGTACTCCTTCCAGAACGCGGCAACGCTGCACCTCTCCTTCTTCGGCCAGCTTCGGCGGCCATTGCAGCAACACGAGCCGAGTGCACCCCAGTCCGGTAGTCCTCCAATAGAGATCCCCTATGATGATTCGCCGGGTAGTCAGTCGTCGAATGTTCAGCTTCGGAGTCTGGATTCTAGCCAGGCGCCAGTAAACAATCGTCCAAAGCACCCATAATATTATCATGATCGCTCTTGCCCACCCCTTTGTAAATGCCGTAGTCAAAGTCATCAAGGTCCATAGCATCACCATGGTTAGGACCTCCGCCCCCGGATCCCCTCACCCCATTCGTGACACGTCCTGAAAAGCCATTGGCATCGGGTCCAGATGTAGTAGACGGGACCATGACTGGGTAATGCTTCAACTGAATTCGCTCTTGTAGAAAAGGATCTTGCTTCAAGTAACCATCTGACAGACCAAGACTGAGACGCATATCTGCCATTGTCAGTGGTTGTCGGGAAGCTTGCATTTGCATTTCAACAGGTAGCATGCCGCCCGAGTTCCTCTGAAGCACTCCTCTCTCAGCGTCGTCTTCCTCCTTTCGAAGCTGACGCCTGAATCTATGAGTTTGCACACCTTCTCGGCCCACGGCATTGCTGCGCGCATGCGCCAGAAAGCCGCTCAACATTTCTTTAATGAATACTTCGGTAGCCTGCTCGAGAAGATCTGAGCAGGACTGTTGCATACCTTGCTGTACGCCACCCGTCAGACCCCGCTCGTAAGATATAGGCTCAATTTTACTTTGCAGGTCGTTGTGGCTCGGGAATTCCAGCTGCTCGCTCGCAAGGGGCTGCGCGTATCGTCGTTGAATTTCGATGTCGAAGTTGTTCCTCGCCAAACCAGGTGTCGCAGCCTGCGCATCGTTCTGCCCGCTCCCAGTGCCAGGCGGTTTTGCAGCTAGCTCGTCCCCATATTCTATCATCTGCCGCAATACATTCTGCCGAGGCGACCGCGGGCCTTCTTCTTTCAATGCTTTGATCCTCTGTCTGTCCCGTGGATGGAAGTTCATAATTTCCCTCTTCAGCCTCTCCTCCGCCTTGTCATTTGCACCACCACCCGCACCAGTGTTCTTAGCAGTACTGGACGGTTTGTCGGTTGCAACGACCCAGGGCGCAACATCTGTCGCGGGCGGGTCGCGCAAGGTATTTGAGTACATGGACATCAGCAGCTGGTTGTGAAGATGTAGAGTCGACGCAGGGGCTTTGGCCGGGTCCGCGCCTGGGATCATGATCGGCACCGGAGTGAGGAGTGGCTGAAGAACCCATGATAGCTCTGCCTGATTGAGGCCGCCTTGGACGAACGTACTGAGGGCCGTCTTGTAATCGTTCCATGACTCACCCAACGCTGCCTTGAGTTGCGCGTAGATAGGCTCGAGATTGATGCGTTCCACCGAAGTCTTGCCCACGGGTGGGAGTACTGCAACGCTTCCACCGCCATTCTTCCCGAGGGCTGGCGTGTCTTTGGAGAAATGTGACGGAGAAATAGTCAAGGTGAGTTCGTGATTCATAGCGACGGCGATGGCGATGGCGATGGCGATGGCGCTCGTGCAGATGAATTATCGCATAGCTGCCTGTGGAGTCGGTCCTTGACGGAAAGGGAGGTGAGGTGAGGTCGCGCGAGTGATGTGGGTGAGCGAGTAGCAATAGACCTCGAATCCTGTGAAAATAACGCGTGCGCGCTGTGTGCTGTCTTCCGGCTGTCGCGTCAATGCCGTGGTCGTTGAGTGATGAAGAAGTGGAGGGACAGGTACAGAGTGACAGGTACAGAGTGACAGAGTGACACCAAGAGGCTCTGCGGGAACGGAAGCGGAGGCGGGACCGGCGAGCTGCAGCTGTGCAGCATGACCCAATCAGGCTTCTGGAGGAAATGTACAATTGGAGTCTTTTTATTCCATTTGTCTACCCAATACATAGGGACATAAGGTACCCTTGAAAGGTGCGTAAAGTACATTTGTTACGCTCTTGCTAGGAAACCTGGCGTTGCGCCTCGTGGGTACTCTGTCCGGAGTCCCATATCCCTCCTGCATCTGCCAGTGGGACGCCTCGCTCGGTCATAAGATGCCAAAGCTTTTCAAAAATTGCCCTTTGATACCAATGATATCATCAGATCACATGTCTTTCTCTCGCTTCAACGCTCATAAAAGGAATACGCAAGCATATGCACCTTGGAAAATCGATATCAATGTGCAGCAACGATCTTTGTCCTATCCCATCTCTTCAACCGCCCCTGCGCCAGTCTCAGACTCATCCTCAGCATCATCGTAGTTGATTCCAGGCTTTTCGATCCATTGCCAATCTTCCGAGTGGTTGACCGGGACAGTCTTCATGTTGCCGTGCTTATCGAGGTCCTCCTCGGGGTGTACAATGGTCTTGGCTTCGATGGCGACGCTCTGCAGGCGGGAGGAGATGGGCAGCTGATACTTGATCGTACCTCGGACGATGAGCTCGAAGGGATACAAAATGATCTCCTCCCAGTGGGCGCTGCCGCGCGACTCTGTCCTGTTTCCCGGCTTCGTTAAGCGCAACTGTCCCGAGGAGATATGTTCATGCTGCTTGAGGGGAGAAGCTTCGAATACTAGCGCTTGATCGAAGTGGAACACCTCGCCAAGCTTCAGTGTCCGAGCATCAATGTTAGGGTCGTCCTTGGGATCCTTGTCGCCAGGAGCGTGCCAGTGGCCATCTGGGTCCTGAATGGGGCTGGTTGGAATGTCGTCAGAAACAGTTGCGCGTCGTCCACGGCGCATCTGTCGTCTGTTGACAGGATGCTCGGGTTCAGTTCTGTTGGGCTTCGTGACGTGCTTGCTGCGGGCGAATATGCTAACGTCCAGATCGCTGACAGAGATTCCAAGTGTATTCGGGTTGACAGCTCCGACCAGGAGGTCGAGCATTAACTCCGTCTCGCTCGCCAGCACATTATGGATTTTGTGTACCTTAACATCCATTAGGGGTCTGTTAGATGCAAACACAAAGCCAAGGGCAGAGATGACCACGAGGATTAGCACCAGTGTGGTCAGAAGACATCCCCCCCACTTTCTGACGCCGAAGCAGCCTCGTGGCTCTTCCTCTTCGGTGTAGTAATTCTCCATCGAGTGAGTCATGCTATTGCTGAATCGATGAGGATGATAGTGAGATCGTCTGGGCGTTCGTACTGTCCCGTGGCCCATCAACGGAGTGCGCTCATCGTCCGCAGTCTGCCCAGCGTCAAAGTCGTAAGGCTGTTCTTGCTTCTTGTTGCTGGAGAAGAAGCTACTCGGGCGGAACTGCATATTTTGGGGACTTCTTGGCGATGTAGGTCTTGAGCGGTCTTGGACAAGGTGGTTGTTGCGGAGCTTTGACGCTTGCGTGAAAGGCGAATCTTGGTCGTGAGACGATGATTGATTTCCGCTCCTGCCAAACCTGCCAATATGCTTCGGAGTGTGCATACGCACTGTGCCGTTATTGCTGTCGGGGCTATCGAGACCATAGGGATTCGTCGGATTAGTGGAGAATTTCATGCTTCGCTTTCCACCGACCCTTGGGCCATCGAAAGGATCATTATAACCTCTGATCAGTCCCCGTTGCTGGTCAGCCATGCTGTGCGACGAGGTGACGCTTGGTGTCCTCGAATGATGTCGTTGACGTCGCGGCTGCTCCGGAGGATTCGATTCGTAAACAAATGTCTCGTCGGAGTCAGAAGTGTTCGCTTCGTCTACGGCGTTCGCCACTCTCGCCTCGAAGAGATCGGCTTTGGACGTGGCTTTGCGTACAGAACTGTCAGAAAAGGTCGAGACAATGCTTGAGCATGCTGCGAACAGGAACAGGGAGAGAGAGAGGGTAAGATGCGCATGGAAGCGTCGGGTAAGTACATCAAGACAATGTGATGTGCGCGCAGAAGAAGAAATCGCATGAGCACTATGTTACGTACCTGTACCTTGATTGACGCTTCTCGTCTTCGGCGCGGCCTTCTTGCGCTCCTTTTTGGGTCTGATTGTCTCGTTGCTGGGTTTGAGCTTGACTGTGCCGCTGTTCTCGTTGCGCTGATTTGAACGATCGTTTGCAGGAGCAAGCTGTGATTGTGGAATGGATTGTACGGTCTCTGTCTCCACAGTCATGTTCTGTTTACCAGCCGCTTGTCGTTCTTTAGCAGTTGGGCCAGTTGAGTGACTTGGTTTTTGCTGGGTATTGGCTTTTCTGGCCGCAGGTGGTTGACTTTGAGCTGCTTGTGAACTGGCCCCAGTGGATTGTCGGCGTCCGCGTTTGTTCGAGTCACTCTTGTTACCAGCGCTCTCGCTGCCGCTCTCGCCAGGCTGGCTGAGGGTATCATGGTCTGTCCTCGTTGGTGATCTCTTGGGATCGTCGCCGCTCAACTTTGTAAGTGGTTTAAGGTCTACAGCAGCTTGCATGGCTGCTGCACGGGGATCGTGCGTATCACCAATATTTTCTTGCACGGTCTCAAGTGTTGACTTCCCACTCGCGCCTCGTGTCGAAGCTTTGGCTGATGGTGGCGCTTGAAGCTGTACATCGGGCCGTTGACTTTCAGCACCGGTGCTTCGAGTGGATCCGATCTCGGGAGCGTGGGTCTGTGGTGTAGAGCTTACTACCTGGATGCTCGGCATTGCCAACGCTTCTGGCCTTCTTTGCTGTGCAACGGCAGAGCCACGTCTCGAACTCGGCCCAGATGGAGGCGGCGACTTGAGACGTGGCGAAATAGGCCACTGTGGTGTGGTCTCCCCAGAAGGAGTTACAGATTTCGGCACTCGGCCTGGCAATTTCGATACAGCCTCGCTTACTGCAGAGCCTTTCTGTTGCAGGTGCGGCACACTTGATGCCGACAATGCCCGTTGGATTGCTGCGGCAGATGGCTGCGTCGACAAGGCACTCGGAACTAGTGGTGGCTTATCCTGGCGTATGGGGGAAGCGTTTCTCGATGTTCGCGGGCTGGCTCCAGGTGCAGGCGATGCGGTAAACGGTGTCAGATTCGTTGATGCGGACTTCCTCAGCGTCGGTACAGATGATCCGGAAGACGAAGAGTGTGTCGATTGCCTCAATTGTGTGCTGGACGATTTCCTTGACGTCGATCTCTCGCTTGTTCTGCCCGCATTTTCATTTGCTTCACCATTGCCTGGCTCCGCCGTCTCTGTCTGTCCACTAACGGAGCGAAAGATGCCCTGGCCCTCTTTGCTCGCCATGACGCTTATGGCTTAGTGTTCCAATTTGAGAGTTGCAGAGTGGCGAGTGTCTCATCATTTTTCCGCGATGATGGTCTCGTGCGTCACAGCGAGTCCATCTCGCCAACTACATGTACTGTATCGAGGGATTCGTCTGGGAAGCTGGCGATGTTTCGCGCGAACGATCTTCGCAAGGTGGATGAGTACTCGCAACTCAGCTCGTCGGGTTGCGTTCACGGAAGAAAGATGGTCGGAATGTAGTTTGCAGCAATAATGTTTGTTTCCACACCGCGCGGCTGTCCCTCGCTCGCGTCGGGTTATTCGCGGCAGTCGGGCGATACGGTCAGGACCAACACAGATCCAGGATCTAGACCCTCCAGCAAGCAGCAGAGAAGAGAGAGGGAGGGGACAAGTGTTGATTCAGATGGCGTGCACGAAGCTGGCGTAGGATGTACAGGTGGGTGGGAATCAGAGCACGTCGTCGCAAGGTGCTGAAACGGGTAGCGGGGGCAGGGTTCGTGGCACGCTGCCGGAGCAGCAGCAGCAGAAGGAGGAGGTGGAGGTGGAGGTGGAGGAAGAAGAAGAAGTGGGTGGTGGAAGGGGTCGTAGGAACACAGTCAGTAAGGTAAGGTAAGGTAGGTAAGGTCAGGTAGGTCGGTAGTGGTGGACAGACGAGTGTGATGCGACACGTCAAAGAAGGCCAACAGCAAAGCAAGCATTGCAAGCAAGCCGGCCTTGCGCGCCAGAACCCAATATTCCGGGCTGCATGTGCCAACACGGTCTAGCGTGGCTCAGAGGCATGTAGTCAGTGGCGTCCCGAGGGTCCAGGCAGAACGGAGGTCGGAGGGAGAGTGGCCACACGCGGAACCGAGAGCGAGAGAGAGAAAGAGAGCCTGAGAGCCTGAAAAATGCCTCGCGTCAACCTTTGCGTCGCCTCGCCGGGTCAGCTGCCGACGAAGTCAAAGTGGGTGGGGAACGACGACGACAATCTCGACAGCGGCGTGTGTGTTTGAGCGCACATTGCGAACAACATCAACAGCAATGGGTAGAACAACTACAGTACATGCACTGCACACGAGAAAGCACCGCCCGATAGAACTGCCCACCTTACTACCACTACAGTTACAGGTACATGTACCTACCTTACCTACTCACTTGGATGAGGTCAGCGCCACACGCAGCATGCATGAAGATGCTTGTACACAGTACATACAGTAGGTAGAAGTGTCTACTGCCTAGGTGCCGTACATACCTTAGTTCCTCAGGTACACCTGTACATACTTGCTGCCTCCGCTTCTGCCCGCGGAACTCCTCCTCCTCCTCCTCCTCACATCATGGAAACGTCAGTGCGAATGATGACATACAGTACCTGGTACACTATGTACCTGTCCGATCCCTCTTCCGTCGTTTGCAAAAGCATTTTTCAATTTTTCCTTTTCCCGGGAACGGAGAAACCAGCAACAAGAACCCCATCTGACACCCAGCCAGCCAGCCAGCCCGTCAGCCCAGCATGTCCCGCGCAGTGCCGTGAGCGTGCCACGTCGCAAAAACAGAAGGGAAGGGAAGGGAAGGGGAGACGACTCACACGAGAAGACGGCCGGCCATGCGCCACACGGTTTCGCAAAGCCTCCTCGCATGTTGTTGTGCGTGCGTGCATGCGTGCGTGTGCAGTGTCATTATTATTATTTATTCCAGGTTATTATTGTCTTTCGGCAGTTCGCGCCCAGGATGGAACCTGTATTTCTCTTGCAAAGACGCGCGCCTCCCCGAAAAAAAAAAGCAATATCCGCGTAAGGTATGATGATGTATTTCAGACGAGTACCGAACTCATGTAGCTGTAACCAAAAAAGGTAACAGTCGTATGTACATGTACCTTACCTAGGTAGGTAGGTAGTCTTGAAAGACAAAAGGAAGCTTGCACGTAAAGGCCTACCTATAGTCAGGTAGTACTGTACCCTAGGTACCTAGGTACTATTCCTTAGGTGTGTACCTGGGTAAGTGAGAGTACCTTACTAAGTATCACCGATTCACGTCCCATCGCAAGACAAAGACATGAACCTAGTAGGTACATAGCGACGATGAACAACACACGTAAGGTACCTACCCACCCTACGCATCATGATTGAAGCCCGCCACCTAAGAGGTACCTGGTATCCCTCCATCCTCAATCAAGGCAGCAGCACCACTCAAACAAAAAATCTCCGGCCGGCATACGACCTATAACTCCATGTACCTTACATCAGGTTACATCCATAAATATATGTCGCAAGGCGCAACAGAAAAAAAAGAAACCAGCGACTACCTAGGAGGTAGTGACAAGACACCATGTGGTAGGTGCGATCCATACATAATATGATGATGATGATGATGATGAAGATGATGAAGATGACCAGGCAGTGGCACGTACTAGGTACTACCTAGGTACATGGACATATTTCTAGTAGAAATACCTACCTGAACTATAAGTACCTATTTTCGTCCATAGGTACTACCTTACCTCCTACACAACAGAGTAAGAGAGAGTCAGAGTCATCATCACCACCCAAAAGCCAACTTCAACTTCCATGGAGTTGGGGAGAGTTCTAGACACTAGATCCCAGGGGGCTAGAACTTCTCATGTGTAAGGCAGGTACCTCCTACGGGCACGGGGGGCCCGTCGGGGGGATGGGGACATGTCATGGAAATAAACTACCTCACCTACAGGTAAAACTAAAAAAAACGCGTGTGGCATAGCAACTGCAACTGTAAAGAAAGTCGTGACTCGCGATGGCGGGAACGAATTGAGTTGAGGAAGAAAAAAGGGAAAAAGAAAAAGGAAAAAAAGAAAAAAAAAAAAGCATCATGACACGTGTGTCTTGATTGCACCTGTCGTGCTCCATCGCATAGCAACATATATGCAAACAACCTCGTGTGCGCAAGGAGACCGACGGAGATCCACATTTGTTTTGTCAAACAACAACAACAACAACAACAACAACAACACGGGTGCAACGTAATTATAAAACGCACAGTCTACAGAGGTCAAGCATCTGGCCGAATAATGATCCCAGTTCCACTGATGTCAACTGTAAGGTACAGTAGTCTGTAGTTTCTAGTGTGGTAGCCTTGCGGTTCTAAATATAAATGCTGTAGCCTATGCTAGCATTTCCTTTTTCCGAGCGATTCCCAAGACAAGTCGTGCCAAACCCAAGCCGTAATCGTAGCTAGCAGTAAAGGCCACACCCTTTCAGAGATCGAAAACATCGCTCATGCTAGGCGTATGCTTGACGCTGTCCGCTCTTCTCTCATGCCCCAGCAAAATGCTCCCTCGTTAGTTCGTTACCATTTACATGTTCAGTAGTAAGTCGGCCGTGATCTCTTGTCTTCCCATCGTTTCTTCCCATCCAGTCGTCCTCCTGTATCCGGCGTTCAATGCGCCCATGTGCCTGTGAACGCTCCGTGCTGCTCTTCGTTCCGCGTACGTCTGGCTATTCCCGTAAGATGCATCATGTTGATAATGCATGGCCCGAGACGACTCCCAAGTAAGGGTGCAACGACTTGGACACCGTGCAGTAAGGGATGCTCAAGCGGTGAGACCACAACTGTCCCACTTTCTGGGCACCGTTCAAATATCCATCATCTCAATGTCCTCTTCTTGTCCGTGATTGAGAACATCATCAGCTGGTCCCCATGCGCCCTCATACACCGTAGCGCCTGCGCGACGACGTTGCTCCACCCACAAGACGCCGTGTGCGCACAAAAGTTGATCAATATTCGGACGCTGATCTGGATCCGGATTGATCATCCATTGTACCATGGTCTCAAGAGCCTCACTATCGGTCGGGTCGACCATGAACTGCGGGGCGCTATCGAGATCGTGATGACGCTGGTGCTGGTGCTTCGGAGGTGCTGGGCGCAAGAAGCTGAGATCATCATCATCGCCTTGATGGGATGTACAGAGCGACTCATTGGACTGGCCATTCAGTAGCTCGATGGGATCGCCCGAGTCATCTCGGCTCAGACTGCTATCGGAACTCCAGGTCAAGCTCGGCAGGTCACTGAGGTCACCAGCGCGAAGGCGTTGCCAGGACGCGCCGTTGTCAGGGAGCACGATGTTACCGGCAATCTCAAGCATGATCATACCGAGCGAGAAGATGTCGGCGGGCTTGTCAAAGCGGCCTGAAAGAACTTCAGGTCCGATGTACTCGCGGTCACCTTCACCATCGAGGCCAGCGGGAGCCGGCCAGGTACTCGCCATACCGAAATCACCAATCTTCAACAGCCCCTCCCAATCGATGAAGATGTTGGCAGGCTTCAGGTCAAGATGAATGAAGTTCTGGTCGTGGATAGACTTCAGGCCTTGTGACAACTCCAGCAAGATTTTCCAGATTCTGAAATCGTCCAACCGTCCCTTGCACCCTGTTTGAGTCAAGAAGTCCTTCAGATTGCCATTCTCGCAGTACTCGGTCTGGATGTAAAGGTGATTCTTAGACTCCCAGTGGTCGACCAACTGCACGATGTGCTCATGGCCTTGCATGGCTTTCAGGAGGACGACTTCTTGCATCTTTCGTTGGCGGTCTTTCACCCCAGTATAAGGCTTCCGAGCCTTCTTGACGGCATACACGATGCGCCCCGGGCTGGATGTTGACTGCGCACCTGGACCATCCAACAGAGGCTTCTCGACCTTATACACCTGCGAAAATTCACCGTTTCCGAACAACGTGACTTGCCCGAAGCGTGAAGTGAGCGAAGTGTCGACATCGTTCTGGAAGTAACCGCTTATGGGATTGCTTTGACCGAGGCTGAACGCGAACGAATCGCCGCGAGGTCCGGTCGGCGTGGCTGGTGGAAAGCTGCAGCTGTTGAATGGGAGAGATGCGCGATTCTCGACAGAGATTGAGAGACAACTTGGGTCTGGTGGAGTGAAGGACTCGTGCGGGGTGTGCGGAGAGTGCTTGCTTCCGCTCTGCTTGATCGCCACAGGACTTGGCGCTGCTATAGGCTTAGCATGAGTGCTTCCACTTGAATCCAACAATGGCTCAGAACGCAACGATCGTTTCGCAAGTGGTGAGGGGGAAGTCAGTCGTCGCGGTTCATGCTCTGACTGACTTCGAAACAACCGCGGGGAAGGTGACACACTGGCTGTCAATGTGATGAAAGGCATTGGCGAGTCGTCGACAACAGCAGCGCAATCCGCACCCTTCTCGCGCCGAAAGCAAGGCGTAAAATCAGCATGCATGAACTTACTTTCGTCGTCTACGGTCGGCGAGTGCTCACAGTCAGCAGGTGAGGCAAACGTATCCGGACCCAGAGATGTTCTCCTCCCGAACAAGCTGCTGCGCAGACTATTACTCTTTCCCTTAGATTGAGGTCTAGGCATCGTCGTCGTGGATTTGGTGGGTGTCGGTGGCAGGTCGTCGGCAATGGCATGGTTGTCCAGATGTCCAGTAGGTGAGTCATTAGGCTCGTCGCCATCAATGCTGATGAAGGAGCTCCTTCTGGTGAGCTGAGCCTGATTTGTCTTGGACCCGAATATGTTGACACCCTTGCCAAACGACTGCGGAGATGCCTTCGAGACTCTGCCATTGAAGGGTGTGCTCGGGCTTCCAAACTCATGCATGGGACGCGCAAGCTTACCCAGTGCGGAGGGAGCAGGAGTTCCCCCAAAATGAAGCAGTGGCTGCTTTTTGGAAGGTGTGTCCGGCATGTTGGTACTTTGAAAGAGTGTAGCAGGGCCGCCATCCATATTACGGTGTCGTTTCGAGATCAGTCCAGTTGACATGAAAGCTTGTGGCAATGGCTTCGCCATCTTGTATCCAGCGGGTGTAGCGTGAGCATCTCCCTGAGAGTCAGCAGCTAAGTTTGGGCGTAGCGCACCCAGTGGCAGCGACTTGGAGAATCCAGGGCATCGTTTTGGTGCCCCTGATGGCTTCTCGGCAGGGGCGCCGAGAGGTGCCACAGGTGGTTCTCCAGCTGGTGTAGCGCCATCATCCAGCACGCTCGATGTGGAAGACGAAGGGGTCAACGCGTGAGACAGTGGATGAGGCTTGGGCGCTGACTGGAGTTGTTTCTGTTGCACAGACGGTGGAAACAAGACTGGAGGATCGCTGGCTGCACTCCTCCGAAGCGCCGAGTCCATGTCCGAACTGCGCAAGGGCAGTGCGCCGTCCAATGAGAATCTTGATCGAGCACGAGTGAGTGAGGGACTCATCACCGAATCGCGCATAGAATCTGCGAACAGATTCTTTCGAGCAGAACCAGCGCGCTGAGACAATGTAGTTTTCCGTAGACTGAACGGCCGCCTTTGTGGTGAGCTTGGTGGTGGAGCCATGTTCCAGGTGAAGGTCGGCGCGGTTTCCTTCTCCTTGTCTTCGTCAGGTGATACCGCAGGCTCATACTGAGCACCGTCAAAGCTCTGCTCGAATATGTTGAAGTCTATGCTCGAAGCGCTGTGTAAGCTCCTACGCTTGCTGCTGCGAGGACTTCCCAAGCTCGCGGCTTCCAGGTTCATGACACCATCGCTTCGTTTGAGCGGACTCGACTTCATGGGTGACGCATGTTCTCGTAGCACAGAATGTAAGAACTTTTCGGGGCCTGGTTTGGAGAAGTCGAGTTTGATGGCATCGACAGATCGCGAGTCTGGCGCAGCCTTCACAGAATCTTCCGAGCAATCCATGTTTTCCTGTTCGTGTTCAGCAGACGTCCGGCGCGTCGGGTAGCGCGGCGTTGCGTTGCCTTGATTGGAGTTGTCACTGAGTGCACGCCGCAGCGGACTGTTAGGTGGTGATGCTTTGCGCGACCTCGTCCGTGCCAATCCACAACGCTGACCTGTGGTTTTGCTTCTCGACTCGAGCTGGCTCTGATCTGCACTATACGCGCGACTGAGTCCCGATGGCGATCGCGGCGCAGGAGACATGGGCGCATTGTGTGAGGTTCCTTTCGTTGATAGGGCGAATCTCGACGGCTTCGAAGGGGAACGCGAGAGGGAGCGGCGAATCTGGCGAATGGTCGTGAATCCGTCGAATTGTGGGCTCCTCGGGTGCGTAGGTGAGAGCATATGCATCGAGCCTCCTGGTGAGTGACGAGGGGAGTATTCCAACTCCATTGCTGGTGAGTCCGGCGTGGGTTTCGAGGAGAGTCTCTGGACGCGCACCACGACGTGGGTATCGCGCCGAAGGTGGCGGTTGTCGTTTTCGAGCTTGTGCGCAAAGGCAAAGCGGGGCGTGTTGTTGACAATGGGAAGCTACGCGGTCACCTTGCTACTGCCTAGCGTTACTGGTCCAATATGGCGGTGCCTGGACGATAGCAAGGCAGCAAGATTTGGGGACGGGAGATCTGGTCCGTGAGCGCGCGTGAGGTGCGGAACTGCGATGAGCGCCAGGCGCAAACAACCAGGACGGGCTGAGGCTATCGAGCGTCGTCGTCGGACATGAGGGTGGGCGCACAGTAGTCGGACGACAATAAGGATGTCCTTGTTGTTCGATTCGCGAGCGGTTTAGGTTGTTGCCGTGGAATGCGAAAATATCAAAACACCACGCGTCATGGACGGCGGGTGTAGTGAGATGGGCGAAACACCGGCTTGCCGAGTCGCGTCGGTGTTGTGGGCGATGAGGATGCGGATGCGGACGAGCAGGACGGAGGAGGCGGCGGTGGTGGTGGTGGTGGAGATGGCGCGCAGGCGACAGGCAATCGAAGGAAGGAGGGCAGCGTGGCAGGCGAAGAGAGGCAGCAGTTGCGCTGGCAGTAGTGAGTGTGGGTGAGGCAGTCGCAGTTGGCAGTAGTCGCAGTCGCGTGTCGCGCGAGTTGGGGGAGGAAGGAGCGGATGCGGAGCGATGCGATGCTCTCACTCGCTCGCTCGACCCTGGATTTGTTGTTTGAAGCTTTGATCCGAAAATGCCACGCACACTCGTGACAATGGCGCTAGTCGTTGGCCTACGCCCGACCCTGTCGTCTCACCTTCCGCTGTCGGTGACTCTCTGTCTCTGTGCAGCTTTGACAGTGGGTAGCACAGTAGTGTAGACCGTACCCTCCTAGCTACATGTCCACTGGTCCAGTACCTTTCCTATGCCTTGATATTGATTGACTGATATCTTTTGGCCGAGGCGATGCTCGTCTTGCCACCTCACAGGGAGAAAACCTACCATCTAAGGTACCTAGGAGGTATGTACATGTACCTCTTCTGCACCTGACCTGATCTCCCGTTCATCCCATCCATCGCCCGTTTGTTTACTTGCTGTAACAATCCACTGGCGCAAACGCCTGGTCGACGTTGCGTCATCTCGAGCCCCGACACACACTGACACACAGCATCCCCTGACGGCCATCGTTCAACGTCCACGATGCCAACTTGGGTCACTTGGACGGAAAACTGGGCTGATATCCTGATACTGGCATACTGCTTCCTGGGCCACGCGCGTCGGTGCGCTGTTCCACCAGAGTCATCTGCTGTTCAGAGCAGCGTCTCTCGCCAGTCCCGAGGAGCTGCTGCGAAGCCTGCTTTGAGCCTATGAATCTGCATGCTACGGACGTCGGACGGTGAGCCCAAAGTAGGTAGCCACCCACCATACGTACACCCACAAGTCGTAATCTCTGGCATCCAGTTTTCGTTGCTGCTTCATTTAGATCACGAATAGCCGCTACAAATATCTTCAGGCGGCACCGTCTCCGCTGCATCTGTTCGCATGGAAACAGTTTTAGGCGATGACTGACTTCTACAGTCGTATCGATACTAACTGTTCTGTCGGCAGCTGCACGCCTGAGAAATCCTTTTCTATCCAATCAACCTCAAAACGTGTCAAGCCCAGTTGGTAGGCCACCTCACCGATCTGGGCGGGGTGCCTAATCCACCTCCATGTGACCACTCACAACGCCTCTTTATAGTACTCTACAGGATGAAGTGCAGCGTTGTTGTTTGTTTAGTTTTTTTTTGACACGTCGCAGAGCTACAGAGCCGAGTGGTGATGAAGGCCTCACAACTCACCTACATGTACTACTGCAGTCAGACCACAAGGGTACAGGTATGATAGAAGATGAATGCTACGAGCCGCGTAACATGATATAAGACACATACGGCGAATTGTCATAGCACCATGTCTCCGAATCGGCCAGACGATCCAGGCAGGGTACATGTATGGGAGACGTATATGTCGATGTGCCAGGTCGCTCTCTTTCTCTCTTCACATATACCCGTTAGAGACACATAATCCAGTACCACGGCGCATAACCAAGTCGTGCTCAAATGTACGCCTCAGACTCGTCAGATTGTGACAACAGTTGAACAGCGATCCATGTATCAGAAACTTTTCTCGACCATGGCAAAGAATCTCCCTTTCTCGTATTCCAGGAAGTTGTATTGGAGCACCTCGAGCTGCGATGATGCGCTGATGGAAAGCGTCCCAGGCCAGCCAAGCGATAAGTTACACGTACCTGTAGGAGAAAAGGACCTATTCGGGTGCACGTTTGCACCTGGCGGAAAGACCAAATAAGGTAGGTATTGGAAAGAAAAACGAAGAGGAAGGCGAGCAATCGCAACTTCCATGATCAGAGAATCCCTCAGTGAGCTGCAGGAGAGAAGCAGTCGTTCCTGCAACCTACATGTAGGACTGTAGGTACACGTCGGGTACCTGTACCTTACCTGTAGGTACCTTAACTTACCTTACATAACCACCACGGCACCACCTACCTAGGCTCAAGATAGTGACCACGCGAGCTTCCATGCAGGAGGACAGCAGAGCCGCGCACCTGCAGGCGCTGACTCCATTTTTTTTTTATTTATTTTTGCCCCATAATGCGGCATTGCGTGGTGCATAAGTATAATGTACTCTACCTAGTATGTACCTACAGATTGGCTACATGTTGGACGGACTCGTCAGGTCCGACGTTTCCCTTCAATCTAACTGCAAAAAGGCGGATCCTCTTTACGACGGAGATTTACCAGAGTTTTTTTTTATTATTATTATTATTGGCTGTGTTCAAAATGGACTCTCGTGAACAGCTGCTAGCTGTCAGCCTCACGATAATGAATGTTACCTGGTACTCGTCCAAGTCTATTGGGTGCCTACCTACCAGGTATGTACCTTCTTCATACCGAGCGAGTTGAGAGGCTTATATACACGCAGGTAGATACACCTGGAAATGAGTTCGGGAAAGGCATTATCAAGTGAGATCACCTAAGGTAGGTAAGATAAGATACTTACCTACATGTACCTGTTCTGTGTCGTGTCGCGTGTGTTGTCGTACCCACCACGAAATGGGTCAAATCTGCAGGGCGCAGAAGCGAATCAAGATCGGGCATGCACGCTTGGACCGCGGACATGGAATTTTTCGCCTATAAGTTGGAATGCAAACCTGGAAGGATTCTGTTTGACAGCGAGAAAAAAAAAGAGAATCTGAGGTCTCGTCTCGTCTCTCTATCATGTAGTTCCCACGAGAAAGTGCGAGCGGCTAAAAACACAGGCTGGAATGCTGTGTCGCCTAACATCCTTGAACCACCACATGTGTGAGCTGGCTAGGCGCGGGGCGCAACTGCTACAAGCGCTTCTGCGCTGAGGTCCAGTGCATCCTTGACCTGTGTCGGAGTTGAATGATCGAAGCGCTCAGGCGGCTTGAAGAGGATGGAAGGGATATGGGCATATGGGCGCTAGGTAGTATAAGGTCGACTGGACAAGAGCATCGCTTCGAAGGGAGTGGATATTTCGATATGAGTAAGCGCGCCCCAGACAACCTACTTCCAGTCTCCGAAATAGGTCTGGCGTAGCCTCTCCATCTTCAATTCCTTGGGCCATGGATGATGGATCCAGACATTTCTCAATATACCTATTGCCCGCGATGTACTCCATCGTAGATGCCTCCGGAAGATGTCGCAGTGGACCGTATTTGACGCAGAGCGTTCGCGTGAGGAATAGTACCATTCCTTGCCTTGGCCCGAATACAGCCTAGGAGCTTGATGGCGGCGAGAGTTGTAAGACGCCAATACTACCTACGTATCATTGATCGAATGCGGATCATGTCTGGTAGGCTGTGTGAGCGTCCCTGATGGAGTGGCCCCCTGTTTGACCCTTCTGTGGGCCGATCAGGCTTATCATGAGACGATGGGATTTTGGATACAGGTATGGATGAAATGTGCTTGATGACCAGAGCGTCAAGTCAGCGCAGCGCGCCCAGCAATGGTGTGCCAATGCAGGTAGTCGTCTGCCTGGGAAACATGGTGAGCGCGGACAGTAGCTTCGTCTCTCCGACCTTGACTGCTGGAACTGAGTTCCCAAGCTGTGATTGCATGTCCTCCTAGCGAGTCCGCCCTTCTCCTCTGTCACTCGTCGCGTACAGCGTCCTTTTCGACTCTTTCCTTCTCTTGCTCGCGCAGGCAGGCGAAGACTTGGAAACAATAATTCGGATATACACCCACTAAGACCGTGCCTGGAATTTGATACTGCGGACATACATCGGCTGAGACTGCTTGACCGAATATTCCCGCAGATCTAGGGTCGCCTCCGGCACGGTTGCTTTTGTTCGAGTCGAGACCTATACAAAGAAGACAAATACTGTACGGCGCGATCAAAACCGTTGTAGGCAGAGTTTGACATCATCATGTACGCGCGGGATCTGTTACACAGCTCGAAGCACCTCACTAGACTTCACATTTGTATCTCTCGGTTCAGTACTAGATCTGGACAGTAGGTAGGTATGGTTCTCCCCTTTGATGCCTTTGGCGACTATGGACTGCTGATCGTATTCTTGGAACGTGTTCAGTCGCCCCAGTCAAAGTGGAACGAGGCAGGTGGGCTGACTGTTCAGGAGGTCCTGGAAATTTTGTTGCTTGAGACTGGATTGCAGTGCAACTTGGGGTCGTGAGCAATGATTCAAGTATATCTACGTCCAATCGTTCTAGTTCGTGACTGTCTCGGGTAGCCTCAAAAGCAAATATCAAGTTAGGTTGTCGAAGTAGCTTTTGACATCTTCAACAGCTGGAGACTGATGATCTCTTGCTGCTGTGCCAGCTGCTGTGCAAACTGCTTCTGCATTTCTTCTTTCTGCTGTGCCATTTGTTTCTCCATTTGCTCTCTCTGGAGCCTCAACTGCTCTAAGAACTTTTCAGTGGTTCTGTTATTTTCCTCCCGCAGCCATGAAGCAGGAAGAGAGGGCTTCTTGAATGGACCATCTTCATACGACGAGGACTGTTCCGCGGCCGATGCCTCCAAACTGTCCTCGACACCAGACTGTGCCGTGGAAGCCGCTGGGGATGGGCTTCGCAGTCTCGCAAGAGCATCTCGAATTCGACCCACGTGTTGTGGAACGAAATGGTCATAAATTGCTCGAACAATTTGGTATGACTTCGTCCACCCCGTAGATTTCACATCGTCCGCAAATCGATGATAAATGATCGGCTTACGATAGAAGGATGTCTTGTCGTGCTCGATCTTTGCGAAATGAGCAAATATCGACGCCGTAGAATGGTTGTGGGCGACAGAAAACGTGAGAATTTTTCCGTCTACCTCAGCCGTGGCAGAGATCTTCCGGAAAAGCTCTATCACGGCTCGAGTCGCTATGCTGGCGCTGTGCATAGCTTGTCGCTCGGCTTCCTCGATTGATCCATCGCTTCCCTTCGCCTCGCAGATCAGAAAAGGGAAGTACATGTTCTCTGGAAAGAAATTGGGGCATGCGCTCGTGTGGTTCAGCTGAAGCTTCTCTTTCTCCTCAGTCGTGAAGGTGGCTGCCGATATACCCGCCACAAAGTCTGGCTTCGGCCTGGGGCCACACAGAGTAGCGCACTGCGTCCACTCGGCGTCCATGGCTTCGCATATAGTACTGAGCTCGGCATGTCCACGGATTGTGAGCAGCTCGGGAGAGGGGACTACGATTGACATAATATCGCGAACCACACGGGCTTCGTTGCAGAAACGCACTCGTCGCAGCAGTTGTTTTAGCTGGTCCGGTTGATACGCTAAGTTGGCCGGCATTGAGTATTCGGCCTTAAGCAAACGGTCACATAGCCGGTGGCAGTCATCCGTGATCCTGGCCTGATCACCAATGTCTGTCATGAATATTCCCGCATCCTCCATTCTCTCTTCGTGTCTTCTCGTCCACGGTGCTGGGGAGTCTCCATCCCGAACGCGCTGACTATAGCTATTCGATCGCGACGGAGTATGAAAACGCTTCGCCCCACGACTCGGAGGGCCCATGTCCTGCGCCGACATTCTTGCCGGCCAAGTTCCAAAGTACTCCTCCCACCTGACGTCCGATCCGTAGCACTCGTCTGGACCAGCTTCGAGCAGCGGCAGCGAATTGGCCACGCTGACGTCGCAATTCTTCTTAACAGGAGGCTCGTCGCAGGAACAATCGTCACTCTCGTGGAAGGATTTTCGTTTTCGACCTCCTCGCGACGGGTCGCTCGATGGAGAAGGGAGGGGGCGTTGGCCAGCGTCTCGCGGACTGCTCAAGGCGCTGGTTTTGGCTGTTTGCACTTGCGCGAACTCGTCTTCGAAATCGTTGGACATTTTGCGTATCGTAGTGCGTCAACAGTTTAATATGGCTGTTCATGGGACGGTGAGGAGGATCCAGTGCAATAAGCGCCGACTTGGAGTTGAGCAGCACAACCTTGTTGATTGGCAGTGAACGGCACAGTTGTGATGATGTGACAGGCCCAGCGTTCAGCCTGGCGCCGGTGGCTGCCAAGCCTCACAACACCCACATCTACGGAGGCCCAAAGTGGCCAGCCGCCACACGTTACCCCCGGCTTTCTTTAGCTTCATTTTCCTACTACTTCCACCCTTCTACCTACTATATACTACTACATATACTCGCTATACGCTCGCCGCCTATCTCGCCGTTACCGCCGTATCCGTCGCTACCTACTAATATACCTCGGACGTACGTACCTAGAGGACTACGCGCTATAGACTATAATAACTATTAGGTCTATATCGCTATATAGCTCGAAGAAGGTGTCTCGTAGAGGTAGATTATTGCTAATCTATACTAGTAGTTCGGTATTTCTATTATAGAGCGTATATTCGAACAACGGCTATAAGCCTAGGGCCTTACTATAGCCGCCGTACCTTTATATCGTCGATAGTACGATATCTTCGACGAAGACGATAGCTTGCGTATACGTATAGCGTATACCTATACTAAGCTACAACTTATAGATAGCGAGGCAGTTGCGATTCTAGCGATTAATAGCTAGAAAATTAGTACGAGGATATATCGGCGTATACGTAAAGAGCTAGGTTTTAGGAAGCAGATACTAGTAGTAGAGCAAGTATATACTAAAGAGTTAATCGCTATAGTACTCGTAGACGAGCTCGCTAAGTTAGAGGTAGAGGTATATAGTAGGAGGAACCTATATATATATCTACGTTTAGAGATAAATATAATTAGGAGGTACGTAGGCGCTCGCTATCTACTCGCTTGCTAAATCGCTGTCGGCTAACCTACTTAGAGACTATATCTACCGTATTATTAAATTGCTTAATCCCGATAGTATTTAGCGGCGATACGAGAAGGCTAGAGAGTACTATAGTGCTATTATTATATCTAGGCCGTTAGCGGCAATCTCGATAGATACGTACTATAAGTTCGAGTACTAGGGTATTTAGATATATAGCGCAATCGACGTATACGCGCGGTATATAGAGTAGATTTACGTCAGAATTACTAGTAGATCGGCCGTTTCGGTACTTGCTTAGTATATCGCGACCCTACGCTATAGTAGATACGCGCCGGTAATTATACGCTCGGATCGTAGAGGTAAGACTATTCTAGCCGCTAACGTATACTATATAGTACGTTATACCGCTTACGACGTCGAGAATACTAAGTATAGTACTCGCGGCGAGGCCTCGTTACTACTACTACGATTCGGTAAATACTTCCGATATAGTATAAGTAAGATAAATCAGTATATCGAGGTATAGTAGAATTAGTAGGCTAAGGCGCTAAATAGATAGCGCGCGTACTTCTATAGCTTAAATGCTACGAACGAATTTGACCTAGAGTTATTAGGCGATCGTATTGCCTTCCTAGCGATCTATACTACGATTCTCCGTAAGACAGTAGTAGGATTCGTAAAGGTATAGAATTACTATAAGATTCGGAGGCAAAACAATCGGCTATACTCGATTCTAGGTATTCCTTATATATTACGGCATTATCTAGAGCTCTATAGCGCTACGTAGTAAGGTATACGTATACCTAAGGAGGTTCTACAGACGCTCGAAGGGATACTAGAAGGGTTTAGTATATATACTCGCTCTACTCGTAGCCTGCTCGCTAACTTAATACTATAGACCTCGAGGCCTTTCTTTCCGCCGATACCTACGAATAGTACAAAGCGAGCCTCCTCCTCTATAGCTTCGCGCTACCTATTAGTAGTACGTCGTACAACGTAGCGACCGGCGACCATACGTACCGTACGGCCTATATTACCCTACGTAGCCTAGTAAATAACTATATTAGCTTAGAACAATAGCTAATACTCGGTATACTTCTAAAGCTATTAGTAGCAAGAGATTAGATACCTATACGCTAGACGGCGGAAGCATTTAGAGATACTAGCAACGCGCTAATCGCAAACGAGGATTTAGGTATTATCGAGTTCTATAATAATCCGTAGGCTATAGGGCTAGTATCTCCCCTACGAGTATAACTACGAGCTAAGCGAGCTAAGCCCTCCGGGGTATATATTACGGTACGTACTATTATTTGAATTCTTTTCTATATATATATATACTCTCTCTCTCTCTACCGACCTATTCACTATAGCCGACAACCTACCTAGCCTCTAGGCTAAATACTATCTAGTCGTACCGTCGATTAGATATAGCGTTATATTCTATAAGTTCAATTTCTGCTCTTAGTACTATTAGCTTAATCTAAACCCTCTATATACTAAATTCGTACGCGAACTATTACGCGTACTAGAAAGTAGCCGTCCGGTTACTAGATAGCCGCCGCCGCCGCCGCCGCCGTAGCCGTAGCCGTCGCGATCGCAGTAGCTAGTACCTATATACTAAGTAAAGGTTAGTCGCCTTGAAACGATCTATATAGCGAGTACTTAGCGACGGTTAATAGGGTTTCTAGACATTCGTAAGGATTCCGTAGTACGCGAATACTATACGTAACGAGGCTAATATCGTATTTAGAGCTAAGGCCGCTATAGCCGTCGTACTATACGCTAGTACGCTACCGCCGACTATATGTTAGTAGTATACGCCGGCCCTACCGTCGTCGCGGTTGAATCCGCTGCCTCCGGCTATCTCGTTTAGTATTAGTATTACGGTATATACGTAGCGAGTTACTATACGAGCTCTAAAGAATAATAATAAGTAGAAGTACTACGATCCGGTTGCCTATACCGACCTCTATAACTATTAGACGGATCGCGATCGAGTAGCTAATAGCGCTAAGAAGCTATTAATAGAATTTATACTTATACGATTCGAGCTAACTAAGTTACCTATATAGCCTATTACAGCTATTAAAGACTTCTACGACGTATTCTTCGTACGATTATTCTATCTAGAGACTAATAAGCCGAACCGTATATTATCTGCGAGTGTCGCGAGTGCCGACGTCCTCGAGTCTATAGAGGTATTCAAAATACCGCTACCTAGTAGATCTACTATACGTACCTACGAAGCTATTATCGTCGTTTAGTAGTATAAACAACTAAGGCAAAAGCGTAAGGATAGGGAGGGCACTATAGTATTACGCGCGACACTATTACGCGCGATACTATTACGCGCGACACTAGTAGCGAGCGTAGCGAGTAGCCGTATAACGCCTGTAGTATTAGAAGTCCTTAAGAGTATCGAATAGCTCTACGCCGATAAGTACGACGACGACGACGAGGACGACGACGAGCTTAGCGAGGCCGACGACAACGATAGCGTACTAATTATTAAGAAAGAGAAGGCATTATAGACAGAGAGCGTAACTAACGCCTATAAGCTACCTAAGTTTGTCGAAATCGATAGTAATACCGATATAGACAACGCTTATATTAAGAAAGAGAAGGTATTATAGACAGAGAGCGTAACTAACGCCCGTAAGCTACCTAAGTTCGTCGACTTAGAAGCGACGCTAGTAGCGAGCGCGACGAGTAGTACTGCCGGTACGGCGATACTAGTAGCGAGCGCGACGAGTAGTACTACCGCTATACCTATAGCTAAGCGATATAAGCTAGCGGTTCTAATCGGAGAGAGGGCAATAACTAGAGCGCTAAGCAAGAAATAAATAAATCGCCGCGCTCGCTATTAGTATCGATAGATATAAGCCTATAGGGCCCCCGGGGCCTAACGCTACGGCGGTTGCTATTGCTACCGCCGGCGCCGCCCGGTATTACTTATATAGAGCGTAGATACGAGTAGAAAAGACTAATTTTTATAGCTATCTACTACTATCGACTTATATCTACAACGGTATACCTATATTGCAGAGTTTGCGTAGGGTCGGCAGACGATCCGATTAGTCGGGTATACCTAGCGCTAGCTTATATTCGCTAACTCGCTATAGAAACGCTATAGATCGTACGTAGCCTACCTAACTCGCTATACTCGCTACGGTATATCGCTACTATATATATAAATAGGTAGGTATATATATACCTATCTACTAATTATTCGTACGCGGAATTGTAGTCGATTCCGGTATCGATACTCTACCCTACGGCTATACCGCTGTAGCTATATTATAGACTATACGCTAGAGCTCGTCGACGTATAGTATAAGCTACTCTACCTAATCCTCTAATTTACCCGTCCTATCTTAAACGGTCCCTACCGTAGCCTATAGGCTATCGACCGTAGCCTATAGCGCTTTAATAGTAGCCTCTAGCTAGGCGATTCGCTACGAATCGCTAGGGGAATCGTTAACGGGTATCCCGGCCTAATAGCCTAACTTAGTATATCGCTTGTAGTAGGCGTAGATAATACTATTCTTTGCGTCTACCTTATACAGCGCGTCGCGCGGACCGCGAGTATACTAGTAATACGGATCTAGCGTATTAATACCCTCTATAGTCTCTATAATTCGGCTAGCTTAGTCGAACTTCTATAGGTTATTTTTCGCGACCTTCTTCTTTATCGCGTCGTCGTCCGTAGCCTCGTCTAACTAGCCCTACTATCTTTCGACTAAGCAGAACTAGAAGTTACTAGAGTCTGTAGTAGTAGGCTAGCGTAGGTATAGATCGGGGGTGTATACGGCCCTATATATAGCGAGTTAGTAGAGATTCTAGTAGAGATTTAGCAGCGAGTAAGGCTAGTCTACCTAGTATCCTCCTCCTTATCCTCCTCCTTATCCTCCGAAGTGTCCTCGGTATCGGTATCCTCGTCTATAGCGTCGCTGTTATTTATCGTAGATATGTTCCTACCGAGCGCTACTAAAGCAGCAGATACGAGGAATCTATAGTATATTAGTAACATACGAGTTTATACGCTATATAACAATATACTAAGGTTCGAATAATATAGTTATCTACGTCTGCGGTAGTAGAGGAGAGAGAGTAGACATATTATAGTAGTAGATTCTTTCTTCGAGTTGCTATAGCGACGGCTTTGTTATATAGGTAACTTATTATTAAGATAACGGATCCGGCGACAAAGAGAGAGGTAAGGTAGCGACGGATACGGCGGTAACGGCGAGGTAGGCGGCGAGCGTATAGCGAGTGTGTGTGGTAGTGTATAGTAGGTAGAAGGGTAGAAGTAGTAGGAAGATAAAGCCAAAGAAAGCCGGGGGTGACGTGTGGCGGCTGGCCACTTTGGGCTTCCGTCCACATCTTCTCCACACTCTAAGCCCTACAGTATCCTAGAATAGACCTGAGCTTCTACGGACTGACTACACGCATCCAAATCCGAGGTGCGAAGACGCCGCACTCTGGACACGATGGAAACCGACGAGCGAATGGAAATAGTGCAGCGCTTGCAAGGAGGATGTTGAGAAGATCGATTGGAGGAGATACATCGAAAGGGCAGACTGTGCGCATGGATGTCGAGCTTGCGCCACGACGTACCTTGCCGGCTCGACAGCAACAAACGTTTCTATGGCTCAAATTTGATGGCGGAGAGACATGGCTGCTCCGATTCCTTCAAGCTTCGCCAGTTTCCTGCTCCAGCTCGACTTTGATCACAATGGCAGCTTGGAGTCTCCGGCTCACGCCTCCCACTTCCGACGGCCTCTGACTGGAAAGGCTCATAATATTCTTCAGACAGGAGGTATCGACACTTTTGGTATGCTCTTTCGAGATTGCCTCCTTGCCTCCTTCGTCTGACATAACCATCCTCGTCCACCAGCCAAACTTGGCATTTGGTAAATACGATGCAATGGCCAAGTACCGGTCGTTTCGAGTTCTACAACCGTTAATACCCAGCTTCATACATGATGAGTATATGTATGACCCTACCAAATCCAATATCCTCTACGATGACCTCGGCTTAGCCAATCTCATAGTCAGAAGCAGACAACACCTCACCATTGTTGGCGTGATTGACCTCGAATAGTCCTACATTGGTCCAGCTCAGCTGTTAGGACCCGCTCTATCGTGGCTTCTGATAGATCGGCCACAAATGAGGCATAGGACTGCCTTGGTGGCTGTACCCACCCGGATCACTGCTCGCTGATTCAAGGCATTGAACTATTCAAGTCTGCTCTGCAAAGAGGAAGAAGAGGAAAAAGAAGAAAAAGCAAAAATGGCAAATTCTGAGAATCACGAACTTTCCCAACTACATGTAGTCGATTGCTCGGAATCCAAGGGTGCTATATGGACTCACATACTTCTTACTACAACTAGTTTCAATAACCCGAACTCTGTCCCTTTCACTAAGCTAATGCCGTTCGCAGGCATAGAAGACAGGGAAAAATACGAATGCAAATCGTGTCTTTGAGGGAAAAACTGACAAGACAGGAATTCATTGCTTTACATTCCAGCCCTTGAGTATGTGGTCCAGCTATCGTACTGTCAAGAACGGTATCTAAGGTACCTAGTGTAGAACGTTCCCCTCCTCCTGCACACTCGGTGGCCTGCACCAGGCAGGTTGCAGCAGCAAAACAGTAAATTTTGTTCATCGTGGCCGTGCTTACCTAAAGGAAATTTTAGCGGTACGGATATATGATTTCGGATCTCGAACTTAACCCCAACGACGCAAGTTCAGCAGGATTACCTGTATCTTCCAACGTACGTAAGCTTCTTGCTGTCCACTCTTGTGGAATGAAAAACGATCAAGGGCTCTTGCATATCTTAAGGTAACAACGTATAACTGCCAAGACTTTACGGCAGGTCCGTAGGTATGGCAGGTGCAAAATCCGACAAGCGGAATAGTGCACCATCATTCGCCTGGATAGGTACGTGGAAAACGCCCGTCGAGTATACCCTCTACTGCGTGAGCAGTACGCTCTGCCGACAAAGTTCGCATGGCGGTAAGGACAGGCCTGCAGCAGCGCATTTCACCCGCTGATATTTCGAAGCTGGCTTCTTGCAGCTGAGGGCACGAAGAGCGAGCTTCATTTTCATTCTGCGAATCACAGACACATCGAAACCGCATATGGTAAGCTACCAGGTATCGTTCTCTTGGTGAGTCCAGCAGAACATTGACATCTCGAGTTGAGCAAACAAGGACGAGCAGGGGCACATCTCACGGGACCCCGATATAGAACAAGCTCTGTCTTCTTCAGGTGTCTTCACAAAGGCCAAAAGATAGACAGCGAAGGATGCGAAAGCTAAGGCTGAAGTCGAAGCTTTTTGGGGAAAGAGAAAAGAGGGTGCTCGAAGCAGCAAAGGGCCGAAGGGCTTCACGAAGCTGTATGCGCGCCAGAAGACTTCCGACAGTGCGATCGGACAGCCACGCTATCCCGTCAATTTGGCAGTATCGAAGTGATTTTGTAAATCAAGATCATATTGGACCTTTTCTTTCATTTTGCGTTGGACAAATTGCTCGGAATTCCGGCACCAGAAATGCGACAAGCTCCGAAAGAACGCCTCCTCCTCGTCGAGTGTGCTCTCAAAGCAGAAGATGGGGAAGATATGATCAGAGACCATAATTGCCATAGCGTTGACAGAAATAAAACTGTAGTAGACCTAATATGCGCCTGAATGCCAAGCCTGGCGCATTGTGTCGGCGAGAAGAGTGCTGTAATGTGGCTGTTTCTTCTCCGCAGCAGCGAATATCCGAAGGAACGAGTCGTAGGAGGCAGCAAACTCGTCCCGATTGCGTGAAATGTCATCCAGGTCGTCGACGCATAGCCAGGAAGGCATACACAGCATGTCGGGAGGCAACGAGCAGATGAAGTCGAGGTCGATAATGCCCGTGATGTTCCAGTCGGCATCGACGAATATGTTGCTAGCGTGAAGATCGGTGAACTGCAAGATAAAAGGCCCTGAATACTGCAAATCGACAACGCTAGGGAGAATACTCTATAGCAAGAGCATATAAGACATTTGTAGCCGACAGTCGTCCTCATCATATACGGCATTGGGCTGAGATCTGAAAGCGCCGGTCCGAAAATCATATAGAGCTCGTAGAAGCTGACCAGTAGAGTTATACATACGCTCCTCCATCTTCGGCGCCCCCTCCGCCTCTGATATCGTATTAGCACAGAACAGAGGGCGGCTCGCGAGAGATATCGAGCCGTCCTCGTTGAACCGAAGTGAGGCAATACGGGACTGCGGGATCCGGGCTAGCGAAAGGATCATGCAGCTTAGCTGACTGATTAAATGCTGCTTCTTCTCCTCGTCGTGCTTCTATTGTCTCCAGGTGTTGGAAAGCATAGTACCGGTGTCTTTGTCAATGAAGTCGATGAGCATATAACCCAAGCCAAGCTGATTGGTGCTAGAGCGCAACGGCGCATACTGGCTGAAGTCCTGCTTGCGGAATAATATCGAGTGTGCAAGGCGGCATATCTGAATGCCTAGGCGGCGATACCATGGGAGGTGTCTGATATGTGTATACTGGATCAATCAGCATGCAGACAAAGAATCCGCTGCTGACACGATTTTACCTGTTCGCCGTTGGAAAGTCCAAACCCGATCAGCCGGGGGATGGGCACGTCTGGGCAGTTCGTCTCTACCCATCCATAGTTGGCCACCTAGACCTGATCTTCTTATCAACAGTGTCTGGCGCTTCTTGAACGCCAAATTTGTGAGGCATTGGGCAGCGAAAAACTATTCGAGAAGTTTGGTAATAGTTATCTATGACTTGTACGTTTACACAGATGTTAAACTGACCGCGGTTCCATGTGTTCGGGCTGAATATGTTACACTGTGAGCTGCTACGAAGTCCTAGGTGCCGTGCGACAATCGTCTGGATCTGGGATTTTTGAAGCCATAATTGATCGCGCAAGCGGCGCGACTTGGTGCTGCGGCGAAGCTTGTGCAGCACGTTGATCTCCTCGCCCCTGGCTTCCTCCCAGGTCAGGCGCTTCCCATTCGAGAGAAACAGCGCCCTTGTGCGGCGAGATGGAGTCGAGTGGAACAGAAGCTCAAGTTGGTGAATTCCATTCGAACTGAAGACTGAGGCTGAGGCTGAATAGTGTGTCAGGTATTCTTGGCCTTGTCGGAGCAACCACCGAGACTCGTTCTGTCTTAGGTAATCAATCTTGTACACTCAAGAGCGAGCTGCCAAAGCTGATGCCAAGCTTTTCTCGCACTCATCGAATTCCCTATTCAGGGATTGTCTAGTGGACAGCAGACGGGATTTCTTCCCGTCCGCTTCTTCTTCAGAGTCAGATGGAATTTGACGCCATTTGATGTGTTGTGTGTGAAATGTGTGATTGCCCTGTTGTGTCACAAGGCTAATTTAGTGGCATGGCAGAAGGAGGTGCGCCAAGATTACGCATTGAATGACGTAGAATGGAAGTAACCTGTGACGTGAGGGCATCCTTGCCGTGACCTCACTGCATGGAATGTTCCAATGTCGTTGCATACAGTGCACCAAAATCCCGCCGGATATATCTTGCGAGGGCATCCATCGCAAACATCAAAATCGCTTACAGACCAAAATCAACATCACCTCCGATACACTCGACAGACTCGCATCCAAGCTGAGACGTGACTGAAACATCATTTGCCAGATCTACGGACGATACACCGATCTTTCCCATGTTACTCGAAACATTGCGTTCCACCACCGCAACAACACCATGTGCCCGACCCATGTTCCTCTCTGCGGACAAACGCACAATTAGCTATGCAAGCAACCGCGGCAGCCTGATCACACTTGAACTCAAGAACTCCAACGCCGTTAGAAGTGTGCAAGAAGTTGCGAAGATGGGTATAGCTCAGAAAGCAGCAGGCGGAGAAGAACAAAACAAGGAGGAAAGCCCAGGCTACTGGGCCGCACTGTTAGACACACTCTCCTTCTATGTCATGGAAGGCGTGGAGATTGCCGCATTTGGTCCATACGACGAGCCAGCCACAAGCTAAGGAGTCGCCAGTGGCTTGTCCATGGCGTCTCGAATGCGGCTTCATGCTTGTGCCACCGTCTCGCGCGCCGGCTCAGTCTGCTCTTTGGGCACCTCTGTCTCTTTGGCAGGTGCAGTCTCGCCTTTGGTAGCTGCAGCCTCTCCTTTGGGAGTGCTTCGATTGAATGGGCTCAGGCCAGCGAAAGATCGTCGTTTCGATTTGCTCTCCTCTTTGGGAGACTCAGAGGAGTCCTGACGAACGGGCTTCGACCGTGAGCTCAAGCCTGCGAAAGATCGTCGAGGTGGCTTCTCCTTCTCCTCCGAGTCACCTGCTTCGAGTTGGCCAGGCTGCTCGCAACGCTCGGCCAAACCAGCGAGCATCGGGGCCGCGCTCGCTTTGTCCAAGAGTTCGCCGCTTTTGACGAGGATTTTACGCCTGATACCTTCCGCCGTAAGCTCGCCCCGAAACCTGAGGTGAACGACTGTAGCAGGCTCTGCGGCTTCATCACTCTCGTGGAGTTCACGTAGAAGGAACGCCCAGGTGAACTGAGAACCGTGTCGCTTAGATCGGAGCACAATCGTGTGAGGCTCAATCACTCTATCCACGACGAAATAGTCATTTCGAGTGAAGCCATAGTCTGCAATCCGCTCCCCTGGTGTAAGCTTCTGCCACTTGGGCTCGATCGTCCTCGAAGGCCTCCAAGTAGCTGGCAGAATACCTTCCAGTCTGTTTGGCAGATACCAGCCACCGCGGTTCCTGCCCAATTGCAATAACCACGGAAAAATGTCTCGAGCGGGTGCGCGGATCGTGCGCTTCTGGTCATAGACCATCACAGCGTCGGGAATCAGTTCATCGCCAGGGAACAAGTCCTGCTTGGCCGGCTCCTTTGTCTCGGACTTTTCGTTCTCAACACCAGACAGATCGGTGCTTCTACGGACCGCCGTGTGATCAGTCTGTTGTCCAGTCTCTTTTGCAAGGGCCTCGTCTTTCTGAGCATCACTTGGAGATCCGGTGCTAGCGTCGTGAAATGTCTCGTGCATTTGGGACTCCTTGGCCGCTTCTTTCTGAGCAGGGCTTTGCGCATTGGCCATCTTCTCTGCAGCGTTTCCTTTCTTCAGCAGGGTTTTCCGGGCACGCTTTTCGTTCTTGACCGGAGAGTCCGGTGTAGTCTCCTTCTTTGGGGATTCCTGAGTCGAGTCGTTGCGATTAGTGGTGCTCTGGGTCGAGTCGATTGGTTCTTCAGACATCGTCTCCAATTGTGTGCCTGAGCCGCGAAAGTTCATTCCCCGACGAGAGCACAGCAATATTTTGTTTCTGACAGAACAGTAGTCACGACTGACAGAACGAGCAGTAGTAGCAGCAGTTCAGCATCTTTATGATCGCCACAAGAAACGGCCAAGGTTTTTTCGCAGCTGCCTTGAGGGAGAAGTTCGTTTCAACCCCAACCCCAAGAGAACCAGGTTGGCATGCCTATAGAAACACCCTGTCACAATCTCTACCAGAACCATCTATGAACACATCCCTCTTTTTATTACATCATCTACTATTTTCGTCTTCTTTTCCCATCTTCATCTCCATTTTCCATCTCCCTCCGACACGCGCGTTCTGGGCGGCTTATCCGGCTTTTGCCAAGGCTGATATAAGACAACGATACGTAGAAAGTCAGCTGAGCCCCCCAATCTTACTTGCAAGAAGTACCTGGCAAAGGTTGTTTGTATGCCTATTCTTCCGCGTCATCCTCATCATCATCATCATCATCAATCATCGTCATCGCCATCATCATCAGGGCTCAAGCCCACATCCCACATCTTCCGAAGTATTTTTGTCTGCGATCTCGGCATCAACAAATTGGTCGGCGGCCAGAGTGTGTTGTATGTGTGTGTGACAGTGTGAGAGAGAGAAGCAAATCAAAGGTACGTGGCATCCAGTCTCACACACACACACACACACACACACACACTTCATCACAGGGCCAGAAGGCTGCGGCTATCGTATTTCATCTCGTACTCTGACCACTACCTCTTCTACAGTTACCACTTCTACGACTACTGCCCTCCCACCCCTACCACCACTTCTACTAAGGCATCCGATTTTCACTCGGAGTGAGCCTCCTACCTACTATTATAGTACCAAAAGTAAATATCTGTCCCATGTTAGTACTATATACATACATACATACATACATACATACATACATACATAGGTATGTAACCTACTTTAAATAGGCGTCTCAACTGGACCCTGCTGCTACCTAGTATAACTAACGATATAAGCAAATCGATGCCATTTGCGAGCAAGGCAGCCAGATAGATAAGTAGACACCTAAGGTAAGGCAAGGTACCTTAACTTACTACCTGAATTTACCTGACCTTACCTTTTACCGACGTACATGTAGTACCGTACTGTGTTCTGCTGATAACGAGGGAAGAGGACTCTATAGGGATACTACTAACACTATGTAGGTACCACAATCACCCCTACTGTCACTGTTGCCATCATCATCAGTATCACATCGTCGACATCAAAATTTCAGACGTCTCAGAGCTAATTCATGAAATAGGTACATTTAATAATGACTCTTGAGATTGTGAAAGATACGTGTACATGGTACATTGGAGACTTTTGGGGGAAATGTTTGATTAAAAATGGATTATATTACGATCCGAGATCCGACGGAACTGCATTCAATAGATCGAGAGAGAATGCACATCTCTAGAGTAGCAAGGTATGTTCCCTGACAAAAATAACTTCGAAGAATGGAACCACGTTCCATGCCTGTTTTCCAACACGTGTGAATGCTGTCCTTGAACATCCCGGGACCTCTTAAATTCGATACAGCATTTGGCGACGTCTTCTCCGTCTGTAGCATCACACGCGGTGTGCATATCATAGCCTTTCCCTTCTAAGCAGGAACATATTGCGGAAGCAGAATTAGATTACGCCTTCCTCTTGTTCGTGCAGAGCGAGAACAAATTGACCCCAGACACGGCCATGGCTTGCCACATCGGCGGCACATCCGACATAGCGCAGAGAGTAAGGGCTTGGATTACGATAGCGTCGGTAGGGATGCAATCAGCCAATCGGGTTTCGCTGGCACGCTCAGCGGAGTGGACTGCACCAGTGACAGAGTCACAGACTCCATTCACCCTGGAGTTCCAAAGCTCTCTGTTGGTCCTGTCCACCCAGTTCTGTTGCAACTCCTGCAGCGTTCTTCCACATCCAAGAGCCAAGGGTCTTCGACACGTGGGTCGTGTACCCCACCCAGATGAGGTCTCAACCGACACTATCTTGAACACTGACTTGTGCTCAACCCTGTGTCCTGCTGGATGCAGAATACTCTAAGGCCCCGAACTCCACGTATCAAGCGGTGGCGGCACCCTCAGATTATCGCATAGCAACAAGTGCATTCTCGATGCTGTTCGCCACCAGGTCGAACTGATTGATCTTCTGACCAAACACTGAGTTCGTCCCATACGAGCTTCTGCGTGATTGGGGGCTCGGGTTGACAGGAAAGCGAGGTCCCTTGGGCCTGTACGTGTCCGGACTCGTCCTGTCCTTGATTGATGAGTGGCTCAATCGTTGCCTCCTGGCATCGTGGCGAGCGATCACCAGCGTGGAGACTTTTGGTGCCATGCTGATGACTTCGTACTGTCCTTCTTCTTCATCCTTTTCGGCCACGTCGATTTTGGCCAGCGGAGGGCCACGAGAGAGAGAAGGGCTGTTATGCAGAGTGTGTCGTTTCCAGGCACCGTTCTGTCTTTCCGGCAAGATGGTTGGTATGTATGGTGAAGGTGCTGAGCCGTCGCACGAAACATCGGCAGGACTCTGCAGTCGTGACAACGGGCTCGGACTTCGTGCAGACACGGGACTAACACCGCCGAATCGGTCGACATGGCAGCTTGCTCTGTAATTTCGTCCTTGACTGACGCTTTGGGGTGTCCATAGTGCAGTGTCTGAGCGACGTCGGAATCGCGAGTCTGAAGAGTACTCGGTACCTGGAGTGGACCAGGGCTCCTCCTCGATGGGTGAGATAGATCTTGATCCACTACTGTCATCTCCGGCACGTGTGGGCGGCACCACAGATAGCTCAACGGCGCCAAATGGGGGTGAAAGCAACGGAGGAGTAGCAGATTTCATTGTGCGGGAGTCCCCATTCCTCTCAGCAACTAAGTCATTGTTCGTTATGACCGTGGGAGCTGGCAGCCGTTGTGATACTCGACGACTTACTGGCAACTGTGGAGCCTTCATTACAGTTTCTGGTGGCGACGGGAGCGGCGGTGGTTGTTCCTTCGATGATGTCGGAGGCCGACTTGGCCGTAAGGAGGCTTGACTGGTGGACATCAGCACCAGTATGCGTAGAGCAGTTGGCAATGAATGACAAACTCACCTCTTCTTCCGGGAGAAGCCGCCAAACAGCTTCTTGAGGCCTCTTGGCTGATCATCTCGCTTCTGCTGTGTCACTTCACGTCAGCATTGCCATCGGGGTCCTAGTAAGGATAGTAGTGTTGTCGGTGACGTGACCTACCGTGACTTCGTCACTTGGGCGATGACTATACTGCGCGCTCTCGGCCTCACTACTCGCAGTCCTCGACACGCCATTATGTTGTGCGGCTTCTTGCAGAGTCTCAATGGTAGGTGGGGCCCAGCGCTCTTCGTCACCACACACGACCACAAACCAGCCCGGTTTCTCTTCTGGCGCAATCTTGTCACGGAGCTCCATGAGCGCGGACCACTGGTTGCCCGTGACCAGTTTGCCTCTGTATTCGTCGATGTTTATGCCCAACTTCACCTCTTGACACACGTCTGCTACATAGGCGAAAGGCTGGCTGGGGGCATTGCTCTCGGTCGATTCGTCTGCGGGATCGAACTGCTCTACAAAGCGGAGGTTGGGCAAGTGCTGCATCAGGTCGGGATAGAGGGCGTGGAAGTTGTCCAGCATGCACTCGGTGGTGCCAGGCGACACGAGCCACTCGGCAGCTGCATCGTCGAGATTCTGGAGGATAATGTGAATGCGGATCAGCGGGCGGGGCCATTTGAAGCCATGCAGCAAGTATACTGGCATGGTGGGCAGCGACTCGACGCGCGGGAGCGGCGCCCTACGAGCGTGTCGACGAGTCGGGGCGCAGGTAGCTTCGCGGAGGTAAGGTACGGTAGGAAAGAGGATAAGGTATGTCTCGAGGGCAACCTGGACAGGCTGGGGCAGAGCTGGACGCGGCGAGAGGAGAAGGTAGCGGTGGGTGGGACGGAGCCAGGCAGTCTCGAGTGATTGATCGCGTGCGGACTGCCTCTGGGGAGAGCGCTCTTAAGAGGCAGGAAAGCAGGTACTAGTATGTATAGTCGGTCATAGGTGAGGCGGGTAGCACATGAACAGGCCGCACCAGGAAGGGCGCAGAGTTCAGCAACAAGAAGCACAATGAATTAATCATGCAGATAGGCGCATGCGAGGCAAGGTAGAACAAGGTACTACTGCTGGAGAATACATAGGTGTATCTCGGTCCGTGCGAGCCGTGAGATAAGTTGAAGGGTCGAGCATCGCGGGAGGACGTGTGTCGTCCGTCGTGGTGTGGCTGCTGGTGACGGCGATGGGCCTGCTGGGGCCGAATGAGCAGGATGTGTGTGGGAGGATAAGGTATAGCGTTCGATTGGAGTGGTAGACTCCCCGGAGTCCCCCCCACCTCACCTCAGTAGAGCCTATAACGACCTTACTACCCTTTGCACTAACTTCTGCCATTAGCGGACCGGTGCGGTGCGTGCTGTCACTGGCGGAATTTGCTCTGGCCTCCGACTATTTTGAGTGGAGTAGTGGAGGAATGGAGCAGGCACGTCCACTTGCAACTCGCATTACAGTATAGAGTTGGGCCTGTCTCAATCCGTCGTTCACGGCATGCGCGGGGCGAGGCGTCCCTCCACCACTCTACCACACTTGGCACACTACCTCCTATTGCTACTGTACTCTTCCTTCACCTGCATGCACCCGGACCTTGTTGCTTGTCACACTAGCAGCGCCACTAGCGCTACTCTATCGGACGTCATGTTTGAGCGTCACACTCTATACACGACACCCTGTGCGCCTATCGCTCTCGACAAGAGAGTCTACTCGCGACTGACTCCGGCACGCTGATGACTCCAATCTGCGCCTACAGCCCACCTCGTCGCGACCGAAGAGCCTAACGAGAATCGGCCGACCGAGAAGTGCGACTCCGATCGATCGACGACCGGACCTCCCAGCCCCAGGGCCATTGCAATGCCATTGCATCTCCTTGGCAAGAAATCATGGAACGTCTACAACCAAGACAATATTTCCCGTGTGCGCAAGGATGAAGCCGACGCCCAGGCCCGACAAGAAGCCGCCGAGCAGCGCATGCAAGAGGAAGATGCTGCACGTCGGATCGCCCTGCTACGAGGCGAGACCGTACCTCCTCTTGCCGAGTCCCGACCAGATGAGGAAGAGCGCCACCACTGCAACGGTAGAAGTGCTGAAGATGAAGACTACTCCACACGAGATCGCAAACGGAAACGCCGGAATGGCGAAGACGATACCGATCGCGATATCCGCTACGCAAAGCAAGCTCGTGAGGCTGGCTTGAAGGCCCGGGAGCTTCTAGGCCAAGTGAACAAGGGAGCGGAGCGGAGCGCCGAAGCTCCTCTGCAAGATCACGCGGGACATATCCAACTGTTCGCTGCGCCTGACGAGAAGGATATTCGAAAGAACCAGAAGAATGCTGAAGCTGAAGCTGAGAAGGCGAAGAAAAGGAAGAGAGAGGAAGATCTTGTCACGATGAAGTTCAGCAATGCTGCAGGATACAGTAATGGGATGCAAAAACCGTGGTATGCTGCTGCCATCGTGGATAAAACTGCGGACAAGACTGCAGATAAGACTGCTTCCAGGAATGAGATGATGCTGGCCGAACTCAAAGGCAATGATGTCTGGGGCAATGAAGACCCAAGAAGGAAAGAAAGAGAAACGAAGAAGATCGTTTCGAGTGATCCTTTCGCTGCTATGCAGAATGCGCAGAGACAATTGAAGCAAAGTGAAAAGGATAAAGAGAGGTGGCAGAGGAAGCAAAGAGCTGAGCTCGAGCAATTGAGGGCGGATCAGAGAAGGCATAGGACAATTGTCGATGATGCGGATAGTCCCGATGAATTCAGTCTTGATACGCCTTCGCTTGCAGAGGGCCCCGATAGTGGTTCTACCAGGCGTAGAAGTAAGCATCGGCATCATCATCATCGACGACACCATAATCGAGAACGGGACGGGGGAAGCAGACATCGCAGTCGCAGTCGCTCTCGAGAGCGGGATAAGATACGACATCGAAGTCGGTCAAGAGAGCGAGAAGGGCATCGGAGCCACCGCTCTCGACATCACGAGCAGAAAGAAGTAGATAGCGTGAGTTGATAACCCAAATCTTGCCTGGCCCTATGCCATGCCCGTCAACCTTGCTTTCTCGATCGTGACTTTCCACCTTTTGAGCAGCAGCATATCTGTCAGTTTGATCAGAAATATCTATAGGAAATACGTCACACTCAAAAGGACTTGCCGAGGGTCAGGTATCCAAGCAAAGAGAGGACCCACCCGCTTAGGTTTTATCAGACAGATATCTATTCTTATACAAAAGGTCGGATAGGGTAGCTACCTATAGAACTAGTGGTACGTGGCTCACCTTCTTATTTTAGTATCTAGGTCCCTTGAAATATACCTATGCTTTTCTGAACTTGAAACCTGTATACCCTAATCATACTATGCTACCAACTACTAACCTAAACAGAAATCACCTAATTTGTGGTTTATACTTTTTCCTCCAATCCATAAGGTAGGTACACAATGTATTTCTTGGCTAATGAAGAAGTGGTGAGCTCAACTTTAATACCAACATCGAATTAGAAAGTCTTTCTCCTACAAGTCGACTGGGGGAGTGGAAGAACGGGGTGGGATGAGACAGTAGATCACAGTACATGTATGTAGCGCACATGTCGAGGTGGAAGCGCAAATTGCATTGTAATGATGACGATGATCATACAGACTCGGTCAGCTAGGAGGTACTAGGTTATATACCTTACCTGTACCTTGGTAGGTACATGCCATCGAATGCAACCTTGAAGCCACTTACAAAGCGTACCTAAACTTCAAGCCCCGATCCTCTTCTCCATACCCATTATCGGCCTTGCCTTCACGCAACGCTCGCTCCTTCGCTTGTTCACGTCGCTTGAGCAGTAACCACACCAAAGGAACCCCTCCGCACGCAATAGCCTCCATAGCAAGCGAGATCGCATTCCCCTTCAAATAACGCGGACTGTCGCTCGAGGGATAAATCTGACTGCTGACCACGCCACTGAGATTCGCCAAGGAAGCGAACAGCGGTGCGCCCACGGATCGCTTCCAGTCGGGACTCAAGTTATTCAACACCCAGGTGAAAATTAGAGCGTTGTAAGGGTAGATTCCTGCGGCGCAGAGAAACATGGCGAAGAAGCCCAGTGAGGCGGATGGGGTGCCGACCACAATGGCATAGCCAATGACACATGGTATCGGTGCGAGAAATGCGAATAATGCTCGTTTGTTGAGGCGATCCGATAGTGTGGTCCAGGTGATGAGTGAAATCGCCGCGAGCACGTAACATGGTATGGAGAGGTAATTCGGTGCGAGACCCTCGTAGCCGAGGCCTTTGATAATGGTGGGAAGGAACGTCCCGAATCCGAAGAGAGGAATCGAGGAACAGAATAATAAAATTGCTGAGGCGTAGACGAATGGGTCGGTGCAAGCCTGTTTTACGTACTTCCAGTCGAACTCGTCAGATCCAATGTAGAGCGAATTTCGTGCTTTGCGAGCTCGCATGACAGCTCTTTCGGAGGCGTTCAAGAACCAGGCTTCCTCCGCATTCTTGGGTAGAGTAAACCAGACCAAAGTACATATGAAGAGGCTAATCGCACCCTCGACGATCTAGATGATCACGTTAGCCATGAGAAAGCACTTGACTGGGAAGTTTTGATAGGGTATGTATGGTACGCACAAAGAGCCACCTCCAGGCGTCGAGGCCTTTCTGACGACCCATAGATTGTATCCCATATGCAAAAAGGCCACCAACGGCGCCGCTCGCAGCACTGGACATGTAGAGCAAGCTGACTCGCTTGGCCTGATTCCCTCGATCCCAGATGGTGGAAATGATAAACGACAGAGCGGGAAACAGCCCTGCTTCGGCCGCACCGAGGAGTAGTCGAACCACGATGCACTGTGCGTAGTTCTGGACGAATCCGGTGCACAAAGTCACTGTTGACCACAATACTAGTGCTATGCCGAGGACAGTGTTGGCTCCATAACGCTTCACGGCCATGACCCACGGGACTTCGAAGACGACGTAAGTTGCATAGAATACAGTACTGATGTCGTTGAACCTAAGAGACGGTCAATAGATGCAATTCGTCTCGTAGACATGATGTACATTGGAGAAGAGCCTACTGATGACCAGTCAAGTTGAGGCCTTCTTCAAAGCCAAACACTCTCGCGTTGCCTGCGTGTATTTTAGCGCGAGTCCTGTGTAGTGAAGAAGCTCCCGTCCCTTTGATATACCAATATTGCTGCGATCGAGATAGGAGATCAACACCATGATCATGAACTGAGGAAGCACAAAAAAGTCAAACTTGCGCAGCGTACGCCTCTCGAGCTCGACATCGTAGGTGCTGTCGATTTCTGCATCACCTGCCGGAAGAGCCAATTGGCAGGCGATATGCGGTTCAGGCTCTTTCTGAGAAGAGTCCGAGATCATGATGAGCAAGGCAAGCAAACATGTGTATAATTATCGAGGAGCGGTTCGTGTTGAATATTGAAGTCGACGTTGCTGCACAGCACGGCACAGCACAGGAGGTAATATCATACTTGCAATGCGTGGGTCGGCACGGGACAATCATGGTTGGATCTTTTCCTATCATGCAGTTGTGGGCCGCTGGTTGATTGATTGTTACACTAAGGTAGTTGGTATGGTGGCTAGCCATTGTTGAGCTGGCCGAGAGTGGCGATCTCGTAGATAGGCAGCGTGAACGTGTTCACGGGCGCTTGCATAGGCATTCTATTGCATGTGGTTACTCAGGTATCATGATAGAGTGGTAATGTATCGATAACATCTCCTTTGTCTCGCTCGTCTGGCTCTTCGTATCTGCCCTGAGTAAGCAAACCCCGCGTCTCTGCGTTCAAGAGATAGGTAGGTACATGTAGTGTAAGTTGCAGCGGGCGACCCGCACGTAGGTATTTGAGCCGAGTGTATGCCAAGACGGATTGTAATGCTTACTGGTATCTTAGGTAAACAACCTCTCTTGGCGAAAGTCGAAATGCCCTTTCACATCTGCCTCTGCATTGAATCTGATCTTGAAGCCCGTCAACGAAATGAAGAAGAACAAGCGCACATGGCTCCGCAAAGGCAAAGTTCATCTATGCTGCACCGGAAGCACACGATGCAGCGCTCCGGACCTGTTTATGCTGAAGCCATCAGTATGATTACCATCATTGTTGTCATCATGCTTACTTCAGTTGCTGCGGTTCACACAGTAGAAGAGCCTGAAGAGGTGAACTTACTCCGCGACAGCCGTAGCCAGGGTATCCAAACCTGCCTGGCCACCAATACAGCCGCCACACGACTGCAGAACTGCAGGTCATCATTCATAGCACGTGTGCTTTTCCCGGGGGCTCTGTGGCAACGGAGCTAAGGAATGATGCGAGCTGTTTATTGGAACCACTGAACAGTACCAATGTCTTGCTGTCAACAGGATCAGGGAGGCAGGCATGTCCTGTACTAACTTCTGCCATAGTCGAGAACTCGAGATTTTTGCAAATGCGAGTTTGCGGAAAGGTTGATCCTTGCTCACCCGGCCTCAGGGTTGAACGTACGGTTAAAAAGCTCACGGTCACCCATATGGTATATCAGCCTGAATCATGAGCGTCCTGTCAGCTCCTCGTCAACTTTCAGACTTCCGTGTCATTTAAATCTCCGACTCGTATCGTCACTTTACAGAGTTCAGTCAACATCTACCGTCCAAACAATGGCAGTGCCCAGTGAAGACATGCCTCCTACCCGAAGACCGGATCCCATAGGAGTACCGGCGAGAGTATCACGAACTGGCGAAATACAGATATGGCCTGGGAACACCGTCGTCTGTCATCTCCAAGAAGGATCAACGCTATGGCATGGGCTGCATATCGTTCAAGATGCTCTGCGCCAACTCGAGGGACCTGTCCAGAAAATGCACTTGATGCCTCCGGGGTCATGGCATATGACCGTCCTTGATGGCGTCAACGAGGCCGATCGCGAGCCTGGACTGTGGCCTCCTGGCAAGGAACAGCAGCCACTCGACGAGTGCACCCAAGACTTTCTACAGCGACTTAGTCAGCTACCACCACGTCTGAAAGCCGAAGGCCTGGCGCCTCCGTACATGGTGCAGGTTGCTGGTATCGAAGTGCACCCCGGCGGCATTCATCTCAAGATAGAATGTCAAAGCGAAGACGAAGAGAAGCGGATGCGAAGGCTTCGGGATGTTTTGGCGGATACGATTGGGTTTCGCCGACCAACACACGAGGCTTATCAGTGGCACATGGGATTTTGCTACTTAACCAAGTATCTCGACGAGGATGAGCCCGAGGTCCGCCGCGTGGTTTCTGGCGTCGAAGCCGCAGTGCAAATCAAGTTCCAACTGGACGCGTTGGAATTTTGCAAATTCGAGACTTTGCATAAGTTCGATAGACTCCTCTTGCTCGCCTAAAGGTTTGACGCACTCGCGTGATAATGGAAGATGTTGGTTGGAATGATATTGATCTCGGTATATAAGTCCAGTATATCGTACTATGCACATCACGAGCCTCTATTCTCCCCTGTACCTAACCTACTGTACGCTACGCTTTAGGTTTGCCACTACGGTTGCTTGCAAAGAGGGAAGGGGCATATAGGCTAAATGTAGTTGGTTGTCCTTAATATGTCCTACGGTAACAGGCCTGCCCGTTAGTAGTACGGAATGTCTACTAATGATTTTCGCGCGTACGTATGCGCGCGTACGTGCGTAGGAGGTGTGTATACCTATATAATTGTATTCTACCTTTATCTTCTTCTTTTTAGGCTTCTTCTTCTACTTCTTCTCCTTCTTCTCCTTCCTTCTTCCTAGGCAACTCCATCTCTATCTCTATCTCTACCTCCTCCTCCCCCTTATCCTCCTCTTCTCTTTGTTCTTCTCTTCTAAATTTCAGGCAAGGTAGTCCCTAGGTACAGGGAGGCAGTTTTCTAAGGTAGTAACATATTCGATTTAGCGTAATCCACTATAAAGGCTGCGCTAACAGAATACTTCTAGACGGGCCGGCGGGCGCTCCCGGACTAATTTCTTCAGCTAGAGCACTCTAAACTTCACTTCGGAATGGAAGTCCGCCGTTCCGTACCAATAACAACATCACTCAGGTACAGGTCCAGGTACTTCTTGAGGTCTAAACAGCTAGGAGGTAGGCTTGGAGCATAGTAAGATCAATTCGGTACCCTAAACACCTATCACTCATTCTTTTACGGATTTGTTACTTGGTTACCTAGGAACTACTCGCACTAGAATCTGCTGCCGCCGACCGCTTTGGTATCCGTTTGAAAGCCGCCCGTCTGTCTCCACTCTCATCGGTTGAGCGAGGCAGGCATCAGATTGCCAGACCTCTCTGGAAAAAGCCGGGTGAAAAGCTCTTCCAGTTACTTCGCTCCATGATAGGGGCAGAGAAAGTTGAGGTAATTGTCGTAGTCGGCACTCGCCCTGTAATTCGCAAAATCTCCCATGACGTCTATCACGCACTGGTCTGCCCTTTTGTCGCAGAACGCTAACCTGCGAGTCACTTGATCTTGCTGCTGGCTGAATCCCCCAACTCCTTTGTCTACCCTCCAAAACCTACGACCGCCACGTCTGCCAACAGCGAACGTGCAGGCGTCCGGCAGGACAACAACTGACACCTTCTTCCGACCGTTCTTCTCAGCCCAGTCGAAAGCTTGGTTTGCCGCCGCCTCCGTCGGGGGGTTGACATCGTTTCCGTACATGGCACTGACTGATTCCATGAAAGCAGCTCCATTGCCTGAGTGGTCTTTTTGAGCATTGGCCCAGCAGTCTAGGTACTCGCCAACGCTCAGAGTTGTGCCAAACACACGGAGCTTGTCGGTGCCTTTCACGAGGTTCACTTCGTTGATTTCGGGTATGATTTGGATGCCACCCCATCCGTGTGCGCGAGCGTATCGGTAACATGTATCCGCCCCGTTGTAGCCCGTAAATTTGGGATCGATGGCAAGGGTAGCCCAAAACTTGATGCGGACTTGATGTTGCAGTCCCATGCGTCTGATAAGTGCTGCACTCTTATCCGCTATGAATGGGGCTTGAACATCGAGCATGATGGTGAACTGGGCGTTAGCTGGCTTGAGAGTTTCCAACAACTTTTCCAGCGTGACCAGCCCGGGATCCGAGGCGGACTCTCTGTTGACGATGTAGCCTCCCCTTCCATATATCTTCAAGGGCGTGCCAACGAGATCTTCGGCGGGGAGACTCGAGAAGGGGATTGCTTTCGGAGCCTCCCTGGTCTTGAGTGCCACATTCACCCAATTGAGTGTTCCTCCTGCATTGTCCTTTTCTGTTAATGCGTTCAAATTAGGATCGTGGAAGGCGAACAAAACGCCATCTTTCGAGACTCTGATGTCCACCTCCACCCCATTGACACCTCTCATGGCCATTGCATGGACCATGGCATCAAGACTGTTTTCCGCGGTGTTATAGACGGTTTGTTGGTCATGGAACACACCCCGATGAGCGATCAGCTCCCACGAAATAGCCGATTGGGTCAGTGCAAGGAGCGCTACCCCAATCCAATGCATGTTCTTCTTGATAGATGGGGTCAACATGATGGTAAGCCTCGACTCCCCAAAGTCTCTGGTGCAAACGATGTCTGAATAAGTGTCTTGCTTGGCTCTCCGGTGTGGGATGCGTGTCTGGAGAAGGCATTTGAACGGCCGAAGCAGTCCTCTTTTATAGATTTTCCCATCGCGAGGAGGTTGTCGTCAGGGTAGAAAAAGGCAAAGCGTGAGGCTACGCAAGATCGTAATAACAAAGGGTCGAACCAGTCAGATGTAGTATACTTGGACCAACGTCGACGTGGATGCGGGAGGTAGAACTCTGAGGGCAAATTGGCTCCTGGGGAAGACGATCCAGTACGGCGCCTACGAAGAAGCACGTGGGCGCAGGCCATGAACAAGCTTGCCTGACTATTACGAGGCCGCTGTCGATTCTGTTCAAGGCGATGCCTTGTAGGCCAAGATGCCGCGGTTCGGTTGTGTTGAGTGTTTCGGCTGTGTTGAGTGCTTCGGCGTAGAATTAGGTTTTCGGCGAAGCCCTAGGTACAGTAGAGAGGGAGAAACGGGGTTACGAAAAAGGGAAAGGGAACCATGTATATGCAGTGGTCTCTCGCTGTCAGTCGCTGTCATACAGTCGATTATAAGCTGGAACTTTTTAAGCAGATTAACTCCTGTTAACTACATAGAGACTAGAGTAGGTCTATAGGTACTCTATACATAGGTATGAAAAGTCTTATGGTACATGTTGTCAGACTGTCAGTCGAATAGGTGCCGACATGTAATATACATTCCAAGTTTCCACTACCTAATAGGAATTACTGACTTACTCTCCGCACACGTCAGAAATACCTGCCCTAAGCAGCTGGGCAGACACTATAGCTTCGCTCAGAGACTCGTATTTTGACGACAGTCCATCTGAACGAACTGAGTACACCATGTGCTCTGCACTGCCTGTCATCAAGACGCTGGAAACACTGCCTACGCACGCAGCTTCGCACATGTCGATCGTGTCAAATATCCGCAAGGTCGCTGGAGCCAGTCATTCGGACATGTGGGACATGGCCATGCTGTCAGCAATCGAGAGTCGTCTTCGCAGCTCTCGGAACATGAAGGTCGTTGGAGGAAGGTCGTGTACGGTTAGACGACTTGTATTGGTTAGACACGAACACTACACTACTACCATGCCACCCCATCAGACCGATGACCGTATGCACGAGCATGATTTTGGGCGTCTGAATGTTTCACTGGGCTGGTTGGTCTACAACAACAACAACCACAACAGCAACACCCTTGGCGTTGGTTTCTGCACTCGACCATCATTCCGGCTCTACCGAAGCCCATGACATCGTCACAACCGCGGTTTGAAAATTAAATCGCACCGATCATGCCGTGATCGATAACCGTTCGCCTCGAACGGCTCCATCTTGGCAGGCGTTGTCTCTGGTGCAACCTCAATATCGAACGCGAGCAGCGTGCTGTTGAGTATCATCTTCATCTGATACAGCGCCATGTTACCACCGGGACATCTTCGTGCTCCAACGCCAAAGGGCACGAGATATCGACGCCGCTCGGCCCTCATCTCTGCATCCAACCATCGGGTCGGGTCGTATATATCAGCGTTGGGAAAGAGATGGGGCTGCTGCCGGCTCATGGACAGAGACTGCGTTGTCACTACCGTGCCTTGGGGTAGGAAGTGGCCAAGTACCTCTAGACCACCTGCTGGCACTAGACGGCTTCCCGTCAATGCCACTGGGGGTCGGAAGCGCAATCCTTCCTGAATGCAGGCGTCAAGAAGTTTGAGTGAGTCCAGATCATCTTGATCAGGATTGTTGACGAGCTCTTGGTACAGTTGCTCAAGCAGGTGCGGAGCCTTGGCGAGCTCGTAGTAGATAAAAGCGAGCGCTGATGATGTCGTCTCTGTCGCTGCCAAGATTTGTCCAGCAATTTCGGCACTCAGCTCATCTTTTGTCCACGCTTGCACGGGATACTTGGCGTCTGTATCAGTACAGAGGCTGTAGAAGTTCTTCTCCGCTGTCCCTGGTCGCTGCTTCTCGTAGGCCTGAGCTTGCTCTTGGACTTCTGCTCCCAGATCGAAGAGCTTGTCGCTGGACTGCACCCGAAACCGAGCGTGGTTGAAGGGCCCATATTTGAGCCAACCGAAAGTCCACTCGGGGAGGCAGAGTCGCCACACTACAAGAAAGTTATATTCTCCAACGACATCAGGAAAGTCAGCGCCATCGAGGTCGACACCAGGTCCTCCGATCAGGGGCTGTGTGTTCTTGAGTGTGCAGATGCGGAGATGGCGAACGATATCTTCGGATCTAAAGCCTTGGGACCGACCCAATTCATTGACCATATGTCCGATGTTCTTGGAAAAGGTTGAATGCCACACCTTGAGGTTGTTGGTCGTGGACGCAATCATGACCGGGTGTCGGCGCTGTCTGGCAACGCTATGCTCGGGATATGTCACCGTCCAGTCGTGTCCACCCACACGCAGAGCCCGAATGGCCTTGGGGGAAGTGTCAAGATCCTTCCGCGCGAAAATCTTCTCGACTGCCTCTCGATCATTCAGGAGCACCATGTTCGGGCTGATTCGCACAATGGAACCATAGCGAGTGAGCAGGTCGTCCGCTTGGAGAGACAAACGACCATGCCATCGTTGCCATCTGATCCATGCAGTAGTTGCAGCTGGCAGCCACGGCCCGGGAATCGTTCTCAAGGGGTGGATGTGAGCGTTGTATACCATCTTGCCCAACTGTATGCCGACACAAATTCCCACCAGTACCATGATGAGGGTACCCCATTGGCAGCTCGACAAAGCTAGGTCCGCCATGTAGCTATGGATCGTCATCGTCTCCTTGATGTTCGAGGAGATCTAGGGCACAGGAGTTGTAGTTGGTGTGCAGAAAGAGAGGTACAGCAGAGGACTGTCAGTGGTTTGCAGAAGGTATACTGCAACCAAGATGAACCGACAGGACCAATCCTTCTATACTTGAGCGAGTCGCAGGCTCGCAGGCTCGCAGTCTCGACGCCGATCGTCGCCAACTGAGTCTCGCCACCTCATCCATGCGAAATCCCAAGTCCCCATGAGGCCTAAGGTGATAGTGCTGGGCAGCACGAACGCCGCACCATCAGTCACGGGGGAACCGCTCGATGTACACCGTTCGGTCGATCTAAAACAAGCCATACTGGTGTGCTTCCAGGTTTATTCCTTGTTGAAAAGTCGACGACAACTGCTGGCTAGAGCTATCACTTTGCCTTCGGACATAGCCCAATCCCATAAACCTGGTATGCGTGAACGACTTCCCAGCTTAGCCTCGTTGAGCTCACATTACTGATCGCCACTGAGCTATAAATCGATGGAATTGGGGGCCATGTACCCTCCGAGAGGCCTTCCCAGGTAGGTACAAGTCGGAGTTCAGTCAGACAAGGCTCGTTTGCCCACTGCGCGCGATGCCAAGGCGAGAGAGTGAGTCCAGGTTGTCCCATTGCCACTGAGGTATGGTAGGTCTGCTGCGTCGGCTCTTCTCTAGTTATCGCCCAAGGTGGAGACTCTACAGGCATGGTTGGAAACGTCTCGTGCATCTTCTGCCTAGCCAGTAGGAGGAAGCCGATGAAAGAGTTCTGTATAGAAGACGCTAGAGTTGTCACAAATACAATCGCTCCATGTCATCCCACGACTTGGTAGGTAGGGTTCCGGGGACTATCGGCAGGAGGTTGCATTCGTTCGCTTCGTCATAATTGGACAAGCCACGCGTCTGTACCTACCATCTCAGCAGTTATTATCGAATATGCGATTTCTTGATTGAGCGTGCTATACACAGTTTCCTCTCTTGGACCCCATTAGAGACCACCGTTAAATCCCGGCGAACGTTCGGTCGGCATTCGGCGTCTCCGAAATCGTCACTATTTGCAGGGGCTTGGCATTTCGGTATTTCCGATATCGACAACATTCACGGTATCGTCGCGACGTCGTCAGCTGCCTTTGAGACGCACTTTCAGCACAAAGCTAGATTCTCGATAGACCGGGCTTTGAAGGATGGAAAAACAAGGAGGGTTAGTCTTGATCCAATAACAACTAGGAGGTACAGCAATCAGACCGAGGCAAATCCGGCGAAGCTGCGGCGGCGAGGTCGACCTCTCGCGGATCATCATTCCCTCCTGCTAGGAGATAAGTCTTGATCCGACACCAATTAAAGCTGTTAAGAAGTCAGACCTAGGTAGACAAGCTCATCGATGCATATCGGTCCCGATATCTCGCGAGCCAGTTTTGCCATCTACTTCCAAGATTCAAAAAATACCATGGTTGTCAGGATCCTCTGCAGGCTGATTCCTGTCGACACTGCCACTGACGACTTCTCCGCTGCGCTGGCGACAGTCTGCGCGATCGATACTCGGTGCGCATAGGTTGTTAGTATTAGCGACTCCAGGAGGACCTTCTCTTGCCTACTGCCGGCTTTTCTCATTTTCTCACTATGATACGAACCACCCTGTACCAAAGTAACCAAGTGGGCCGGTCTAGCAGAAGCCGTTGCCTGAGGTGGTGGCTTGCCAGATATTAGCCGATTCTGTTTCGACAAGCAAGTTGGAACGGTACCTATAAAGTACAGTATAAAGATACCTACATAGTGGAATTGCACGGGGGAAGTCGGTGAAGGCTGTAGATTTGTATTGTAGTCAGTACATGTACCTCCTAGCGCGATGCTTGATCTGAAGCTCCCTAGAAGCCTCGTCGGATGATGCTCCTTCTGCCAATCAAGAAGCGGCGCTATCGACTTCCGGAAGCATCAAGTTCCCTGTAAAAGACTCTTGATTTGGGCGATTTGGGCTTCAAAAGTCTTCAACAGTCTTCAACTCATGTTCACGAAAGGGTTCACGCTACCAACGGGAACGGGGCTTCCGTTAGGGCCATCATGCCATGTCTTTTGATGACCCCGGGAACGGAAGTCCTCGCCGCCATGCCGTAGGGCTCAGGCCAAAGGCACCTTGTAGCGAGAGTAGGAATCTCCATCTCTATCACCATCACCAACTCCATCACCATCACCAACACCATCACCATCACCATCACCAACTCCATCACCATCTCCAACTCCATCACCATCACCATCTCCATCTCCATCTCCATATCTCCATCTCTCCATCTCGCATAGTGGAACATGTCAGGAGTGATACAGCGCCATTCCACGCTCCATCATGTACGCTGCGTGTCGTCACCTTGTGCTCAAGGACGCACAACATAAATTAGTAAGGCACAAACAACATTGAAGGTGCCTAAGGTGACCACCTACACGAGTACAAGGTAGGCGCTGTAGACACCATCTCACTTCACTTCTCCTTCCCACCCCCTACAACTTGATAATATCAGGTAGGTACAGGTACCCTAACCACTTCTACCCCCTACCACGACCACGATGGCAGAACCTGCGCCACCCGCGCCATCACAAAAAGTCCCGCCACCAAAAGGGCCACCAGAGCCGTTGATGGCAGAGACACCCATCATCATCCTCCCCAAAGCAGAAAATGCCTCGTCCTTTGCCTCCCAGACTTCCCCACTGGGTCACGATGCCGATGAATCCATTGTTGACCTGGGTTGGCACGAGAACCCAGAGAACGTCGAGCATTTGATTGACGGCATCTCTAATGAAGATGTCTTCACTCTGGTTCGAAGATTCAACAAGGTCGTATGGTATTTGAAGGATGCCCCATCTCCGGCCGTGAAAGCCGGGGGGCTCGACCTAGCAGTGGCACCAGATCAAGAATTTGCTCCAAACAAGATGCGTGCTCAGATGGAGCGGCTTTATATCAGCGTCGTAGGTGCTTCTGACTCCAAAGGGGCAACGGGCAGCCTCAACTAATCGATCTCCAGTTGGTGCGAGCCCTAGCCACCGTGAAGCATATCGCACGACTTCGGTCCTGGAACGAGAAAATGCGAACAGGTGCATTCTGCTTCGTAAGCATACCTGGTCATCTTGTGCACGCTCAGGCTGACAAGTTGCATATGTAGCTATACTTTGGCTTATGGGCATTGGACTTGCTTGTATGTGGCGTGTTGATCACTACACTCGCACTCATTGTGTCGCCACGAGTTCGGGACGTGTTATTTCCCACGGCACCTATCGCCCTTGTTGACAGCATATCCGGCGGATTGACTCAACCAAACTCTGGTTTACTTGGATCTCACGACTCCGTCACAGGTGCACCGGAGAACATGCCGGGTGAAGCTGTGGAGTCTGAAGCCGCCAATTTCGTGACTGCACTCGCTAGTATCGGCACCAATCTGATGACTGGGGAGGATCCGGCTGGAGAGCCCAATCCTCCCGGGCAAGGTACGGGTGGTTTCTCAAAAGCCACACCAGATGAGGTACGACCAGAAACTGCCCACGGCAATGGAGAGACATTCGCTGACCCATGAAATGAATATGTAGGTCACCACGATGATAGCATCCGCAAAAGACAAGGCAGAAGGTGTGAAAGCGCCTTCGCAGGACAAGACCAAAGTGCCTATGGGAACCATCATGTGGTCGAAAGTGCGACCAGCAATGCACCTACTCACCTGTACCTGCGACATTGTAGAAAAGTTTGCAAAGTCAGTGGAAATTGCTTTTAGAATCTCCATTTGGTGCTGACTATTGTAGTGCATTGAACCCCAAGCCACCTTTTCATCCAAATGCGCATCGCCTCCGACTCGCAAGTGCTCTTGCTCCAATTGTCGCAGTATCGCCATTTGTGAAACGAGATCTGGTGTTCCATGCTGCTTCCTTCGTCTTCGGTGTGCTCCTTTTCGGCAAGCCTGCAATGAGCTCAGCATCTGAGTGGATCAATCAACGATACCCCGAATGGTCAGAGAAGATAGACATCAACAAGTAGGTGGTGGCATTCGTTCATACTTGATGAAATAAACTAATACTCGATAGTACTCTACTTTATGGAGTGCCCACAAATCCCCAACTAGCTCTCATGCTGCTTCGAGAAGGTGAGAAGAGAAAGACACCTCTACCGCCGCCGCCTCGCATGGCAAAAGCACCAGCGAAAACAGCGCTGCCCCTCGACAAGAGCATAATCAATGCAACTGCTGGTGACCAACCACTGGGCGCCTCTGGACTCGAGCTGGCAGAGGCTGCCGCACCAAATGATGATACTCTCGACGATGCTGGCGGAGATGATGTTGAGGTTACGAAGCGCGAGGGGAGCAAAGAGCCTCACAAGCTTTTGCGCTTCATCAAAGGAGCTGCCAGAACCAGCGTCAAAGGGGCTGTGGCCCTTGACAAGGTGCGAGCCAAGCTGGGTCATGATGGCGCGCGTAACCGCGCCGGTGTTGTTCCCAGCAAACGCCAGAACGCAATCAGTGGGCCATATCAGTTTGACGCACGCTACCTAGGCGAGAAAGGGTTTCTCTACATTGACACGAACGCGGTGGTCCCCTTTCTAGCATTCAACAAACTTTCCGCAAAGACAAGCGGTGGCGTGAGTGCAAGCCCTCCACTGCAGCTGCAACCGGTCTGGACGATGCCCATATCGGACATCCAAGAGATACGAAAGCACTCGGGCTATGGCTTCAAGTCGAAGCTGGCAGCAGGCTGGGCTCTAGACCAGGAAATTAGCGACGCAATCGGCCTGCAAGATCGGCTCGGCAATAAGTTTGCAGTCACAGCCATCCCACAACGCGACGCAGTGTTCAATCGTTTGATCGCCATTGGTGACCAGAAGTGGGAGATGTGGTAAGGCATTGAGATAGATGGCGTTGGTCGATGTTTCGCGAGAGGCCTTTTTCCGCCGACGACCATCCCCACGCGCGCTCGAAGAAATGGTACTACCTAAGTATATGCAGACTTAGTAGTAGTAGTTGATAGTATTGATAAGGATGCACCTTACTTATCTTCTTATTTTTTCTCTCGAAAAGGATATGATCTCCGCAGCGAAGCTTGTTACCTTACCTACTTTAGGCATAAAGCAATATGGATAGATACCTAGATGGATGGTCATGGGCACCTACTACATATATCCTGAGGTATAGTATGAATGAATGATATTGGTGCGTTCAAGAGAAGAGTCTGTCTCTCTCCTCTCTTGACAGACTGAAGCTGAGACTTGTACCTATGTAGAGGAACCACGGTCGCCGCTGAAGGTATACTTGTATCCTCATCACAGGACTGTACGTAATGTAGATACCCGATGATTGAAAGTCATATAGCATAACGTAGATCGATACCAATAAATGAGTGTCTTGCAAAGCACGACTCATAGCCAAAACATACCAGTCTCCAACTCTCGCCGAAACAAGAAGCGATATCTACAATGTTCGTTCTATTCCATCCATCCTTTAACCCTGCCAGGCGATATCGGAAGGAGAAACGAAACGTTTTTAACCCGCTTTGTGGTTGGTTGGTTGGTTGGTTGATGTTCCACGTCCCTGAAGAAACGAGCTCATCTTCCATGCTCTACTGCTCTACCAGTCGCATCCCTCGGCTTAATCTTGCATCGGGACATGCACTCTGCCGAGCCCCAATTTGCGCCGGTGCCCGGAGGTAAAGCGTGCGACGAAGTTTGGTCGTTGACGATGTTGCCGCCAAAGGCTGCATTCACCCATGCGGGCGCGAAGCCATTGAGGAAAATTTGGTTGATGTTCATGGTTCCGGCATCTTCGTGATTGAGCGCCGAGACGAGTTGAGCTGGCTTACATGCTGCATGGCCGTCAGTCGGCAAAGTATCGCAGGTGCGCTGTGAATGCGGACTTACCGTTGTTGGCCATCATGTGCATACTGCCGGCGGGAAAGATGGTCGCTTGGCCGGGAGTTAGGGATGTCACGATCGTGTGAGCTCCGTTCTCTTCTTGCATCCAGGTTGTGGTGTTGCCCAGTACAGCTACGACCCAGTTGGCGGCGCGAGGATGGTAGTGTGGTGGCAACATGGCGCATGGGCCGAGATTGACCGTGGCTACTGTTGGGTAGTCAGCACCTCATGTCTGGTTCAGTATCATCATGGTGCTCCAACGAACAGGTGAGTCCGTTCCCGTGCGCAGCTGGGAATGTCGCAGCGTTCATGTTCGTCACGCCGCCGGGCGCCCAGTTGTAGGTGGACTTCTGGAGGTTGAAGTCGAACGTCCAGTCGGCGTTACTTGGTAGCAGCGCCAGTCGGTCGAGCTGAGTGGCAGCCGTCGTCAGTTTCGCAATTCGTTCGGGATCTTTGGTTATGTCGACGGCAGACACTTTCAGCCATAGAAGCGCAAGAAGGAGGCTGAGGCCCATTCCAGAGATTCGGAACATGATGGTTTGCAGAAGAGCCCAGAAGTGTGGTCGATGCCTTGCTGTACACCTTCAGGTCTTTTGGTGCTGTGTAGCACTACAGTATCGAGTAACAGCCCGAGGAGAGCCAGAAAGGAGATGGGGGACCAGATCTGTTGTGAGTGTACGCGTTCAGGGCTTGATGGGATGGCAGGATCTTTCAAAGTAGATATAGAGGCCAAGACTATGACCCGGGAGGGGGGATACTTTTATATATCCTGCGCTGTGCTCACCAGACGGGGATACGGCACATGGTCGAAGAGAGGAGGCGCTACCATGCAACGTGCGATGATCGCTTGCCCTGGCATCTTGGACGATAGCTCTGCTACTACGTAGTCCGTGATTGCGAAGCGAAAGCCGTCAGGATTTCGCATGAACTAGATCCTACTGTCAATAGCGCGCAAATTCTCGGTGCCGGTCTGTTGAGCAAGATATTAGCTCGCTTCCCAGCTACGTATGTTGCGGGACAGCAATGATCTAGGACCGTGATGCTTGTGTAGCTGATGGCCTTTGTACTGTACGTAAGAGGCACATCCAGCACCGGAATGGCATGCTTCACAGCCTGCTCTCGCGCATCCCTGCCTTTTGCCATGTCGAGACCATCGCATTTCAATGTCGAGTCTCGACAACATGCCTCTGATTCTCAGACCATCACTAAGCAACGGATATGATGCTGGAAATTGTGTCGACGTTGCTGACTCGTCAGTATAGTCGTTATTTACTACCGTGGCGCTGAGTACAGCAGGACGTGCTCTGGTCACACGGCAGTCGCCAATACCAACAAATTCACCGTTCGTATGGTCCTGCAACATGTGGCGTTCAAGTGGTCCAGTCTGTGCGGCCCATCAAGAGATATGCCCTATGAACGAGATGTCCTTTGTAGGGGTTACTTGGGGTAGGAAGCGAGAAGGCTGTACCGCTCTAGCGGTCGCGCCCTTGATTCGTATAAGGCCAGCAAATCTCAACCACCGGCTGACCGCCAGAACACGATTTAGCGGGCTATTGGATCTTCGAACGGCGCATCTTAGGCACCGCATCTCACATCGTCTTCGACGAGCGCCATCGGTTCCTGGAGGCTTATGCAGGCTGCAGCTTCGCCCGCGCGAGTTTGCCACTAGTTTAACATTGACAGCTGCCGACGCATGCTTATGCCAGTTCCAGGTCTTCATTGTCCTGCGAAGTATGGAACACTTGCTGAGCACTGAATACTTATATGAGGCTTTATGTTTGAGAACAAGCGAGCGGACTTGCTAGTGGCGCTGAATCGATGTTCGACTTTGCGTATGCTGGATTGACGGCTTGATATGTTTGGCAAAGGTTTGCACGCACGCCTCGTGACTTGGCGAACTGTCAGCAGCACCTAGACTCTGATGGATGTGCATCACTGTTATGCGTGAAATGGCACAGCGTCTCGCGAACATGTTGCCGCTGCCGCTGTGTCTGTACAGAATATCAGCCTCGCCCGAGCATTTCCGTCGAGCTTGATGGCTTCCCAGTCCAGCACTTTTGTGAGACCACACCACGCGACTGCACCGAGTGACACGAATGTATTCGATAGCGCTCTTTGCATCATACCGACTGGATGTGAGCATCGCTTGGAATCGCACTTGTGCCAAGGTCCAACTCGGCCAAATGATGGTGCGCTTGTTATTCCTCGACCACGACAGACAGGAGAAGTCAGTCCCTTGGAGGCATTGGCTGAGGAATTCCAGTCGTTGGAGGGTGCAGACGGGAGAAAGGGAAGCGTGGTCTCTCTCTCAACCTGATGGCGCTGAAGGAGGATGGAACACGATGGAGACGCGACGCGACTTCCGGGCGGGATGAAGTGCTTCAAGTGATTTGTGGGAAATTGGGAATCCATTTTGTTTGATAACGTAATCATCACCGCTTTTCGTATTCGGCATAAATACCTGGTATTCAACGCCATCGCTTCATGCTTGCACGTAGCATCATAATCGCATCGCTCCATGATTCATATCATCATGCTACTACCGCTGCCCGCCCATCGCAATCAATCATGTCTCGTGTATGTGCTGTTTTGCCGCCACTTCTGCCCATATCTCATGATAAACACGGGGATTGGGGCGAGACTCAAGCTCAAGGCTGCCAGAACGGTGAAGGCCAGACCATAGCCAATCCTCTCCACCAGCGGTTCCGTCAGCAGAGGCAGGAATGTCCCCACCAGACACCGGGTAACGATCACAGCTGTCATTGCAGACGCCGAGTACATTCCAAACGCATCCACAATGTACGCCGTCAACGGCAAGAAGCCAAGCATCAAAGATGCTCCCATCAACGCAACCGATACGAGCATCACCGGAAGTGGTAGTTGAGCTTCAGCTGTCCAGCCATACATTGCCACCACCAGTGGGAGGAGGAATCCGCCGGCGATGACCAGTGGCAGCCGATATTCCGGATGTCCCACTCCTTTTCCATGCGTGTCGCGTAGGCGAATGTAAATCCTGTCGAGTGTCTGGTTGCAGAGAGTGACCGTCACGACTGATCCGGCGCTGAACGAGATGAATGCTGCTCCGGTGGCAGCCGGTGACAGACCATAGATGCTTCCCAGAATGTCGGGAAGAGTCGTGCTCATCACGTAAAAGTACGTGAACACCACGGAGCCGAAGATGGACATTGCCTGAAGAACGCCACTGCCAAAGAACACCACGATAGGCCGCATGACTTGTTTCCAGACCGACGCATTCTCCATTTCGCCTTGGACTTCATATACCGTCCGAAGCTTCGTGTTGCCGGTTTCCTTTCGCAGTCTTGCTGCACGCATACTCAGGATTTTTACTCGGAATGTCTCTCGAAACAATAGCAGGAAGGTGACTTCACAAAACAAAGCCAGTGCAGCGGACACCCAGAGTACCGTGCGCCAGCCAAGTCCCTCAGCGATATAACCTGCAAGTGCGGGACCGAGGGCGCCTCCCACTAGAGGCGCAAGCTGAACCAGGCTCATTGCTGTCCCACGCTGCTCAGATATGAACATATCACCAACAATAGCGGGGTTAAGCACGTTGGAGGCCACAGCCAATCCGGTCAGGAATCTCGCCGCAATCAGTACATGCGCACTAGGTGCCAGAGCCGCGAGCACTGTGGCAGCAATGAAGAGGACGTTCGCTGCGTTCATCACAGGATATCTTCCAAACGCCTCTGACAGAGGTGCAATCAACAACGGGCCTGCAGCTTCCCCCAGTTCCCATATCGTGACTAACAGTACGCTGGCGTTCTTGTCTGCTTCGTCCTCCAGATCACGCACGATGCTCCCCGCCACAGGAACCAAGCTGATGCAAGTAAAGGTTACTGTGAACGCAGTCAAGGCCAGTAGGGATACAGCGCTCCACTTGTAAGTTGCCGACCAGGTATACGGGTCGTCCACATCTCCAGCAGGGTCAAAGTCGATGATATTCTTGCCTTTCGCATTATGGTCGCCGTCGGCAGTGTCAACACTGTTGTTCACGAGAAGTGGCGAGGACTCATCTGCAATTGCGCCCGCCATCTGGTCGCGTGCTTGTGCGAGTTCGCAAGGAATAAGAAAGTTGTTGCCAATCGTGTTGTATGAAGCGCAGACGTGGCGTGGAAAAAGATTTGGGCATTGGAAATCAGCTACAAGCCAAGGGCGCGAAAGACTTTTGGTGGGAGGGTTCAGTTCGGTGGAACCTGCATTTCGCCTAACGTCTTCGATGGTGGAGTCGCTAGCTCGCGTAGTCGGTACAATTTAGCGTGCTGCCGGCACAAGTCACCAACTTCACCCAGAAGACGTTAATTTGGTGGAATTTGCTGATCAATGCGCTTCCGGTTCTTCCTGTTGGCACCGGGTCGAATGAGTACTCTCCTATGTCTACAGATGGCGCGATTGTTATGCTGCAGTATATCTGCAAGCTGGAGAGACCTTGATGGAAAGATGTATAGCGAGACCGTTGTATTGTGATTGATCAAAGAAGACTTCTGCTGGAATGTGTATACGGCCAAGTTCGAAGCCGAACAAAGCATCATTCCGACTTCTTTGTGGCTCCAACGTTCATCAAAGTTTCCATGGCGGCATTCGTCAATGTTTTCGTGCAGTAGACAGTCGTGCAGTAGACAGAGACTTGCGAGAGCACAGCAGGCCAGTTTTGCTCGTCAATGGTATTCCGTGGTCCAGCTCTTGCGTATGCCGAAAGACTTGGCTTGGTGCGAAACTCGGTATGTCGAAGAGCTGGCTTCGGGCGCCGAAGTTGGCTGTCTACTGGTGAGTCGCCAGATGTCGCTGGTTCGTGCTGGCGTATATAACCTCGAGCGAGGTATGTCGGTATTGAGGACCTGTGGTGATGGAACTGGGCAGCTCACTCGAGCTGGCTGGCGCTCGATCATAGCGGCTAGGTGGCCAGAAGAAGCTCGTTGTGCATGACTTGTCGTACACCTGGGTCATTTGACTAAGCTGTTGGAGATACTGCCGATAATTGCTGAAATGCCCTCACGCTCGCGTGCGATTGAAAGCATAATCATTCGCCCTGGGCATGCTCAGTCTTCGCCACTCAAGCATCTCTAACTGGAGTCTCCTGCTACCTCCTACCGAGGAGAAGTTGCCCTCGCTTGGAGTTCGATCTCATCGCTGGCTGTTCATCCTTTGAGCTGCCAAACTGAAGATTGCTATGGACGACATGAATAGGACCAGATTGTAGAAAGCATTTCGAGAATATGCACTTTCTTCTGCTTCTGTTCGTGCTTCAACAAACAATCGCCTTAGGTTGGGCAAGTTTGAAGGCTGTGAACAAATTAGCATACGTCGAGTGCATTTGCTGAATCAGCTGACCATTGTAGAGTGCTCCACGTCGCTCGAGCCGAAATTCCTTTGTACCTTATTGATGGAAGTGGTGAGGTTGATGTAAGAAGTTGAAGTAGAAGGGGTGTACGGGCTGTTCTAGTGTCCAACGGAAGGTTTTGGCGGCCAGAACTTGAGGTCCCACCACGAAGGCACCCGTGGACCTCCCCTAGAATAATCACAAACACGGACAGACATCGCAGCCGTCACAGACATCACTTCTCGCACATCCCACCCACATACCCGACGACCTCTATCACGACGATCCCGCCCTTTCCAACGTCCTTCACGCGGTCCCGCCGAGTTGAGGACTGCCCGAGCCCGAGTAGCAGATAATCGAAGTGCTTTGACGGGGACACGTCAATAACTTACCTGGTATAGGACGAACTTACGAAGGAAGACCGCCCGCCTCACACTTTCCATCTCGCGTTGTATGGCGCGCACCTAGGGTAGACCTAGTGGAACTACCTACCTGCCTACATACCTCCCTTAGCCAGTGAACAACCTCACCTGGCGTGCACGACGCCAGACGCAGCGCATCATGGCAGTCAACAGGCTGCGCAATGCGCTGGGCACTGCGAGAAAAGGCGAAACGTTCGAGTTGCGAGCCGGGCTGGTCTCTCAGTATGCCTGGGAGCGCAAGGAGTCGATTCAAAAGACCATCATGTCTATGACGCTGGGCAAGGACGTGTCGGCGTTGTTCCCCGATGTGCTCAAGAATATCGCTACGCCGGACCTGGATCAGAAGAAGCTGGTCTACCTCTATCTCATGAACTATGCCAAATCACATCCCGATCTGTGCATTCTGGCCGTGAATACATTCGTCCAGGACTCTGAAGACCCTAATCCGCTCGTGAGAGCACTGGCGATACGAACAATGGGCTGCATTCGAGTGGACAAGATGGTGGATTACATGGAGGAGCCGCTGCGGAAGACCCTCAAGGACGAGTCACCATATGTGCGGAAAACAGCAGCGCTGTGTGTGGCCAAGCTCTTTGACCTCAACCCGAGCTTGTGCATAGAGAATGGCTTCTTGGAGACCCTGCAAGAGATGATCGCGGACAGCAACCCGATGGTGGTGGCCAACTCAGTTACTGCTCTGGCAGAAATCACCGAAGCTGCTCCCGAAACCAATGCACTGGTGGTGACAGCACGGACTCTCAAGAAACTGCTTCTTGCTCTTAATGAGTGCACGGAATGGGGACGTATCACGATTCTGGAAACGTTGGCCAACTACAAACCCCAGGATGCCAAAGAGGCCGAGCATGTTTGCGAACGAGTAGTGCCGCAGTTTCAGCACGTCAACCCGTCTGTTGTTCTCGCAGCTGTCAAAGCCGTCTTCCTACACATGCAATACATTGAGAATGCCGCCTTACATGCCACGTACCTGAAGAAGATGTCACCACCTCTGGTAACCCTGATCTCCAGTCAGCCTGAAGTGCAATACGTGGCGCTGCGTAATATTGATCTGCTACTGCAAAAACAACCCGAGCTTCTTGAGAAGGAAATGCGAGTCTTCTTTTGCAAATACAATGACCCACCTTACCTCAAATTACAGAAGTTGGAGGTCATGGTACGAATAGCAAATTCCAGCAATGTGGACCAATTGCTCGCCGAATTGAAGGAGTACGCCGTCGAGGTTGACGTCGATTTCGTGCGAAAAGCAGTTCGTGCGATAGGCCAGGTTGCAATCAAAATTGAGGAATGTGCAGAAAATGCCGTCAACGTCCTGCTCGAGCTCATTAACACCAAGGTCGGCTACGTTGTGCAAGAAGTGATAGTTGTCATCAAGGATATCTTCCGCAAATACCCAGGATACGAAGGCATCATCCCTACGCTGTGTCAATGTATTGACGACCTAGACGACCCAAAGGCGCGAGGAAGCTTGATCTGGATTGTTGGCGAATATGCCGAGAAAATCTCCAATGCTGGTGACATTTTGGAAGGGTTCGTGGAAGATTTCAATGAGGAGTTTGCACAGGTAAGAATACACGCAAAGTACACATGACGGCGTTGCTAACATTCTTTCTAGACACAACTCCAGATCTTGACTGCTGTCGTCAAGCTCTTCTTGAAGAAGCCAGATCAGGCGCAAGGATTGGTGCAGAAGGTCCTACAAGCAGCAACAGCAGAAAATGATAACCCCGATGTGCGCGACAGAGCCTACATCTATTGGCGGCTGCTTTCATCGGATCCTCAGATCGCTAAGAATATTGTGCTTGCACAAAGGCCCCAGATCACATCGACGATACCGAAACTTCCAGGCCCATTACTCGAACAGCTACTTCCGAACTTATCAACACTCGCATCAGTCTATCACAAACCACCCAAAGCATTCCTGGGGGCCGGTCGAAGCTCGGCTTTACAGGAGGAGGCTATCGAAGAAGCCAAGCAGAACGCCAAGGAGAATCCGATCGCCGCAGCGGCAGTGTCGGCTGCCATTGCAGGCACCACTGCTCCATCGGGACAGAACAACGCCGAGAATCTGCTCGACATCGACTTCGATGGTGCTGCACCTGCGTCTATGCAAAGAGCCCCGGGTATTGGAGCATCGGGCCTGGAAGGCCTAGCTGGCACTCCCCAACGAGTCGCAAGTCCTGCAATTACTTCGCCTACTATGGGAGGCGGCCTCGAAGATCTCATGGGTCTCGGTGGCGACCCAACACCTGCCAACGCTAGTGGCGCTGATGGCAATGATCTAATGAATGGTTTCGCGGGCATGAGCATGAACGATCAACCCCCGTCAGCGCCGACGCAGCTCAACGGTGGAGCCAAAAAGACGAATGAGGACTTGCTGGGGCTGTTCTGAGGCAGGCAGATGGCTTGAAGAGATATACAGATATGATCAAGCAGTCTATGCCCACTCAAACTCCAGTGCTCATGATATTGAGTGCTCCAACCCGCCACTGCCGCAAGGGGCTTCCCGGCCTGCAATGAACTCGACGACCGCGTGTCTAGAGCGCCTTCAAAAACTGGTTGCCAATGTCTTGATCTGCAGAATGTCCTCATCGGTGTCTAGCTCTATGACCTAGATGCGTCCAAGGTGATCTATATCTCCGAGATAGGTCACTAGTGTGACACCCGTTGATTTACTGCATTAACCATGGATGATTGATGTAATTGGTCGTGCTTGGGGAATACCCCTAAACACGACAATAGACTTGATGAAGAACCGACATTGACAACGATTGCAGGCTAGACGGCCGTGCGAGTCCTTCACAATTGCTAGGTTGCTAAATGCTCGGGTTAGCTCCGAATGCAGATCTATCTGATCTCTACAGCGTGTGTCCCAGAAAATCTTGCTTGTTACGTCTTACTCCAGGCCCTAGCTATGCAGATTGTTGGACGTCTAAACGATCACAACGATACGACGTGACAGAGTAAGACGCCTCAGCCGGGCGCTGCGAGATCCGCTGTACTGGTGGTTACTGGTCGACGAGATACATGTAGTCTATGGTCTGCCTCACGTCATTCATCTGATCTGCTGCTGCTTCCTCGCTATGCCCACATATTGATTGATATATGACCTGAGCCTTCAATTTCGGTCTCATGTTTCCTTCTCATGCAGCTCAAGATAACAATGAACACCCCCGCCCGCGGTTTCGTAATGTATGAGCTTTGTCACACTCACAACTTGGTATCATGCCGTGCATTCTTGCGTATAGACTGCTGCGTTGCCTCGCTGTACTATCTTCTGAAACAACTTCCTTTGTCTCAAGCAAGCCGAAGGCGATTTGTCTACAATTCCTGGTATAGCACTCGTTGCATGGCACTGGAAGACTGGATGACCATGTACTGTGTACATACCTGTATGGAGGATGGAACGAGCAAAGAAGCGTTCACTTGCGGATGGACAGCGGCTGTCCCCGCCATGTTTGATATTGATGTTGGTTCGCCACTTTCCCCGCAAGCCTGAGGCAGAAACGCTAAAATCGAATGTGCCAAGCCAACACACGACGATTTGCTCGACATCTCCAAACGACGACGCTTGCTGCTTGCTCTCTGCCACTATCACCCGGACCATCACCACCCAACGACGTCAAGATGTAAGTACGACCACGATGCCGTACATCAGGAACGCACATATCACGACTGGCGCTTCCACCGCGCTCCCCCGATTCCGACGTCCACAACTCCTCTCCTCTCCTCTCCACTCGCACTGGCACCGGCAGAACGACATATCGAAACATGATACTAACACAATGGCTGCTGTAGGGTCAACCTCACCACCCAGAAGCGCCTGGCGGCCTCCGTCACCGGTGCAGGAAAGCGCAAGATCTGGCTCGACCCCAATGAGGTCAACGAGATCTCCAACGCCAACTCCCGCCAGACCATTCGCAAACTGATTGCAGATGGCCTCATCATCCGCAAGCCAGTCACCATGCACTCGCGTGCCCGTGCCCGAGAGTTGACTGCCGCCCGCCGCATTGGAAGACACCGTGGTTTCGGTAAGAGGAAGGGTACTGCTGATGCGCGTATGCCAACGTAAGTCTGCACCGAGATCCCTGGGTGAAGATCAGATACACGAATGGCGCAAGGTGTGACAAGAAAGATATTGGAGCGGAGAAATCAAATCAAAGGAGGAATTGGTTCAGGAGGGCAGTCGCTGATACCTCGTACAGTCAAGTCGTGTGGATGCGCCGCCTTCGTGTGCTCCGCCGCCTGTTGGTCAAGTACCGTGCTGCCGGCAAGATTGACAAGCACCTTTACCACGAGCTCTACCACCTGAGCAAGGGTAACACCTTCAAGCACAAGCGTGCTCTTGTTGAACACGTAAGTTCAGCCCCTCCCAGATCCATGACGCCCTTGTCACGTGGTCACCATTGGTGGACTGCAATCCATATACTGACTGTGATTATCACAGATCCACAAGGCCAAGGCCGAGAAGCAGCGTGAGGAGAAGCTCAAGGCAGAGATGGACGCCAAGCGTGCGAAGACCAAGGCTGCCCGCGAGAGGAGACAAGAGCGTATCACCCAGAAGCGCAACGCACTTACTGGCGAGGACGAGGAGGAACCAGCCGCTCAATAGACGCATACCCAGCCGATTCTTTATTAAAAAGTCACGAAGCATGCCACAAATCAGAGGTTCACCAAGGATGGGCAAAATGGGTACGCCCTAGGACTCATGGTGGGATTTTTCGGGCGTGCTGTTACTTGCTGTGGGTGGTGCTTGGGCGCATTTCGTGTCATTCCCTGCAGCTGATGCGGATGCGGATGTGTGTACTTGAGGCGGTACAGTTCGAATGCCTTCAAAGACGTCACGATCAGATTTTCACGATTCTCCATGTGTCCTCATGTGCTCTCCATTGCTGCCAAAATGGAAGATCCGACGTGATGTGCTGACAAAGCTGGTCAGGTTTCGTTACTTGCTTCTGACAATACCTTACTGAATATGGATGTGATCTGAACACTGCTATTCCATGTAGTCTAGTCCATCTTGGAGTACGTGAACTCAACGAAGGCCCCACTTCCTCAACATGTGAGCATCGAAGCTTCGACTGGCGTAACCTGCTCACACCTCAATAACCTCATCATCGTCTCTTCATCGAACACTCCGCGCCAACATATTTCACTACAACAGCGCAGACAGCACACCGTAGCAGGTCAGTATAACTCCGTCTTCACATCACCTCGTTGATATTACTGCTGTACCGAGAGCTCGAGGTTGGCACATATCGAATATGGAGTGCCCGGGTAAGGTATCTTCGCCTAGGTACCTTCAGGCGAGGGTAGCAATGACGGGGTATCCTGTATCTCACAGTGTACGTATAGACTGACAAAAACAGGACTTCGGTAACCCAGCAAACCCTAGGCAATGGCATCTTACTATACCTTCGAGGACCTGTCAGGAGGATCGCCAAGCGTGAATCAGACCGATAATCCTTATCACGACCTGATAGAGTCATGCAAGAACGATCAAGCTGAAATTCAACGCCGCTATGACAATCACCGAAGCAATCGCACGGCTCAGCAGAAAGAAAAGCTGCTCGCTGACGACTTCCCCGGCGTCACTGTCGATGATATCCTCGCGAAGCTGGAAGATCCCCAACAGCACCAGGGCTACCAAGATCCTCGACATTGTCTTGTGTTTTGGGCTCGTCCCACCGAGAACGTGAAAGCAGTGGTGGCAGAGCTTCAAGAGGAGCTAAAGACAGTCGCTCCGAATCTCTGGCTGATGCCGCAGACGAGTCTACACATGACAGCACTCGAGGTGACGCACTCCCTGACGGAACCAGAAATCGATGCGCTGGTTGAGCAGATCCGACCACATGCGGAGGCCATCACAGACTATACTTTCAATCACAGATGCAGGCTGGTCAAGCCCATGGTGAGCTTCGATGCTCAGGCACTTGCTCTGTCATGGCTTCCTGCTGCAAGTGAGCCATCAAAAGAACTTCCACGAGAAGGCCAGAACGACAGCTATACCTATCACCACCTTCGTCGAGATTTGTTCAATCTAGTCTCAGCCTCTGGCGTCAAAATTGCGAGCAGATATGTGATCCCTTCAGCACACTTGACGATTGGTCGCTTCATCGATAAATCGGATTTCCAGACTTCAGATGGAAACGTAGATCCAATCAAAGTGGCTACCTTGGTGAGCAAGATCGAGAATATCAACACATGGCTGAGGAAGACCTTCTGGCCAAAGCCAGGCCAGAATACCAGAGACAGAGGCAGTGAATGGGTCGTTGGTGAGGAAAAGGGGCTGGATTTCAGGAAAGGAACATTATGGTATGGTGGGGGAGAGACAATCAGGCTTGGAAAGGGATTCGAGGTGTGAAGAAGACGATGCGATAAACACGCGGCAACCGAATCAATCCGCTCCCTTTACCAAAATCCTAGCAGAACCAATGAACCAAATTCAAGAAACCTCGTCCTTCTCCGCCTCCTCCAAAGCCCGATGGCGATACGCAGATTACTTCCAATTCATCGCAAAACCCTTCCAACCCCAGCCCGGCTGCGTTGTATTGGTTCCACTTTCGCAGCCCGCGAGTGAACGGACAACACTATGAATACTTCCTCTCCCCACTGTCATCTCGAAGCGCAAGGGTGGCGCTACGTGGTCAGCAAACCACCTATCAAACACCCATTAGCATTCTGTTGTCAATACCAAGGAACGGGTTCGGGCCATCATCAAAGAGCACTCACCTCGCCCATTTAGTAACAGCAGCCTTCGTAACACGAGTTGACATGGCATTCACCCTTCCAGTTGGTGGGGCAGTCGCAATCCGTCTTGCAGTGGATTTGCGAGGCACATCCGAATTCGATCCCTGAAGCAGGTAGGACCATGAGGAACGTGGCCATTGCAGCCACGAGAACCGCGCTGTTGAAGGATTTGGCCCACATGGTGATGATGATGATGATGATGCTGAAGGATGAGTGCTTTAGTTGGCGAGAGGGCGAGATGAGTTGATTAGGTAGTGGGTCTTGGGCTGCCTGGATAATTCTGTCTTTGGAAGTTATCAATACACATGTCTAAGGTATGCCTTATATACCTCATCTACCTCATATCCGGAGAGAGCGAGGGAAATGGGGACATAGCAGGGAGATTATTGCGAGTTCCTTCCATAACAGCCGCTCCAGGTCCTGGTGGTAACATGTCATTTGCTGTTTGAGACTAAGATGGTAGACCTGAGTTATGCCGGAGCGTGCCTTTATTTCGTTCAATTTTTTTTCCGTTCTATAGTAGTAGCTCTTAGAGACTGAATGGGAGTTTCGACGGCAAGAAATTGGTTCGGGAGAAGGAAACCCCTGCTGCTAGCCTTGCCTTCTGATGGTGAGTCCTCGTTCTCCGAAAAGACATTGGCGTACGACTAGTCTTGTCTCGCGCTTCTAGATATGTGATTATAGACCATATCATTCGCATATTCGAAGCTTGTCCCGGCATCCCGCTGCTAGAAGAGGGCTACTACACGCACATTCAGCTGGTGGCAGATGAATTTGGTAAGCTGTTCATCATCGCAATCGCTGCAATGAAGGTCGCCCCTAGGGAGCTCTACTGCTCAAATAGTCGTTTTCTCGATACTTCCTGCTACCTCCAGTAGAACTTGGAAGTTGGAACTATGCCTTGGAAATCCTTAGTTTAGGAGCTTTGCTCTTCTTGGTAGCGTAACGGGCACGGCCTGAAGTCCATATTTCCTTTCGGCCAGGGGTTGATGATGGAGCTTCGTCGGTGGAAGACACAGACCGATCGCTGTGTAGTAAGTGTCATCTGGGCGAATCGATGAAGCATCAACAGTATAATGTTCGTATGCGAAGGCTCTCCGGAATCCGGAGGTCCGCCGAGACAGAGACTGTCGTCGGGTTCCAAGTGAAGATGCTCAATTGCCTGGTAATGGAAGCTTGCTTCAAGTGCTGATTTGTAGGCTTGTCAAGTGCTTACGTGCTTGGCAGCCGTCGTCTACTAGCCTCTAGGTCAGGTACCTACATGTAGGTATTCCGGGGACGTGGTCGCACTATGAGTGCCACTCTGACGCTTGTAGGGCTCTCAGAGGCAATAATTCGGTGTTGATCGGCTCTGGGAGAGTAGTAGCAGTCTCTATCACCTTCACTCCAGAGCGTGTTTGTTCCTCGATAGCAGCCTCTTAGACATGACCGAATCGTCTATGCCAGCGTACAGTACCACCAAGACATGTCGCCGTCGTCAGGCTGTGACCTAGCACGTGGCTCGATGAGACTCGAGAGCGAGGAAGAGAGGATGGTGACATACCCATACACATAAGAGAGGTGAGGTGTGTTTTGCCAATACAAGGTCCCGGTTAAGATGAGAAGAAGGCCGTGTGTCTGCCTCAGGCCGTATACATGCCTCAGGCTCCAACCCTCATCTCCGCCCCCACCCCTTCCACCGCCCCCACCGCTCGGTCGACAGCGACAGCTTGCCCGCAGCTCCCTCGCCTGCGTCGCCTCCGTCTAGTGCCGATCTTCCGCGAACCTTGCCAGCTGATCAATTCAGAGCATGCGATTGGCGCCTCGCTGTGCTGTTTGTGTGCGACTCAAGAAGGAGGGGACATCGAAGACGTAATAATACAACATGCTGTCCGGGTGTTGCAGGTCTGCTCCCTGTCTCTCGCATTGGAAGTTGATGACGCGGTTACATATGGGAAGTATATCGTAGTCACCTGCAACCTGGCTACGCCTACCTACAGAACAGACCTGAACCAGCTTAACTAGAAGGTTTCGTCCCCATTCTCGCACTATCTGATCCGACTCAGACTTCCTTCCGGCCTGCTGCAGACGCCATACCACTGTTATCAGATCTCCTCTCAGCCACGGGTAGTCTTCTCGGCGGACAGCAGTAATATTAGGTCAAAAGAGGAGAGGCATAGTGGAAGAGAACACCTGAGACCTGAAGGACAAGGAGAGGGAACAATATGGCTTCACTGAGAAGAGAGGACACGAGTGATGAAGCACCTTTGCTGGGCGAGAGAGGAGATGCAAGCTTACCGGGGGGCAGGCCACTGTATCACAATTTTGTACTGGGTATAGCTCTTCTTTCTCTCTCCACCGGCTCCATCTCTGCACAAGTCAGCTCACCATGGCTTCAGGTACCGCTGTTGTCGCCCAGGCCGGCGCATGGATAGTAAGCTGTCTGGATGCTCCTCGATTGACTGTGGACTAACACAGACAGATTGCAGCCATCGTATGGGGCTCTGTCTTTTCTAACGACTTGATCCTCTTCTCGGCACATCCGGTATGAAAGCCATCATCCACTTTGTGCAGAACGACTTCACTGACATCTCTGTTCGCCATAGCTCCTCAACTCCGCCGGCTTCCTCCTGCTCATCCAAGCCATACTTGTGGTGCAGCCCACTCATACAGCCCAGCAGAAAAAGGAAGGCACGTACGCTCACGCCGCTCTGAACGATATCGGAGTTCTCGCAGCCATCGCTGGCCTTGTCGTGATTGAGTACAACAAGATCTCACACAATGGGACACACTTTGAATCAGCTCACGCGAGACTTGGACTCGTTGCATACATTCTTGTAATTCTGCAAGTGCTTGTGGGCTTCACGCAATACTTCACTCCCGGGCTGTATGGGGGCGAAGCCAATGCGAAGAGCTTGTACAAGTATCACAGAGTGGGGGGTTATATCACGACTGTGGTCATGCTGGCAACGATTTGTGCAGCGACCTATACGACATACAACGTGAATGTGATGAAGATCCAGCTATGGGCTGTGGTCGTCGCGAGTGTGCTGGTTGTTCTTGGCGTTGCCGCAAGAGTGAGGCTGAGCAAATTTGGCTGGATGGCTGGGAAGTAAGAAGATGAATGTCGAAGGCACTGAATATAGCATGGAAGCGAGTCACTAATTGAGACAACGATGTGATGGCAATGGACGCGGAGCATGTGGCGTTGGAGGATTTGTACCGGGATGCTGATAGCAGTGTTCGAGATTAAGAGGGCACCCTCTCGCCTGCGCACTTCTGTCATCATTGCGGAATCTAGCACATTTCTATATGCTGAAGTTTGAAGTCTCCAGTGTGGTCTGGGTGCTTGATCACAGCCATGTTCCTCGAGCATCGCGATTGACTTCTGAAAGACGACTGGCAACGTGTATATCGAAACCGGCTCCGAATCCGCTCGATACTGTACTTGGCAGGCGTGGGCGAATCTTTCATTCGCACATCACTGCAAGAGACGAACTTGCAGAAACCCAAGAACGTGACGAGTGAATCGACAGAGAGACTGGCTCCCGCATCTACGAAACGGGATACATGGTATTGTGAAAACTGCTTATAAACAAACGCTTGCTCGCTACCTTACAGCCGGTTCCGGGCGTCCATGCTGAGAAACTACAGCGCCGCTGGTAGCCTCTCTCTCATCAATGCACTGATTCTGTCGTGCTTCTCCCCAACTTCCAACCAGTCCCCCGTCCCTTCCAACAGGAGTACGGTTAACTTAGCATGTGTTGCCGCCATTGCTGATCCCACCTCCGTCACCACGACCCTTGATCGCCTCAAAGATCTGAATGAATGATGCCGGCTCTTCTGCGCCTTGCACTTCATACTTCCCGTTGATGGTGAAGTTGGGCACTCCAGAGATGAAGCCAGACTGGGCCTTTGCAACCTCTTGATCCACCTCCGCACCACCCTTTCCCGACTCGAGCCAATCTCGAACTTCTTGCTCTGGAAGACCAGCCTTGACGCCTCGTGCGATCAGGACCTCACAGTCGGTTATGTCCTGCTCGTTCTCAAAGTACGCATTGAACAGCGATTCCACGACCTTCGTCTGCTGCTCCTTCCCGTGGGTCAAACCCAGCTGGATCAAACGATGACTGTCTCGAGTATTGCCCGTCTTGCCGCCAAAGGCAAAGTCGATGCCCACCTGCTTGCCTAGTCTCCCGAGGTGGCCCTGCATGACCTTTGTGCGCTCAGCGCCGAAGCGCTTGGCATAGTATTCCTGCTTGTCAATGTTCTTTGGCGCATCCGGGTTGAGGTAGAACGGGTGCCATGTGGTGGTGAAGGTATCGTCCGGGTTGGTCTGCTTGTGCTGCTTGATGGCGAGCTCGAGTCTGTTTTTGCCGACGTAACACCTGAGAGCCTCTGGTCAGTTTTCCTGTTTGGGCCAGCCGAAGCATCAGAGGCAACTTACCACGGGCAGACCGTGTCGCTCACGATGTCGATGTTGTAGTTGGTCATCCTGCGGACGGTAGCACGAAAAGCCACGATTGCGAGTACGGAGGTATACTGTAGATGTAAGGTATCACAAGATTGCTGTGTATTGCTGACCTACGCCTACTTGCTTCTGTGGTGAAAGCGACTACATGTACATATACATGTACGTGGAGTGATGTACTTGACAGCATGATGTGGCCCGCCTTCCACTAGAAGAACTATCTTCGCCCAACCTTTGCGACCACACGGTAAAGGCGATCCGAGAGCTCTTTGTGATTAGAAATCAGCTATCCGTGTATTGCCATCACGACTCCGTGTTCCCCGGCGGGAATTGTGCAAAAGGCTCCGTTGGCGCGTCATAACGCAGACAGATGATCAATCATAACGATATGGAATGTGCGAATGCATAGACTGGGCTTGGGCGGAGAAGGACAATGAAGGTGCTTATGCTACCATAGGCTAACTTATAAAGGAGCTAATTAGAATAGTTCTATACCAGTAGAACTATCTTACATAAGGCTGTTGAGGCTTGGCATTCGCCACTGTCCACCTTCCCGGTAGCCAGTGAGACATCGACACATTGTGTGTGATGGAACATCGTGTTTGATAGACTACGACCTCACCTAAGGTTCTTACTCCCCGAGCCATACACGGAGCCAGAGCGTGCCCCGACGCAAAGTCGAGCTATTTGACAGCGATTAGCAGAGTCACCAAAGAATCACCAACATCTGGCTGTACGCCACGAGCCGACCCCGCTGCCGACTGCCAACTGCCGGCTTGCGCGGCGGCGGCGCATCAACAACACTCTGGTGTCAACATCACGAGTCCCGTGCTCGTAACAACGTGAGGTACACGCTTCACACAGCATACCGATCGTCTCGCCTCTGGGACTCATATCGCGCCGAACACTGGGTGTGAGCCATGGCAGACCAAAGTTCTGACGCACCTCCGGATGTGGTATTTCGAGCGAACAAGCGAAGAAAGATGATCAGAAAGCGCAACCTGGATGACCTGGACGAAGCAGCACGAATCGAGCCTCAGGACACCGGAGTCGATGTCAGCGAGGACAACTCCAAGGGACTCTTGTCAACCGTCAAAAGGCCTGCCATGAGAAAGCATGGCATCGGATTCTCCACAACGGGCAGTCAGCAGCAAGGGCCGGACGCCACCACCGTCGTGGAGACTGCCCTGGTGCCCACGCAAAACAATGAGGAGGAGCCATCACCTCATGATCGATTCACAAAGCCAACGGAAAAGGCTGCGGTGGTAGTGGAAGATCGACATTTGTATGACCAACCATTCTCGCGTGAATTTGACTCTTGGTGTCAGTGCTAACAGCGCAGGACGGCATATGTAGAGTCGAAACTGGCTGAGCTCCGCTATACCGCGTCGATTCCCACCACGACACAAACTGGTATCGACGACGACGTCGACGACACAATCGCGCAGTCGAGTTCGAGTAGCGCACCGGTGGTCAAAGAAACTCTCGCCAACAACCTCCCCTACAACGACAAGTCCAGACCAAACACCAGACGAGGAACCAACAAGCCGCCTCGTCGCCAGCGCCAAAAGGATCCCGGCGAGTTAGCTCGAGAGGCCATGGTCGACGAGATTCTCGGTGAAAGTAAAAGTCACGTGCCAATGTACGCGCACAGCACCGTCAAGAACCACTTGGTTCCCAACGAACCTGGCGTCGACAACGACGAAGCCGTCGCAGCAGCATTCAAGGCCGAGTTCCTGGCTCAAGTGGGCGAGCGAGCCCGGCGAGGACCTCGCATACCACCCAGCACGAAAGGCGAGAAGCCGGCATCGAGCGGACCGAAGCTCGGTGGTAGTAGGGCTCAGAGGGTGAAGATGAGGAAGGCGCAGCAGGCGGCGAGGGAGGCTGCGGGTGAGACTATAGTGAGGAAGAAGAAGAAGTGAACCTTGGCATTGGTGCGGGTGGTTGGGGTGGGGGCGCATAGGCAGTTTGTCGGAGTATGGCGCACTCTACAAGTTTCTGTATCCATGTAGTCTATGGAGATTGATCCACTTGGGTCTAACATTGCAATGCCGCAACTTCCACGTAGGGGACAAACTTCTCTCGTCCAACTGACTCGGACTCGTCGCTGTCCTAAAGCGATATATGGTCTCGGATAATCGAGGTTTTCTGTAATAGGCATTTACCTTCGACAACAAGGCCGTTCTTCACAAACGTTAGGTACTACTAGCAACTAGAGCGCTTTAAAAACGGCACAAAAGAAGACACTTCTGAAGCCCACACACACACACACACACACACGCATAGGTGCACACAAAAATATCATCATATCGGATGTATCCTACAACTCTTCATCTCCCCCGGCTCCAAAAACAACTCCTCAACAGGTTTCTTATTCAAAGCCTCATACCACTGTAAAAAGCTCCCAATCAAATAACACGAACTGCCCCATGTCGTCGCCAAATCCGACTGATATTCCGCCCAATGACCCTCGTCACCACCATTTCCACGACTAGCTAAAGCTTTAATTCCAAAACAGGCGATGAATTCGAATCCAATACTTCCCACCGTCGACCAGACTCCGATCCACCAGCCCAAGACGGTAGGTTCGGGTTTCCACCATTTTTCTTGCGTTTCAAACATGAACATGAGGCTGGCGATGAGGAAGCACAAGGCCGCGATGACTTGGGGGATCCAGTACGCGGCGAGTTCTTGCCAGGGTTGGAGGGAAGAGAGAATTCCGGGGAGGATGACGATGGCGGTGACGCCGTATAATGTCACGCCGAAGAGTTGGATCGTGCAGGCGAGCCAGCCGATTTCGTAGACGTGGTGTTCGCGGAGAGCGCGCCATGTGGGCCACCATCTCCAGGTGTTGTATGTACTGGTGGGAGTCGTCTGGTCACCTCCAAGATCTACGCCTCCTCGACGCGGTGCGGGCAGTTTCCCATCGGGATAGATCGAGCCGGGGCGAAGGAGACGTTCTTCTTTCGTTTTCCAGCCTGCTTCGGGATCGACTTCGGGCATTTTGGTGTCGGGATTCTGATGAGGCCGGTGAGGTTTGACACGGCGGAGGAAGTCGTGAATCTTGTGGTCCAACAATTTCTTCGATCCATCTTCATCTCTGTCGAGAAATCTTCGCATCGCTGAGCCGTGGAATGAGCCATCATTGACTGCTTCCAAATATGCGGCGACAGCGCCTACTTGGTAGAAGAGGGCACCGATGAAGAACGACAGAGGACCGCCATACTTTTGCGCTGAAGATGACACGAAATCCTCTCCGAAGGCTACAGGTCCCCACGCCAATACGCCGTCTACTACGAAGAGCGCGGATCCGATCGTGTACGAGGAACCTGACCAGAAACTCATGTCCCAGTAGGGAAAAGTGGTCGCCATTTTATATAAATTGTGGGCAATGTCACTGAGTTTCGAACTCATTCGTGGCGTATATCTTGCGGGGAAAATTGAACCGTCATTGCCATCATCGACAGGCAATGTCGGCACAGCGATGGAGTTCCTGCCCTTGCGATTATCGCGCGCTCGCCAGAGGAGAGAGGTTTCCTGTGACTCGTGTACCTGGCCATCGTCACTGGAGTTTGAATCGCTCTGGTAGCGTACGTCCATGCGGATGGTAGTTGGATTCAAGATGTTGGTGACTCCATGGGCGTGAACGCCGTCAAGATGAAGCCTATGCCCGACGGTTTTGACCCTGTCGACGACTCCAGTCTGTAGATCGTCTACGGCAGTCTTGAACCTATCACGATGAGGATGTTCAGTTATGGAGTCAGAACTTGGCGCAGGCTTGCTCGTGCTGGGCTTGCCACTCGACCTGCTATCCGTGCTCCGACTTCGTACTCTTGCTGTCGCAGTCGGTGATAATGCATGGTCGTGACTGTCCGTGTTGTGGCCCTCCGGATCCCGTGGTGCATCACACGCGAACGGATTCGGGTTGTTGAAATTCTCCATGATTACACGGTCTAGGCACTATTGTGCATGGAGGGTCCGCAGGAAGTGTTGTGTCACCCAGTTGGCGGATGCCATATGCAAGCTTTGGTCAAGCTCAACGTCTGGAAGGAAATGGGGCTTGTCAATGCCTTGGGAGAGCAGGAAGCGGGAGGAAGAGGCGCAGAGGATTCGGTGATGAAATGCTGAATAACAAGGTTTTAGCGCTTAATTGGCCTTGATATCACGCTCCGCTCGCTCGCGTTAGAAGAGTACCAGAGTTGGCATGGAGTTGGCTGTTATGCCTTCACCGCCGTATGCTACAGACCTACACAAGCTTCATGAATGCAATGTTGTAGCGTTGCTGCTAGGCTTTGGCAGGAAACCTTGAAAGCTGAGCCATGCCGGCACTCATCATGTCGAAAGCAGACTTACCAAGAATGTCCCTTGAAACAACATTCTGCACTTTGCCCAGGATCAACCCCGAGTAAGAAACGTTCGTGACCTGAGGACTGCGGATTGCCATTCTTTGTAGTTAAATTGGAAGTCGAGCAATATTTAAGGGTGTTCTTCATGTGCACTTCGCTCATGGTGGCTCGCGAGCGCCAGGGAAGCAGTGCTCCGTACGTATCAAATCTTTTCGACCTCTGAGCTTAATATAGACCTTAGTCCACCTTGGTTCAAGCCCATGAGGAGACATTTGTTAATCAGGCTGCCCGGTGCGTGTAGGCGGGCGTTAGTGGTGGTCCTTGAAGCATCGCCTGGAGACCGTTGATGGTGACAGAGAAGACTGGCATAGACATACGCCGCCTTGCATCCGAGGATCTGATGACACTCCAGCTTGCGTGGTCGTGATTGTTGTGGCGGTCGTCGGGTCGTGATGTGAAAGGAAAGGAAGAAAGTGGTAGTCGAGACGAGGAAGATTGACATAACAGCCAAGCAAGAACCCTGGCCAGCGGATCGAGCAGCCGACCGGGAAGACGGTACGGCGCGGTGCGGTACGGTGCGGTACGAGCAGTGCCAAGTGCGAGTCGAAATAATTCTAATTTCTCCCACTTTTCGCTGGCGATCTTTGCACCACCATCAGTCCATCACACTTGTTCCCCACCTCCACACACACATATACACTCCTTCCGGTCGAGACCTGCCAGAATATGGGTCTTGACCGGTGCACGGATCGAGAGCACTCTTTCACATGAAAACAATTAATAACATAGGTCCAAAATTGGCCAGCAGCATTCAGCTGAGGCCCCGCCAGAATCCTGCGCTCTGCGGGCTGTCATCGGCCTCATTGATGACCGTCAGCGTAGCGTCCAAATAGCCGACCCTCCACTATTCACAATTGGCCGAGAGCAGCATGAGCCCTATTTAGGAGGTATTGTCACTATTGTGATTACTGCCGCAAGCATTCACAGCCACCGTCGACGTTAGACCCGGACTAGTCGCCTCCGCAAACGTACGCGACGCTATTGAAACAAGCCCAAGATCGAGCAGGCATATGCTTTGCACCTTGCGATAATATAATGTTGGTTGGAGTAGGAGACTCAAGACTGATGAGCGCAAGGCACCTGTGCGAGCCGGACCATCAATTCGCAATTCTCAATGGCACTGCTTCGTCTGAAAACCCCCATATCTTCCATGTCTCCCCGCTGGTCATTCAGCCCCTGGACCTGCCGGTCAACTGCGTCCTCGCACATCCGAATGTGACATAGCAGGAGCGGGCCGTTGCATTGAGGCCTACGGTTTAGCTAAATTACTACATACAGCCCTTGCAAACCTGCCAATGGTTTCCTACGGGACTAGTCCCAACCTCCGATGCACAAAGATGCTGTGGATTGTGCAAATACGCGCGCCGGTCTGACACCCCTTAGTGGCCACGTCAATGGGTCGACGAGACGCGGTAGACCCTGTATTAAGTGTTTCCTTTTCCTTCACGTTCAAACGCGATCGATGTGCTCAGTCCTCATACGTGCCTCACCTGCAGCAAGATTGAAACACGGGAGGAAAAAGTCAAAATATTGGACAATATGTCTAGGACCTTCGCTCCTCGATGGGCCGTTCTGCTGCTGTCTGCAGCTTCACTCTGCCTAGCTGATCCCAATGCAGATACAACGGCTGCTTGCAGGGCTCTGGTGAGTATCAGTGTAGCGAAATGCCACTGCCATTGGCTCCTGAGCCGGTCTTCTAATATCTGTCTCTTGATGTGCCTTAGGAAGCCGAGTACCCGGAGCAAGTCGCCGACAGTATCGTCGAGCTCTCCAACCTGCCCATTGGCATCATCTATACCGAGACCCTCACCGACTACTGGTCATTGGCGAACGCGGACAACAAGCCAGCATGCATGTTCTTCCCGAAGACTGCAGAAGAAATACAGTTCGCTGTCGTGACGCTCAACAAGTACCCCACGGCACCATGGGGCATCAAGGGTACGAAGCTGTAGAATCTTATTCTTCTCATCATGGCCAATGTTACATTTCAGCTCACTCCAGTGCTTTGTCTCAGGCGGTGGCCACAACCCCAATGTTGGGTATAGTAGCTCCCGAGATGGCGTTCTCATTGCCACTCATCCGTACATGGCCACCACGACTCTCGATGAGAACAACTATGCTCGTGTGGGGCCTGGATGCAAGTGGATCGACGTTGCTGAAGCCTTGGACCCCCACAACCGAGCAGTGGTCTCTGGTCGCCTGGGAGTCGTCGGTGCTGCAGGATTGACACTCGGTGGTGGACTCAGCTTTCTCAGCACCGAATATGTGAGTGACCGGTCGAGCACGAGGTTTGTACCAAAGGGGGCACTGCGCTGACATGATTTGATGGCGATGGGACAGGGCATGACAGCGGACAACGTGGTCGAATATCAAGTCGTCACCGCTACAGGAGAGCTGACACGTGCCAACCGAGACCAAAACAGCGACCTCTTCTACGCACTCAAAGGAGGCGGCAACCAATTCGCCATTGTGACCGAATTCGTCATGAACACTTACCCCATCGGAGACGTCTGGGGCGGCGTCAAAATCTACACCATGGACCAAAAGGAAGCCCTCCTCCAAGCCACCCACAACCTCGTATCCGACTACTACGACCCCAAAGCCGCCGTCATCGTCACCTACACCTCCACCGTCGAGAGCCTCATCGAAGTATTTGTCGTCTTCTACTTCTACAACTCCCCTTCAGGCCCGGGAAAAATCCTCGAAGAATTCAATTCCATCCCCGCTCTCATCTCCCGCACCAAAACCCGCAGCTACCTCGACCTCCTCGACTCCAACAGCATCTTCTCCATCCCGGGAATGCGCTACCTCATCCGCACAGGAACTCTCCCCAACCTCCCCGGCCCTCGCGGTCTCGATCTCTACACGTACACTTTCGACAGCTACTTCAACGGCTCCCGCAGCGCGCAATTCTCCGAACTCGACAATTACGCCTTCTCCCTCTCTTTCCAACCCATCCCCACCACCCTCGCCAACGCCTCCCTCAACAACCCTCACGGCGTAAACCTCCTCGGCCTCGACCCCGCACACGGCGATAAAGTGTTTATGGAATACAACGTCTCCTGGCTCCTCTCTTCCACCGACGAAGACGCCGCCGCTGTCTTGACAAATCTCACCGAGCCCGCGCAAGTGTATGCGAGGGGAATGTATCCGAATGTTGCTCCGACGCATTATGTGGAAGGGGATTTGGAAACGGTGGGCTATCGTCCGTTGTTTATGAATGATGCTATGTTTAATCAGAATCCGTTGAGGAGTTATGGGGAAGAGACGTTTGCGCGATTAAAGGAGATTCAGAAATTGAGGGATCCTGAGGGGTTTTTGGCGAGGAGGCAAGGGGGGTTTAAGTTGGAGTAGGATTTCTCTTGTCTTTAGGGGTAGGAAGGGAGGGGGGGGATTATTTTTTTTCTTATGGTTTTTGGATCGAAAATAAGGAAAGAAAAATCGGAATCTGTAATAAAAAGAAAAAGACAATTTAACCAAATCTTTCAAATCGATGTCTTGAAGAAAAAACTCCAAACTTCAAAGGGAGAGGGCCACAAAACGGCTACGCTACCAATACTTTTTTTTTCTTTTCTAGAAATTTGTATATACTAACCTCAAATATTCTTATTTTCTTCTTATATATATATATACATCCAAGCTGATAATAGATAGTAGGTACCCTACTTCCAAATTCTACTCACTAGTTCAGGTGTTATAGAGAGGGCCTAATTCTGTTGACATTCTCTCCTCTATACCTATCGATGGATAGAGATATATCTTAGACAAGAAGTTAGGAGGGGGGAACAGAGAAAGAGAGGCAGAGGAAAAGGGACAGAGAGGCAGATACGGACAGGGGGGACAGAGCAGTAGAACTTTTTGTTCCGGCGACTTATCTACCTACCTACTCTACCACCTCCCCAGAAATCTGGATTTTTCTTTTTTTGTGAACAACGAAGCAAAAAACCGTTTGTTATTTCATCATCACACATTTCATCTATAGTCTATATAGACAGATTCGAAAAGGAAACCCCTCCAAAAAGAAACGCCCCAACCATTTCCTCTATTGCTACTAGGTATTATAAAGACAGTGTGTAGTGTAGTGTGTGCACCTTTAGGGGTCGATCATTCAATCAAGTAATCATGCATTTTTTCTTCCGTCCTCTTTCTCTTTCGCTTCTTCTCTATTTTTCTCTCCCTCTCTCCCTCTCTATATCTCATACCCCTCATACCCCTCATTAAAAAATCCCTCAAGCAGCCTTCTCAAACTCCGGGTCGCAAATAATCGTGCTAACCGCAACATCATCAAAAGTCCAAGGATCACCATTGGCAAACGTGGTGTCGAGGTTCCCAGCGCGCAAGACTTCGATCGGGTTGCGCTCCACGTCGAGAATCTGACATCGAAGATCCTGGTTGACAACATCAACGCCAAGGATAAGGGAGACGGTGTTGAAGAGGCTCTCATCGTCGGGCGAATCCTGTTCCTCGCGGACGAGTCCTGCTTCCTCAAAGGCCTGCTGACGAGCGAGGTTGCCGTCGGAGAGTTGCACGCGGACGTCGAGATCGAGAACGGCGGCTGCGACGTCTTCTATGCTGAAGTCGGGATCGCAGACGATGGAGCTGACTTCGGTTGCGCCGTCGAGGAAAGTCCAGGGGGCTTGATTTCCGCCATCCGCGAATGTGATTTGAGTGACACCGTTGCGAACGATGGCGATGGCGTCGTGATTGGCATCGAGGAGTTGGCAGCGGAGATCCGCATTCTCGACGTCTGGGCCGAGTGCGAGCACGACAGTGTCGAAGGGGCCGGAAGAGCCGGTTGGAGGCTTTGTCTGGGGGAGCTGATCCTCTTCGAATGAGGTCCCGGAGCCAAGCTCAATGGCTTGATTTGACAGTCTGACGTCAATAGAAGCGCCGTCGTCCTGGCGGCGCGCCGGAGCAGCAAGACAGGCGGTTGCTGCAAAAGCAGACAGAAGCATGGTGGAATACTGCATATTTGTGCAAAGTGATTGGGTACTTCTGTTTGATATGTGAAGAAGAAATAGAACGAAGGAAAGGTGAAGCTGCGTGTGCTGGGTAGTGCTGTAGTGCTGTAGAAGGTTGGTGCTGAGGAGAAATGAGATAGCAGGTGTACGATCAGTACTTATACCAGCAGCATAGCGACTGTTGATTTTCCTTGGGTATCGCCATAGTGAGGCATACCAGGCGTGCTGCCACAGCATCAGCTACATCACTTGGCAGCTGATGCCATGGTACGCATACCAGCACAGCTGAGTGACAGTACTTAGCTTTGCAGAACTCTGCTTGGACAGCGGTGGTAGCTCACTTGAATCACCAAGACGCTGCCAAGTGTAAGCATATGATATTGTGTCAAAGGAGGCGACGTCGACGAACGTCCTCCATCGACCGCGACTCTCGTTCACGGGTACGCCGTCCGCCTGCAGTAGAAAGCTCCTGATGTTCCAGAGTATGGAGCAGATACATATCAGGCGTGCTGCCGCAGCACCAGCTCGAAACAGTATTTGGCAGCTGGGGCTATGGTACGTGTACCAGTACAGCTGAATAGTACATAGCACGGTGCCTTCCGTAGCAAGCAGTACGAGCATTGTTTAGTCAATAGACTTGTTGGGAACTGCGCAATGTAGTACTTTTGAAAGTTCGCAGCGTTCTGCTTGGATAGCGGTGTCTGCTTGGATAGCGGTGTCTGCTTAGACAGCGGTGGTAGCCCACTTGAATGGCCGAGACGCTGCGAAATGTAAGCGAGTAGCTGCTGTTGATTTCCTTTGATATCGCCATAGCGAAGCATACCAGTCGTGCTGCCGCAGCGTCAGCTACAGACAGCACTTGGCAGCTGAGGCTATAGTACGTATGCCAGCATAGCTGAATAGGACATAGCACGCTGCCTTCCGTAGCAAGCAGTACGAGCAGGATGAAGTCCCTCGTCTGCCTGGGAACTGCGCAATACAGTAATATCGGTTGGTAATTCGCAGTGCTTCGCTTGGACAAGCGGTAGTAGCTCACTGAAATAGCCAAGAGGCTGACAAGTGTATTAAGGTAAGCATGTCGACGCATGCGACAGTCGATATCAACGACAGACGACCGTTTCCCTTCCTCACCCGCGACTCTCGTTCGTTCACGACGGAAATGCCGTCTCCGCCCGCAGATTGATGTTCCAGAGTACGAAGCAGAACATGCACGCTTCCCGTACGGCAAGAAAGAGGAAACTTGTATGTGATGATGACTCGCACAGGAGGAGACATTCGGTCCGCGGCTGTGGTGTGACTTCTTGGCACGCTGCTGTGATTATTTCCGGCAACCGGTGTGCTGATAGTGGGTTCCAGATATTCTTGCCTAGAAGGCTTTTGCCAGATAGATGAACTGGAGGCAGCGGCGGGTGGATGATGGTGCGGTGTAGATGTTGATGATGGCGGTGATGGCGGTGATGGCGGTGGTAGTGAACAAGACAAGAAGACGGACGCTATTGGAAGTAAGGTGGCTTCGGTATACAGCAGTGTAGCAGGGATTACTGCCAAGCCGGCCTGTAGCGAGGCTCGTGCTCTTTCCTCGTGAATAGTAGACATGGGTGTAATAAGACTTCAGCTCTTCAACACACCCGTCAGACCGCCGATAAACAAACAATAGAGCACCTCCAGCCAGAATTTCTACAAACTTCCATAATACACCCAAGAAGACTCATCATCATCATCATCACCAACAACAAGTAGTAGGCGAAACATACTTTCAATAGCCTCCACCACCAAAAACAAGTGCCGAAGGCCGAGAAGGCGCAAAACGCTCCTTCGGTTCCATCTTTAAACTCTTTCCGGTCGAATTCCAAAAACGCCTCTCGCTTCCAATTCCAAAAATGGCCTAAAAAAAATCTAGATCTATTCATCAGTTTCGGTCGAGTCGAGTCAATTCCCTATCTTTTTTTTTCCTTTGCGCTCCGAAAGTATCCCAAGGCTAGCCAAGAGAAACGTGCTTGCATGCAGCTCACCAGTTTTGTCCTCTGTTTCTCTGGAACGGATCGAAGCCGGTCTTAAACTTACGACGATGAGTTGGGTCCTTTTTTTTGGGTGTCTTCAGGGCAGATGATAATAACAAGATGGGTGTTCTTTACTCTGGTTCGGTTTACGCGTCTTCTTGATTTTTGATTTTTGGAATTTCTGTTTCTCTCATCTGTATCTCCATACCCGTCTGGCGAGTGGTTTCGAAGCCAGTTCTCCTTCATTCCTCCTCCCATCCAAGCATTCATTCACAAAAAGGAGGTTTGTAAGATTAGCCAGCCATTCTATCATACACGTCAAGACCGCCGTCTATCTTGACCAAAAAGACCTCCTTCAAAACCGATAATCCATCTGCCCACAATGCGACCCACCAGCACCACCACCACCCTCGCTCTAGCAGCAACCCTCCTCACCACCCCCATCCTCGCCCAACAAACCGCCCCAACCTCCGCCAAACGCGGTCTCGCATACGTCGAAACCAGCGAATCCTCCGACGACCACTACTGGACATCCGGAGATCTCACCTGGTACTACAACTGGTCACCCACACCCAACAGCACCTTTGACAACACTCCCCTCCAATTCGTCCCGATGCTCTTCGGCGGAGACTCCTCCTCCTCTTCATCTTCAACCTCTTTCTCCACCCAAATCAAATCCCTCATCTCCTCCGGCCGCAACATCACCTGGATTCTCGGCTTCAACGAACCCGACGGCTGTTCAGGAAGTAGTTACGGTTCCTCCTGCCTCGACGCACAAACCGCCTCAGAAATCTGGATCCGCGAACTCGAACCCTTAAAAACTGAATTCCCATACTTACAACTCGGTGCTCCCGCCGTAACGTCTGCTCCGACGGGTTTTACATGGCTGCAAAATTTTTTCTCGGCGTGCGCGGGAAAGTGTCGAGCGGATTTTATTCCGGTGCATTATTATGGGGATTTTGAAGGGTTTGCGTCCCATGTGGGACAGGTGAATGCGACGTATGCGAATATGAGTATGTGGGTGACGGAGTGGGCGTTTCCCGAGGAGAAGTTGGAGGAGACGCAGGATTTTTATAATCAGAGTATTGCGTTTTTGGATCGGGTGGAGTGAGTTTTTCTTTTTTTTTTCTTCTTCCTTCCTCTTTCCTCTATCCCGACCCTTCCCCCTCCCCCAAACGACCCTCCAACTAACATTTTTCTTCTCACAGATACATCACCCACTACAGCTACTTTGGCGGATTCCGCTCCTCCGTGTCCAACGTAGGACCCAATTCGGCACTATTGACGCAAAAGGGAGAACTCACAGATATGGGAGCGTGGTATTTGGGTGAGGCGGCGACGGGAAATGTACCCAAGGGAGATGCTTCGACGCGTGGAGTGGCTGGCAGCAGGTTTACGGGATCGGTGCTGCTCGTTATTGTTGCTGCGGTGTGGTGTATGGGATGAGAGAGAGAGATTTGACATGAGAGAGAGAGAGAGTGAGTGAGAGTGTGTGGGATGATGGGAGATTTCTTTTTTGGCGGGAGGGATGCGAGAGCGAGATTCACGATGTGACGAACTGTTATAAGAATAGCATAGTGCATGCGGTGTTGGGTTACATATAGAGATCTGGTTTGGCTTTTTTGTACAGTACATGTACCTACAGATGCAGCACAGCACGTGCAGGATTTGGGGACAAGTATTAGACCATGACGAAAATGCATCCATGAACATGATGGAAGAATCAACATGTTTCTCAATCTCACACACTCTCACACATGTAAAAATGGTAGATATCACGGACGTCACGTGACACCAGTCGAAGCGGCATCGGGCGAGTAGGACAGCATTTAGAGCAACTCACCATACCTGACATTTGCACAGCTCTACCCAGACATGGACGTTGTAGTCATTCAGTCGTCCCTGTCGTCGGCGGCCCCATGCTCTTGCAGACTCGACTGTTTCGCCAGATTGAAAAGGTTCGGAAAACGGTATCCCGAATGACCACAGCACAAGTCGAACTGGCGCATATTTCAGATTCAGCAGTGGTGGGTCTCATCGACGTCGGTGTGCTGAATGAATGTGCAATCGACACGGAGTTGTACAATTGTTTTCTCTGATCATTGTTGTTTTGGGCTCGCAAATTTCAGAGAGTGGAGTTTAGTGGACCTGTGATAAAAGGAAGGCTTTCGCAGATGGTCGGAGATGATGGCCAGGCTCGGCGGTAGGTCCGCATTGTTCTGATGACATTTGTACGCTGACAATTGAAGACAAGATCCAGCTGAGATCCGAAGGTATCCTTTGTCGTGCTCTTCATATGGTGAGGTCAGGCATCGATCCACAGATGGGTATGATTTGAGATGTTGGAATAGTTTCAGCCGCAACTGCGGCGTACACAAAGGACGAGATACGGTCGGTATTCTATGCAGTGGCATCCATATCCTGTAAAATGATGATGCGCCACACCAAAGTGCAGCAGGAGAAGCTCGTATTATTGGGCACGAGAATGATGGTCGTGGTGCGTATTCATGTGATGGCGGAGTGGTGTGGGGCGAGGATGCAGCACGGGCGCAGGAGAGGGGCGGGAGAGGCTTGGTGGAGGCGGCATCGAGGGTTTTCCGGGCGTGCGCAAAGTTGAGGCACAGCTCACATCGGCTGAACTCGGGCAGGCCAGTGTCGACGTTTACGTGCGCAGGCCATGCTGGCGCTATTTGTTTTCACGATCGTGGGCACTGGGCAGAGCGTGTGCAGCCCGGTTGACAGGTCGGGTAGTACGTCTGATGTGCCGCGGGCGGCGTCGACTCGGAAAGGTTCCTGGCGGTGGGGGAACAGAGTCTCAGAGAGGGACCAAGGACAGTCCGTGGGTGGTCAGGTCACACAGTCAGGCGTGTCGGTGATCATGGATGCCAAGTGTCAGATGCAGCGTAGCGTAGTCATCATCGTCAGTGCGCTGAGGGCGGTATTGGCTTGGAACATCTTGGAGAAGCCAAGATCAGGATGCGGATCAGTCGATGGGCGTGGGCGGTGGTGGTGGTGGGTGATGAGCGATGCCAAATGCGCAGTTCCAAGAAAGACGGGCGGGATTGGCAAATGGTGGCAATGAGTAGGTAAGAGTACGGTCAGGTTGGCATACAAGCCATTCACATACTCTTGTCTTTCTACGCCTCCAGATAAGAAACGGCACCGCGCTCGAGTCGGGTGTGGAGGAAGGCCGTGTGTGGGTGCGTGTTCGGTAGCTGGGCGAGGGACCTCCGGAGCCACCACTAATGCGCTATCCTTATCGCATCCAATGAGAGACCATTCACGTTGACGAATGCATCTCTGAGAGGAAAAGCTGCCGGAGACCCTTGTTCGCGCACCAATGGCATTGTAGAAGTGGCTCGCGAATGGAATTTTAGTGGAATGCTCCAACGCCGTCTGACTTTCGCGTGCGGTCATCACACTGATTCACACATTCACACATTTTGGGTCTTCCCATACCCACATGGCAACAAGATAAGGATGCCAGGCACGCGATCAACTCTACACGCTCCCTGTCCATGTCATCCAGCATATGCCTCGGTTACGGGAGGGAGGGGGGTGCGCTTCTTTTCCGAGGCCGCTGTTTCGGTGTCCCACGTAAAGCGGGAGCTCGATCGTTTCGCCGTTTTCATCGGAGGTAGGATGGAGGTAGGAGTTCTGCGGGAGTGTGGAGGGATGGTGAGATGTGGAACGAGACGGAGAGACGGAGAGACGGAGAGGTTGCTGGCAACAGGCGCAAGACGTGCGTGCTGCTGGGTATACTGCCTGTCTTGCGTGTGCTTCGTGTGCTTCCAACTGGGGAGTCTGGCCCTATTCCGACCGCCGAGCCAGACCAGCGGGCTCAACTGCCAGGGGAATACCACGCCAGTTCCACCTCAAGTGCAGCCCTCCCTGTATTACTGTAGACAGGCTTGCCTCTGGTCGGGCTGAATGCAGCAGCCACTACCGCTGTAGCACCTAAACAAAAATAAAAAAAACCACAACACACTCTTGAACTCACTAAAAGTGACATGTAATCATGTATCAATCGGTGATGATGATGATGCTGGTGATGATGATGATGCTGGTGATGATGATGATGCTGATGGCGACGGCGATGGCGATGGCAATGGCGTTTTCATGCCGCTGGCCAAGTCTTGCCGCTCACGGTTTGGCATTTCTCAGTAGGAAGACTAAGACGTTCAGCAATTCGCGTGTCTGTTCCCATTTGCGGCGCTGTTATCAGTCATTCTACTTCCGCTAGCGTCTTCGCCTGAGCTCTCATCTGCCACGCTATTCCTCTACTGCGAAGATCCCTTCATAAAGGGCCTGCATCCAAGCTCTCGCGCCGGGGCCTCACCTCAACTCTCTCTCTCACTCTCACTAGTACTACTACTTGTACTGTACTACGACCGACCTTCTTGTGACTCTCTCTCTCTCTTTCTCCTCCTCTTCCTCCTCCTCCTACTCGAACCTCTCTCCCTCCATCTCTCCCTCCGTGTCGCGCCTCACCACTCGTGGCACCGAGCCAAGAGGCCCGTCCGCCACACTTCCCATTCTGCCTCGTTTCCCCCAGCAGACCAATCGACTTGGGGAGCACTCGACGACGACAACGACGACGACATGGCCACCGATGGCGGTCCATACGCGCCCTATGCGCCCAGCTACAGTTGGATCGGCGCTCCAACGACTTTCAACGGCACCAACGAAGACACTGGCGGTGACAGCTGTATGTGCTTTCTCTTCCCTCCACCCCCACCTACCCACCTACTACATGACTCGCGCCGATTCTCCATCTGGCACAAGCACTCGAGCACCTCACTAATATCAACATTTCACAGCCACCGAAAATCTGAACCAGTGGTTTTCTCCTGGTGACACTGCCTACATTATCGTGGCCTCGGCCATGGTCATGGTCATGGTGCCCGGACTCGGTTTCCTCTACTCCGGGTTGGCACGACGAAAGTCGGCTCTCAGCATGATCTTTGCCTGTCTCGGCTCATACTCGATCATGACCTTTCAATGGTACTTTTGGGGCTACTCGCTCGCTTTCAGCCGATACGCCACCGACAATCCGTTTATTGGTAACCTGAAACAATTCGGTCTCATGAACACTCTGGGCTACCCTTCGCAGGGCAGTGTCCTGATTCCCGATCTGTTGTACTCCTTCTACCAGCTGCAGTTCGCCGCTGTCACCGCTGCCATTATCATGGGTGCCATTGCCGAGCGCGGCCGCATCATGCCTGCAATGATTTTCATCTTCTGCTGGGCCACCATCGTGTACTGCCCGATTGCCTACTGGGTGTGGAATGCCAACGGGTGGGCCTTCAAGTGGGGAGTGCTCGACTACGCCGGAGGTGGTCCGGTCGAAATTGCCTCGGGTATGTCTGCACTCGCCTACTCCATGGTTCTCGGTAGACGCCAGGAGAAGATGATGCTCAACTTCCGTCCCCACAACGTCTCGCTCATCACTCTCGGCACCGTCTTCCTCTGGTTCGGCTGGCTCGGATTCAACGGTGGCTCGGCCTTTGGCGCCAACCTCCGTGCCGTCTACGCATGCTGGAACAGCACCATCACCGCTATGTTCGGTGCCATGACCTGGGTGCTCCTCGACTGGCGCCTCGCTCGCAAGTGGTCCATGGTTGGTTGGTGCTCAGGTGCCATTTCCGGACTCGTCGCTGCCACCCCGGCCTCGGGTTTCATCCCTCTCTGGGCATCCGTCGTGCTCGGTATCTCGACGGGAGTCGTCTGCAATTTCGCCACCAAGATCAAGTACTGGATCAAGATTGATGATTCCATGGATGTCTTCGCCGAGCACGGCGTCGCCGGCATGGTCGGTCTCTTCTTCAACGGTGTCTTTGCCGCAACCTACGTCATTGGCCTCGACGGTGTCAGCACGGGTGCCTTCGCTGGTGGTTGGATTCACCGCAACTGGATCCAGCTCGGACAGCAAGTCGCATACATTTCCGCGACGACCGCCTGGTCGTTTGTGGTCAGCGCCATCATCGCCTACGCCATCAACTTTATTCCAGGTCTCAAACTGCGCGGCTCTGACGAGGCCGAGCTGTTGGGCATGGACGACGATCAACTCGGCGAGTTTGCATACGACTACGTCGAGGTGCGTCGTGATTACCTCGCATGGACGCCCACCCACGGCGACATGGATAAGGGCGAAGTCGAAGTGCCCCAGGGCGAACGACATGGCATTCAAGGTCACAGCGACATGCTCGAGGGCCGAGACCCCAACTCGAGCCAAGACAGCAGCGACGGCACAGCACACACGGGAATTGGTGGAGACCGTCATGGCATAGCATATGAGAAGGTGGAGAAGGATAACCGCGAGATTCAGAATGGCGGTCACTAGAGGACTCCCATTCTTGCGCACGCCTCTTCTTTTTTCTTCTACCGTACTGTAATTTTTTTTTTCCTCTCTCTTTCGCGTCAATTAGATGATGCCCAGACTAGAAAGAAGGACAAAGTACCTTTTCTTTCTTGGAGATGATGATACCACAGGACAGGACACATAAAATCTGTCAAAGCGGCCTTTTTTTCTTTTCTTCAATGTACGAAATTGAAAAATCAAATATACCCCCTTTTCTATTTTACTTTATCCTCTAATGTGATGATGGACTCCTTTTACGTCTACATCTTCCTCTTCCTCTCCCTCTTCCTCTTCTTCTGCTATAGACAGGTACTCAGTAGGTACGTAAACGTAGTAGCAGCAGGTAGGTACGTACGTAGGTAAACCTACCCAAGTAAGACATACCTACAGTATAGACCTAAAAGATACATATAGTACGAATTTTTTTTTCTTAGACATCTCTAGATCGACAGGTAGGTAGGTACCTTATACTTGCCTGAATTAGTAACAGGTATAGGTATAGGTATAGGTATATATTTACTACCTTACTGTTAAGTAGATAACGAAAGGACAATTAATTTCTGGATATATGCGTACGTACTTACTTAACGATTTCTAGGTTGTAGGTATATATAGTATCTTGCTTACTTGCTTGCTTATATTGTATGTTTTAAGGTTGCTATATTATTAGTACGGAACGATGTCCTTCCCTTCCGAAGCGAAGCGTAGGTTAGAGAAGAGAGGAGTAGAGTACTAATCAATTAGCAAAAGGTATATAGTAGGATAGAAATTCTCGGGAGCGCCTATAGGAATCTCCTATTAGCGCGACTTTTTAGGGTAGGGCGCGCTAAATCCATTAGGCCTAATACGTTACTACCTTAAAAAAAAAAAAGGCCCGCCGTAGGCAGGCTATCTCTCTGTCCCTATAGGCTACTCTGCCTAAAATTTAGAAGAGAAGGACAAGAAGAGAAGAACTAAAGAGAAGAGAAGAGAAGAGAAGAGAAGAGAAGGACGAGGGTAAGGACGAGGATAGGACAGAATAGGATAGGATAGGACGAGGACAAGGACGAGGACGAGGAGATAGAGATAGAGATAGAGATAGAGATAGAGATAGAGATAGAGATAGAGGTAGATATAGATATGCGCGCGCTGTACGCGCGCGAAAATTAAGATTAGTACCTCCTATACATTCCGTACTACTAACAGGCAGGCCCGTAGGACATATTATATATATTAGTCTTCTGTTATTCTTTTCCTTATTATTATTGTTATTATTAATATTCCCGCCCTTATTAATCTTCCCGTTGTCCTTTATCCTCTAAGGTTGTTATTTATCCTATTATCCTTTATTCCGTTATCCTTTATCAAACCGGTTGTTTTCTTTCGTTTATATATATATCGAATGCATTTTATTATTATTATCAATATTCCTATTGTTCCTTATCCCGTTATCTCTTAATCCGTCCTTATTATCTACCCCGTCCTTATCTTTCATCCCGTCCTTATCTTTTATCCCGTCCTTATTATCTATTATCTATCCCGCTATTATTAACCGTTGTCGTTCTGTTTCGTTCTGTTTTTTGTTGTTCTCTACTGTTCGTATAAGGTAAAACAATAACAAACAACAACAATCCCTTCTTATATATACCTATAACCTTAAGGCTTACTATCTATATACCTTACCTTCTATGTATTACGAAACACGTGTCCGTAATCTATACCTTATATAACCTTACCTCCTTGTATATATAATACTACTTTTTACCTATTACCTTTTACCTAGGTAAGCAAGGCTTATACAGTTCAACCTTGCCTTTGCCGTACCAGAACACTATACCATGTTTACAAAAGTCCTCGGAGTTATTATAGAAAAACACACAAAAGCTACGACGGGCATACAGGTACCTTAGTATATACCCAGGATCTCGGATTTTAGTTTACTGTGATATTTGAGTCTTTGAGTAATACAATACCTACATTAGCTCGATCGACACAATACATACACACAACACACAACGCACAACGTAAACCAACTCATTTTCTACAAGGTATTTTCAAACTCCGCTATACTTCCCTTCCCCTTTCCCCCCTAAATATATACCTACCTTCCTTATATACGAAAAAGGGTAGAACCTCCGCCTCGGCTACCTTGCCCAAATTACCTACCTACTAGTTTATTACTGCTTTAGAACAAAATATACTTATTGTACTGTACTGTACTGTACCTTACTCGCTCACATGTTGCAGAGCAGGCATAGACCTAGTTTTGCGAGCGAACAGCGCCGTGGAGATGCTACAGGTACGGGAAGGATACCTATACGTAATGTAAGTACCGTAAGTACAGTAAGGTATGCGTAAGTTGCATAAAAAAGCTACAACTTGCAGATTTTCGTACGTTTGAGCATCATCATTATTATTACCCGTACCTTTTGGTATTTTCTGAAATTACCTCTGCTTGAGATGGAAGGACAACGTTGAAGATGGCCGCGGGCGTCGAGCAAGTTCAATCATAGGAGGTACATGTGGAGGTATGTGAAGTCGCCAAATGCGGGAATCACTGGCGTCGGGTCGGACATCTGCTACGAGCTTGACCGATCGGGGCACTTTCGGACATTCGATGATCTGCCAGACGTCCTTGGCTCCTTCTATAGTAGTAATAAGAGTAGACTGGCGGCCAGAACGTCCATCTCTGGTCATTGCATGGGCGCATGATCCTTCTGTAGTAGGATGAGGTACCTGTAGTAGTCGATTCTTTCTCCAGGCGCAAACCTAGGCGGCAGAGAGTAAGGAGATACTACATGCAAAGCTAATGTATAGTCAATATTCTTGTGCTGCAGGTTGAAACGTATCATGTCATGTACAGCAGCAAAAGACCAGCAGCACTGCCGCAGTTACACGAATAAAGTACCTCAGGTTTGTTTGATGACTGCGCATTGCTGCAGTGTATACATGTGCCTTTGCAGTCCCCGGTTTATCGATTCGTGGTCATCGGACTATTTAATTCGCTTCCTTGGAGGAGGCGGGAAGTCCGATCTGCTGCCGAGAAGTGGTCGATCGGGGCTGATGTGAGGTCTTCCTGGCTCGGCCAACGTGTAATTCTCCCGGGAGTGTCCTCGAAGAAACGGTCAAATCAATGTGCTTTGGTCTTTCCCGTGACCATTCGTCAACTTGCGCAGGCAAACAACAACAGGTATGCAGGCAAACAGGCAGCAGAACCCTGTGACGTGGGTCCACGGTCCAGCGCAGAGCGCTCGGGCTAGTCCTGGGGACCGGCGAGCATTAATTAGACGCACGTATACACCAGAAATCCTGCTATACCACGTCTCTTGCCTATGCGCTAGAAGTGACCCATGCTGCTGAATGTTTCAGTTGCCCCTTTCCTTGCATGTGCTAAGTGTTAGCAAATTGGCGTGCTGTCAGATATATTGTTCTTATCGTCGTCGTTGTTGTGTTTGTTATTGTGTTGTCTCGCGAGATTCGGTGCCCACTCTATCAACTGGCTCTCGCTGGACGATCAGACGAAGCCCGACGACCGCATGCACGCTGCGGTAAGAAGTAAATGACCATGTCGCGAAGATCGCAAAGCGCGACCAGGTCGCTCAAAGGCATTCGAAAGGGCGAATCGCCCCGCCTTGGTCATGGGCATGGACATGGACATGGCGAAAGGGGAGAGGGAGTGTTCAAAGCCATGCGCTACGAGGAAACGGAGAAGGGTTTAGTGCCGCCCCGGCCAGTGCGCTCCATCAGCGGCAACCGTACAGGGAAAAGTAGTTCGTTGAGTCTGGATGGACCGCGCGATGCTATTGTTGGAGGAGGAGGAGCGAGGAGAGCAGGCGGAGGCGGAGGCGGAGGAGAAGGAGGAGGAGGAGGAGCAGGAGAAGCGGCGGCGGTTGCGGCGTGGGAAACAGGGTTGTACAACCATAGCGGTCGACCAGCATTGGCTGTACCAGTAAATTTGGACCGCCCATCCACTGCACCTGCACCCTCGTCTGCCCCCCAATGGCGACAACAGCAACAGCAACAACGACAATCACCACATCAACAACACGAGCAAGACTTCGACTTCGGCTTCAAGCGCGACAGCAAGTGCGACAGCGCCATTGCGCCTTCCCCGTCGCCCACCGAGGAAGTCACAACAGGCCCCCGGGCGACCAGAAGCAGTCCACCCCTGGTTCAGTCATCCTCACAGCCTCTTCCTCCGCCGCCGCCGTCAGCTGCACCGACTCACGATCCCCATTGCGTGCCCTCGATTGTCGTGGAGCAGGATGAGGACGTCGCTGGCCCGTCGGAGCCGAGCACAATACACACTGGTGCACGTACTTCTCCATTCAGTCGAAAGCGTCAGAAGAAGCCTGCAGCGTTCCGCCAGCGCCTTGCCAGGTCGGCTTCGCCTCCTTCAACATTCCGGAGAATGGCGAGCTTTCGCGGACTGCAGGCAGCTCTGCCCGTAGTGGCTACCGATGATATCAGTCTGGAAGATCTGGCCAGCGATCAGGTCGAATTCTCCGCAAGAGGCAGTCTGCTGTTTGGAGGCAAGAAGATGCAGGAGTTCCTCCGAGTGCAAGAGGAGGAGGACCAGGCTCGTGCCCGTGCCAGTGGAATACCTGTGCCTCTCTCCCTGAGCCCATCCGATCCGCCAGCCAGCAGTGGCATGCATCCAGCTGTACGCACACTGAGCAATCCACGCAAGAGCGGCGAGACAGCGACGGACAGTGCGGTGCCGGGTCAAGAGTCACTGCAGAACGGCGCGACAACTCCGATCAAGGAGAAGCGGCAGGGCTTGGTCGCCGGACGTAGGACACCGAGCATACAGATGCTGCAGGCTGCTATACACGGCGGGAGAGTGCTTTCGGCGGAAGAGATGACATTCTCCATGAAGGTGCGGAGCATGTACGAGTACGGAGACGAGAAAGCTGCCAACTGGGGACTACCGTCAGCCAGACCTTTGAGCCCTGCCACGTCCGGCCATGACACGCCAGAAACTTCCATGCGAGAGAGCGTCACACCAGAAGTGGTCATACACAAAACGCGATCATTCGAACAAGGCGACAAAGACGACAACTGGCCGTTGACTGATGAGAACCGATTGAGCTTCGTCTCCAAATACTCCAGGACTTCTAACGAGCTTGCTGGCGGCATTGAAGACTGGGAGGATGTGGACGGGTCGCTCGTGGACCGGTATGGGTTCATCATCCCAGATCGAGGTGACTCATCTGGTTCTAGCCAATCTCGACCAGAACCGGGGATGCAACGTGTGGCGACCGCCCTCCGCATGGAAGCAGGTAAGCTACGAAGACCGCGAGAGCGGAAGCTTCGCCGAGGACTGAGTAGTGCTCGCTCGTCAAGATCACAACCTGCGCCATCGAATGAATCCAAGCGACGACCCGGGTCGGTGTATAGTACGCGCTCGGCATCATCCGCTAGGACTGGCAAGTATCCGTTCCGCTCGCGAAGCACACGACTCCTCGCCGAAGCATCAGACATGCTCACGCTGCCACCGGGGCTCGAGGACATTGCCGAAAACGAGAAAACGGGCAAGACCGCACCCGTACAGAAACAGCGCGAGTGGGCGCGGGGCGAGAAATGGCAAAGGATGGCTAGGCCGGTCAAACGAGACAGGGAAGGCAAAGGCGGCGGCATGCTTTTCGACTTCGACACTTCAGATCCCAAATTGATCGAACGCACGTGGAAAGGCATTCCCGACCGGTGGCGGGCGACAGCATGGCACAGTTTTCTCTCGACTTCTGCCAAGCGAAGGGGCAGTCGTACGACAGATGAAGAACTGATAGGACAGTTTCACAAACTGCAAGAAATGAGCTGCGCAGACGACGTCCAGATTGACGTCGATGTTCCCCGGACAGTGCAGTTGCATATCATGTTTCGGCGAAGGTACCGCGGCGGACAGCGGCTGCTTTTCAGAGTACTGCATGCAATGGCGCTCTACTTCCCGAAAGTTGGGTATGTGCAAGGCATGGCTAGCATCGCAGTGACGCTGTTATGCTACTTCGATGAGGAGCATGCTTTTGTGATGATGGTGCGACTCTGGCAACTTCGTGGCCTCGAATCGTTCTTCATGGAGGATTTCAAGGGTCTCATGGCCGCTTTGGCCGAATTTGAAGAAGACTGGCTTGGGAAAGGAGACGTGGCGAAACAGCTGGATGAGCTCGGCATCACGTCCCCGACTTATGGCACGCGCTGGTACCTTACTCTGTTCAATATGTCTGTTCCTTTTCCGGCACAATTACGAATCTGGGACGTTTTTATGCTCCTCGGTGACGCGGAAGCAACCGACGGTGCAACGATACCACCCGGAAACGCATTTGGTGGCGCAGACTTGGACGTTCTACACGCTACAAGCGCAGCGTTAGTAGATGCGACAAGGAACATTCTACTGGAAAGCGACTTTGAAAATGCGATGAAAGTCCTTACATCGTTTGTCCCTGTTAAAGACGAGGATATCCTGATGAGGGTCGCCAGAGCAGAATATAAGATGCGGAAGAAAAGAGCCAGTCATGCCAAGGCGTAGAGTGTCTTGACGAATAGTCAGAACAGCAGCTTCTTGGCTGCGTGACTGTCCAGCTTGGTCGAGGTCTTGCAGACCCGGCGGTATGGGCGGTGTATACAATGTCGACCCCTTTTTCCTTTCGAGGCGCGAGGAGTGGAAGTGGAATAGCGGGTGTTGCGCAGCGTTCGGCAGGAACATGGAAACAGCGATGATGTGAGCAAGGTGGTGGGCCCAAGACGACAAGTGGACGCCACTTTTTCTTTTTTGTGTTATGAAGATACCCTGGATCGATCACGCGATTGTAAGTAATAAGAGACCTAATGTAATACAGAGCGACAGCAGCAGTTAGAGAGCAACGTCGAATATAATCTCATCGATGGATATTTCTAGCCTGCCTGGCTCGATGCCTGGAAGCCCAGAGTCTTGGTGTTTTTCATAGCACGCAGTTACTCGCCTGCAAAGACAATCACCGCTTTTACAGGCTGGACTGATGGTGCTTGCTCGAAGCTTCGACCACTGACAACCTGAAAGCCAGATGAAATTACGGCTCAATGCCTACAGTAACCTCTCTCACGTCGGAGTTGACTCTCAACCCAGAAACTCAGGACCAACCTCAGTAAGGTATCTCTCTCGCTCTCAACAAGACGTCTCTCTGCACATAATAGGGGACTATGACCATGCCGGAAATGTCTCGTATTTTCCAGCCGGCTCGGGTTATCGGCATAGAACGTTGGCTGGGGGGAGGCGTAAACGTCCGTTTTAGGAACATGCGTACATGTTTTGATAGCCTGTATATATACATACTTTGATGCGGAGCCCGCTGCTGACATGACCTTGCGTCGATGCACTAATCATATGCATGTCTGACGAACAGGACGTGCTTCAGTGGAGAGACTCTGGCATTGATGAAACATGATATTAATTTACTATGTTGAGTTGTTTGACGAATGGCAGGCTATACACATTGTCTGTGACAAGATGTATGCTCGAGTCATTTTCAAACTATTGGCTGTGGATGCACTATCGTCGACAGCCAAGTCCGCTTCATCATGCTGCTACCTCCTAGGAGGTAGCCATTTGTTGATGTCTGATTGTCTTATGTACTAGGAGGTAGCTAGTCTGAAGGTCCATATGTCGAGTACGTCTCTCGTCCTGTGCGGCGCCTGCACCGTCTCTCTAGACCTCATTCTACAATCTACCTACCTTACCTTAATACATAGGTACCTCCTTCACGACATCGCTACCGAGCTTCTCTCACAATCTTTCACACCCTCTGCCACTGCTCTGGTCGATCTTGGCGACACCACTAGCCCAATTTCTTCTGTGATAGGTCGATCAATATCCAGAAGCAGCAAGCTCTTCTGCGCCTCTTCGCCCGAGCACACGAGGCTGCCATGTGATGATAATAGCGATGATGTCAAGTGGATTGCAAAGCTTAATGATCGTCGTCGCCGTCTAGGCTCTTGCTCTTCCCACGTACCTAATTGGGATTGGTCGTGGGCGGGTGGTGTGTGGTGTGGCATCCACCCATCGCTGCTGTAGGGCGCATGAAATGTCCGGCCGGCATAACGAGCTTGTGTGGTCCTACTCCTACCGATCGATGAATGGTCGACTCTACAGAGGAGATGCACAGCAGCGGAACTCATCGATGCACACTTTCGTGTTTGCCTTTCGGCTGCATACCCAATCTGGACTTTACGCGCATACCGTCGCTTCCTCTTCTCCGGGACTTTTCTCGTTCATGTGATTGGCCTTTTTTCGACCAGAACAGTCGTCGACGTCTCTGGCCACGGCGCCACGGTGTTTCAAGAGGGGCATGGAAAAGTTGGGAAGGCGGTGAATGGGCGGCCGTGTGAGGCGACCCGGTTCATAGGTCAGGTAGGTAGGTATATTCCTGCTGTGTACAGTACCAAAAGAACATTCACAGCAGGTTTCCTGAAGATGTTGAGTAAGCCCGCCGAGAAATGTGGCTGGGCTGTTCGTCCCAGTCAAGGACACACACTACCCCCCCAGCCGAACGAAGACCCTGTACCAAACGTGTTGTTGTTACCTGACTTTGCCGGCAGCCGACCGACGGCTGTTGCATACATATCAATCTGAAACGATATCATTTACGGTGGAACGCGAGATGGGTCTTGAGAGTTATTATGCGACATCGGACGCGCGCTGGGCTTCAACTTGCAGAGAGCCACGCAGCAGCCAGCAGCCCAGCACTCAAGCAGCAACTCGCCAAGCTCGCTCTAATCGAGGCAAGCCACACACGGGTCAGTGCAGAAGTCATGTCGGCCGTGAGCCCGGCGCCCGCTGCAGACAGAGGCAACTTTGACCGAGCGTGCCGTCGTCCCAGTGGGCAATTGCATGCAAGTATACACGGCATCGTTTTCTGTCTGCCATCCATGGGTGAGGGCTACGAGCCTACGACGTACCGGGATGTCGGTTAGTTGTTTCATGGATGGTAAAGCGACATTGTTGCAGCGAGGCTTGTCCCATTTCGCCGTGTCTGGCGCACACGCTGACCCATATCCGGCTGGTACGATGATCTCGTATCATTCGTCTGACTCCGCTTCCCACATTCTTCCAGCCCGTCTGGGTCAGCAGCAACGCGTTCGATCGTTGCCACACCTGCTCTATGGACCATTGTGGTCACAGGACGGCCCGGCTACTTGCAGGATATGAGAGTTGCAACAATCGAGACTGGCGTACGTCGCCCTAGAACTGGACTGGATCTGCGGCCTTGAAAGGCGCCTTTCTTGGAACGAAGGAAGGCAGAGAGAGAGAAAAAAAAAAAAGAGATCGTCATTGCCGCTCTCACCCATCAGCGCCTTCGCTGGCCGCTCTGGACGCTCTCTCGATTTGCTCGACTCAGCTGATCACTCCCGTCGCTTGACAGGAACGTCAGCTGGTGTTGGTGTGCCCGGCTCGCATCTTAATCGACACATTCGTACATTTCCCCTTGGACGACGTGCCAAAACGGTTACGGCATTGACCTGGCATATTCTTTTCTCAGCTCGTGTACGGTCCGCTTTCCTAGGCCGCTGCACGCCGACTACTATTGTAAGCGCGCCCTGAAGGCTGATTCGATCGCCTCCCGCCGCCTTACACTTGCCCGCGAGTTTCCCGTGTCACCTCTCTACAAATCAGTTTGTGTGCATCTGTTGCGGGAAAGCTGCACAGGCTCGACAGACAGGTGAAGCGAATCACGATTGCCAGGCCGTTGAAGTGCTCGTCTTCTCGTGAGTGATCTACATCTCCAAGCAGGGTCTGGACACTGGAGCTTTAACAAGACGTCGATCGATTCACACATTCGTCTGACTTCGGGGTCGATACACGTGGAATTTGGTATGTACTTGCGCGCGCGCGCGCGTGCCTCACCCTAGCCATTACTTTCTGAGTAGTAGTGCCTGCACAGAAGTAACGTTGGCTTCTAGAATTTTATATTCCCTGACCAACGCTTGTGATGTCGCTTACATTATCCCAGCCGACCATAACTGAGTTCGGCAGCAGATACACCCATGATTTCAACCCAAGAATATCGCTTGCTAAGTCGCGTTTCTCCCTCAAGCTACGGGTTGCAGATCCGCCCTCAGCGGTGAGATTGCTGAGGGTCGGCGCCGGATCCGACGACACGATGACTACACCTCATCATCCTCACAGAGGGCTGCCTCCTCCATCGGCCATGTCCCTCCCAGACCCAGGCAGGTCGGGGCCACCTCCATCATTGAGCTCACAATTAGGGGCCATGCCGGAACCTCCCAGGCAATGGGCGGGTCAGGAAGATCAGATGCGCAACTGGCTTGCTGCAAAAGCAGAGGAGGATAGACGAAAGCAAGAAGAGGAGAAGACGAGGCAGGAATCGTTGAGGCTTGAGCAACGGAAGATCGAGTCGGAGATGTTGCGAGAATCGCTACGAGCCGGCGTACCACCAGCTATGGTGCCAATGATCTATGCTGGCATCGGTGGTGGTAACCTATTCAACATCAGCATGGACTGGTTACAACAGTATGCGGGTCAGCTTCAAGCCTCGCAGCAGCAATTACAACAGTCTTCGCCAGAAATGCGGAGGGACGGCAGGCTGATAGCACCACCAGCTGTAGCACCTCACCCTCAACTCTCACAACATCCACCACATCATGTGCTCCCAAGCCAGCCTGCGTCCGAGCCTCCACCCCCGCCGGGACCCATCCAGACGACATTCTCAGCGTATCACCCTTCTCCTGGAAGACAGCCGCAACACACATCAGATCCTCGGTCGGCGACGCAATCGCAGCTACCCAGGCTCACCACAAACGAAATGTATATCCAACAGCCACCCGCGCCATCCGTTACGTCGCACCCTCTACAGCAAAGTCAGTCGGTCCAGCAGGAGCAGCCCGCATCTTCGCCATCAATCTACTTCCATCACTGGGTGCCGCCTAGCGAATCAAAACAGCATCAGCATCCACAGACTCCAGCCAGCAAGAATGAGTCGATTTCATCGCATACCGCAATCAGCATGCGGGAACATGAATACAAGGATTCTCCACGAAAGCGCAAGGCTCAAGGTGAACACCAGGCCAATCCCCCTCCTTCGGCCGGACCTATGTATACTTCGCCCTCATTCTCGGCCACATCATCCAGTTCTCGGCAAGGTGGTCGTGGCCACGCACGTACCCGAAGCAGCGCTTCCTTGGGTCGTGAGAGCGAGCATCGGCCAGGCAGCGCGAGCAACAGGCGAGATGATGCACCGGCTCCATCATTACCAAAACGAGACTCGGGACACCACGACGGAGATGGCAATGGGCATACCGGCGGCGAGGAACAGCCGCCAACGCCTGCCTCGCGTGCGAAAGAAGCGCTCATCACCAGAGTATCTTCGACAGCCCCGTCCATGCCTGCGACAGATTTGTCGCGTTTCCGGGAAGCGCATCCAGTAGAACCGCGACCAGGAGCCAGCTGACATTATTGATCTTGCATGCAGCAGCATAGCATGAACGAAAACTTATTTCTGCTGATATTTCGCATGCGAACTCGTACTTCAGGGTGCAGGGTTTGGGAATCCGGGAGGGTGAGCATCCGGCAGTAAGCAGGCAGGGCAGTATCGTGCCAGCACTGGCATTGGAAGTGGCAGACTTTGGAATCTTTGGACTAAACATAAGATGGGACTTAGGGCTGTCTTTGGGCTTGATCTCCTGCAGAAGTGTTTCGAATGCACATATTGTGGTCGCGCCATCTTGGGTCTTCCTGGCGTGATACCCCAGTGTTGGACTGACTTGTCGTGGAGTTTTGGGGGTGATTCCAAGAATAGTGTCCTCTGCGTTCAAGCGCTTTCTTCTCTGCTTAGGGCCAAGTGTCTGGTTGACTAGGGGCTGAGCATATCGGGACGCATTTGCAGGGCGAAATGGAGGATCCGGACCCAGGGCTGAGCATTTGTAGACTCTTGTATACAGAAGCCGTGTGTTGGCTGCAGAAACCAAACATTCTCCAGCGGAGTACTGTGTTCTTAAATCAGTAGAAAGGCTTTCATATTCAGCGGCTTGAAGGCGATGTCCGCGACGTGAGGTCGAGCCGATAAGAAAGAGAAAAGTTATATTCAGGAGGTAACATTGGAGGTCATCATGCCGCCGCGACGTTATTGGTGATGTTTTGGGCTCCGCACTGACGACGCGGGCCTTGGCGCTGTGCCTTGATGTTCAATGATACAGTACCTGTACCTGAGGTATGTAGCTAAGGTAACATCTTTCTCTTGCGACGTGCGAGGGACATTGAGGCGGTGGGTAATGCTTGCGCGAACAGTCGGGCAGATCCCGTGTGCAGCTATCGCAAAGAGACAACTGGCATGTGAAAGAGCTTGGGGGAGCTGTATTATTGCTCCTGGTCTGCCTGTACGCCGCCAATGGAGCGGACAATTGGAACATCAGCAGCGGCGGCCACTTCTGGTCTTGCTGCTGCAGAACCGATATGCGTCGAGTTCGTCGTCGACGAGATGGAAAAGCCGCCAGGGCAGAGATTCGTATGCGCGAGAAGCCAAGGTCGCGGGTCTGAAGTCTCGCGCCGCCTTCAAGCTGCTGGAGATCAATGAGAAGTACAAGCTCTTTCGAATGGGCGATACTGTTGTTGATCTGGGCTTTGCGCCGGGCAGTTGGAGCCAAGTGGCCGTCAACAGAACGAGCCCAGGAGGAAGAGTCGTGGGAATAGATATCATACCGGCGCAGCCTCCGCGGGGCGCAAATGCGCTACAGGGCAATTTCTTGAGCGCAGAGATTCGCGAGGAAGTCAGGAAATTTGTGAGCGACCCGGATCGCGGACGTGTCAGGAGCAGGACTATCGTCGAAGACGATGTGACTGAAGAAGATCTACAACAGGAGCATCAGGGCATCGTCCAGCTCGAGATGCACGCTGCACAGAATGAGAAGAAGCTCAAAGAGATACCCAAGGCGGACATGACCCAGAAGCAGCTGGATCTTGCTGAGGGGAGAGTGGTCAATGTTGTGTTGAGTGACATGTCAGCACCCTGGCCATTGGTGACCTCTTCTTGGATTCGAAGTGTGTCTAATCCGTATCTCAGGCTCATGAATACTAGCGGTATCGCTGCACGCGATCATGGTGGCAGTATGGTAAGCCTCGTCTTTTTTCTTTCCTACAGCGATACTGGTCTTCAGTGCTGATATGTTTCCGGGCAGGATCTGTGTATGGCTGCATTGACCTTCTGCTTCGATACCCTCTCTACTGGAGGCAACTTCATCTGCAAGTTCTACACCGGGGCAGAGGATCACGCCATGGAGATGCGATTGAAGAAGCTTTTCGAGAAGGTCCACCGCATCAAGCCCGATTCGACCAGGAAAGAGAGCAAAGAGGCTTACTTCGTGGGTCTGCGCCGCAAAGCTGGTGCGAAGCGCGCAGAAGTCCTCGAAGATGGTTGAGACTTATCAAGTCCTATTGAGGACATGAATCTTCGAATTGGGGCTATCACGACCGGAGCCTGTCCCGTATCACATGTTCGTGTGTTCAAATGGGCTCAAAGAACCGCTCCACGCGGCCTGGAAACGTCCTAAAAGATGGATACCTTAGTGCAGAGCATGTTCGAATCTGCCAGCAGTCTTGGATTCACTATCGCGGCTGCCACATCTAGAATTGGCAGCCATGATCGTAGAAAGACGATGAACGAGCACTTGTCACGCCACTCTGCCAGAGGGTTCGTGGTTGAGGCTATGCCGTCTCCAGTTTACAAGAGATCTGACTGGATCCTTTCAGCTGAAGTAACGAGGCATAGCGAACTTTGAAAACGTACCTATGCTGGCTACGGTACACGATGGCGCAATCGTCCGATCGATCGCCACAGCACTCTCTCACTTGCAACGGGCGCAATCCATGTGGTCATGCATATCGCCATCAGGTCAAGAATTGTCGCTGTGTGCAGCATCTTCGAGCACCAGTGGGATACTGGGACACTGAAGACTAGGTGATTTGACACCTCCAGATACTCAACACCAGCTTCCTACAATGTCTCACAATGTGGCTGCGGTATATATCTCGAAGTGTCGACTAACAAAACGCTCATATCAGCAGAATCAGCACGATCATATTCACTCGGTCGTTTATTGTTTGTTACATTTACAAGTCGTAGTGTCAAGTCACTTTTAACGACTTTTCATCACTGGCTGGTGCATCGACGCCTTGTTGACCGAAGTGCTCGACTTGTTTCAACATGGATTGCTTTTCCCCAACATCAAGTATTCAACCGAGCAGATGCGGACGCCACTCCTTACGAAACGTCCTCTCCATAGTCAACTTTCGCCACAAGGCTGCGCTTTGGCTCAGATGAATCCAGGAGTCTCTGGTGCCTACGATTGGTCTCGTTTCTCGAGACTGACGACCGATCTCAATTCTCAGCCACATACCTACGAAGCGCAACTCGTGATGCTATACGACGTGGACCTGACTGTCTTGAGTCGATCCGCCCTTCGCAAGCTCGCCGCCAAATGGACAGGTCAGAAGCAGCCAGGCAATCTTTCGAACCAGGGCTACACCAAGATCCTGGAGGACACACGGCTCCGCATGACGACCTTCAAATTTCTTGGGCTCCCCCGAGAGATGAGGAATCAAATCTACTCTGAGCTCTTGACATTACGCCACCACAGTGGTGGTCGGAGAGGCATGTCATGCTACCCCGTGATCTTGCGTGCGAACAAGCAGATTCTCGAAGAAGCTACGAAGGTCTTGTATGGCGAGAATACCCCAGACGTGGAATTTCGTCAAGAGGACTCAGTGTCACTGAATCAGCACCGTTCCAATCGGGTCCCTGCGCAATGCGTCAGGATCAGCTATGTGGCGATTGAAAAGTTTTCATGGCCCAAGGGGAAAAGTCTCTTTCCCAAGTCGGCCCTTCCCTCGTCGCTTCCGTTATTAGATGTCTGGCCTCAGCAACTTGCACGGTTCCGAAACCTCCGGATCAAAATTGTCTTCGGACACGACATCGCACTGGTCGAGTTTAACCGAGGCCTGTACAGGTTTGTCATGTCCATGATAGCGAGCAAGACCATGAAGACTATCACGCTCGACTTGGATGCAGCGTCTGCCGATGGTTGGACAACAACCACTCTCGAGAAAGTCCTGTGGCCAATAGCATTACTAAGCCTCAAAAATCAGCTCGTCTTCACCGGCATCCCCAGCGCGGTCATGGCAAACATGATGACCAAATTAACTCTCTTCGAGCCCGTGTCCATCGAGCAAGACCTGTTAGTGCACACAGCACATCTTCGCGCCCGCGCCGACGTGCTCATCAAACTCTGGCAAGAACTCGACGGTCTTCATCATAAAATGACATCGGATCTGAGGAGTTCCATTTCTAAACTTCAGCGCTATTTGCTCGATATTGAGGAGATGCGATCTTCGAGAAATATCATTCGGCCGGTTGAGCATGTCATGTTTGTGGAGACGGTTCGTCTTCTCGATGCTTTTTTTCAGGGACCTGCTCCTGGGAGGATCCGAAGTACTGCTTTGTCGAAAGTTAAAGCGATTAATTATCTCTTGGCCTGCTGACAAGATTGTTGTTGGTAAGAGGTCTGGTCAAGCATGGGAAGGGGTCGCGAATGGGAATGGTGTTGCATGTCACGTGGCGTCACAAGGGGTTCAATGATGGGAGAGAGAGATTGAATTGATGAGACTTGTTGGATCTGGCATCTTTGGGGGTTGGTTTCGGAGCTGCTTTGAAGCTGTGTAGTCGTTATGGGCTCTTACCATGTTGGCAAGGGGGCAATATTCGAGCACTTTCAAGTCTCGATATGTACAGACTTCTTGCCCGTTTCCGAGCCAAAAGAATGGTGCGACTGCAGATTGTTCGCAGGAGGTAGATACAGGAGAGTTTTGCACTACCTACGTGGGCTCCCAACACTGCTGCAACATTCGAGAATCTTCTCACGCATATCAGGGGCGCGCTCCAGTACCCTAGCAACGCCTGGCAAGCACTTGGCGGAGTGATGCGCTGCTTGACATGACCGCGATGCACCGTGATAATCTTCTGACGGGAGACTTCGAAGAGGGGATCGCCGATGAGTAGCAATCACAGTGACCCATCTTTTCGAGACCAACTCGCGATGTGTGCAAGCCGGAGAACTTGTGGCAGACGATATACCAAGGAGGCGCTACCACCAAGTGCCATGCGTTTCCTCATCTCTGCCCTCCCTCCACCCATGCAGAATGGCTATTCATGACCGCATGCCGCGCTTCGTAATCGCCGTCTGCAAGAGTGGAGTATCCGTGTATTCACAAACGCAACACATCTTTCTGTTCAAGTCTTCTCCGGTTCCAAGGACTTCTTGATCCGCTCAGTCATTTCATCCTGTTCCTTCTTCGCCTCCCCCTCCTGAGCCACAATCTCATCAGCCCGTTCATCGTAAAACTCCACATCTCCATCCGCGCCCAGTCTCCCTTTCCTTAACTTCTCTCCATACTTCTTCGCAATGTCCTCCATGGTCATCTTGGTATCCTCGAAAATCTTCAAATTGTCGGAAATCAAATGTTGGGATTTGCATTTGGGACAATTGATCACGCAGGTTCCAAAGTGGTAGGCCTGTTTTGAGACGGTATGCCCACTGCGCTCGAGACACTTTTTGCAAGTGAACCACAGTTGGTAAGCTGGCGAGAGAGCTTTGCGAGCTGCGATGGCATCTTTGTCGGCGGCGCTGGTGTCTTCGCGAGTAGTGAGCGGTCGAGCTTCTCGTCCAATCTCCGCATTTGCTTCTTCTGTCTCGGTCGCTGTCGAGTGCGCGCGTGTTTGCTGTGCTATTCGGCGTGGTGATGGGATGGCGAAGGACCGCACAACATTTGCGCTTTTGGGTGCCTGGTATGGAACATGATATGTGCGAAAGGCATGTTCAAAGGTGCGTTGGAAGGCACGTAGACTTCGTGATGCGTTCATGATTGTGGTTGACGGTTGATGCAGAGAAGACTGGCTCATCTGGGAGTCCTGGAAAGCGGGCTAGCGTTTGATTAAGTAAGCATCACGCTGTTGCATTCTCCCACTCTCTGTTGAACTCTACTTGCTAGTCAAGGTATCGGACATCCTCTCATTGCCGCGGAGTACAGGTAATCAGAAAGTGGTCTTTGCGATATTCATGAGCTTTGTCTAACTACCTAGAGTTCGCTCTGCGTACCTAAGGTAAGTAAAAGCAGCGTCTCTTGTGGTATCCTCGACCGTAGCGTGCTTCGCAAGTAGTCCCAGAATCTCGCCACTCTCCGTTATGGAGTCGCAAAGCCCTCTCAATCGGTCAGAAGTATATTACGCCGATTCTTTGCATTGATGAAAGTGTACTAGACGATTCAAAATCAGTATTCCAACCCTGACTACCATGCCTGAGCTCCACCATGAACAGGCTGAACGTTACTCACCTCAGCATACCGCGGCATCGCATCAGCTAATTTCATAGTGATCTGCAGCAGATTTGGCTCAGTCCACACAGGACGCAAACCACCCTTCTCTAGACTTTCCCACCACTTCAAGAAGCTCGGCAAACCATCGATATGCTCGTTTAGGTGGATCTCAACTTGTAGCTGTCCGATGGGTAAAGCCTGTCCAGCGTATTCGCGCACCAAACTTTGCAGAGCATCGAATTCGAATCTACCACCTCAAGTGATCAGTACATCTACCATTACTTGGAGCCATTTCAGACGAGGAGAGAGACGTACCCTTCAATATCCATCTTCAAGATATCCACGTAATCATGTCCATTCATCTCCATCAAGTCATGAATATTGTAGAATGGCGGGTTCGCGCTCAAATCCGACACGCCACTGATTCCAGCTCGAAGAAAATGTGCTCGTTCTCGCATGTCTCGGGGAAGTTGTTGCACCTGAGGAGAAAACTCATCGACAGAAAAGTCCAGACCAAAGACATCACAGCTTGTTCTCTTCAGGACTTCCTCTTCGAACGAAGACTCGTTCTGTACGCCGAAGGAGTATACAACGCAAGGCGTCTTCTTCGAGGATGTTTCGTATCGAGACATACCACAGGTCCATTTCCCACCATCGCCGAGACGACCGACGCGTTCTATTTCCTGTGAGTGAGGGAGAAGGATATCAGCTTGATCCGTTCATCTCCCAGTCTCCTCGTTTGTTATTGCCTGGTAGGATTGAAAACTTACATGAGGACAATTGTACGTAGCGGGGAAGAAGTCCCAAATCGTAAAAGGACTTGCAACGTAACTTGTTCCCTCTGTCGCAGGAAACAAGCTTTTTTGAGGATCTTTGTAATTGCTATACATCTCATGCCGCTCGTTCACACTCTTCTGCCACATCTTTTCAGAAATTCTGAGACGCTTTTGTATGCTTTTGCCCGGGATCGAAGCTCGGAGCGTGTCAAATAAGCCATCGCTCGCACTGCTAGATTCGAGATTGTTGTGATCATTGCGGTGGCCTTTTGGTCCGCTGCTGGAAACCTGTGAAATTATGATGAAGAGTAGAAGGATGAGTCCTGTCAGGAAAAGAACTTTCGGAACGGTCGCACTTCGATTGGTGCTTGAAGACAGCATAGCGGCAGTGGGGGATGTGGTAGAGCTGGTCACAGATTAAGTGGATGTTGCAGCAAGCGCTCGTGCTATAGTTCTTTCTCGCGTCGCGTAAAGGAATGCTCGGCAAGGGTCGTCGCGTCTTGAGCGTAGGGAATGTCGGGGGGTGCTCTGTGACACCACGAATCTTTTGCTGGTTGCGAAAACGCTTTTCGCGAGTATTATCACATCGACAAACCATGGAGCCATATGCATTATACTTTCTCTGTCTCGCCCTGTTCGTCGCCGGATTGGCCTATCATCAGAAAGGTCAAGATCGAGATGAGGAGGATCTAACGCTGGCTTTGCCCAAGGATGTCTCCAAGCAAGCAGAAGCGCGGAGATTCAAAAGAGAGTACTTCACTGTGTATTTTCTTGTCGTGTCAGCAGACTGGATTCAAGTGAGTAGGCTTCTCGCTGTTGTCCGGAAACTAGCTGCCTGCTGATTTTCTTCTTAGGGCCCATTCATGTACACGCTCTACAAGGACGAGAAAATGCTAAGCGAAGCAATTGTCGCCTCGCTCTTCACAACTGGATTTGTCTCAGCAGGAATTACGGCCTCGTTTGTTGGGTCCCTCGCAGACCGCCATGGCCGCAGACTCGCCTGCCTCGTCTTCTGTGCAGCATACTCATTGTCCTGTCTGTCAGTTGTCAGCGACGTTGTCCCGGTCCTCTTCATAGGCCGAGCGTTAGGTGGCTTAAGCACGACGCTGCTTTACTCAGTCTTTGAGACTTGGATGATAGCCGAGTATCAGTCCAGGAGATTAGGAGAAAGTGACCTGACATTGGGCTACATGTTCAGTCAAAGCGTAACGTATAGTGGAATTGTGGCCATTGTTGCGGGTTTTGTGGGCGAAGCTGTTGTTTCGTGGTCTGGAACCAAGACCGCTCCATTCTTACTGGCGGTTGTATGTCTGACTTGTGCTGCAGGCGCAATCCGCCAAAATTGGGTGAGTCAATAGCCGTCTTGACCGCTTCGTGATACCAGCTGACATGGCTTTTGTAGGCCGAGAATTACGGGCAATTAGTAGAAGAGGAGAAGGCAGCTTCGAGCTCTGCCACTGGAGTTCAGACGATACTGCTCGATAAGAAGATCCTAGCACTGGGACTCGCTACGACGGTATTCGAGGGCTCGATGTATCTTTTCGTCTTCTTCTGGTCGCCTGCTCTGCGTTCAGCACGAAGCGCAGCTGGCATCACTGAGGCGCCACCCTTTGGCTTGATTTTCAGCTGCTTCATGTCCGCTATGATGCTCGGCTCCATGATATTCTCTGGCATCGACCTCAAATCTGTGAAAGACACGGGAAGGCTCTTGCTCGGTATTTTGACACTGGCGGCAAACTGCTTGCTTGTGCCAGTGCTGGCATCATCCGAGATGGCGACCTTCTGGGGCTTTACCATTTTTGAAGTGTGCGTGGGCATGTACTTTCCCGCGATGGGTAGACTGAAGAGCGAGCTGGTAGACGACGCTGTAAGGGCCAGAGTGTATGGCGTGATGCGTCTACCACTCAACTTGTTTGTTGTTGTGGCACTCGGCTTGACACAAGAAGGTACAATATTCAGGTATGATCGTTTGACGATGAGTCCGGGATATGCTGACAAAACGACAGGAGACGCATACCGCAACTTCATCTTTACCGCTACGGGTAGCTTTCTTCTTGGAGCATTTCTTGTGGTTCAGAGATGCCTGATTTGAGCCCGTGCAGCATGAGATGAGTGGGGGGAAGGGGGAAGGGGGGAGTGAAGAGTGCAAGAGTGAAGAAGAGTGAAGAAGAGTGTGAAAGGTCAAAGTGCAAAGTGACGCGAGGCGAACGCGCTCTTTCCCATTAGGGTTAGAGCTACATGTACGCTGGTACGGGGGAGTCGGGGACTACGGTTGACGGGTGAGAGCCTTTGGGCCAGAGACCACAATCCGTATCGATTCGCTGTGCAACTCCCTTCCTATTTGTAGGTAAAAGTATCTCTGTACGCGCGTGAATATCGTGTCGTTTGTCAAGCAGTATGTTATACTACCTACTATAGCTACAGTATGTACCTACCTGATGTAGTACATCACTCTGGACCACCCGTCATCACCTCTCAGCTCAAAGCCCTGATCGGCGCACAGACGCCGTCCTGCCGGCTTCTACTTAGGTCCCTAGTCTGGAATGGAAGCCCGCTTCTGCTTCGAGACATTCCCCATTCTCGCACTTCTGTCTGCTTGCGACACTGATTTCCTTACTCTAGAGCTTCTGTCTTCTTCTCATCTTTTCTGCCTGCTGACACGCCACCCTTCGTAGCCATCCTCCGCTCCTATCTCCGCCAGGCACCGCTGCCCCACCTCCACAGGACCGACCACCTGGACTCCGCCGCAAGTGAAGGACAAAGACATTTGAGAGAGACGCGAAGTGCCCGTCATGGCCTCGCTTGCAGGCAGAGGACGGGCTAAGATACGGGCGCCACGACGAGTAAGTCCTCCCACAAACATTACCCATCTTCTCATCTGAGATCGGCCAAACACTTGCCAGCCCCCACCAAGCTCGTCGATCCTTCTATTCCACATTCTAGACACAACCGCTGACATGGCTGTTCAGACTCTTCATGGTGCCGACGTCGATTTTGAAGCCACCTGGCAGGTGCTGGAGCGAGCGTTCACCGAGATACACGAGAAGAATGCCTCTGCACTGTCATTCGAAGAGCTCTACCGCAATGCCTATAAGCTGGTGTTGAAGAAGAAAGGGACAGACTTATATGACAAGGTTGCGCAGTTTGAGGAGCATTGGTTGGGGGATGGTGTACGGCCGAGGATTGTCAACCTACTCACTGCGCCTCTGCAGCTCACTGACGATCTGGGCCGATCACTGGCTACCACATCAGAACGCAGAGTCGCGGGCGAGCGTTTTCTAGCCTCGCTGAAGCTCGCCTGGGAGGATCATCAGGTTTGTATGGGCATGTTGACTGACGTGCTTATGTACATGGTGAGTACCATTTTCTCTTGAAATTCGTTCTAGAAGACACAGGTGTGACTGATGACAGCAAAAGGACCGTGTGTACTGCACAGACAATCGCCAACCGTCCATTTTCGCCAAATCCATGTCCATCTTCCGCGACCAGATCCTACGAACTCCCATCCGCTCAGGCGCCGATGACCTTCTCCAGTACCTCACGAACCTCATACTTGACCAAATCTCCATGGACAGAGAAGGCGAGAGCATAGATTCCTCTTTAATAAAGTCGAATATTTACATGCTGGAGGGTTTATACGAATCGCAGCAGGAGATTGAGGAAGAGAAGCTATACATTAAGTCGTTCGAGGCCGACTTTCTCGAGAGGAGTGCGCGTTTCTACCGGGAAGAAGGTGAGCGGCTACTCACAGAGGCAGACGCTGGCACGTATTGCAAACATGCAAAGCGGCGCATTGATGAGGAGAGCGATCGCTGCAGATCGACTCTCTCTGAATCGACAGCGCCCAAGATCCAGAAAGTCGTGGAGGACGAGTTAATACGGCATAAGATGAAAGGCTTGATTGAGATGGATTCTGGAGTACGCTACATGATCGACAACGACAAGTACAACGAGCTGCACTTGTTATATGATCTGGAAGCACGTGTGGACCCAAAGAAGCCAGAACTTACCAAGGCCGTGCAAGTCATTGTGGCAGAAATGGGCGCAAAGATCAACGAGGACGCCCACACAGCTACCTCAGCTCCTCCTGCGCCAGCAACGTCCGCCGAGGACGGAGAGGTTGAGAAGACGAAGGGCGGCAGTCCGAAGCAAATCAATCAACAGACCATTGCAGCCCTCAAGTGGGTCGAGGAGATACTGGCGCTCAAGGATCGCTTCGACACAGTGTGGAAGGTCTCGTTCAACAGCGACCAGAGCATCTCGACGGCGCTCACTCGTAGTATGAGTGACAACATCAATGCATTCGCTCGTGCAAGCGAGTACATCTCCCTCTTCATCGATGACAACATGAAAAAGGGCATCAAGGACAAGACCGACGAGGAGGTGGACCGGATATTAGAGAAGGCGATTGTGCTGCTCCGTTATCTTCAGGATAAGGACATATTCGAAAATTACTACAAGAAGCATCTCTGCAAGCGATTACTACTTAAGAAAAGTCACGACCCCGATGTGGAGACTTCCATGATTAGCCGCATGAAGATGGAGCTTGGAAATAGCTTCACCATGAAGCTCGAAGCCATGTTCAAGGATATGCGTATCAGCAAGGACCTGACGGACAATTATCGTAGGAAGGTGGCTGGTCTCGGCGATGGCGATCGCAGTCGCGTTGACCTCACTGTGAACGTGCTGACCTCGATGACCTGGCCACTCGAGGCGTTCAGGAGTTCGTCAGAAGACGACATTGAAAATAAAGCTCAAATCATATATCCTGCCTCGCTGGATCGTGTGCGACGTGGCTTCGAAGCTTTCTACTCGGAAAAGCACTCCGGCCGCAAGCTCACGTGGCAGACGAGCATGGGGGATGTCGATGTTCGAGCACGCTTCCCGCGGTCGAACAAGATCCATGAAGTGAACTGTTCCACATATGCGGCGCTCATTCTTGTTCTCTTCAATGACCTCGCTTCTGGGGATACTCTCAGCCTCGAAGAGATTCAAAGCAAGACCAACATACCGATGAACGCACTCAAGCGCAACCTGCAGTCATTGGCAGTAGCGCCTAAGACGCGGCTGCTCTCGAAAGAGCCGATGGGGCGCGAGATCAACGCTGGCGACAAATTCGGCTTTAACGAGCAATTCAAGCCGACGGCGATCAAGATCAAGGTTGGTGTTGTCTCCGCTGGTAACAAGGTGGAAGGCGACAAGGAGCGCAAGGAGACGGAGAAGAAGAACAACGACAGCCGTGGTTACGTGATTGAAGCTGCGATTGTGCGCATCATGAAGCAGCGCAAAGAGCTGGCCCACGCGCAACTGCTTACCGAGACCTTGACAGTGTGCTCTGCACAGTTCAAGCCCGATGTGAATATGATTAAGAAGCGCATTGAGAGCTTGATTGAACGCGACTATCTGGAGCGTCTCGAGGACGCGCCGGTGGCATCGTACAAGTACATGGCATGAACGAGGAGATGTGCGCCGTTCATTTCTTGCTTGAGTGCTTTCGCATGGCTTTGGCGTTGCTCTTTCTTGGTCACGACATTTTGCATATAGGGCACTGCATAGGACGGAATGGTGGGCGGGCGGGCGGACGGGCGTACTTGATGGAGCGGAGCATACTTGCAAAGGGGAGGTGCATGGCACACAGCACAGCGAGGCGCCTTGGGATTTCTACGATCACGACTGCTGCCGACCAAAAAAAGTTGTAATAAGGTAGCGTCCAAATGACGCTCGCTGGCGAAAGTAGAGAGGCGCTTATACAGCGCCAAGCTAGATACCCCTTCGCGACTTGAATCAACGCTTTGAAGTTGAAGATTGATGATGCACATTTTGTTGTCCGTCGTCGGGTATTGCTGTTCAAGGTACCGCACTGATGCATTGTTGCATGCAAGTACAGATAAGGTACTTACGTGTATGAGAGACGACAAGAGCATGACACGGCTTGTAATGTACCCTCTCGAAACCAGGCTCGACGCCTTCCACTGCAGGTATGATGATGACAGTTGCACGTGTTGTTCTTGGAGAGCCACGGCGCTTTGCCTCAACCAATGGAGGAGGGTATGTATAGGTGGTCTTTAGGAAAGGACGGTGTACATGAAGTTGCTTACCTTACCTAATCTTTGCTGATACAGGTACCTTACCTATACTCCACAACCGAGTAAGATTCAACGACACACCTCACCAAGCATTGAAAAGAAGAACAAGCAACAAGCACCGTTTATTTACCTACCTATGCCCAAGACAAGCTTATCTTGTCTCGGCTTTTTCTTCACGGGTAGAGAAAAAACTGGTACCTTTTTGCTTAGGTACTGTTCTAGTTCATCGGCTATATAGATCTGCAGAAATGGTTTGAAACAGTAGTGCTGGAGGCAATGGAGGAGGGAACCCCCTTTGAAGGACTAGATCTACCGTATGCGACCAACAAAAGGGATGATGCACTTGGATCGCTCCTCTCTGGCTGAGGTAAGGTAAGGTCAGGTATAATGATGACATGGCGATCCCGAGAGATGACATTTGTGCGACGCAAATGAATCATTCGGGATAGCAAGACGCAGGTTGGTATCTGCAGTACGCACGCTGGCAATTATAATAATCAGGTGTATACATATACATGTATGAACATGATTGTATGGTATACCGCGAAGATCGGGTAGGTAGCGAGGTGACGTCTTCCCTTTTCTTCCAGATTTCGTGTCCAGGCATCAGTGATGAGCGGGGCGAAACGAAGAAAAAAGGGCTTCGAGGATCGAGAAGAGAGAGAATGGCGGTAATGAAACCCCGGCGTCGCGGCTGAGCCAACGGGGGGGAGTGAAATTGAGATTTGGTCCAATCAAACCGGTGGATTCATGATTCTTGTCGACTCCACGCTCCACCTACCTCCACATCACGTCCCACCTCCACTTTGTCGCGGCCAGCAGGGAGAGAAAAAAAGATTTCACACGCGCGTCTACCTCCTATATAGGTGGCCTGTCTAGTCGAGTACCTAAGGTACCCTAGTACTACTCTACGGCAATGGTGGACTGCTTGTTGAGGCGCGCATACACACCTATACAATCACGCAGCAAGCAGAGTACCGCACGTACCTATACAGGTCAGCTGTAGTTCGACCAAACCGGCGGCCGTCTGGCTCGGGCAAAGGAAGATCAAGAAGAAGAAGCAGAAGAAGCCAGCAGCGTCCCGAATCGAGTCTCCCTATTCACAGGAACAGGCAATGAATCGACGGAAGTTTCGCTAGCCTACCGGTGGCCATCCTCTTAGGTCTCCAGAAAAGGTGTGCCCCTGCCGCGCATGCGTCTCTCAGTAGCGCTTCTGTTGCTTGCGTGGCCACGACATGAAACGACCAAGATCCACTGCGCAAACGCCTCTGGTGCGGACCTGCAGACCCTTCCCGTGTGTGCATCAGCGCAAAGAAGGAAAAGATCTCCGGCCCGCAGGTCTGCATCCCTGCTGCATGTGGAATAGAGTGAAGCTGCATGACGACCTATGTATACACACACTCTCACACTCTTTTTTCTTTTCTCGTGCTGCATCTGCTCTTCTTTCTGCTTTTTGTCCTCAACTCACATCGACAGTCGCTCCTGCCAGTTCACTTTGACACACACACTCTCTCTCCCTTGTTCTCCGGAACTACCACACTCATTCACCATCCAGGTTCTGCAATAGCGCTCTGGTAGCCGCTCGACGCAGACTTGCACGCAAGAACAGCATTATCGCATTCTCACCACACATCAATTCACTGCTCATTCAAACACCATGTCCTCCTCCGTGAAGCTCTCCATCCTGGCGCTGGCGTCGTCTGCTGTCGCCGCCCGACACGGTCACGTCTATGGCCATCACCGCCTGCACGCTTCTGGAACTGGTGGCGCCGCTGCGACTGGCTCCGCCGGTCTGTACCCATACCCAAACGCCAACGGAACTCGCGTCTGGGGATCGACTGGCATGTCCGTTCCAACCGCATATGGCTCCTCTTCTGCCGTCGATGCTGAGCACAGCACTCTTCACTCGACTGCTTACCACACTGCTTACCACACTGTCACAATGAAGGCCGACAACGCAGCTGCTGTTCCTAGCAGTGCTGCCGCTCCAGCTGGCTACGGCTCTTCGTCCTCACTTGCTGCTGCTCAATCAGGTGACTCGTGCGCAGCCGTCACCGTGACATACACGGAAAAGGTCACCGCAACGATTACCGAAGGTCAGAGTATACCCTCCAGCACCGACTCTTCTCCAGTCGATTCTACTCCTGTTGCCTCTGCGCCTGGCTACTCTGCCCCCGCGTACGGCTCAAGCTCCAGCATCGATGCCTCTCCAGTGGGCTCTACTCCTGCTGCCTCTGCGCCTGGCTATTCTGCCCCAATGTACAACTCAAGCTCCAGTACCGGTGCCTCTCCAGTCGGCTCTACTCCTGTTGCCTCTGCGCCTGGCTACTCTGCCCCCGCGTACGGCTCAAGCTCCAGCACCGATGCCTCTCCAGTGGGCTCTACCCCCGCCGTCTCTGCGCCTGGCTACTCTGCCCCCGCGTACAGCTCAAGCGCCGGCACTGAAGCTTCCCCCGCTGGGTCAAGTGTCTCCGCTCCTGCATACTCTGCGCCAGCAAGCACTTCCTCTTCTTCAACGGCCGCGCCGATTCCATCCTCCAGCAGCGAGGATTCTCCAGTCACTACTGCGGCGGCTAGTTACAGCAGTGCCTCGACATCCGATGCGATTACTGCTACCCCCTACGGTGGTGCCAACAAGCAAGGCGGAGTGCACCTCAGCTTGGCACTCGGCTACCCCAGCGCGTCGTCTACCGCGTCGGCTGCTGCATCCTCCTCGACCTCTTCTGGGTCTTCATCCGGAAAGCGTGGTCTCGCTTACAACGATGCTAGCCTTACCTCCTGCTTTAAAGGCTCTCGGGAAATCACGTGGGCCCAAAACTGGGGATCTTCCAGCAACGGTCTGAGCAGCGATTACACTTTCATCCCAACCCTGTGGGGCACACGCTCCGACTTTGTGGACTCCTGGAACGAGAACGCCAAGGCTGCTATCAGCTCCGGCTCTACTCACCTCTTCTCCTTCAACGAGCCAGATCTCCCTGCACAAGCCAACTTGGGCTACGCAGCTGCCGCCACCGCCTACGCACAGTACATGAACCCGTTCAAGGGTCAAGCCCAGCTCTGTGCTCCCGCTGTCACCAACGGAGGCGGTGACTCCATGGGTCTCTCCTACCTGAAGAACTTCCTTTCAGCCTGCACGGACTGCCAAATTGACTGCCTCAACATTCACTGGTATGACAGTGCTGAGAACGTCGACTACTTCAAGTCACATGTGGAGCAAGCGATCGAACTGGCGAACGGCAAGCCAGTGTACATCTCGGAGTTTGGTTGCACTGGCTCTGACGACCAGATCAACAGCTTCCTCCAGGAAGTCATGCCTTGGATGGACAACAACAGCAACATTGCTGGCTACGCTTACTTCATGGTGGAGAGCGGAAACCTCCTGAGCGGTACTGAGCCATCCACCTATGGCCGCACATACATGAGCTACAACTAAGAGTGTCACGCGCGTAGTAACTATGCGTGTGTACCTCCTAGTCGGATGTGTGTTCTTTCTTTGTGTACAGACTGGGGATATCCAGCAAAAATGCCAGGACGGCCCTTGGTACGGCGTCACGAATGAGTCCCAACAATGTCCCTGTGTAACTTCCACTTGTCTTCTTGTACATGCTTCTTTTCAGGGGAGGATAACGGTTTGGTTGTGATTCAGGTTTGCGTACGCGCTCCATCAGGACGGATACTGGTATCAGCATTGGGCCATGCGTGACGCGTGAGATTGGAGGAAAAAGCGGGATAGGTAGAACAGAAACAGCACATGGTCGATATGAAGCCGCAGCAGTGCTCGTATTGAATGAGAAACATGACCTTTTCGAAGTGCGATGAATTCTTTTCTCAAATCAATAGACATGCGTGCGCTTCCCACATACTTGACGTGAACTTTGCCGTACGCATCCCCATCCCAGCGCGCTTCGAATGATGATGATGACTCTTTCAAGAAAAACAACAATAGCAACAAGCAGCGCATACCTGTATCTATCTAATGTCCGAATTACATACAGGTATCACTCACCCAACTCGCGCACTTTACCAGCAGCGCAGAAAAAGAAATACCAAAAAAAAAAACAAACAAATTTTCCATCCCCACGACGACGACGATTCTCAACAAATAACAGCAACAGCAATACCAGCAACCTTGACCAAAAAAAACTAGAACCGCTTGATTCTCAGCTTAATCCTCCTCCTCCTCCTCCATCACTAACACTATCCGTCAGCAATAACAGATGTGACTAAACTAACCACACTGCAACCTTGCTGCTTCTTCTTCTTCTTCTCAGTTTCTTCTCAGTTTCTTACTTCCCAACCACTCAGGGTAAAGATTTTTTCGCTCACATACACCACACCACACTTGCTCTGCTTCTTCTCTACCTCGTGCTACAAAGTCGACCGATCTCATCATCGCCATTGCCATTGCACGAGTGACGCGAGACGCGAGACGCGAGACGCGATGTCTTCTTCTTCATCTTCTTCTGCTTCTGCTTCTTCTACTGCTCTAGAGAGATGGACTGCTGGTGGTGTTGCTGTACGTTTATCCCCCATTTCCCATTTTTGAGCGAGAGATTAGGAAGTCTGCTAATTTCTTCTTCCTTTTTTTTCGCACAGACATTCATCCGCGATGAAGTGCAAGCTGCTGCTGCTGCTGCTTCTTCTTCTTCTTCTTCTTCTCCCTCGCACAAATCAGATGTCACGAGGGATGTCACCGTGAAGGAGGAGGGGGAGAGGGGGAGGAGGACGACGAGGAGGGAGAGAAAAGGGAGTTTGGAGGGTGGGTATCAGGGTGGTGTTGCGGATGGAGTGGATGTGAAGGATTTTGCTGCGATGAAGTTGGGGGTTGAGGGGATGGTGGTTGAGGATGGGGTGCGGGGGGAGGGAGAGGATGATGGAGAGGATGATGGAGAGGATGATGGAGAGGATGATGGAGAGGATGATGGAGAGGATGATGGAGAGGATGATGGAGAGGGAGAAACCTGCGGGGGAGAGGGCAAGGTGACTGACTACTCGGTAGAAGTAGGAGGAACCCAGCGGAGTTGAGGTTGCTTTCGTGGAAAGTTGATCGTGCGGTAGAGACTTGCGGACCAAGTAGTCATTGTGGTCTGAGAGCCGTTGTGCTGCCTTTTCTGGGACTGGTCGAGATGTAGCAAGTCGCTGGTAGTCACCTCCGAAGGTAAGGTACTGTACGAAAGAGAGATAAGGAGCAGCCAGAAACATCACTCAGACTTCGCGAGATAATGTCAAAAGACAAGGGAAAGACTCACACGACACCCATCGTCAGAAGCAAAGTAGGAGGAGACCTGAACAACAACGCTCCACTTGCGAGGAATCAATTAGCATTCATCCCATATTCTACATCAAACACATCCCCCTGATTAAAAAAATCCACCAGAAGAAAATTCGGCCTTCGATTATACATTCCTCGACATCTCGCCGCATGCTCACCCAGCTCTCCCACATGAAACCCCGCTCCATTAGTCGTATCCGCAAAACTAGCATTTGGATACCTGAAACCCAGAAAATTCGCATAGAGAAAGTGATTGACCAAACTCAGCATATCGGGAACATAATTCCGTTGATACCACGGTCTTGACGCATCACACGTATACTGATCCGGATTCTCATTCACGAAATTCGTCTCAAAGAGATAATTGAACTCCAATAGCAAAAAAGGTACAACATCCTCATCTGCACCATTCGAAAGAAAAGTAATCAATCTCTTATTCGTAGCGACAAGCTCTGCTATACTCGGCCAATCCCCCGTACGCATTTTTCTATCGCGTTTCTCGCGAGGCGCAATGAAAGATATGGTATCGAGTCCCGTGTCGAAATATGCTTGAGCCCAGTGCTGGAGCGGCGGACCTGTATTGACGAATAGCAGCGTTACGATTTCTTGTGGATTCGCTTCGAGAAAGTCTCGGATTGCCAGGAGATGAGATGTTAGAGTGCCGCCATCCATTAGGGCGCAATTGAAGTGGCACAGGCGGATTTCGTTCGAGCCTTGGGGATCTCGATGGCCTTGGGCTTGAATCAGTCTCACTCCTGCGTTGAGCTGTGCGGAGACATTAAAGTATTGGTTTCCGGATAGCGAGTAGCCATTTTCTTTGGTTCGCACAGCAGCTGCATTGTGCGTTCCGATGAATGTCTGTTCCGAGTAGCGCTTGTAGTACAGTTCGGGAACAGGTCTCCTATGTCCTGGTTTCTTGGGCTGAGGGTCGAGTAATCCAGGCGCTGGGAGGACAGGCTGCTGCTGGATGAGCCATGATGTTGCAGATGATATGCAGATGAACGCTGTGATCAACAACAAGAAGAAGCCGTGCATGATGGAAGAATACGCTCCGAATACTCGCTGTCGTCGACGCAAAGCCTCATAATCCCTGCTGCCGCGCCGGTGGCTACATGGGAACTAACGAGATCTGGTAAGGTACAGTTCGGTGCATCACACACCGAGAGCTGCTCTCCAATTCCTCATCATATTCCCTCCCTTCTACGGGTGTCAACATGCTCTCGAATAAGTCGGCCGACAAAACCTTCGACTTGCAATAAAGACTCTTGTTAATGGATCACATTGCGATTGGAACTATACAAAGTAAGGTAGGTAAAGCGCTCAATAGCACATATAATTAGCGCTGGGGAACGAGGTTTTGCGAGGAGCATATAGCTACCTGAGTTACAGAATCATACAACTAAGTATAACTAGTATTCCAGCTCAGAAGGGCTTCATAAATCCTGCTAAGGCAATACGATGGCGTCCTCCGATCTTTACCGAGATGAATCTCTCACTAGATCCTCCTCTATCCCATGTTCTCTCATAAGTTCTTCGATTTGTCTCGCCCTCGAGGCGTGGCTTACCATTCCTTTCCTATACGGCCTCTAGGATCGGCTCTAGGGGAGCTTTTCAATCTGGTCATTGTCGCTCAGTTGGCTGCCTGTTGGCTTGCTAGGCAGAAATTTTGGGCAATGCTAGTTTGCTGAAGCACTCCTCCATGAGGAAGCTATGGAATCTTCTCGAGTACATTCTAGACTGAACGAGCTCTCGATCTTAGACAAACCCATCGATGCCGATCAATTGAGCGGTCCTGTGATGAAGGTCCCGGAACACAAGACCAAGTAGCAATCTACATGGGTGTGCAGTGGTTGATACGTCAGATGTCGTATATGCAATCAGCAATAGACCTACGCCAGCGTCTTTGACCAACCCTTCGAGGGCAACATCAAGTCGTGCTGACATGCTGCAATGGTACATTAGCGTTGCCCTTGTAGCCCTCGTACCAAGGCGGCTTTCCATCCTCATCCAGTTCCGCCCAAACAAACATTCCACAGTCCTTCTTGGAGTGGGCCTGGTAATTCGCAAAGCATTGCCTATTTTTTCGCACACGAATCGTTAGCAAGACCTTTGCCATCTGAGCTTGACTGGAAAAACACAGCGTCCACATACCACATATATCTTCCTCTGGTCACGGCTCTCTTCTGCACACATCTCAGAACCATGGGCACATCACACTTACACTTGGGTGTGTACTTTGGGTGCAGATAGTCTTTGTAGCATCGGTAGGTAACATTTAATCGCTTATTGCCAGCCAGTGGATGGGGATCAATCGACTTCGCTGGGGCTATGGAGTGTTTCCACTCCTCCTGCATCTCGGCATGCATTACGAGCAGACTGTTATGCGGCAAGTGAATGGCAATCTGTCCCTGTTCGTCCGCCTGAATCCTCGAGTCATCTGTAGATGGAGGCACAATCCTTCTTACGCGGAACTCTCTGGCTACGCCTAACGACAGGCTACCGATTACCGCTCGAGGACCCAGATAGGTAAGCTGGTCCGCGTGATACCCTACACTCTCCTTGCTGCCATCATAGCAGTTTACGAAACTCGCGTTCGGCTCCCAGGTTTCCGGTGACTGAAATTTTAGCTTCTTGCCATCTGTCTGGTAGTCTCGCATCCGCCGCTCGACCTCTTCGTTTACGGTTTTCTTCACAATCTGAGAGACCTTGAGCATTTCAGGCGTAGTCTGCTTCAGCGCCCCAGACTCATACACGCTACCATCGTAGAAGAAGTTCGTCTGCTGGTCCTTCACTGCCTCTGGAGTGTCCAAGTAGAATTTGAACGTCGAATGATTCTGGACGGTCCGCCCAAAGAGCTGGAAGGTGCCCCGTTCAAAGCTCGGCGCTTCGTCCAAGAGCTCTCGCAGCAAGGCATCAGCTTGGGCGGCTGGGAGGAAATTGTGGATGATCGAGCATGGTGTATTGGTTTCAATGTCCATCGGGTCGTAGAGATGTAACGTCTTGCCCTTTTGGGGCAGCTGCTGCTTCGAGCAAGAATGTGACGACGTGTTGCCACTGTTTGCGAAGAAGGTCAAGGACGATTGATAGCCAATTGTCTTGCGCTTCACCGGCCGCTCGAGTGCGCCCGAAAGCGCCGCAGCCGCCTTCTCATAACTCCCATTGTATGCTAACAAGTAGTCGAGGTGGACTTCGGGGCTCTTATCAGGATAGAGTGATGCCAGCATGGCCAGCTTGAAATCCGTGTCCTCGTTTGACTCCTCTGCCTCTGTAGAACTGGCCTTTGCTGTCGGCTCTGCAGATGTCTTCAACCGTTTGGCCCTGTGCTCATCCATCTCGTCTTCGTCCTCGTCTTCGTCCTCGTCCTCGTCCTCGTCATTGTCATCGCCGTCGTATGTCTGACGAAGGTCCCCTCTTTTCTGTTACGGGAGCGCGTCAATGGAGTCTGTCTGCTTACCTGAGTCTAGTTCTAGCCAGGCACCAAGGCAAAAAAGCCGTCTCCAAAACTAGCCGCGGCAGCGACATCCTCCACAACAGTAGGACAGCCCGCCTACATACATACATAGTCGGCCGACACTACGAAGAACTCACCACTAGTTGGCTAGAGTCAGCGCTTGACGCAAAACCAAAGACGCGAGAAGAGCAGAAACACGTCGGCGAGCACTTCATTGGGATTCATTTCGACGCCAATCCTTGCCTTTCGGACTCGGGAGCAATAACACGACGGATTCGCACCCGGTATCGTTCTCTGCGCGCGCGCCCGCCGCGTCCAGTCGTTTGGAGACACGTTGCTCTTCCCTGATGCCTCGACTCAATCACCGCAAAGCGAGAACGGGATGTCAACGCTGCAAAGCTAGAAAGGTCAAAGTAGGTCGTGCTTGAAGACAGATAGACAGGCAGACAGGCAGGCAGACAGTCTACTGAGCCTACACTTCCCATACCACCACTGAATGACCGTACGCGTAGCATTCAATGCCAGCAGCGAACTGACGGCGCAGCGCAGTGCGATGAGGGCAAGCCCAAGTGCTTGGCTTGTGCCCGACACAACGTTCCGTGCGAATATGTCGACCCTCAACCGCGCCGCTCGGAGGGCCATCAGGCGCCATCTCATTGCCCAGGATATGGCGCTGTATACCCTCCGAGTGCACGTCAGGTTGCCGCCATACACAATCCAGTGCTGGCGGGCGAGCTGAAGCTGGAACTGCGGCTCATGCGCGAATGGATCGTTGAGATATGCCCCATTCTTGCTGCAGATGTCACTTTCTGGCAGAAGCAAGCGACCGATCTCGGCTTGGAACACCGCATTGTACTGGACGCCATGTTCAGCTTGTCCGCCCTTCATCTCTCTTGGCCACTCCGAGGTCTCGCTATCTTGGATGGCGCGAATCACAACGTCTCATCAAGGCGAGATATGTTGATCGTGGCGCAAAAGTACCTTCAGCGCGCACTGGATGGCCACGGTGTCGCCATGAACGCTCTCAACGCGGACAACGCCAAGGCTGTATACGCAACATCTGTGCTCCTGCTGTACTACTCATTCTTCAATCTCGGTGAGATTGCGTATGAGCCTACGCTTCCAGGCTACGATCACACCTTTTGGACTCGACTTTCGGGGCATACCCATTACCTGTGCGAGCAGTGGGCGGCTATGGACCATGGCGAACAACTTATGGCCGAGTGGGGTGTAACATTTGGCCGGTAAGTGGACCTGATGTGTCGTTCCTGTCCCCCATGTCGTTAGGCATTCACTGCTCCACGGTAGAATGTGCACCCTTCGCATTGCTGATATCCTCCAGGCCTCCGCTGCCAGAAGCAGAGGAGCTATTCAGCCATGAACAAGGCAAGCCTTTCACAGAGCTTCTCACATTCGCAGAAGAATACGAAGCCAACTCCACAGGTAACAGAGCCGTGTACCAACAGAGCGTGGCATACCTGGCCTTTGTGCACAGAAGTATTGTTCAGGAACTAGACGCGCCGTTGATCAATTGCCAACGACTCGTTGCCATGCCTTCTCAGCTCGGCAGGCAATTCACCGAACTCATCGAACAGAGAGCACCAAGGGCATTGCTACTGCTCGCACACATATTTGCTATGACAAAACTGCTATCTGATCAGGTACCATGGTTGCGAGGTATCGCAGAGAGACAGGTTGGTGGCCACTCCACGGCGTAACATTCTGGAGATCACGAATCGCATGCGCGCAACTGGTCTGTAAGCAATGAGTGATAAGGCTAACAAACCGCTTTCAGGTTGCGCCAATCCAGCAACAGATCCCATCAGCATGGCAAGAGATGCTACGATGGCCAATGGAGACGGCATTCAATCCCCCAAACGAGACCACCACTGACGAACAAGGGAACGACCAAGCAATAAGAGAGATGTTGCAGTACAATACTGACGATAAAGGTCAGCCGGTCTCACAGGGTTGATACTTCACGCTCTGTTTAGAAGTGGTCTCGCCATCCTGACCGTTACGAATCGACCACATTCTGTCATGCAGTGGTGAGAATGAAGCTGGTCGTCTCACTGGATATCTTGGCTTTTGGCACTGTACTCGGAGATCAGATTCGATAAAGCCATAGAAAGAGGAGGCATCCGCTCGCCCGAGTCGCCGAGCGTGAATGATTGCCAACGAAAGCTTTCGGTAAGCTGGATGATTGAACTGCCACATTTACACTGCACCAGATAGCTTCATGGGTACCACGCTCAGTGATGGTTCTCTGGACATATCTAAGGTCATCGTCCTTGGAGTACGCGAAAACCAGCGAGTCTACACAAAGCGTATGGATTTTACTAACCCCTAAGTAGGACAACCGCTTAGCAACATCGATCTTGACAGGCTTATTACCACGCAGTAATGCCGATGCGAATCTCGAATTACATCAAGCCGTACATCCGCGGTCCTCGTCCACAGACACAGCCAACCTGACGATCCACAAAACCGACTTTTCCTTCGAATCGATCAAGTCTCTTTTCGATGAGATCCACCCGGATGCAGTCTTCACCACCTCCAGTGCTGGGTCCTTCGAGACTCAGAAAAGCATCATAGATGCTGCCATATCGGCTGGAACACGACGGTTCATCGCATCAGAGTTCGGACAAGACAGCCAGAATACATTGTTGCAACAACGCTTACCACCACTGCAAGGACGAGCAAAAGTCATCGCGTACTTGAAAGAGCTGAGTAAGGACGACGGGATACAGTGGGCGGCAGTAGCCACAGGATTACAGCTCGACCAAGCACTGATCAGCGGCAACATCGGCTTCGACCTGAAATGGCAGAGTGCCACCATTCACGGCACAGGCGGTGAACTCTTCGCCGCCAGCAGCACGAGCTGGAACGGAAAGATTGCCCGCGCCATCTTACAGCATTGGAACCACATCCACAACCAATACATCTACGCTCCAGGACTCATCACCAGTGCCAATGCCTGTCTGGCAGCTTTACAAGATTCCACTCGACAGGAGTGGATGCAAGGAAAAAACGACGTCGAGGATCTAATGCGAGAAGCCGAACAGCGCATGCATCGCGGGTTTCCTGATGCGGGAATGTTTTTGTTGGAAAAGAGCGTGCTGTGCGACGAGAGTCTGGGAGCTGTCGTACCTTTCGAGACGAGCCATGGACGGGCTATGCTGGGTTTACAACAGGGAGAGGATCTTGCAGTCGTGGTCGAGAGGGCGGTACATGATTTTAGGCACCATGGCAAGGGTGATTGCGGCTGTGGGTAGGTAAGATACCTATGGTAGGTACTAGTTGAAGACAGTGACCTATGACAAAAAATGGCACCCTGCTGGTTTCCGCTACTAGGTGTTCGTTCTCTAGCACGAGATGTAGTCTACTCGGTCCATGGTACATCTAACTAGTGATTGGACGGTCAACACTGCAGACAGAATAATCAACGGAGTAATTGCATTCAGTAATGCCAATCCCAGACCAACGCTCAGTATTTTGTGTTCATTAAAAGTATCAGTCCTGGTCTCGATTCATGCTATGTATACACTTGAAAGCAACCTTCCACGATATCGAGCCTTGACGCCGCGCTGTATAATCATGCTGCAATGTCCTCCCGTACGCTTCCCCTGTATTCGGTGGTTCTGTAACTCGCACGGCAAAACCTACTGCACATAGTGTATGACCAATGCCCTCCTCCGTAGCTCGCTACATCGTGCATCAAGGGTCCCTGCCGCCCATGACCTTGGCCGCCTGCACCGCTTGCATCTTATTCTGCCACGCTGCAGCGGGCTGGAATTTCTTGACGGTCCTCGCCTCGTCCAAGCTGTACCCTGGGATTCTGATCCCATACTTGCGTTCCAGCACAATCTGAATGTCGCGAATGTCAAGTGTCATGTTTGATCGCATCTTCGCCAGCTTACACGCTTCACTGAGTACGTCGTCCGTGAAGTCGTCTGCAAGCTCAAGCATGACCTCCTCCACTTCAGGGGTGAGGACGTTCGACGATTCACTGTCCGAAGCAGCTGGTGCAGCGCCGGTGACTTGTCGCACCAGTTCATCTAACTTCCGTTTGCTAAGCACGCGATCGCCTTCACCCTCCAGAGTGAAAGGTGGAGGGCGCTGTATGCCCGGCTGCTGCATCATGCCAGAATTGTTATACGTCGGTCGAGCTGGCGGCCCCGCGACAGGTGTCTGAGTCTGTGGACCAAGCTGCAGAGTCTTCGGAATCGGAAATTTGGTGTTGGCGCTACTCTGCTGGGTGGTCTGGAGATTCGGGTAAGTCGGCGTATTCTGCTGTGAACCACTGTTCGGTTGACCACTAAAGGGTAGGCCATTGGGCATCTGCTGCGCCTGTGGTCCTTGTTGTTGCGGCTGAGTCTGGCGATATGTCGCGGCTGACTCCATCGCTGCTTGATGCGACAACGCTTGCGGCCTTCCGGAATTTTGTGTCGCGCTATTCGGCATCGCATTCTGAGGACCGCCTGACTGCTGAACAGCCGGCCCTTGGTTCGGAATGCTAGTATTGATCTGAGGAGGTCGCTGCTGCTGCAGTTGCGGCGGCATGTTGTTTTGTTGTGGGTGGGGCTGTTGTCCTTGTTGTCCTTGTTGAGCTTGAGATGTACTTTGCTGTGTTTGTGGCTGAGCTACAGGTTGCGATGGTTGCTGCCCTTGCGCGGGCGTTGCTTGCTGGTTTTGTTGGAAGCCGTTTTGGGGTTGTGTAGGAGAAGGCGAGCCATTCGTGGGCTTGGCGTCGGCTGGTTGCTGTGGTGCTGCAGAAGGCGCTGGACCTTCCTGTGTCGCTGGGCGGGCTTGTTGATTAGCGTCTGTCCTACCTTCGCCGCGGGCTTTCATTTGCGTCCAGTTCGCATTTACTGTGGCCACCGCTGCTTTGGCAGCCTCGAAATTCCTCTTCACATGGTCCGGCACAATGGCCTGCTGCTGTTGGTATCTCGCTATACTGGTCTGCACGGTACGAGCCTGGTTAATGATCTGATCGCGTTTCGCCAAAATCGAATGAGCTTGAACGCGCCAGGCCTGATGCTGCTCTTGCGGAATGCCCAGCACGACACTATCAAGCTCCTCTTGCGATCTGGGCATGAGCTGCGGAAGACGTTGTCCCCCAGCTGCGTTACCTGCCTGCGCGCCTATGTTCTGTTAGCACCCGGACGTTTGCGAGCGATCGCATCTCACAATGCTGAGTCTGCTCACCTTGGCTCTGCTGTTGTCGCGCCCGCGCTGCTGCGAGTTGCGCCTGAGTCACCTGGCCAGGCTGTTGTCCTGGCTGCTGCTGATTCATCTGCTGAGGTTGACCGCCTTGCTGTGGTGGTCGATTTTGTCCCTGCTGCCCCATCTGTCCTGCCTGCGCAGCACCTGAGTTGGGCCGATTCCTGTTGGCGTTTGCCAGCTGGTTCATGAGCCGAGCGCTCGCAGTGCGAATCTTTTCGAGCGCCCCATCTCGCGCCTCACTGCCTGCAGGGCTGTTGTTGGCTTGGTTCCACAAATTTGTCAGTCCCTCCTTATACTGTAGCTTGACGGTGGCATCTATGTATGGCAGGCCATCGATCTGCTCCGGTCTGATCATTGGAGGCGCGCCAGAAGTCGGAGGCTGTGCCATCGTGGTGAATGCGACGGGCCACCGCAATCAGAACCAGTGCTGACGTCGTTCGTATCGTGAATCAACTAAGGTGGACGAAGGTCGGACAGGAAGCAGGAGTGAGTTAACCAATCGAGAGCAGACTTGTCGCTCGTAGGTGTGACTTGACTCGACGGATCAAGTTGGCGTGGTGGGGAAAGAAGCGAGTGAGGTGGAGGGTATGAGACGGTCGGTATGTGAGGGTATGGTATGGGAGCGGAATATGGTATGGTAAGGTATGGTGTGGTTCTGGTAAGGGCAGGGACCCCGTGACAGCAACAGCTCAAGCGTAAGGGAAGCGTAGCGCGCGTTGCATGTGACAATAAGGTAGAAGAGCTACCATCTAGTGAGGGCCTGAAGTGAGGTGCTATACCTACCTTACTTGTACAGCATCCGAATAATGCCGCCAAGGAGCGCCCGTTCACAATTTAGGTAAGCTTTGGGCACTACTACGGTAAGGTACTAAACATATCAGGTATCTACCTACCTATACCTTACTTTTCATCTGTACCACAACTACAAGGTACATGTACCCGCGAAGATCCCACCTTCAAGCTACAGCGAGCGCTGCATGTACCTGATGTCTGTAGCTCGTTAATGATTGCAATGTGCGCTGATTTAGAACTACTACTACCTGCCTGCCTGCAAGAGACTTGGAAGTTTGCAGACACCGTAGACCTCGTGTTGAGCAAGACGGATAGCCTCAGTTCAAAGGTTGCTGTCGAGCATTCCTGCTTATTGCCACATGTGATCCGCGACCAAGTTGGTAAGTCTGGAAGTCGGGTAAGGTGGAATAGCTCTCAGTGCTTCCATAGGGAGTCTCAGGGAGCTGTGTTGGCCGGACATTCAGAACATGTAACCAGGTTCACGGCCAAATGCATTCACTTTGGCAATGCAAGCGCATGCGCTAAGGTCAAAGGATACCATCATAGTCCACAAATGTTCTATCTGGAAAAAGTTGAGCAAACCCACGCGGCCACTTTTTGCTTTCATAAAACGCACCCTTGTATCTTGATTATACTGGGCCTAGCGCACACGCTCCTGGATTATAGATGGATTCCGGGAAGTCGGTTACATGTCACTGGCAATTGGTTGGGCCACGAAGCGAGGAAGGACTTGATGCGAACAAGTTCTCAGTTCAGTTGGCAGCATGTGAGCGAGGTACTACATCCAAACTGCAACACTCCACGACTTGAAATAGCTGCTCAAGCACTCAGTCTGATCAAACGCTGTCGGAGCTCTTTTCTGGCGCCTTCTCCTCAAACAGCACCAGTCAAGCTGTACCTTATCACATAAGCATGCCACTTTCCGTGCAAGATATCATCAGCGCCCAGCCAATCGATGCTAAACTCGTCGAAAGAATAGCCCATCGTAACAAGGAATACAAGGTGGCCATCGTGGTGCCCAATCCTCTCTGGTCTCAACGCTTCCTCGAAGCGAAATCTCGCATCGAGTCTGCCCTCGGCTCGACCGCTTCTGCCGTCCACCATGTAGGCTCCACTAGTGTCCCCGGGCTTCCAGCAAAAGACATTATCGACATCGATCTCGTGGTCAGAGACATCCACGACGAGACCTCTTATGTTCCAGCTCTCGAAAAGTCAAATTTCAGATTTCTCCTCCGCGAACCTGCATGGCATCAACATCGCTTCTTCGTCGATGAAGGAGACAGACCAGGAGGATTCCTGGTCAATCTTCATGTTTTTGGGCCCGATTGTGCTGAAGTCGAGAGACATAAGATTTTTCGCGATTGGTTGAGACAGCATCCGGAGGACTCGGAGCTGTATGCGAGGGTGAAACGGGAGAGTGCGGAGGCGTGTGGGGTGGCCGGGGAAACTATGCAGGAGTATACAGATCGGAAAGATAGTACGATTGAGGAGATTAGGAATCGGGCCTTTAGGGATTTGGGCTATCTCAAATGATGGGGAAGCTATCGAGTCTGTGCAAACTCTCATACTTACTTGACGCTCCGCCTGGGACTCAGAACGCTCGGTTTGGTGGCGTAGAAGCAGGACTCTATGCAGGAAACCACCTCCCACATTAACATCGGTTCGACAACGCTTCTCAGCTCGTACATCTCATATGGAACATACGCTGAGAAGCTTCAGGTCCAGGGACGCCAAGGCCGTTCAAAGTGAATTCTGAGCAGCCGCATTCGCATGATGCACATCGAATGTCTTAGGGCTCCGTGCCTGTTGCTGACAAGGGGTATAAAATCCTTTTCTTGACTCAGTGCTCCAAAGCGTGAGCGTTGCAGTCCAGTCGTTTAGCATAAGTCGGCATATCATCGTTAGCATGGGTACTTTCACCGGATATCTGGGAGTATCAAGTGCCAGTATAGGTATACCAGATCTCGTTCGCAGCCCCGCTTGGTTCGGTGATACAGGGGCTGAATATGATTGGTATATCAAATTCAGTGATGGCACTGCCAACTGGGGACTTGTGACTTCCCATGTCTTGCGGCATATGGGAAGAGACGCTTCGGTCTGATATCCTGGAGGCTGGAGCCATGTGAGCGGGCTAAATCACCAACAAGCACCTCACATGTTGGATATGGGAGCTTATATAGTTATAGTTCTTTTGCGTGAATCGTGACGGCAGATCGCAAAATTTTCCCTTGAGAACTGCCGCATCATATAGAAAGAAATTTGCCATTTGTCACATACCTTTCCGCTACGTGCATGTCCCTTTTCGCAGACCCATCCCGCCTACTACTACCATCGAGAGCGGTGTTCAGTTGCCCATCCGTTGCTCGGGAGCCTGGGCCAGGGAGAATACAGGCACAATACCCTATACATGTAGCTTTCGCACCTCACAGGGCCGCAGGAGGGCGTATCATTTCCAACAAGCCTATTTATGGAGTGAGTATGATGTGGAATTGGATATCAGAACACCGGAGGATCCGTGCCAAGGCAGAGCTGCCCAGCTGCCAAGGATATTGGTCTCAATTAGCAGCCCCACCTTGGTCAGGGCAGCCAATTACAAACAAGCTTAGGCACCTTCACATCCAAAAGGAGTACTAGCTCGCCCAGCAAGAAGGATATCGCATGGGTCGGTGTTTATTATTAACTTGTCCAATGCGCGTGTGACCAGCACTGCGGAGTCCTAGTGAAGATGACCGACATCGACAACAGATACAACAAAAGAGCGTGGAGCTGCACACGAGGCAGAAACATCAAACATGAACCTACCGAGCACCTCCACGAGTCGTGCGAGAAGAGCACGCTGTGAGCTGCGCGGGGCAATACATGTCATACGCGTCACCACAGCGATACCGCCTGAGATCGGCGCCGATGACATGCTATCCTTCACTTCAGAAGACGAGTACATAAAGCAGAGGCTACTGGACTTCTGCTGACAGCATAAGGTATCATCGCTGGCGAGCTGACGGAAATCATGGCAGGATACATCAACAATGTGGCAATCATCGGCGCCGGCTTGGGTGTGAGTGGCACAGCAGTGACATCAGTGTGGCCCGTTACTGCTCATGATACACAGACTCACCATGAACACTGCAGGGCTGCGCACTTGGTCTCGCACTCTCGGCGAAGAAAGTCCCCGTCACCATCTACGAAAGCCGGCCCCAGGTATCAGGCCTCATCCCGTCGGGCGTACTCCTGACTCCGAACGGCCTGCGTGTCCTCGATCACCTGGGCGTATTCGAGCGTATAAGAGATCGTTGCTACGTCCCGACAGCTCGCATCTGCAAAAATGACAAGGACGAGACTACCCAAAACATCCCGGTGGGTGGTCCGGAGGAAAATGGAGGATATCGCAATCACCGCATCTGGCGAGGTCTCCTGCTGGACGAGATGAGACTGATGTTGAATGAGCGGGGAGTCGCAATACACTACGACTCGAAATTCGGCGGCATTGTGTCCGAGTCCGAGCACAACGTGGAATTCCTAATCAATGAGCAGATGGTCGAGACCTCACTGTTGATCGGGGCAGATGGCATCTACAGCACAGTTCGAAAGTGTCTCGCGCCTGGCATCGAGCCCGAATACGCTGGAATAGTGGGTGTCCTCGCACATATCAACTGGAACTCTGTGGCATGGCCATATCCAGAGTACGAACGTAACGCGACCCTTCAAGGTAAACCTGGTTCGCTCTTTTGGTTGGCCGAAGATCCTAGAGATGAGCCTGAACTTATGGTTGCGGTACAAGTGCAATGGCCAGAACAGTCGCGTAAAGATTTGGAGGAGCTGCAAGCCAACAAAGACAAACTGGTCGAGTTCTTTCTGCGAGGCTACGAGGAGCATGGTGCCACTGCTCGTAGCATCCTCGATGCCGTAGCAGCTAACCGGCAGAGTCTCTACATCTGGCCGTTTATGAAGATGCCGAAGCTGCCACAGTGGTACTCCAACACCGGGCGCGTGATCCTTTGCGGCGACAGTGCTCATGCTGTACCCCCGAGCAGCGGGCAAGGCGTAAACCAGGCTCTCGAAGACGTGTACTCTCTCACTCTGCTGCTTACCTCGGTAGGCGAGTTCAGCAGCGTCTCCACAACCGAAGCTGCTCCTGGGAAACCCCAGCTCCTCAGTGCTCTCTCCTTCTGGCAAAAGACGCGTCAAGACAGAATCGACGCGATCATGGACTGGACGACCAACACTATCAATGTCGAAAGAATGCCGGAAGCGGATCGTGAAAGGCGGCTAGCAGAGGGCAAGGTCACGGCAGGTCGTGGCTATGACCTAGGCTGGCTGCATGAGTACGATTACGATGCGGTTTTTGACCGATGGCTAGGGGGCAAAGCTTTTGATTCGTAAATGGGTATCATATCTCATGGCGGGTCAGGCGTCCCTGATCTGAGCGAGTGAAAGCCGCTGGAAAAGTAACAACAACGCCGAAAGCCTGTCTCGGCTGGTCCTGACTCAAATCACGTCTTCACAGAAGACGTGTCTCCCGAACTACAACCCGTAATCCCATTGGACCGTATCGTGATCCAGAGGCTCGCCAATTTGATCAGCGAACTCGTCGTCGTAATTCCCTGCAATCTGTCAGCCAAAGACCTTTCTGCAAAGCGACACATCACATACCAGGACCCTTGTAGTTACAGACAGTAAAGTACGGCAGAACATCGCCTCCGACATTTTTGACGCCGCCCTGGGACGTACAGTCCGTCGTCCAGCAGCCGATGGTAGTGGTGTCCTTCCACACGATTTGCGTGAAGTGGCCCCATTCGTGGAAGGAGTTCGTCATCTCGTCTTCTGTTGGATTCCTGCCGTAGGATGGATAGAGGCACTGCTCATTATTGTACCAGAGGCCAGTAATGATCTCGGTGATTCTTTCTGGTTCGACTCCAGCAGCTATGTTCTGGCCATAGCCGCCGCCATCGAAATCCCTACGAGGTATCGTCAGTCGACCGCTCAACCTGCACGCGAGTCGTTTCAGACAACTTACATTTTATGCTCGAAACTACACATGTCGGCCCCCTTCTTAGCTGTGGCAGCGAGATCATCGTCCCACTCGACGGGGGGAGCTGAGTGATTTGCTCGGTGGTAATTGTGATGCAGGACTGCTTTCTCAGCGTAGCTGAGTTGTCGCGGGACGACTGCTGGCCGCGCAGTCACTGCGATGCTGAATATCGCAGCCACACCGAGAAAATGCATGTTTCTTGAGGTAGGTATGTTCTTAGAATCGAATGCAGTCCAACGATGGAGCTTCACGTTAATCAGTAAGGTCCAGTTTGAGTTTGAGCTGGCGAGAATGCCTGAAGAGAAGAATGCAAAGCTCCGTGCCCCTAGTCATCGGCACTTCAATGTCGATCTCGACAGTGTTCGACGTACCTTCACAAGAAACAACTGGGAAAATGATGATGGGTCAATGGACGTCTTAGGATGTTCGATTTATGCTCAGGAGTGGTGTGAGGTACTTGTTTCAATGGCACCAAGAAGTGCTTTGAGGAGTGTGGCTTACCTGGCCTGCAATGTGGGTCATTGGGTCATGAAACGGGCGTTACGTGACCGGCAGGCACATTGTTGCATGCTTCGCGTGTTGGAAGGACCGCAGTCGAGGAGGGCCCTGCCGGAAACATACTACTGCAGAGCGCCTACTCTTTCCACGTCAGGCCTGTCTCTTGCCATCGACGGAGACTGGCGACTGGCAAATCCTCACACTCGGTCGACGTGCAATCACACCCAGCGACGTCCTGCTCAGCGCGACTGGAGAGAAGCCATACCTAGCGACCGTTCTCGGCCGCGCTGGCATTCGAAGCAGACATTCTATAGGGAGCGATGGTTCCAAGGCACTACAGAAATCCTCGAGCGCGCCTACACTTGTACACTGCGCCGCAGCGTGTACCGCTCGTCGGATGGCAGCCTTCTGATAGGACAGCGTCGAGCACATCGTCTTCGGGACAACATCGATTACTTTCGACGACGTAGCTACCTCCACTCGGGCGCCTAACCCCATACTAACGTAGCTGCAACATGAAACGACCCCGTGGAATTCGGGCATGTAACATCATGCACATTATTCTTTACACGCGTATGATGATATGGGCGCGCCGAAACATTTTTTTTCTTCAAAGCGGGGTCTACTAGTCACAGCCTGTCAGACTCTGCGAACGAGCAGAGGGACCTGCATAAAAGCCAGGGTGGTCCCGAACGGTCAGCGGTCGTCTGCCCTATGCTACTGCTGCGCTTGGCCAGGGGCGATCCAGGTACCACCCGGTAACTGCGACGTGTGCTGACCGGTCTTGCTTTCTGACGCCTCGCTGGCCGACAACGTGTTCCATTTCACTTCCTGATTGAACCTGCCGCAAGTCAGCGGGCAGGCACAAGTGCGTCAGGAAACGGTGAATTTCTTACCACAACCCTCTCCGAAGGCTGAGGCTGACTAACGAACACGGATTTTCTGACGGCGGGTACATATGCTACGTGTTCGTCGTGTCGGACTGTCGGACTATCTGACATTATTGCTTGCGTTCAGGTTGTGTTGCCGGTGGCGGATGGTTCCGGTGCGAGTACGAGCTAGCATCTACTGTACTGGATGACGAATGACGACGACTTGTGCCATGTGTGAAGGATCCCAGCAGCAGCGCAGTCGGCAGTGCTTTTGTCATAAACAGTAGACCGACACTTTCTGACCGTGGCTCAACAAAAGTCTGTACCCGGACTTGCAAGAACTGGCGATCTCGATGTTGCTGGTGTTGGCTCGATGACAGTTGCTTCATTTGTCTATCGGACCATCGCAAGGTCCACGAACTTACATACCGGCGGGCAACTTAGATGACTCGGCCGCTTGGCCATGAGTCCTTCGTGTCCAACTGTCCATGGATGACTACACCATGCCACCATCATCAGCATGGATGCTCTCCCAGCCGGAAAGACGCCAACTTCCCCGGGGCATGGCATGGCACATGCCGGGATTTCGGCCAGACCTTGGGCTGCTGCTCATTCGATTTTGAGGCATTGCGGAGCCATCTTGGTCTCAACTCAACCGAGCACTGCTGGAGAGACTGTCTGACTTTGCCCTCACATCCCGCCAACGACGAGGCTGTTGTGTGACTTGACAGGTACACTCGTGTGACGGAACACTGGACCTGCAGCTCTCGGCATCGAGGGACAGCGCGCTCATCTGCCATGAGCCAGAAGGTATACGCGAGGGTTCTACGCAGGATCTATCGCTTGCATGAGCAAAGTTACCGCTGTGTGGTTCTGGAAATGGCCGTCCGCCGCCTCGACGTCAAGTTCCGAAGAGACAAGCATCAGAAGGTCTCTCTGGCATGAAATGCCACCAAGCGATACTTTCCACTGCCATGGATGTCACCGGTATCACTCACCTTTTGATACCGCTGGTCAAGTATTCTGTCCTGCGGTGGTGCTGGGCTCTCAAAATCAATTGACCACAGACCACTTCACGTCCAAGGAGGGTCAGTCTGAGCGATAGTGCTTCACTGCAGAGAATTGCGATCAAAGTATGGTTGCTCGATCTCTGGCACAGCTCAGTGGTACTTAGTAGTTATCAATGGGCTGCCAGCATTCCTTCGAGACTGTGTCGGGGAAGACATACCATTCTCGTGTGGTAAGGAGACTCGTTTGCGAGCACCTCCGTCCTAGAGCTAGTAGGTGTCGCACATCGCACTAGCCGCTAGGCTCGTCGGTAGGCATACAACATAGCCAGCGACTCGGATACGGCTGTATCGCGACCAAGTTCAATGGCATCCAGGAATTGGTCATGATGGTAATGATGGTTTGCCCATAGAAAGGTCCAGACCTGCCATACGACTATCTCTGTACACTACGACCTGCCGCTCTCCACAAATTACTGCAAAGCCACCACCCCCAATATGCCATAGCCTTCCCCGCTGTCTCAACTTCACGCCTTACTGACGAACCCAGGTCCATGATTCCCCCTTCCCTCCCCAATCACCACCTCCAACAGCAACCTCAACCCCTCCTCCGCAAATTTCACCATATTCCCCACCCGATCCCCGCCCAACCCGGTTTCCACCTCGCGCGTAAACACCCCCCTCTCACAAGCCACCGCCAACGCCACATACCCGGGCGTCCGATTGGGCGTATTGCCCCCCGTTGGCCCTGCAGTTCCACTCTCCGAGAGCGTATACGTACTCTCCAACTCCCCACGCACATGTTTTGCCAGACCAGACACGATATCCGTCGTGGGACCTTTGTAATTCGCAATCGTTTCTTGCGTCCACCCAGCGTAACTGATGCGCGAGGGAAGCGTGTAGAGCGTCAAACCGCCTTTGTAGAATTTTGACGCGCCGGGAGTAGAGAGGAGAGAGGAACTGATGAGGCCTCCGCAGGCGGTTTCGGCGATGGAGACGGATTCGTTGCGGGATTTGAGGAGGTCGGAGATTTGGGTGAGGAGGTCGTGGAGTTGGGCGGGTGGGAAGGATTGGGTGAGTTTCTGTTCTTGTTGGGGAGGAGAGGGGTCGGTAGACGTGGAGGATGACATGTTTCTCTGTGTGTTGCGATTGTCGTTGCTGTTGCTGTTGCTGGTGCGTTGTTGGGTGTGAAGTGGGATTGATCGGATTCTAGGTGTTAGATGAGGAGAAGAGGTGGAGGAGTATGGTTGAAACCGAGATAGAGATGACGAGATGGAATGGCAAGTACGTGCGATACTTGCGAATGGCTTCATATACGGGTGAGAAATACTGTTTCGCAGTGATGCAGCGATGTTGTTGCTAGGAGGTACTATGAGCGTGGACTCGAGCGGGGAGCTCGTAGTGCATGACGTGCAGGCGAGATTGCACTGGCCGAAATCGGAAGGCGGAGCGCGGATACTTGCACATGTGCAGACCGCAGCTGGAAGATGATGAGTGAGCAGTAGGTACATTACCTAATTTTCTCCCCAGAGCTACATGTATTGGTATGCCTTTCACTTGACGAGAAGAACGCGTAGCAGTACGATGCTACCATGTCACCACACTTGCGATTCCGCAGTGCGAGTCGGAGTCGTGAGTGGAAGAAGCGTCTCTTTAAAGAGTTGGTGATTTTGATGCCGTATGAGCAAGATCGCCATCGCTAGATTGGCCATCTCATCTACATCAAAGTTCTCAGTGCTATGCTCAGGATTTCGTTTACCCATCTGCTCTGCTGAAACGTCTCGAAAAAATGCTTTCTGGGGTATCATTCATCATTCGTCATCAATCAACAACGTCAAAAAGCCAACTTCTCCAAGGCTTCACGATAACGTTGGTTTGTTCCCCATGTTGACAGGAGGTGGTCCACCTGTATTATCAGGATAGGGCAGCCTCCTGCCGAACTCGCCCATATCCGTGAAAGTCAGTACTGGTGGGCCTCCATATCCGCCAGCCAGAGATGGCGACTTAGGCGGGCTACTCCTCTCAGGGTAGGGCAGAGCCGCGCCACCATTCACAGGTGTCTTGGGAGGTACGGGCGGCGGCGAAAATAGTGGCGAGGGATAATTTGAGGGCGGACGTGCGATGTCCTCGCTATGTCGAGGAGAATGGTCACTGAAGCGGAGGGAACCCGGACGGGCTTGTTCGAGTGACGACCTCACCGCGGAAAGCTGAGATGAGCTGTAAGCCGACGAGCTATAGAGCTGCTGTGTTGGTGTAGGGCTATTGGTGTGTCGATCAAAAGGGTCGCTCGTCATCATGTTGTACTTGTTGTCCATGGGCCGTTGAACGAAGTGGGCGCTGTCTGCGTATTGCTGTCCAGGACGATAATGGTCATCGCCAGCGAGCTCGACTGCGAATTTTTGCGGAGGTGGAACTGTAGCGAGTGGCTTCTCCCATAGATTCTGCGATGCTAATTTGGGCATATCAGCGCCGGTTGCCTTTCGTGCTTCTGCTCGGTCGTGTCTGATCTTCGCAAAGTGAATCTTAGCGAGTCGTGCGGCCGCACCACAACTGATCGCTTCCACTTCTTTCTTCGAGAGGTACGATCTGGTGCTTGTGCTGATCTCTGCCAGCCGGGCCCACTCATTCAAGCCAAACTCTCCCACACCAACTTCCACGTTCAGCCGGTAATAGACTTCAGGGTTGACTCCTCTCGCTGCTAGATGTTCTCGTAGCATAAATTCGTGTGCCCTCTCGCAGTTCTCGAGCTTTTGTATCATCTTCCTTCGTGCCTCTGCAAACTCGCCCAGACTGCCTCCGAGGAAGCCCTCCCACCACTCTTGCGAATTGGCACCTGTCTGTGGAGGCCGCTTCCCAGTCCCTACACTGATAAAGACACCCACTTCACGACCTGGCCACTCATTTGACACGGCTTCGTCAAGCACCAGAGGTGCAGGATTGTATTTACCAGCGCCTTCGTCCAGGTACACTGATTGACCGATTTGAATGGGCTTGAATGCCATTTGTGTCGCACAAGTCGCACGTCCAGCCTGCCAGATAGCACAGTTGACATCTGGCGCTGGCTCTTTCCTCGAGTCGTACGATCTCAGCAATACCGTGTGATTTGTTCCTTTCAAGACCGCTGTCATTGCTGTCTTTGTGCGGTTCTCCCGTGTATCGTATAGCAAGGCATTCGGGTTCCCAGGCTTCACGGAGCCAATGGATACTCTATTGCCCAAGCCGCTTTGCCCTATCTGACTGTAATGACTGCTTTGGCTCATGGTCCGATGTGGAATGGGAGGGATATTCGACGGCCAGCCACGAACGCTGGTGGGAGTCATAGGCGCAGCGTTCGCCAACGCATCATTCCCCTCATCCTCGAAAATAGTGTGTTCCTTGACGGTCTCGCGGATCGCCTCCTCCAGCATGCTCGCTTTGAACATGGTGCTTTTCCAGGGCATACCGAATACCGTCTTGTCTGTCTGGAACACCTTTCTCGTCATACGCACGTAGACGTCCTTGCAAGTGTCCAGGTCCAGGCGCAGTCTCCCCAGCATAATAGCAATCAGGCCGCCTGTGCCTGTGCCTACAATCAGGTCGAAGTGCTCGCATGGCTTCGGGATTTCGTGTCTCTTGGGCGCTCTGCCCTCCATCTCCACAAACGTCCGATGCATCAAGTCTTGCAGCAGGATGAGCATGCTGTACCCTCTGATGCCTCCTCCATCGAGCGAGAGGATGCGCAACGGCGGTCCTTTGGTGGTGTCTTTGCGCCTGACTCGCACCATCTCGTCCATGCCCGCAGCGCTTTCGCGGCGCGACGGCCGCAATATGATTCGGACTCAGTCTTAGGAAGGAGACGTGTCTCGTCGCTTGCCGCCGTCTCCTATCGGAAGGATCTGGCTCGCCAAGGGAGCGCGAGGGCAGGTGCTTAGTCCGGCAAATTCGGCGCTCTAGAACTAGGTGAAACTGCCGTACTCGAGGAAGGTGGATTGCTAGCCGACTGAGATTCTCTGGGCGCCCAGGTGGACTGTCTCTGACTACCTAGGTAGTCGGTACAGATGAAGTGCGGAGAGAGGGTGAGGGTGAGGGTGAGGGTGAGGACGAGGGCAAGAGAGCGGCTATCGTTATTGTCGCGAAGAGCAGAGGTCACTGTGCACTACTGTGTGCAGCGCGTGGCTGAGCTCGTTAAAGTGAATCGTTCTATGATTCCCTGGAAAGTCCTATTAGTGGCAGCCTGCACTGCACTGCAGTCATTCCCGATTCCCACTCTGACACCAAATTCGCACCACTTTCGTTTCACTACAGGTCGGAACGCCTCTTTCCGGGGCTTCCCCAAGAGACCACCATCGAGATGGGACCATTCGTAGTCGTCGACATAGGTGAGATAAGCAAGGGAAGCTTGGCAGGCAGACGATGAAGAATGATCTGGAATGCTCGGGTGAAGAAGCACTAGAAGTGGGACTACGTAATGGTCACTGTGTCGCGCCGCTCCCACCATAAATGGACATTGGCTCTGAAGACAGATTCGACAGACGTCCTGTCGATACTCTGTATAGGGCGTTCGCCATCGACATCGATCAGCTCGGCACGTCGTGCAACAACGATCTGATCAAGTGCACGACGACGAGAGAATCGGATCACGATGGACAAGCGTCATCGCTTGCGTGGTTTCGTTTCAGCTGACCTGAATCTGTTCTCTAAGGGGAATACGGAAAAACTGTAGGTAGGTATGCGTTGGGACAGAGCTTGATGCGCTCTATTGAGTGACTACCTGAGCACGTCAATCATTTCATTTGGCATTCAATCTTCTTATCATTACTGCCACCACACTCATTGCGCACGCTCCATAAGTTCACACACAGCATGAAAAACTGCTCTCGCCCTCTCATCCTTCTGCAACGCCTCATTCGGGCCAGATCTGCCTCCATTTCGTCTTCCCAACCGATCGGAATGCCATCTAATTTTCTCCTTCTTCAAGATATCCACCAATTGTTGGATCTGCTGCGCAGTAGCCTGCGACTTGTCAAAGCCCACCTCGACACGCCCCGTAGCTGGATGTTGCGTATACATCGGAGATAGACCCACGACTCCGAGAAAGAAGGCCTGCGCGTTGGCTTGCATGACTGTTTCTTCTGACCAGGAACCAACATGTGTGCTGATGTGAGGCGCCCATAGTGACTCTCTGGCTGCGAGACCTCCAGCATGTAAGCCGCGTGCTGGGTATGGTATGTCAGGATTCGTTGACGGGAGTGACTTCCACTTTTCGTCATAGGCTGCGAAAAGTCGCTTCGCTTCATCCGATCTGAGCACAGTAGCAGGCGGCTGAGGAGCGACAGGTGTGCGTCGAAGAGGGCGAGCGAAGTTCGCGGTGCCTGCAGGGGCATACGTGTGCTGGACGTTGGGTTGTGCACCACCAGTGCTGTGTCTTGTGCGTTTCTTTTGCCCTTGAGGGACTGCACCCTGCTGAAATCCATCACCAGGGGTAGCAAAAAAGCGAAAATGTGCATCTTCTGCGAACGGTCGACTCTGTTCGAAAAAGTGGTTGAAAGGGTCGAATTGCATTGCGTGTTCAGCATGTAAGCCATGCAGGTTCTGAAAAGCTTGCATCACAGGATCCGCATGAGGCGGGTGTCCTGGAAATCCACCAAAGGGGTCGAAGAACTGCTCACGCATATTACGTGTGGATTGAGATTGTCGAGGGCGTGAACGCGGCGGCTCTTGAGACTTTTCTCGAGGTGGCATCTCAGATCGTCTGTAGGACAATGGGCGAGTTGGTAACTCAGGTCGTTTGTTTCTGATCCTTCGCGCCTTCGCTTCATCCAGGTCATTCATTGCCATTGCCAGCCTCCTTTCGTGCTCCTTCAGCTCGTCTATGATGCGTTGTAGATACGCCGAGTTGATGTTGGCTTGCTTCGAAGCATTAGCAAGCTTTTGCTTGCAGCCTCGAACATTCCGTTCTTCGAGCTCTACAGCATCTTCCAGACTTTCAATCATGGTCGCGTCAGCTGCACTTCGCTGTTCGGAGCTGGTGCGACCTCGACTATGCGTGTATTCTGGCTCGGAATCAGTTTCGTCGTGATAGTCAACCTCGATGAACTCTGGTGGCCGTTCTTTTGTTGCTTCACGGGCAGGTGGCCGAGTTTCGGCTGGGTATACGCTGTGTCTGCGCGATGATCTTCTGGAACGGTCCTCTTCAAAAGACCGCTCACGACTGCTGGAGCTGTCCTCGCGATGGTGTTGCTTGGCATCTACCAATCTGTCTTTTAACCTCGAGAATATAGACTTGGGTCGTGCTCGTCGATTAGGTGTGAGATTATGACCCTCGTATGCCAAATCGCAATCGTAATTGTCGTTCGGTGTATCGATCTCGACTTGGCGTCGGCTCCCTTGACCAAAGCCATGGTCTCCGACAATGGTGTGCTGTGGATGCATGGCTAATGTATTTTCCAGTAGACCAAAGGCGCTTCCAAGAAGTCCGAATGGCGTTGCTCTTGAGGCATGACCTCGATGCGATGACATAAATGGGTCGAAATTGAAAGGCCCGTTCGCCGTGCCAGAAGAAGACCCGAAACTCAGACCCGGAGTCGCATAGGATGTAGAATGGACTGTGTAGTGGATACCGTTATGTGTCCAGGATCGGGTGCTGTGCTGAGGGTGATTAAGTGAGGTTGCCGCTCGTCCTCGCGGCCCTTCACCTGCGTCATTGCTCAACGGCCTCGCCATGGTTCACTTGTAGTTATCAGTCTGGGCACGACGTGACCATGCAGGTTTTGTCCAAGATGTCGAATATTATAGTTCGTGACTCGCCGACAGATCGTGACGTCGGCAGGCTGGACTTCGGTTTCAAGATCAGAGATATTGGGATGACCGCTTTCACTCTGGAGAGGCAAGCTGTACGCCTGTAACCTCACAGCTGCTCAGATTCGCGCAGAGGTATCCCAGTCGCAACCGAGTGGCAGTGCGCTCGAATCTTGTCTGAAGGGGATGCTACAGGAGTAGCCTTGACCGGGATCCCACGCGCACTGTAAGGCAGCAAAGATGAAGCGCCGGAGGTCGATGATCGCAGAGGTGGTCCGGCTGCGGATCGTCCCAAGGTGCGCTGTGCTGTGAGCCTGTGACTGTGAGTATGAGGTTGCAGCCTGACAGCCTCGTCTTGAACTTAAGCTCCAATTGGCTGTGCTCTATGCCACAACCGGTTGTTTGCCTGCTGGCATTGAAACCCAGCTACGGTTACAAGTGCTCTCAAGAGTCAGGTGTCGGTCTGCAGCCTCCCGTCGCAGCTTCGTTGTCGAATGCCGTACATCGGTCGCTATCCCGACGATGATCAGGAACAAAGTCGATTGTGAGTTCGAGGTGAGAATGGAGGTGGTGGCGGTGGTGCTATATGATGGCAGTGCAGTATGTAAGGTACCCAGGTACATGTGATGATGGTATCGCAAGAGCTGGCGAGGTGGAACGTGGGGCATCCATGCGTGTTTGACAGGAAGGAGCCACCAAAGCTTGCGTCACGCAGGCAGGTGCAGTTGCCGCGGACCGACGTGAGAGCGAAGCTTCTACAAGGTAACGTACCTATGTAGGTAGGGGAGTTGGGAGGTAAGGTACTTTGTGTATTTTAGCTGCCTATATGTACAACGCTGGTGTTACCTAGATATTTATTGTTCAGTCCTGTTCTGGCTGGGACCGGGCAGTGTAGGCGGCAGACGGACAGTACGGGCCTCCCCGACGCGCTCAAGTCCTGTGCCGTCGCCAGAGAAGTTCTTGGCTACCTCATATGCGCTACGCAGGCAGTCGTTGACGCCTACTCCGGACATCCAGTTCCCTGCAACGCGCAGCCTACCCTTGTAGTCACGCCAGATCCTGTTGTGGGCATCCTTGAGTCTTTGTTCGTGACCCAGTGTATACTGTGGAATGCAGTCCTTCTGGAAGTTGACTTGCCAGACCTCTGGCTCTTCCTTGATGCCGAGATGGCGTTCCAGTACAGATCGAGCGAGTGCCAAACCTTCCTTCTCGTCGGGAAATGAAGGCCAACCATCCCACCAGTGTCCACCAAGCATAACGGTCACCTTTGTACCCCTGCTTTGGACATGATCCTGCATGTTCGGTGTCTGTGGCATATTGTACCAAGAGAAGTCATTCACGTTGACGATCTGCCCGGATTCACGCGCGGCCTTCAGCTCACCCGCGCTCAAATGCTTCCAGTTTTTCGTGTCGACATCGCTTGGCGACGGCGAGTAAGCAGTGTCAAATACGACACCCAATGCACGTTCTGGATTCTGCTCGAATGGCGTCGCTCGCGGTATGAGGTAGCCAAATCCGGGCTCGTGCATGTCAGGGGTGCGGAAGTACAAGTTGACAGTCATCACGTTCACCGTAGGAACGTGCCCAATTAGACCGGTCCCTGCTACTTTGTTCAGGTGATCTGGCGATAACGAAGATATTATGTGGGTGTGCTTGCGTGATTCCGTGGAGCCAGCTGTCGTGAGTTCAATTCCTGCATTGCCATCGGCCTGTTTGATAGACTCAACGGCGGTGTTCGTCTTAAAATCAACACGTCCAGTCTCGAATAGCTTCGCATGCAGCCTTTCGGCTAGCATGCCCATACCGTCCGAGAATGTGAAAACAGAGTTGTCTTTGAGGGTGCTTTTAAGCAGCGGATCCCACGAGAAGTTTTTCATATCCTGCAAGAAGTCCGCTTCGCTCTTCGTCACCTCAGGGCCTTCTAATCTTGCTTTCATCATGCCCAGCAAGACACTGCGTTGTTCGGCCTCTGCCCACCATGCCTTTGGGAACAGACTCTTGACAGACAGTTTGTACACGTCACCAGCGTAGATGCCATGAATCACAGCACTCAAGATGTTATCCACGATCGACTTGGTGAATCGGCGCGAGAAGAATTCACCTACGCTCTCATCTTGTAGGCTAGGATCGCTAGGATCTCTCGGTCGGCTGAGGGGCTCTTTCACGATGCCCCATATAGCAGTCTTGAACACTGGCTCTGTTGCCAAGCTCCACATGATCTCTGCCAGGCCAAAGGACGGGTGTGGCATACGTACGAGGCGATCGGGATAGTAGAGAAAGCGGCTACGAGCGGCAGGCGAGGTTTTTTGAGTGAAAATGGCGTCCTTGGCCAAGTCTAGCTCTTGCATCTATCATCCCCATCAGCTCCCACCCATACACCTGTTCTGAATTCGGACTGCTGCCGTACCAGTTTCGCTGCTAAGACTCCATTCCCCTGGGGCCGCAAGGTTCGAGGACCAGCTTCGAATAACACATTGCCACCCTCAACGGGCACGCGCTTGGATTCCAGCCATCCTCCCATGCGGTCTTTCGCTTCATACAGCGTAATTTTGGCATTGGGATGCTGACGGTTAAGAAAGTAGGCGCTGGCCAGGCCGGTGATGCCACCCCCAAGAATGGCAACGTCGTGGGAGTGGCTAGGTGTTGAATAGATTCGTCTCCCGCCCTCGTAAGACGGGAGGAATGGTGTGGTCGGAGGATACACTCGTGTGCGCCATGCGGAGGAGGCTAGCCTATGCGCACATGGGAGACGGGTATAGACCATTGCCGCATCGCAGACTGCTCGATTTTCAAGCCGGACTGAAGGGCTGCGACTGTGCGGGTCAATGGGAGGAGTTGTCGGTATTGATTGTTGCTACAGTCTACAGATCATAGTCGGGAGACGGAGCTTCGAGCAATGGTCCACCGATGCCACAGGCCCACAGCAGGTCATGCATGCCCCATGCCGTGCGGGCCCACAGATACATGTACCTGATTATTCTAAAGCCGCTGTGGCCAAGGAGAACTCACAAACGTCTCCCGGTAACGAACGTCCTTTCGAAGGGCTGATATACTACGGATACCTGGCAGTGGGCACAAGCGAGTGCGCATTGCGCAACACCTCGTTGACGCTTCTTCGGAGTGCCCGCTGCAGCATTGCATCCTTCGGCGTGCTGCCTCCTCCTTTCATCTGTGACCTGCACTGCAGCCCCGAACTCTCGACAGGGCCATGGGGTGCGGCTGAGAAAGCTGCTTCTAATTCATCGTATTCTCCGTCTCACCCACTGCTTCACAATCACGGCCGCGGCCGCACGGGCTCGAACAGAGAGTGGGAGAGAGAGTTCCGGTCAGTGCAGTGCACTGAGACGGAGTGCAGTGCGTGGAGATGCATGAAGAAGCGGTGCTATGGTGCGTTCTGCATGCTTGCATGCTTGCTTGCCTGCTCGCTCGCTCTGCCATGGTGACGCTGACAGGCCACTGTCTTATAACGTTACAGCCCGCCGATTAGATTATGACTTGGGCACGATTTGACTTTATACCTCTCGCCCCAGACCACCTTTCCTCCTCCTCTTCGTGGCGCCTAAACACTCGACCCACTACTAGTCGCTGTTGGTATCTTGGCGCGTGCTCCGTCGTAGAATAAGAGGACCGCCCCTTCGACGCAAAGGAGTTGGCAGCGTGCCTCTCCAGCATATGGGCTGTCGTCGACGTGGCGCTGCATACCTTCGTACCCTAGGGCAGAGCTGGTGCAAGCACTGCCCTCGTTCCGCCCAAGAGTCAAGAACCAAGAACCGATAGGTCAGCTGCGCAGCAGTCCTGCAAGCTCACGACATAATCATTCACCTCGAATACCTGATCCTCGGGGATGACTACCATACCATGACTATGCCCGTAGAGTCAGATATGGGAGACAAAGAGGCGGGGAGCGGCTGGTATACCGGAGTCGATCTGGAGTGGCGCCCTTCACCGCAACCGTCATCAACATCACCACCACCACCACTACCACCACTACCACCAACGTACACCAGTGACTATGGGCAGCATGGCAACAGTGGAATCAGCGGGAATGGGGCGAATGGCAGTCGCAAGAGGCGTTGGGTGGAAGCGGCGTCTCCAAGACAAGATGCGACATCGGACGTGAGTTGGGACCGTGATCTGGAGTCGCTGCCAACTCTCAACATGACCACTCCGTTCGGCGCCTCTTCTTCGCGCAATGTAGGCACGAGCGCGACCCTGGACAATTCGGAGGATGGAGTGGAAGAGATACCGCGTACGAAGATGCAGACGGGCTGCATTCCCTGCTTGTAGGTGAATTGCGAGAAATGTCTGTGTGTGTATGTGTGTGTGTCTTGACTCCTGAGCTCTAACACTTTTCAGAATGAAAGGTCTCAAATGCGATCCAAGCAACCCGGGATGTAAGCGCGCAATGTCGGACGATTGGGCGTTGAATGCAGGGACGCGATCTGGAGAGGACGACGACAATGCCCTCTTCCATCCCGAATCATTGACGGTCTTCCGGCCAGACATGAAGTGGCGGCGGAGTTGGCGTGAGCGACACTGTCTCAACTTCTTCGTCAATTTCAGCGCGCCCCAGATGGCTGGCTTCTTCGACTCTGCTTTCTGGCAACGCATGGTCATTCAAACCTCCTATCATGAACCCGCAATCCGGCATGCGATCACAGCTATCGGAGCTCTGCACGAATGCATCATGCAGCGGGCCTTCGCAGATGACAAACAGAAAGCCAAGGCGATGGAGTTTGCGTTGAATCAATGCAACAAAGCCATCGCTTGCTTGACCGCCGACGACGGCCACGACTACGACCCAGCCAGGCGTCGCATACCGAGCTCACGATTAGCCTTGACCACATGCGTGCTTTTCACCTGCTTCGAAGCAATGCAGGGGCGCTGTGACAGTGCCGTCAACCACGCACTGCAAGGGCGGCGTTTGCTCCAAGCGACCGGCCGTGCAGCCATCACTACTATGTCTCCCAGCGAGGAAGATGATATCGAGCAGATGCGACCCTTGGTGGAACGTCTGGAAGTGCAAGCGACAGCCCTGCTCGACAAAGGCAGACGACCCGAAATTGACACATCCGGCCAGACGCATCCACTACCACCCATCGGCTACATATTCAGCCTGGAACATGCGCACAACACGCTCCACACCGCTTTGAATAGTGTGATGCGGTTTATGCAAGGCTTCCATCCTACTGCACCGCGAGACCATATTGCTGTGACAATGGCCGAGAAGTATCTCCGCTACGCTCCGTGGTTCTCACAGTGGGAGCAGGCATTCACGGCATTCTTGTCGGATCAGCGAGATTTCATGTCGAACATGGATCTCAAGCGTGCGATGGTGCTCAAGGCAAACCACCTCGTGGGCACCATGCTGGCATCAGTCGATCAGTCCGCAGGCCCTGTTGCCTACGATGCATACGAAGCAGAGTTCCGAGCTATCGTGGACCTGGCGCGAGAAGTCCTGGCATCATTCTCGTGCCCACCACTGCCTACGCTATCTGGGCCGAACTCAGGTACACCATACCTGTCGTTCTCATTGTGGGTCACGGACCCATTGTGGATGGCCATATCGCGATGCCGTAACCCCACAATTCGCCAGTCTGCTTTCACATTGCTTTCACGAAATCCACGACAAGAAGGTATCTGGCATGCTGGGCCGCAACTGCCAAGTTCGAGCCAGTATATGAGGAGAGTAGAGTCTACCTCGACTGGATCAAGATGATCATATCACAGATCTGGAATCTAAACCTGACCTGCGAGCCCAAACCAAGGAGTGAAACGGAGGTCAGTCAGTGCCGTGCTACTATCCTATGAGTGCTGGCTGACATTGTGGATAGAGAGCACTGCCTTCGTGCGCAGCGAGTGGACCTCAGTGGGGATAAGCTCGGTAGGTTCACCGCAACTTGCGTCGCGAATGTCTGCTGACAAGTATGAGCACAAGTCACATTGCCAAGGCAGATGTATCGAATTTCCGCCGGTCGAAGAGATCAGTCGAAATCAGCGCTCACTGAGTGATCGGTAGCTTGGCCTCCATACCTACCGCCTCGACTAATGCCTCCCACCATTGAGTTTGCTCTCCCGTGTGTGCGTGAGCGGGTGCGACACCAACCATCGCTTCAAGACCTGACACGTTGCGATGACTGCGTTGCACGGCAGCTGTTGCGCGAGCTCTCAATCAAGTGACGTGCGCACGGCACATTTGAAATGCGAGCAAACTCTCACAGAGGCACTCGAACTGAGTGAAAGAGAACCAGACACCATTTACCATGGATCCATTCCTGAACATTGACGCATTGTTCAATGCTATGAACATGACCACGCCCTCTCGCAGTACTCCCGAAGAAAGCACTCATCCGTCACCACGCGGCTGGGCCCGTCGTCGACCACAGCACGTACAAGACCCCTTCGACTTCCTTGCGCGTCAAGACGCGAGCTTTGCAGACATTATGCGAGGTCAATATTACAACCAAGATCCCATGGGTACCTCTAGAATTGAAGAATTGGAGGATTATGACGAAGCAGGCAGAGCCCACTCAGCTGGCTATGTTCGACCACGACACCATCGAGCGGGATACCCGCATCCCGCACTCCGCGCACATCTACAGACTCACGCGACCTCATTTTCACAAGCTGCACGCGCGATGCATGCGGCGCTCGTCTGCGCGAATCAAGAGTGCCGTAGTATTGAGGCATCGTTCGAAATGCAGACGCGGCAACTTCTGAGCTGGTTGCCAGCTGCCTATGTGAATTCGCTGTGGACGATCAGACTGAGCTGGAGCGGTCGTTCGGAGCAAAATTCGACGTTGTCCGGCGGCATCGACGCAGCTGCTCGATCAGGCTCAGATGTGATTACATATGACGGCGTTGTACAGCGCTTCAACACAGCGCTTGCGGCAATCAAGACCTGCGCACCGCCTGATAGGACTGGACCTCACGAGTCACGACTACCACTGGGATGGGAAGTCCTCGGCAGCACGATGCGCAAGCTACAAATCAGTCTCGAAGCCATTGAAGAACTTCTGGTGCTGATCAAGACACAACGCGACAGAATGCCACTTCTGCTACACGAGATTGGCTCTGCTCAGCATCTGCTGGAAAGCGTGAGAGAAGTATGGGAGACACCAAAGAAGGCAGGGAAGAGACCAGAGGCGAAATCACCATCCAACACACAACCGCGACACAGCGAGCACGAATGGCCGAGCTTCTCCCCGGCAGGTGAACGATTCGACGAATTTGGAATTGACATATAGACGGAGAGACCACTACTACTACTACTTTCATGACGATGACAAGGTACTGAGACCTTCCCAATCTGTTTCAAGAAAATTTGCATTAGCTTAGATACCCCACCCAGCTCATATTATAGATACGAGAGAAAACAAGCAAGAAAGCACCAATCGAAAAGAAAAAAGGAAATAAAAAGGAACTTACCAAAAGTGGTCCTCTCCACATTCCTCCTACTCACTTCCGCCTCGTCACCCCGTCGGATGACATGGCCCTCACTGCCCTCGTGCAAGAACGCATACCGTCCAAAAATGGGACTATACTTGACTCCCGCATCCACTCGTCGATCCCTCTGCAACTTCTTCAACAACTGTCCACTCTCCGTCGTGCCGGGGGCTCCCGTCGTATAATCAATATTGATACTTTTACATCTTCCGCAGTTGTGGATACATTCGATTAATGTCGTTGTCGTCGTTGATGGTGTATCCGCTGACGTTGCTGCGGAAGAGGAAGAGGAAGAATGAATAGCGAGTTGCGACCAAAAATCTTCTTCCCACGCCTCTGACGCACCGGAGATGATGATGTTGGGTCGAAACTTGATAATGTCGAGATGAGAAGCTTCCGAGGCCGGGAGGCGAGAGGTTACGTCTTCCATGGATTTGGTTGAGGCGATGAGGTAGGGAGCGCAGTCGTTGAAGGTGAGGAGTTGTTCGTCTTTTGTTGATTTTGAGCTGCTGTCGGCGGTGAGGAAGGAAGGAGTCAGGGATGATGTGAGAGAGGAGAGCCAGCCGTTGTTGCTCTTGCTCTTGCTACTATTATTATTATTATTGTCATCGTTCTTGCTGAATGGTCGAAGCACATTAGGACTTGTCGACATGAGCACAGGACGATAGTGAGGACCGAGATAGACGAGAATCACATCGAATCCATAGCAAGCTGAAAACCAGTCGTTGTATTCCTGTGGCATTTTGTATGCGGGGGTCGGAGAGCCATGCATCGTCACTTCAACCACTTCGAGATCATCCGTATGTGGCGCCAGAGGAAAGTCCACAGACTTGGAGAGGCTGTTTGGAGGCTTGTAGGTGACGGTGAGGATTCCTGCGGCGGAGTTGATGGTCGGGAAGAAGAACACGCTTTGGGGATAATGTGCGACTGCGATGTTCTTGTATGTCGTGGTGTTGTTGTTGTTGGCGTCTTGTTGTACGTGCAACATCATGAATCGCCTGTCGTGGGGAAAGCCATGTTTTGTCACTTGGACTTCTTCGAGCTCGGCCGCTCGCAGCGCTTTGACGGGGTAGACGTAGATTTTGTCGATCTTCATAATTGCTACGGAGGTGGGTTTTGTACTACAGGTTGTACAAGGTCATCTTCTCTTAGGAAGTAAGTGAAGTGTCTCGATTTAAGTGGAGCTCGGCAATCCTCGGCTGGCAGTCGCCGACCTCCCTCTCCGCTTCCTAAGGAGAGTATATGTCCATAAGGTAAGGTAGGTATGCAGATCAACTTGTGGAAGTCAACGTGCCGACGGATTACAAAAACATTGATAGATAAGGTAGACAGTACGTGGAGTCTCTAAGGCCACTAAACATTGCCAGTTCGGGCCATCCGATAAAAATAGATCTGCTATGTATATATCGCTGTTAGTATGCGCCCCGATTATAATGCTCTGAGACTCGATGAAACGAAAGACATACATTGCTAATGGAAGGGAATTTGCACAAGTGTAAAGGGAACAATCTGCTTTTGGAACTATCAAGGTATCGTTTCTCATACTCGCACGTGTGCCAAAGGCCGTTATATCGTTATCATGCCAATCAAATCGGAATATCGTAACGAAGTTCTGCAAAGATCACAAGGAAAGGAACATGTCGTCGGATGAGTTAAGTGGCACCATCGTTTCCAGTTTCGGTGCCAGGGGTAGTCCCAGTTCAGTTGCCTCCTCCACCGTGTCCTCCTCCGCTGCCTCCTCCAGTACCGCTGCCTCCTCCAGTACCGCTGCCTCCTCCAGTACCACTGCCACTGCCACTGCCACTGCCCTTCTCGCCTCCTTCGATACCGCCCTTCCCGCTGCTTCCTCCGCTGCCTCCTCCAGTACTACCACCACTGCCATTGCCCTTTTCAGTACTGCCCTTTTCGCCTCCTCCACTGCCCTTTTCGCCTCCTCCAGTACCACTGCCTCCTCCAGTGCCACTGCCACTGCCACTGCCCTTTCCAGTACTGCCCTTCTCACCTCCTCCACTGCCACTGCCACTGCCCTTTTCAGTACTGCCCTTCTCGCCTCCTCCAGTACTACCACCACTGCCACTGCCCTTTCCAGTACTGCCCTTCTCGCCTCCTCCAGTGCCAGTGCCAGTGCCACTGCCCCTTTCAGTACTGCCCTTCTCAGTACTGCCCTTCTCGCCCCCTCCAGTACTACCACCATTGACACTGCCCGTTCCAGTACCTCCTTCGCTGCCCCCTTTGCTGCCAGTGCTACCGCTACCGCTACCGCTACCGCTACTGCCCTTTCCGCTTCCTCCAGTACCACTCTTCCCGCTGCCTCCTCCACTTCCGCCGGTTCCCGTACTGCCCTTCTCAGTACCTCCTCCAGTAGTGCCAGTGCCAGTTCCAGTTCCAGTTCCCGTTTCCGGATCATTTCCCGAACTACCCTTCCACTGATTCCCATGTCCCGCTTCAACATCCGAAGTAACATACTTCTTCAACGTACTTTCCGACGACTCCAACGCCTCAACGAATTCATGCGCGATAACCCTCGCTCCCGCCGGGGTGAAGTGCGTCGCACCCTGATAGTACGAGTCGACGACTTTGGCGGTCATATTCTGAAATAGCGCAGACGTCACATTGCCGTGGTCGATGAAGGTCACGTCGGCGGCTTTGGCGGCGTCTGCGGCATATTTGGCGAAAATGTTTGCTTTGAATTTGTAGGTTCCGCTGGCGAAGGGGTTATTGGGCGTTGGGGAGAGAATGATGACATTGGCGCCTTTGCTTTTGAGGAGCTTTGCGGCTTGGACCAGGTAGGTGTAGTATGTTAGGACTGTTTCGGGTTTGCCACTGTTGTTTATCGTTGGGCGTTAGCTTTCTAAATTCTACCTAGGTACTACTACTTTGCGCTTTTCAACCAAATTTGTGAGATTCGGTTGATTAGCACATATGGAAAAAAGAGAAAAAAAAAACCCCCAACTTACTGGAAAGTGGTCTTGCAAGTCGTACTATATTTGTTATTGACGGGCGGACAAGCTGCACGTCCATTGTCGATCTTGCTTTTAGGCGTGCCAACATCATTGTGTCCGAATTGAATGACGACGTAGTCTCCCTTTTTGACCTTGGTCGCGAGTGTCTTGAATCGGTTCTCATTGGTGTACGATCTCGCTGATCTGCCGGAGATGGCAAGATTGACGATTTGTATCTTCATGAATTCGGGCAAGGCTGAGCCCCAGCCTTGACGTTCGAGCTTGACTGGTACCTTGTGATTATTGCCTGTCTTCGGTTTGCCGTTATTGTTTCCAGCAGGCTCGCCATTATTGGTTCCAGCGGGCTTGTGGGTTCCAGCAGGCTTACCATTATTGGTTCCAGCAGGCTCGCCGTTCTTGCTTCCAGCAGGCTTGCCATTATTGGTTCCAGCAGGCTGACCATTCTTGGTTCCAGCAGGCTTGCCATTATTCGTTCCAACAGGCTTGCCATTATTCGTTCCAGCAGGCTGACCATTCTTGGTTCCAGCAGGCTCGCCGTTATTCGTTCCACCAGGCTCGCCATTATTGGTTCCAGCAGATTTGCCAGTGTCGTCTTCATCACGTTTACGTAGACTGACTTGCTCCTCAGCGGAGTCCTCAACGCTGGAAGGGTTGCCTTCGTTGGATCCAGAAGCAGGTAGACTCTCGTCTGCCACTGCCGTAGCTGCCATGGTACTGTCGCCAACGAGGTAGAGAATGGGAGCCCCCACGGGAGGTTTGCCGTTGCCAGTTGTTGGAGAGTTTGGCATTCCCGTGGCAGGTTTTTTCGTCATCTCCTTGCTGCCCATGTGTTTTGTGTTTGGCTCCTTGGCGTTGTTTGTCGTGAGCATGTCCTCTGGTGCGGCCATGGCCATTGGTGCTGCCATGGCTCCTGTGAGTGCTGCCAGAAGGCACCCGACGATCTTGTAGACGCGCATGGTGGTCTCGGCAAATGGTACCTCTCAGTAAGTGTATTGCTTTGCTTTAGATTCTGCTGAAGTAATTACATGTAGGTAGTGATGCTCCTGCGCAGAGTTGAGTGTTGGACAGAATGCTTCGTAGATCCAGAGTCAGTGGACAACAGCGCTTCCTTATATGCTGTTCACCCGTACTGTACTGGGGCAACTTGTCCTCGGCTCGTGATCGCAACTTCGAAAGTGCAGAGTAACGCGAACTGTAGCACCCTGTGGTCCGATTGCCATCCATTCATCGAACAGTCGTATCGACACAAGGGCAGTGCTGAGGGTCACTGATCTATAGACGCCTACTGTTTTGGCACGTGTGCAGCCGCCCATAGATGTGCTGCAAAGCTTTCACATAACAGAAATCGAAGCTTTTGAAGCGATAGAGGCATTAGCAAGAGATCGGTGATCATGGCTTCGTATTTCGAGGTCAACATGCAGATGCGCAGGAATCGCTGGGCCATAGTCACCTAGCATTCACCACGTGGGAGTCGGTCAGTCCAATAGTCCATGGCGTGTGGTGCAAACGAGCCTCCGCTAGGTGGCGAAGCGAACCAACAACATTTTTGGTCTGATGCGCCCCGGGGTAGTCGTCAAGTAAGTTACTGACTTCCTTGTGTTAGATGTTGGTCCTGAGCTGTTGTCCCTATATGACACTGGCTGACAAGACGTGTAGCCCTCTGCTAGCATCTTGCCCCAACCATGCCATTCTCTTGCGTACTGTCATCTCGGACGACATCTGGGACACGTGGCAGGTTTGCTGAAGAATGTTGTCTTGATGGAGCATAAAACAGGGAGTCATAACATCATAACCTTTGCTATAGCAAGACTGACACTACATTAGGGCTCAGCTGCCGTCATCGCCAGAGAGTTGAAGCTTACCGAAAGATACTCCATTCGGACCATTCCTCGGGACGGCGAAGTACATCATTATCCGAGAGTGTCTTTTCTTGCGGAGGCTGACATGTATGAAAACAAATAGCGAGTTTCCTACTGTCATCAGCCTTCTCGAACTGCATGCCCCACTCCGCCAGTCATTCCCTCCTGGACCGTGCATCTCGCTGTATCGAATATGCGTAGATGCCTAATCAGAATGTTGCCTCAATTGCTCAGCCACAGCACCGTGCCATCTTTACTAAGGTATCTACCTCTGTGTTCCGGTGGGTCCATGAGCAGAGGGCTACCTTATTAGGCATCTATCGGCGAACCAGAAGTAAGAACGCCCAATCGTCAACCACGTGGAAAGAGTCCCATGAAAAAGTCTGCAGCTGACGTCGGAAGAGGAGTCCCCATAGCTCTCGGCCAGCTTTGTAAGTTTTCAGTTGGAGGAGGTCCACGGAATTGAAGCGCAGCACATTGTTGGCTATTTCGGCTCGATGATCCAAATCGCGTGGACATGTTATTCGGCAGCATTCGCATACTGTAAGTTCTTAGAGACTTCGATTAAGCTAGTGAGACCGAAACGTCAGATTTCTCGCATCGAAGTACGCTCGCGCATCGTGACCATCGCTGACAGCTGTTTACATGACCCTTGCATGCATTAGTAACCTCCTCCATCGTGGCATTTATGTGTTTGTATGGCGTCATGGTCAAAGGGCCAATTCCAATTCTAACTCGAACACAATCGTACTACAGAAGCTCCTGACTTACAGGCGAGGCGACTGCGTCTGCAGATGTAACGCGTAGCGGTCAGTAGTGATGACAGAGGAGCGACAGTCATGGCGCCTATCGGTTCTACCATAGTCTTTGAAGTAACGTTGTAGAAGACGACAGGCTTCTCCGGAGCCCTGCACTCCGCGGTATAGACATCGAGAGAATCCGCGACTGACGAGTCTCTATTCTGCCTTGCAAGGCTGCTCTCGAGAAACAGCTTCCGTGAAGGCATTATCAAGTCTGCAAGTGGCGTCGTTTCGACTGTGGGCATGCCTCAGGTATCCCATACCAGCTGCAGATGGCCAGAAAAGAAAAGTCTGACAAGGAGGCTGCAGCAGTATAGGCTGTATAGCACTGTCTGTTTGAAGCCAGCGTCTCGGACAAGCCAATAGAACAGCAACGTTCATTCTTCCTCGGTATTCCTGCCTCGGGCATTCCTTCCGAGAGCACGGAGTCTGAGCGATGATGGCACATGGTATCGCAAGTGCGCACAGAGCCACAGTACTAGGTAGTGTCACAGAGCAGTCGTTTCAGCAGGCTGAAGTCATCGACGTTGCTGTTGACGAGACAAGTCCTCACAAACTATGTCGCCCATGCACAAGATTTGCGAGTTGGATGTTGTATGTTGTCATGGAAACTGAAAATTTAGTTTCTCTGTGTTCCATGTCTACGAGCCTCAAGGCAATGAGTCGAAAGCATGACAGATATCTCGCCACCTGTTGCATCGAGGAGCATATTCTCTGACTGGCTCGAAGATGCACGCTGGGCGCGCATTTGGTTCTCGTTACAGCCGAAGGAGAGGCGTCGAGAGCCTCAAAGGATGGATGATAACAATTCGCTTCGAGATCTAGACGCGAGACATGATGGCTGCATGGAAAGCGGTCGTTGCCATTCGAAGTCCAGACCATAGGAGTGATGGGGTGTGCGGACTCTTGTATTTCCGCAGACTGGGCTTTTCATGTCGCCGCCCCGGTCCTGATCAGGGCATGGGCTGCGAGGGTTTATTGGATGACAAGGGGACTTCCAGTTGCAGCCAACAGCCGCGCGTCGGAGCCTCCTGTCATTGCTTTCGATCCGCAGGAGCCGCAAGTGTTGAGGACATGCTCATGCCTGTCGGCCTAGAGTGTCGTCTCAGCGTCTGAGGGAGATAAGCTCGCGTGTCGTAACCTTGAGAGCGGCTATATTTTGCTGCAGCGCAGTTGTGTGACAGCTTATTCTTGGGTTGCGCGTGAGTGCGTGTCGCGTGTGTGGTAATGTTAGATGGATGATGATTGGTGTTGATGATGATGATGATGATGATGGTGGTGATGGTGGTGATGGTGGTGATGGTGATGGTGGTGACGACGACGGTGATGACGACGACTAGACATCCAAAGGTGGTGAGAGGTCACGAATCTTACTACAGACGGTGACACGAGATAACTTATTAGGTCAGGTACATGTACAATTGTACATAGGTGCTTTGTGAAAGTTGGTTGTGAAAGTTGGGATCCACCTGGCTGTGGCACGTGGAAGAACTCTGTGTGGGGCGAGTCCCGTTCTGGTCTAGCCGCTTGTCTAACGCACCCTAATTTCCGACTTCATGCCTCCTGCCTCTTCAAGTCACAAGTCACAAACCTTTGGAGGCTCAACAACAGGCAAGAGCAGTGGCAACACGTGACCACTAACCAGTTCAACATGTTCTGTCTGTTGATTACAGGCAACTACTCGATCGCGACAACCTTTAGGGAGTCCAGAAGGTGGTTCCAGACAGCGAGAGCCGCTGTATACCTTAATGACCAGAAAGATGTCGCGAACAGGGGCAGGCCCGGAGAGAGATGGCCTGGCTGAGACGAGAAGACAGTAAGAAGTATTACGATCGCGGGCATTCTTGAATTGCAAGAGCAGCAACAGTCAACTCAGAACTGTAATACTGTCATACTGATGAAAATAATAACAACAACAATAATAATAAATATGGAACGGGGCGCAGGGTGGCGGAAGAGCGATGCCGTCGCAGTGAGAAGGCCGATGTGTTGAGAGCTCTGCCCTGCTCCCAGCGCAAGGATCGGCTGTCGAGCAGGTGATGTACAATCACTGTATACAATCATTGTGTACACCTCTCAGTATACTGTACGCGAACTCCTGGAGAGTATCTTAGGGGTCAGGCAAGGCAAGACAAGGCCAGGCCAGGCCAGGCAGGGCACGAGCATTGTGAAGCTTGATGAGGACGACGGGGAGGAGAGGCACCTGCTTGCAGATAGCCAGAGTGCAGATACATTAGCCAGAGCCAGAGGCAGACAGGCACAGGCACAAGCACGGGCACAGGCAACGGCAACAGCCGAGAGTGTTCAGCAGACAGCAGTGTTAGCGATGCTCCTCAGGTCCCCTCACAGCTCCCCCCCCCCTCGACACCATCTCGCGAGTCGCAACTGCCACTGGCAAACACTAAGGTACACTCACAGAATCTCGGATGATCCAGTCAGGCAGGCACGCACTTCTCCACAGGCTCCACTCACTGCTGGAAAAGGTTGAAACTCCCCCCCCCCCCCCCCCCCGTCCGTCGTTCATGCTCTCTGCAAGGTACTCCCGGCCTTAGCGTCGTCTGGGCACTACAAGCCCGGTAGGCGCGAGCCGTCATTGGGCAAGCGCGAATGAGCACACTCAGCACGCACACCGGGCCCCAAGCCCCCCCCCAAGCCTTTCCACCGGCCGGAGCCTGTCGCCTTATTAAGTCTGACTGCCGGCCGCCCACCCATTATCATCGTCTTCTCCCGCACGACGCTTCATCTCGACTCTCCCCTTCCTCACTCACCTCCATCTCACCTTCGCTTCTTCGCAGACAACACCCTCCACTCCGGTCTCGACCGTATTCACTCGTTATCACCCACGCAAGAACAAAGGATACCCGTCTTCCCGACCGCCTCACCGTCAAGATGCACTTCGCTGTCGCTGCTTTGGGCCTCGCCGCCGCCGTCGTCTCGGCCTCTGAGGCGCCTCCGTCGTATGGACCACCACCACCACCATCATACGGCCCACCTGTCGCTCCAATGCACCCTCCCACTTACGGTCCCCCCATGAACGCCTCCACCTCCATGCCTCCCGTCATGACCACCCAGGTGGTGACCAGCTACGCCACGTACTGCCCAGAGCCAACTGCCATCACTCACAACGGTGTGACCTACACTGTGACCGAGGCCACCACGCTCAGTGAGTTTATTCGAGAAAGAAAATACCCGAGACGTGGCAAAGACTGATTGTTCCGATTTTCTAGCCATCACCAACTGCCCATGCACCCTGACCATGCCAGTGTACTCGTCAGTAGTCACCGAATGTTCCACATGGTACAAACAGCACATGTGTAGAGTCGCCTCCGCTCGAATGTCCATGCTAACTGTGTGCTGTAGCTCGACTCCTACTCCAATGCCACCACCAATGCCAACGGAGACTCCGACCACCCCAGTCATGCCACCACCAGTTCCTTACTACCCATCTGCCAACACGTCGATGCCGGCACCACCTCCAACCGGAACCGGTGCCTACACTCCTCCGGCTGGCACCAGCCCTATCTCTCCTCCGGGATACACTGGTGCTGCCAACAAGGCATCCTTCGGTGTTGCCGGTGTCTTGGCTGCTGCTGGTTTCATCGCTGCTCTCTAAGCGATCACTCCCGAGCTGGCGAGACCGGAGTGGTCGTATAGCGAGCATGTTCGTAATGTGCAAACGGCAGGTACATGCAGAGCCGTGCATCATTTCGGTAGCCAGGCTTCTCTGAGGCTCTCGCGACGAACCGCACGAAAAGGGGCAAGCATTTTTTGGACTACCAGTTGCTATCAACATGACGCACCTTTGTCATCTAATCATGATCGGCCGATTACAGCGGTAATGCTGGGTGTTGTTATCGACTTGTGATTGGGGCGTTTGTCTGGAATTGCATATAGCTGCTTACACATATCATTCACACGTGGACTTTTGATGCTACGACACCATATTTGTATCTAATGACCCAACACTAGAAGACGATTTTGAACCCACATTTCACTTCTTCAGACTCTGTTGCTCTCTCTCGCTCTCTCTCGCTCTCTCTCTCCACGGTTACTTCTGAAACTGCCACATGGCACATGCAGTGCAAGAACCCCAGCTGCGACACGATTCCAGGAGTTCCAGCTGTAATAATGGTCCCAGGTACCTCTCCCGTGGTACTGTGGGGCTTACTGCACGGGAACACGGTGGCTCGTGCGTCGTGCGGGGATAACAGTGTCGTGGAGCGCAGGCGTGAGAGAGCTCACAACCACATCCGAGGGTCACGATCGGTGGGATGCCAGCATCGGTCGACGACATGTAGAAGAGTAGGGCCGGTCAGTATTCCCTCATCTTCTATCCGGTTCTTACCAACAGAGCATCCATAACACCACGGATCATCTCTTTCCCTCTTTCCCTCTTCTCTCTCCATCGCTCTGTTTCAACATGCCCGTCTTTCCCAGCTTACAGCAGGACATTCTCCGTGTGTACATCAACGACCGAGGCGAAGCGCCAGGCTGATTGACTTAGTTCCTCGCGACATCACCATCTGGGAGTGGCTCTTCGAAAGTCCTACATACTCCCCCCTTCTCCGCTTTCCCCCGGAGCAGCAATGCGGTTTCACCGACGCCATCACGAAAGAGAGGCTGAGCTGGCAGGATGTGAAGGACGCGGCCACAGACTTGTCGACGGCATTGGTGAAGCGGTACGGCTTGCAAGAGGGCGAGACAGTATCGCTCTTCTCGGCAAACACCATCTGGTACCCGGTTGCCATGCACGCGACTCTTCGCGTGGGTGGCAGAGTGAGTGGAGCCAGTCCGGGATACAATGAGGAGGAAATGACATATGCTCTGCAAAAAGCCAACGCCAAGTTCTTGATGACCCACAAAGATAGTATGGAAGTGGCTATCAAGAGTGCGAAAACTGCAGGAGTGCCCATGGAGAATATTATCTTGCTGGAGGGCGAGCTCGATGGCTTCAAGAACATCAAGACGTTAATCCAAGAAGGCAGAGAGCTGGGAAACCCCGTGCCGTACTCGAGGATTCCTGCGGGAAAGACGAATTTCGATGTTTGCGGATTCCTGTCCTTCTCGTCGGGAACCACAGGCCTGCCGAAAAGTGTCATGATTGCACACCAGAATGTCATCGCCCAGTGTCTCCAAGTCATGGCCATTACACCGAGTGACCATAAGCGTGTGTTGGCCGTGCTGCCTTCTTTCCATATCACGGGGCTTGTTCATGTATTACATTTACCGCTGCTCATCAACGCAGAGGTGTACTTCCTACCTGCATTCACCATGAAAGCCATGCTGGACACCGTGACCGAGTACCAAATTCCCGAGCTGTTATTGGTGCCTCCGATTCTGATCAGAATGGTTCGCGACCCTATCGTCAAAAAGTACGACCTGAGCTGTATCCAACGCTTCTCTTCCGGTGCAGCACCTCTCAGCGAAGAGATACTCGTCTTATTGAAGAAACAATTCCCCCACGCAGGTTTCAAGCAAGGCTACGGCATGACCGAAAGCTGTTCCTGCATCACCGCCCACCCTCCTCAATACTACGATTTCCAATACGCCCACACAGTCGGCACCATCTGCGCGAGCACCACGGTGAAAATTCTCAAAGAAGACGGCACCGAATGCGATATCAACGAGCCCGGAGAAATCTGTGCCAAAGGCCCTCAAATCGTCATGGGCTACCTGAACAACGAACAAGCCACCAAAGAAACTTTTGACGACCAAGGCTACCTCCACACGGGAGACCAGGGCCAAATCGACGCCCATGGCCTCCTCACCATCGTCGACCGCATCAAAGAACTCATCAAAGTCAAAGGCATTGGCGTCGCCCCTGCCGAGCTCGAGGACCTCTTACTCGGCCACGCTGGCGTCGAAGACGTCGCTGTCTTGGGCATTCCCGACGATTATGCCGGAGAAGTCCCCAAGGCGTATATCGTACCTCGCAGCAATAGTAATAATCATAACAATAGTAATAATAATACTCAAAATCCCTCCTCCTTACAAGAGCTCGGAAGGGAATTATTGCAGTATGTCAGAGAGAATAAAGTCCGATACAAGGCTATCAAGGAAATCGAATTCGTGGAAATTATCCCCAAATCGGCTTCGGGGAAGATTTTGAGGAGGGTGTTGAGAGATTTGGAGAAGAAGAAGAAGAAGGAAGGGATAAGAGGGTCGGTGGTGGTGAGGGAGGAGAGGGCGAGGTTGGCGTGATGTGTTGATGGAATGGCCAGTCTTGAGACCTTATGTTGGGATATGATGTGATGTTGTGTATGGATGTAGGTACCTACCAGGTAATGTAAGGTAATGTAGCGCGCGGTAAATGGAATGTCACACACACATTCCACAGCTCGCGACTATATAGTTTAGCACAGCCCGCGACTTTCGACATCTGCAACATTTATACACGGTACACCTCACAACAAAACGGAAAAGAACCTAGTGAGCTGAGGTGCGACATTGCATGTGAGCACATTTCATAATATTCATCGTCAATCACGTGACTATACATGATATTCATAAAGTAATACATGATATATGATTGATATCCAACAAGGTAGGTACAGTTGACACCAAGGTACATGTATGTATCTTATACGAGCTCATGCTGAATCACCAAACCAGCAATCGATGCAGAAGACAATGTCGCCAAGACACCCGTGATCAAGGCACTGATGGCCAATCGGGAAACATCACCCGACCGACCAGGGGCAATTTGCGACAAGACACCAATTTGTGTGCCCAGCGATCCAATGTTGCCGAAACCACAGAGAGCATATGTTGCGATCAGTCGGGAACGGGGGGCGAGGTCGGCGTACATGGCGTCGCTGGTCAAGGCGGTGAATGCGACGAATTCGTTCTGGAAAAGGGGGGTTAGTTTTCCTTGTTCTTCTTCATCCTTCCTTTCATATTGAAAAAAGGGGGAAATTTTTCTAGGGGAAATGGAAACTTACAGTGACAACCTTGATACCGATGAGACGGCCGACTTTGACGAGATCTGGACCTCGTGGGACTCCGAGCAAGAAAGCTACGGGGTACATGACATATCCGAGGATCAGTTCGATGGTGAGATCGTATTCGCCATTCAGGTTCAGGTAGCGACCGAACCAGGTGAGAAGACCGTTGATGAGCGCGACGAATGCAATGATGCAGAGCAGCGTGGTCAAGATCATCGCAGCGATCTTCAGACCGAGCCAGGCTCCGTTGGCGAACGCATGAAGAGAATTGGCAGCCTTGTGCGTATCATCGTCAGGAACGACGACCTTGCCAGATGTCAGAGACTCTTCTTCCTCGGGATAGCGCATCTTGGAAGCAGCGAGAGAAGCGGGAATGGACATGACACAAGACGAGATCAGAGCCTGTGGGTTCAATCCCATGCCAATGTATGCCACCAAGACAGATCCTGCAATCGTGGCGAATCCAGAGCACATGACTTGATGCAGCTCGCACATGGTCAAATGTGGCACGAATGGCTTGATCAACATGGCAGATTCTCCTTGTCCAATGAAAGGCGTGGCGGCAGCGACAACGGCCTCGGCTCCGGAGATTCTCATGGACCAGAAGAAGAAGACGGCGAACTTGCCGACGAACCACTGGATCAGACCGACGTAGTAGAGCAGCTGTACCAGCGACACGAAGAAGATGATGGCTGGGAGCACCGTCACCAGGAACCAGGGAGTGGCATCAACCCAGTCTGCAGAAGTCAAGAATGCCAAACCGTCACCAGCAAACCCGAGCAACGATCGTGCGAGACCAGAAATGAAGTTGAAGATATCATAACCGACGCCAGTTCTCAGGACAAACAGCGCGATGATGAATTGGATCAGGAAGCCCGAGATGACGGTATGCCAGTTGATCTTGCTCCTGTTCTTCGACGTGGCGTACAAGCCAGCAATGAGGACGACCATGCCAAAGAGTGAGATTGCGCGGTTCTCGTGGGAGTTTGTCGGCGTCTCCGCGCTGGCGAATGTGCCCACGAGGATAGTAGCCGCGGTGACTACGGCACCAGCCCACAGTCTGAACCGCTCTGGAATCATATTGTTGACTCGTACGCCAGTTTGATTCCATGTCCAATGCATGGGCACCGTCACGAATGATGTTCCCGTGTGCAAGGTGACAATGCGAATGGTCACCGCCAGCCAGAGGAGGAATGGGACCACCCAGTTCTTGTCATTGCGGTGAAGGACGAGACTCGCAACCCACCAGCCCGTCGCCAACAGCCATATGGCAAAGTGAATGAAGAGACGGTATCTCCGGTAGAAGGATCGCTTTTTGCTGGGAGACTCCTCCGATGCCTCCATCGACTTCGCGGGTGTGATCACGTTTCCTTGCTCGATATCCACGCTGTAGTCGCCCTTCTTCTCACTCCCATATGCCGGTCCATGGCTAATGCCGTGTTCTTGCGGGCTCGGATCGGGGATCGTACTGCGCTCGTTGGTCGTGCCGGTGGTGTAGACCGGCACATCGTCGCCCTGCTGGTGGGCGTTGTGGCCATGGTGGAGGTGGCCATGCGTATGCTGGTGCGCTGGATCTAAGGCCGGGTCCTGAGAGGCGTGCGCCATGATGGTGATGGCAGCGGTGCGCAAGGTCTCTTGGCAACGAGATGAGTGCTCCCGAGAAATTCGTACCGTGCGCGCGAGCCCAGTCCAGTGGACGGTACAGTCAGGTGGGTAGTCTTAAATATGGACTCCACCCGAGCATGACCCCTCTGTATCTGCCATGCGACACCGAGGACCTTATCATGGGCCGGTCGAGTATCTAGAACGGCTGATTGGGGCTAGGGCGCATCCCATTCGCCGTGCACTAGAAGGTAAGGTAGTAGGTCAGGTAGGTAAGGTACCTCTCCAGCCCAGTGTAGCATCGCAGCCGTGTGCTTGGCAAGAGCTGGAGTGCCTTCGTTCTTTGGCTGCCACGCCGGCTGAAGGATCGAGCGGAGTCGCTCTCGTCGGCGCAAGTTCCCCAATCGTTCTGCCAAGCCGATAAGGTCTACCGGGTTGCCCGATACCACTCCAGTGGGGCAATTCGACCGCGAAGATGCTGGTACTGTCTACCGTATACCTCCTCCGGTATAAGGCATGGGCATGGCATTACCATACTGTATGTATGTACATGTAAGGTATAGGTAGGCAGTTGTAGACTGTAGTTGCTGATGCTCTACCTACCTCCTACCTGGTACCTCTGGCCCTCTATACACACATGCCATGCCGCCCATTACCGATGTGCTGCGACCATCAGCCCTGCCGATTGTGCCGAATTTCAGCCATCTGCAGCTCGTGGCGATATGGTAAACGGATGGGCATTTGATGATATGCCGCGGCTGAATGTCCACAGTCCAACACTCGAATGACCGTAATTGCTTATTGCTGACTGTGTCCTCTCTGCCAATGGTCCACACCTCAACCACGTACAAAGCTCCCATCCAAGACCCACTAGTCATCGAGCTGGCACATGGCCTCCATAGCCTGGGAACTCACATCCTGGGATATCATAGCCCGGAAATCCAGAGGCGATGTCCGACCCAGCATGACCATGTTTCCTTCCAGCTGCTTGCGAGCCTAGATGTCGCTTGATAGCGGTGGAGGACGATGAAGATAGATGTCGGTGTCGCTTCCATAGAGCTAACTGAGAGAGGAGAGCTGGGGCTATCCCTAGCCCGGCTGCACGACACACGAGTAAGTCGTTCCTCCAGAGATAGTGGCGTCGCGTGAGGCCGCTTGTATTGACCTCTGCCTTCCTGTTTACTCACTCGGTGCCGCTGGGGACGTACACGGTGGCGGATGTGTATCCAAGATGGCTGATCTACCTGGTGGTTTATCTACCTGGCCTGGATCCAGATTACGCCGACTTTTTGACCAGACGCGACAGGAGACCCAGTAGAAGTTGAATTCGGACAGATAGGCACCGTGTGCAATTATTGATTCCATCTCGCGTCGGAACTCGTCGGATCTACTTACTAGTCGAGAGGACGTCGGCTGAACGATCGACCCGAAGATATGGTATGTTTCGACTCTCATCATAGATTATTACTCTACTAAGGTACTTCACCGCTTTTGCACAACATCGAGGACATTCTTGGTCTTGCGATCACGCTCAGCAGTATCTGCCATGCCATATGCGGCCGCCGCTTGCCTACATATGTCGGCCTGCCAGCTTTCGCCAACTCTGATGTTTCCTTTCCTGATATCTTCATCACTAGCATCCCAGCAGTTCTGTATCGTCCCTCCAATCTTCTCCATGAAGCTCTTCAATCCCCCTTCCCCGCCACCAGCATGATACGATTTGAATGGTCCCGCTACCGTCCATCTGGGTCCCATCGAGGCGCAGACAATGTCATCAAGCTCTTCCACGCCCACTACACCCTGACTAACCAGCGAACTTGCTTCCCGCAGCAGCGCAAATGCCAGTCGGTTTGCGACAAACCCAACACATTCCTTCTTGACTTCTACAGGTGTCCTTCCGATGTCTCGCCAGTACTTCAATGTTCGCTCTATGACGTCGTCCGATGTTGCTGGTGACCGCACGACCTCGAGCAGTGGCATAATGTGAGGCGGATTGTACGGGTGCACGACAACGAGTCGGCTCTTATCCATCATATCTCTGCTTTGGTCGCTTGCAGGAATGCCGCTTGTGCTGGACCAGAAGAGCGCTTCCTTGGGTGCATGCTTCTCAATCTCAGGCCAAATGCCAATCTTGAAATCCGCCGTCTCAGGTCCTTGCTCTTGTACGATATCTGCTTTTTCGACTGCCTCTTCTATGGTTTTGGCGAATGATATCCGCTCGATGCAGGATATCTGGTCGGTGTCGACGAGGTAGCCGGAGATGTTATTCGAGACATATTCCTGCAGGTCAGGTCTGCTGTCGAATATGACCACCGTACATGAAGTATTCCTCGACAAGTGAAGAGCAGCAAAGGAGAGTCCAATGGTTCCTGAGCCGATGACGGCAATTTTGGTGGGCTTTGCTGCCATTCTTTGGAGTTCGAGATGATGGACAGAGGAAGAGTGTGCGAGTAAGGAGGTACAAGAGGGGCATTACTTAGCTTAGAGTCATGCACATATATCATGCTACCGAGTCGCGCAGGCTGTAGTCAATTTACTCTGCCTCTTCACGCTGAGATCAACGTGCATGGACGGACATCGTTGATGCAGTACGTCGAACCTCGGAGATGGATGTCGAGAAGCGATAGACATGTTGCCCCCTTGTACCTGCTTACTGTAGTGCGGGATCGTCCGTCTAGTCTCCACTTTTATTTTGTAGAATGTCAGGTACATACAGAGTTGAAAGTTTTCTATAGCACAATTCACATCAGCATTAAAAGCACAACTCACACTCAAAGTCCACATGGCGGGAACCAAACGACCATACGACGATAATCAGGGGGAGGAGAATGTGCATCCTGCTCGCAAGCCGCGCATGGGAATCAAGGAGCCCAGTGCAGACCAAAAGGAACTCAACGGAATTTTGCGAAAGCTGGGCGAAGAAGTATCTGAACAGAGAATCGAGGCCACGAAGGAACTTTTGAGCCATCTGGCTGAAGATGCAGGCGACTCGAAAAGTCGTGTTGACAGAGCAGTCACTCGACTGGTAAACGGCGTGTGCAGTGGTGCCAAAGCCGCTCGTTTGGGTTTCTCCATGGCGCTGGCTGAGGTGCTCAGATTTGCACGAAATGGCGACCAGAATTTCTTGACATTCGAAGAACTTTTAAGCAAAATCTCGGCATTGACGCCTGAGACAACTCGTGGGCAGGAGGAGAGGGACTACCTGCTGGGGCGCATGTATGCATACCATGCGATCCTGCTGAGCGATGTTCTGCGCAATGCCACAGAGGCAGAGGTCAGCTCTGTTTTCGATGCTCTCGCTGAACTGGCTCCGCAGAAAGAGTGGCTGAGAAATGAATGCGGTCTGATACTGATGGAGTTCTTGAAGACGCCAGCCAATGTGGACCTGGTACTACCTTTGATTGCCTCTCTGGATTCGAGGGGCCTATTGAAGTCGCCTGAAGGCGTGGCATTGTGGTTGACAGCCAAGGACAGCTTCCAGAATGTCAAACTGCCTAAAAAGGTGTGGCATCATCGCAACCCACTCTCCTCGCAGGATCGCGGCGAGCTTACTCGTATTCTACTCAAAAATGCAGTTGAGAGTAAAGAGGTCGAGCAGCCGCAACAGAATGGGGAAGGCAAGAAGAAGATGAAGGGATCGGGTGCGCGACAATCTATGCCGAGCTTCGCCTGGAGTGTCATACTGCAGCATCTTTACAAGACCGACGATGGCAAAGATCTCTCATCATTCTGGGAAGACTGCCTCGCAAAGCCGATGTTTTCTGCAAACTCTTCAGCTGAACGGAAGTCTCTTGGTCTTCAAATCTTCAGCCAGGCTATCAAGACCGCTCCTGCAGAACTCCTTGGAGACATTGTGCACAGCAACATCGTGCGCTGTATTGTCGATCAGAGGTCCAAGTCTGATCGCACCCTCTTCGCCGCCGCTGCGGTGCCACTGAACACTATCAAAGCTCGAGGCCTGGCCGATGCGACGGCGGCAGCTGAGATCGTTTCTAAGCTGCTCGAAGTGACGCCAGCGACTCTAGACAAGCTTACGAGGCAGACTATGGATAGTCTTCTCGCGTCAGCAGACCCTGAGAGCCTTGTTCACGTTGTGAAGGTCATTAACGATGTGTGCCGCTCTTCAAACATATTGCCTTCTGATCCAGGCGATGCTGAGAAGAAGCGCCGTCTGCTAGCAGATGCGCTACTATCGATCATTCGCTCGAGGCGGAGCCAACCAGAGCAGTTTTTCAAGAAAGGAGAGAAGGCGTCACAGTGGCTGAAAGGCGCCTTGCGCAACATGGCCGACCTAGCTTACAGTGGAGAAAAGCTCTCTCCTCTTCTTCAGGATACGACGCGGACGATATTCCAGGATCGGCTACTCTCTGCACTCGGACATCTCGTCAGCTTGCCACTCGATCAAGCGATTATTGCCCCTCTTGTTGTAGTGGAGAAACTGGAAACAATTGAGAGCGCATTCGCAGTTACTTTGAACGGTACGGCGACAGAGGCCATTAGGGATGCACAAAAGGCGCTCAAGAAAGCAGCGAACAAGGCAGAAAGCAAGAAAGGCAGCAAGGCCACAGTCGCAAAGGCGTCACAGCTTCTGCTTGCCCTCGGTATCCTTCAGGTCTACAAGCAGGAACCCGATAGCGTGGAGGTTCTCAAAGACATCACTGATCATTACAAAAGTAGTAAGAGCGAGGATTCTTCACTATTGCTTGTCGAACTGCTGCTCAGCTTTGTGGCTAAGCCTTCAGCGCTGCTCCGCAAGCTGGCTGAACAAGTGTTTGCCGCCTTTGCCCCAGAGATTACTGCGGACGGGCTGCAGTCGATGATCAGCGTTCTCGAGCCCAAGGAGAGCTTAGCCGGCAAACGCGAGCTTTTCAAAGGCGAAGAGGACGAAGAAGACGACGACGAGGATGACGACGACGACGACCAGCCTAGTATGGACCTCGACATGGAAGACATAGAAGATGCCTCCGATGTTGAGATTGTCAATGGCACCATCTCCGGTGCCATTGATGACGATGGAGAGGACTCTGTATCAAGCAGTTCAGATGAAGAAGCGGCCGACGGGGCAGGCGACGAGGACGAGGAAGCAGAATTCGATCGCAAACTTGCAGATGCTCTAGGCACCGCTGGTGTGGAAGAAGCCGATGACGATGAGCATGGCTCCGACATGGACGATGACCAAATGATGGCCATCACTCCCCACCTGGAAACTATCTTCAAGGAGCGTAAGAAAGGTTCGAGCAACAAGCGGGACAATCAGGATGCCAAGGAAGACGTCGTGAACCTCAAGAACCGCGTGTTGGACCTTTTGTCCATCTATGTCAAGTCGCAGCACTCCAATCCTCTGGCTCTGGATCTGCTTCTGCCACTGATTACCCTCACTCGCACCACAACAAGTCAACCAACAGCACAAAAGGCAATGGAAGTCCTGGAAACATATTTCGACACGAGCAAGAAGCAGAAGACGCTGCCCATCGCAAATGCTGATGACATATTCCAAGTTCTCGCCAGTATATTCGACGAGATGCGTCTGGGTGGGAGCAGAATCCATGCTGCGGCGTGCAGTCGCTCTGCTCAATTTCTCGCGAAGATTCTTCTATCTGGTGATCCAGGCGCGTGGAAGAAGATCAATGGCATGTACGGAGACTTGTTGGATGAATGGAGGACCGATGCCAAGACGAAGATTCCGAACACTGTCTTCACTCACTGGCTGGATTGGTCTATGCAGAAATAAGGAGACGCACAGTATGGGTCACTTGGCCGGAAATATTATATCTAAATAGTCCTGCTGACGCAACGCGAGACCTTGTATGTGGTGGGAGAGGGATTGTTGACAATGACACATGCTGATTAAAGTTATTGACCATTATTGTGATTTGCCATGTGTCAGCAGCCGAGCCGCTGTCACGTGTGGTCGTGCTTGCCTTGGCGGACCCACCCCGCAGAAGATAACTGTTCGTCACACTACCTCCTGGGTACCTCCTACTCAAGTCTCTTTCCATCACATCGCACGAGACATCACACGAGACATCATGCTGTGCTCGCAACCAATTCCCTGTCAGACGTGCTCATCCTGCGCTGCGAGTGCTGCAAGGTCTGCACCTCGTGCTATCGCCATCGCGCCACGCAACTACAACAACCAATGGTTCACACGTAGCCGTCAGCAGCGTATCAAGGCATACCAAACGGAAACACGACTGCAGGTCCCAGCGATGCACGCGATGAGTGATGAAGCAGCGTAAGCTCATGCCTGTCTTGAAGGCACGGTACGGCACGGCACGACTTTGATTGACAGACATGCTGTAGCCTTGCCACATTCAACGAGCTCCGGCGACTACAGCGCACCAAGAAGGTCACAGCGCGACCAATGCCTACACGATGCCAAGAGCTGAGGAAGCCGAATTCGACACCCTTCCGACTGCTCGACCTGCCCGCTGAAATGCGTGTTCGCATCTGGGAGGATGCTCTCCAAGAGCCGTTCGTTCTTCGTCTTCGAAGCTTTGCCACACCTGCGCTCGCTCGAACGTCTCGTCAACTACGGCAAGAGTGCTTGCCAATCTGGTTTGCTACCAATACTTTCGTGGCTGAAGTCAAATCCACCCTGCTGGGTATATCCGTATGTGCTTCGCATGGCCCCAAAGCAGAGTATATTGCAGAAAGAGATACCCGCTTCCATCGCCTCGGCTCGCTGGACTTGAGTCCTATCGTGAATAGCTTGCTTGCCACTTGTCCTCCCAGAGCGATCCGACTCAAGAATATCGACTTCTGTATGCTCGGTGCTGGGAGCCATCAGGTCTGGCAAACCAGTGGTCGTTATGCTGTGCTCTCTGTAAGTCAGGTCGATGACCGGGTAAGTATGGTTCCGTCAGCAGTGCGGTCGCTTACGGCACCATGTGCACAGGTGAGAGATGGTCGTCCCGTACGGGTCACTACGCACGTCGGGGGTGGCACCAGTCCCGAGTTCACTAAGCATGTGCTGCATGTGTTTAAGCAGGGCAAAGCGTTTCTCGAGCACCTGGTCGCAGACTCGGAATTCGAAGGGCTTTATATGCTGCAGATCAAAGAGGTTGCTGCGGCATTCAGGACCGAGCCCTTGCCGTTGCCGGTGCCAGCGCCCGCGCCCGTTCTCCCTCCAACGCTTCCGACTCTGGGCAGTCTTGCTCCAGTGGCGCCGAGCACGAAGTCGCAAGCTCGCAACCTTGCTCGAGGAGCTGACGAGTCGCGGATGTCTGGACAACTCTCGGCAAAGGCACGAGTGATGGATGATGTCCACGACGAGTTCGATCTACCCCAAGCGGAGACATACTTCTCGTGATGATCTGCCGGCTTGTCTTGCGCCAGACCAACGGCGTTTGCATCGTCTACTGCCAGTTTTACACTGATATCATGTCACACTTGTGGGTTTAATGAATCAGCTCCACTCGCGAAGATATATAGCGACACGGCACAGTATATGTCTCATATGAAGATCATGGTAACGCACGTCGCACGACAGAAGACTTTTTCCTTCCATCATGATCCTGGCTGTGCGCTGAAGACTTCCGGATCAGCCCGGGGACGCGTATCCGCAATAGGATATTGCAGGGCCTGTAGGCTGGGAAGCAGTTCTAGACGGAGGATCGTCATACAGTGTCCCATTATTATGACTATGTTATCAGAAAATCCAAGCGCAAGATTGCCAGGTAGGGTAAGATGACTACACTACACTACACTGACTACAACACACGACATAGCGTTCATGGAAAAGTATCTGTTGGTGAGCAGCTCCTTCAGCCCATTATATGTGCCCTATGTACTCGCGTTGCTCGTAAAGAGGAGGCGCACAAGACTGGCCAATAGAAAGCTTCCAAAGTACATGTAGTAGTGTCACTCTCCGACAACAAGCTCCACCCCCGGACTGCCAACCCATACTATAAGACCACATGCAGCCGGTGTCAGCGGATTCCAAGACCGTCCTATTTATGTGAATGAACTGAGTTGAATTGATATGCCACTCCCAGCCCAACCGCCACGGCTCTGGAGCATCCGACGTCTTGCCCGTGCCAGGCGCTAGTTCTCGTGTTGGAACAATAATCACCTAGCGAGAACTCCACGCCACCTAGGGGGCATGTAGAAGCATTCATCCGGCCATTTGGACAGTGATTAGTAGCAGGCAGCAAGAAAAAAACCTTTTCACCCGCTTGCACAGCAATCATGGCGCTGCTGGATATCGATGACCGCTCCGCTGGCAAATTATGGCTCGTCATATCGCTTGCATTGGTCCTGTACTGTGTCACATCCATCATCGTCTCGAAATTCACCTCTCAGGCCCGTTTTTGGCGCGCCCAAGTGTGGGCAGGACAACAAACAGGATGGTTCCCTCGCCTGCGATCTGGCCTGAAATCTATCAAAGGCACACGAGCGATGCTGGACGAAGCCTACTGGAAGTACTCGAAGCAAGACCGCCCATTTGCGATGCCCAATTTCTCCCAGGATCCCACGGTGATGCTTCCTCAATCGATGATCAAAGACTTTTTACAGGAGCCCGAAGAGAATATCAACCTCTTTGCCGTGCTGTCGGAGTTCATGGCTATTCAATATACGGGCGACGCGGACATTTCCACGCATCCCTTCCATCTCGAGATTGTGGGCAATCAGTTGACGAGGAAATTGCCGCTCTTGACTGCTGAGGTTCAGGCGGAACTCGTGCTCGGATTCGAGGACCAATGGAAGGTGAATTCGACAGAATGGACTGCGATTCCTGCAATCGGTACTTGCAGTACCATTGTCAGTCGTGCGGCGAATCGTGTCTTTAGTGGTGCCACACTCTGTCGGACTCCAGAATGGCTGGAACACTCTGGCATCTACGGACAGTCTATATTCATGGAAGCCAGCATCATCAATATGCTTCCCCGGTTTTTGAGGCCCATTGCCGCGCCCTGGATTTGTCGAAATAACTACAAACATATTCAGATTTGTCAGAAATATGCCGTGCCTGTTATTGAAGAAAGATTTCAAGCTATTCGTTCGGGCACCCTCAAGACGCCTCCTGTAAGTCTCGCAGACAGGTCGAGAAAAAGAAAAGTTCCGTCACTAATCTATTATTACTATTACCCTACCCAGAATGATGTCCTGCAGTGGATCATCGACAAGGTGATGGAGATGGGAGATCCGGTAGAGATGGATCCCAAACGAATCACTCGACGACTAATGCGATTGAATATGGTTGCAATTCATACGACTTCCGTCACCATCACCAACGCTCTGCTGGATCTGTACAGCTCGCCGAGAGCGGAAGAGTATGTTGCTGGCCTGCGAGAAGAGTGCGAGCGAGTTCTGAAACAACATGGTGGTCAATGGAATAAAACGGCAGTGAATGAGCTCTATCGTATCGACAGCACCATTAAAGAAAGCATGCGCTTCTCCAGTTTGGGTATTACGGGGTTGATGCGAAAGGTACGTGTGCGAGAGTCTGTCTGTCATTGTTATAGGACCCATCTCCCCACAAGCAGTAAAACTTTGCCTCCTCTGCTTCGTCGCTCACCTTTTCGCAATCATTGACAAAAAGAAAAAAAAAACAGGTCACAAAACCCTCCGGCATTACCCTCCCCAACGGCACTCACATCCCCTACGGCATCAAAATCGCCACCCCCAACGTCGCCATCCACCGCGATCCCGCATTCTACCCTTCTCCCAACGAATACGACGCATTCCGCTACTCCCGTTCCCGCGAAGCAACAACAACAACCGAACCCCGAACTCACCACCAAGCCATGCTCGTCACCACGAGCGAAAATTTCCTCTCCTTCGGCCACGGACGCCACAGTTGTCCTGGAAGATTTTTCGCGGCGCAAGAGATGAAATTGATGTTGGCGTATATTGTTTTGACGTATGATGTTCGAATCGAGGGGACGGGACGGCCGAAGAATATTGAAATCAAGGGCGCGGCGTTTCCGGATCCGGGGGCGAGGTTGTTGGTTAGGTTGAGGAGGTGAGAGGGGAGTGGGGAGAGTGAAAAAACGGGGGGATTGGATGGGATGGATTGCATGATGTTGTTGTTGCGTCTATACCTATACTGTATATACACTGATGAACTACCTTAGGTAGGTAAGAAACCCTACCTACCTCACTATTATCAAATTTATAGTAACCTCGAGCATATTCGGCGCCGTATAATCGATAAGCTAGCCTATGTAGTCTTACCTTACTCTCTCTAGGTAGGTTTACTACTATAGTAGCCCGAAAAACCATTACTGCGAATAGTCGGTCAGTTAGTCAGTCTAACGACTAGTCAAACAGCTGAAAAAAACAAGAGGAAAAAGAAACAAAAGGGTAAAAATCTCAAATCGTCTCGTGATCCATATCTAGTAGACTTACTAAGGTACATGTAGTAGTAGTATAGGTACTCCAATAAACAAACAGCAACCACTAAAAGTCGAGCTGCCCTTTTCCCCCTAAATTTCCCTTTCTCCCTTTCTCCTTTTCTCCTTTTTCTCTTTTTCTCTTCATTTTTCTTCAATATGCTAACTAACTAGTTTAGGTAGCTAGGCAGTGAAAATCAAAGCGTATCATACAACCTATCACAGGTAGATCGGGTCAGGTCAGGTCAGTCGAAATAGTAACATCTCTATCTATTTAGAAGAAGTTTCTACTCTGCAAGTATCGTTGTTAATAGACTAGACTAGACTAGGTAGGTAGGTAGGTAGTAGAGCTGATAGGTGGTAGTAGAGTCTCTTCTCTCTCTGGTGGTGATATCAAGTCTGTCTGTTCTGCTAGGATTATCTTATCGGGGTGGTAGAGGTAGTGGTGATGGTGGTGGTGATGGTGGTGGGGCTGCCGCTGCAGATGAGCTTGGTTGGTGCCTTGTTCTTCGATGTTGTATGCGGGTATGCATTGCTTGCTGCTGCTGCTACACATACATGCCTCTTTTTCTGCAGTGACCCATTTTCCACACATACAGACACACACATACACACACACACCTACACACATCTTTCAACGGATCACGCTGCCTTCACATCCGAAAAGATCATTTCCGTCGTTACTCATTCGATTCTGCTTCATGACGCGCATATTCACCGTTGGTCTGATATCACGTGCACAATCAAGACAAGGCCCCTGCGAAAGGGCTCTTTTGCTCCACCAGGGACTGTTTCTCCTCCCACGCCCGGTCCTCGCTCTCGAGACAGAACATGTCCCGACTCTCGGTTGCCCAGAAACCCGCAACAACCAACGGCACCTCCGAGCGAGCCGAACCATGTGCACATCATCGAGCCCGTTCCGCTTCGGCCTTCGTGTGCCGATTTCGGGGTAGAATCTGGATTTGGAGTTTGGGGACTAGATCCCAACACATGTTGCCGTTCCAAGGCCACTGAAGCGTAGAATAATGCGAAGCGAGAAGATGCGGAAGGTCGTCACGGCCGCTTCTACGCCTTCGCATGAAAGCGGCCCACTCCGTACCATCCCTGGTTGCATGGAGAATTTCGCGTGATACCAGCTGACCAGGCAAATTCTTAACACCCGCCGGGCTGCGCATCAGTGGAGGGGCCATCTGCATCATGCTCGCGTAGTGATTGATGCACTTTGCACCTGCTCACAAAATGACGCATTTGCTGCCTCCTCTCTCCCTGTCCCTGTCAGAACGGCGGTACCGCTTCTTCTTCTCCCGATCCATGTATTCGCCGCCATTCGTCCGCGATGACCGGGACACGGGGTCGGCTGGCTGTGAAGCTTTGCTGTTTCGTGCTGGGGCGATGGCTCTCTGTCTCCGCAGCTGCCGTACGACATCGTAGAATGCCTTTTCCACATTCACGCAATTCTTGGCAGACGCCTCGACGAACTCGCAGCCCAGCTGCTTTGCAAGAGCTTGCCCTTCTTGTGTCGACACTTCCCGTTCTGTCACTCGATCGCACTTGTTACCCACCAGCATTACGGGCGCAGGTCCAAAGGAGCTCATCGTTTGCGACAGGGGCGAGCCGGGATATGTGGGTGATCCTGCAGACGTCGACTCCTTCACGCGTTGAATCTGGTGGTGGAACTTCTGAATCCTCGTGAATGAGGAGCGAGATGATATGCTGTACACCAGTATGAAGCCCTCGCCGTCTCTTATCCACTGATCCCGCAGTGCTGTGTACTCTTCTTGCCCTGCAGTGTCGAGCACCTCCAGCATACATGACTGCCCATCAATTCCCACCTGCTTGCGGTACGAGTCTTCAATCGTAGGGTCATACGTCTCCACGAAGTGATTCAAACATAACTGGTCGCACGAGTTAGCATGGTCGGCCTCATCTTTCGCGCGTGCTCTGAATCGTGACCTACCTGGATAGTAAGAGCAGTCTTTCCGACTCCTCCATCACCAAGCACCACCAGCTTGTACAGCGTCATCTTCCCGTGCGACATGGTGGCCGATGTTGTTCTCTGCGAACGCGTGGAATGTGAGTGCGGGGAGGAGCTGCGAATCCGTGGGCCTCGAGACGATTTCTGATGTCGTGAATGTGCGGCGTGGCACGGGAGTATTCGGGCACCAGCGTGTCAGCAAGTCGCAGGCGAGCCAGTCGCAATGCTGTTGTTTTTGTTGTTGTTGTTGTGTATGGTGAGATTCGGCGACCCAATGGTTCTGTGGTGTAAGCAGCTGTGATTGGACTCCACGCTACCTCCGAGAGGCTACCCACAGCGACCGTTGTAGCGTGTGGCGGCAAGGGACGTCTCTGATGAAGCACTGTTCGGGGTCGGAGTGAGCAGGTCAGAGCGAAGAGACGCCGTAAGGGTGGTAGAATTCTGGACGCGCGGTCCGTTCGTCGCGGAGATAGGCCGATAATGTACGCAGCGAAGCTTGCCTGCCCGGCCGCAGTAAGGACAAATCGTGTTTAGCTGAGATTCAGACTCCAGCGGTCTCGCACTGTGCAAGCTGTGCAAGCGGCAGAGCAAGTGGAGAGAGAGAGGCCCGGGAAGAGCTCCAGGAGTGGCAGGCGAACCCAGAGCGAAGGGGATACGCGAGGCCTGTGGTCGCTGGAGGACAGTGGGCAAAAGTATACAACCTTGTTGCAGAGCCTGGGTAACAAAAAGGGGGAGAGGAGGAGTTGGCCGGAGATGACAACGCGACAACCAGGATGTAGAGGGGAGGCTGTAGTGCGGCGGCAGGACTGTTTGGCAGGCTCACACGAGTCACGAGCACGTATTGCTTGGCTGATGGTAGCCGACGGTCGGTCGGGGAGCAGCCAAGGGCTCGTCGTGAAGCCGAGGGGGCGGGCGCGCAGGTATAGAGCGAGGCCGCGGGTGACGATGACGATGATGATGTTGATGACCGTGGTGATGATGACGGTGATGAGGATGATGATGGTGTGGTGCGGTAGTGGTGGTGGTGGTGAGGAGGTGGAGGGGGTGGTGGTGGCGGCGGTGGTGGTGGGAGTGAGGGAGGGAGGCGTCGGGGAAGGAGGAGGAGCAGGAGGAGGGAGACAAAGGATAGAGCCGCAGGTAGTCGTAAGGTGGTGTCGGAAGAAAGACTTGTGCAAGACAATTTAGCATTCAGCGTTAGACCAGAAGGGATGGGCGGGGTCCAAAGAGCCGTGTTCACTTTTTTTTTTGATTGAGAGAGAGAGAGAGGGAGAGGGAGAGAGAGCTGGCTGCTGGCCCCATGAGAGATGTAATAAGCTAATAACCTCAGGTCACTAACTAGGCGCGGGTGGGGACCAGAAGAAACGCGGCGGCGGCACTCTCACAGACTCAATACCTGCTAGTGCAGTGCAGTCAGTGCAGTCAGTGCATGATTGTGCAGTAGGTATTGCTCCCCAGAAGACGTGCAGCACACGTGCCATTGCATCGGCATCGCAGACGGCTATGCCTACGATCCGCCGCGGTGGCTGCATGGCATGGCATGGCATGGCATGTATCCGTCCATCCATCCATCCATCCACCCATCGCGTACGCCCGTACGTCGCCTACATACTTCTTCCCCTATGAAAAGCCATGGATGCGCGCGAGTCGGTGCTGATGAGTACGAGAAGAGCAGCTCGCCTGCGCGATAATCGACATGGCTCGCAACAACGAACGGGCACTCATCCATATTGCCTATGGCCCGATGCATGCGAGCCTCTCATAAACCTCGAATGATTCAGCCCTCGTCCAACACTCGTGAACGCCGTTGAGCTTGGACTATCGCTCGCTGCAAGCAGACCAATGAGACCATGCTGCGTCCAGCGTAGCTCGCCCAGCGACAAGGGAACTGGGCTTCGGTCCGACGAACCTTCGCAGCGTTAGGCGCGAAGGGGACATGGAGTGGGACGGCCTCTACAGTGCCTACGTTAGGGTAGGTAGGTAGTATCATCTCATATGCGATGGGTCGTAGGACTCCACGAAGAAGAGAACATGCATACATAGTACCTACCTACATACTATACTAGAGAGGATACAGCATACAATATGACACATTGTCTGCGCCTGTCGCACACCTCCGCCACGCTGTCATCTTCGTGCGATGGTGTCACATAGTATGCTGCAATGAATGTATCGAGCGAGGCATACGAGCAAAGTGCCATCACCTGCCGCAGTGTTTTTCCCTAGAAGTTTTCGCACACTAGCAACTTCCCGAGTCCCAAGCAGCAGGCCGACGCGATATTTGTTCTTTCGAGTCTACGCAGCAGCATCCTGTAATACTTGTCGATAAGAGTGTGCTGTGGAGCAGACGCTGTCCAAGAATGCACAGTCGAGTCTGCAGTAACTACACGTCTACACAGCCAAGTCGTGGAGTGCTCTGGTTGGATCTCAGCGCCCATCTCCAGACGCTGAGAGTCGGGGTCCTGTAGATGGTAGTCACAGACTCCCAGACAGCGTAACACGGTGCTGGTGTTCTCCTGCTATGCAAAAGCAAGGGCCCTGTGCCAGCCTGGTCAATCGTTTCGGGCGCCGCGCCCGGCTGCTCCTGGCTGCAGCCGCACACCCACTACCCAGACGCCGCCGTCACGTTGCCGAGCGCAAGGATGCGACTTAGCCGTTCTTCTACCGTGAGTAGCGGTCGTGTGCTCTGGGTCTGGATCCGTATGTTTGTGCCATGTGCAAATCATCTCGTGAAAAGACCTGGTCGAACGATGGGCGGGAGGGAGGGAGGAAGGGGAGGTAGGTGCCTGATTGATGAAAGTCGACCAGCCCGGTAGGCGTGCTGGCCTGGAGACTCGAGAGCACTCTGTTATGACTGACTACCTACCTACCTGGAGAAGTCCTGCTTCATCAAATCATGTACTGCTCAGGAATCTTGAACGTGAAGTGGATGCCGTTTCGGTAGCCTCTGCATTGGACGTTATTGGTGTGAGATAGATCAGCACCTAGGCAATCTGGATACATCTGTGTAAGCCTGTGAGAAGGGGGGGCCGCTCACCGCCGTGGCTTGAGACCGTCCTATCTCCCTGCAGAAGCGCAGTCCAACGGTCCAATGAGTAGTATCGGAGAGCAAGGCTTCAGGCTGCAGCATCTCTCGAATGTGGACGGCTCAACGACGCACAAATTGGAGTGGCTAGGATGTGTACGACTTCATGGCCAGATGCTCGGGTTCCTCTCCGATCTCTCTCCCTCTCTCTCATCGGTCCCCCTCTCTGCTTTTCGGTTTTAGGCCATGCCGTGAGCCTTGCGGGCGGTACAGTAGCAGCAGAATGGACATCGAGATAGCCTATCGGCGGCAGCAGATCCAGACCAGGTCGGACGTTTAATCAAGACCACGTTGTTTTTTGACAGCGGTTTCCGGTTGGTGTCGATCGCACGCCCCAGTGTGCCCCACGGACTCGCTGTCCTCCACAGGCTCCACTGACACACTGTCATCAGTCATCACCTTCCGTTTGCATCCTCGCCTCGCACCACATCCAGCAGCAGCAGCAAGCGCTGGCAAGGAATATGCCAAGGTACCGAAAGCATCATGACCCTTCAGAGTACCAGTGACACACACTCTCCTCACCCGCACCAGAGCAAGGACGTTGTGCAGACATCTGGACGATGGCCACGTTGCGCTGAACGGCCAGCTGCATCTTCATCCCACGCCTCCGTGTCGCTGTGCCACCTCTGGCTAAGGTATGTATATGTACATGCAGCCGTCGTTCTCTTCAAAGCAGCGGCGCCAATGCAGGGCGCAGAGGCCAAAGAAAAGTCTAGACAGACGTCATGTCCGTGGGAGATCGAGAAAAAACGCGTGCCCCAGGCCGCCGGATCGTGCAGTCGCACACGAAACGCTTCTCCCACTCCATCAGGTCATGTATCGCAACACGTTTGGTATGTGCTGCGTCCGGACATATCCGAGAAACAGAGAGGGAGAGAGAGATACTCATCAATGCGATACTTCCAATTTCTGTTTCGCCATAGGGGGTGTGCGAGTGGGAGTGCGTTCACCTGTAGTCACGAACTGCCGCCCTCGGCTGGCCCTGTGTTGACCTACCTAGGTACCGTACCGTACCTCCCTCTTCAGACCTTGGCTATCGCATTCGAGGCCTGGACTTCAAGGGAGAAGCCATCTTCACACAAGAGACTCCGGTAGTTACTCCCTCCATTTGCTACCCCATTACTACCTACGAAAGAGAGTTTCTCACAGTAGATAGAATCAATTATCCCGAACACCATTCCCGATAGTAGTACCTTGGAGGCGCAAAATCTTTCCCAATCCAGCGCGCAACAATAGCCTGCAACTACCTACTACTTTGCACTTCTTTCCACTGTAAGGTAGATAGATGTAGTTGATCCTTCATGCATAGAACATAATAGGTAAAGCAAGGTATGTAGGTACCTCAAGCGTATGAATATCACGCACGCCGTCGGGGAACAATAAAAAAAAGTCTGGCTAATTGTTGATGAAAATCCGTAAGGATAAAACACGCCTGTCTTTCCATCAGGGGAACCTGGCTGCATAGAACATGTACCTGAACTACTCTTAACGCGCAGGTACATTACTTATCAGCTGATGAAGCCGAATGGGCTATGTACCTTTATTGCTGTACTCAGTCGGCATACCGAGAAGGAACGGACCTGTCGCCTAAGGTACATACCTAGTATCATAAAAGAGGATCCTCAGCTATCAACGCCCTACACCCTAGACCTGTGCTGGGGCCCAGGCATCAGGCTATTTAAGCGAGGCAAAGTACTTGCACCTTAGAGAGAGAATTTCCCCTGCTTCAAGTGCTCACCTCATATATTGAGCTAGGCTGAATAAAGTAGTAATCAATAATTCGACCTCCAGACGCCACGCTAAGCTCACGAGAGTATCTAGGTACTATCCATCTCATCTCCTTGCGCAAATCACGCAGCTTGAGGTGGTCGCACCGGTGTCTTCTTCTGTCTCCACTCCGCCATCTTTGCCGCATGATCGGCTTTCATCTTCTCAATTTCAGCTTGTCCCTGCTCCAGATGCTTCGCAACGCGCTTGCTGAACTCTTCGACCTGATCTTGCGTCAAATTGGTAAAAGGCTCGGCCTCCTTGGCCTTGGCTGGCTTGGGCATGTCGACCTCTCTCACATCTGTGTTGGGCGGGGCAAGAATTCCTTCAGTCAATCCCTTGAGCTCACCCATCAGTCCCAAACCAAGGTCCGGAGGCACAATCTGACTCGTGGCGTAGGGTGAGGAGAAGACTTCTTCCATCCATCGGTGATGTTGTGTGTACCGTGCCAAGCTGATGTCTCGCTGTGTGAGGTGATCAAAATAATCTCCCAGTGAAGTATCTTCCTCTGCCTCGATAGTCATATCCGGCAAGCCCTCGCTTGATCCAGGCATGGCCAGTCCAGATGGTCCCGAAGTACGCGCTTTCTTCGCAGGCGGGCCTTGCTGAGGGTATGCGCCATAGCCTCTCTGTGGCGTTCCAGCAGGATGTGCTGCCTGCTGCATAGTTGGTTGACCGGGAATATTCAGAGTCGGCCAATGTTCTCGATCATGAAGCATAAAGTCCCTCCGATCTAACCTCCCTTGGCTCTCCAGCCACCTTCTCTGTGTGATGATCTGCTGCGTCTGCGGAGCGACTGGCACCTGACTAGCCGGCATGATCTGATTAGGATCGGCCGAGTGGTAATGTACAAGCCACAAACTCGGATCCGGGTTCGCAGCGGCCACTTGAGGGCTCTTGGCGATGAAGTGGTAGCGTGTCCGGGCATGAGTTGCCATCTGATCATGGCCTGGGCGATAGCCCACCGCCTGCACACGCAACTCAATTGTATAGCCATTGTACTCTTGTCTGAATGAATGCTCCATGTCGGCCCAGATGTAGCCATCGGACGAGTACGGGTGGTCCATCTTCTCCAGAGGAATCCATTCCAGCCAGAGCGTGCCGTCTTGCGGGGGTGTTACGTAGTGCCATGACATGGGCGAGAGCGTCTTGACGATTTTGGGGGCTTCGAAGAGGTAGTGGTATACCTGTTCGATGCCGAGTGTCGCAACATGTGGAAAGCGGTAGCCGGACACGAGATGGACGTGAGGCTGCAGTTGGGGAGCGACTCCTTGGGAGCTGTGGAGGAAGAAGTACGTAGTGAGTAGGTGCTGTACAGAATGCAGAGTGGTCGCACTTACGGGTTCTGCATCTTGACGGAATGCGCAACTCTTGTTGCGTGGAGCTGGTCTCGTTATGTCGGTTGGCGCATTATTGTTGAAGCTCGAGGTCGCGAATGTCCACAAGCCTGGAGAACGCGCTGGATTTTGGATGCCTCAGGTTGGTGTTAGTGCAGCTCTCATACCGGCGAATCATATCTCAGAACAGCTATCGTCCAACCAAGCTGCGGACGTTGCCGGCACTAGCGAAGCTGAGGTATAAGTAATTTCTCGCCTTTCCAAACACTTTCCTCTTCATCCGGTCAGTCATCCCCCAACCCACCCCATACATTTTCTCATCCGTACTGACATCCAAACAGAGTGCAAGGGCATTACGCATATCAGTGAGGATTCGTCCGAGATTGCGTTTTTGCTAGTTGAAAACTATCAACTGACTGCTCGTATTGGTCTTCGGATCGGTACGGAATTTTTGGCCAACCCAAGCACAAGCTGCTGTCTTTTCATCATGTTTTGCGCACAAGAGCGTGGGCTTGGAGAAGAGAGTGAGGGACTGTTGTTGCTACGAGGATGTGGTTGAACTTGGACAAGAGGTAGGCGTTGTGGTGCGTGAAAGGCGACATCGAGGTCGCGTTGCAACACACAAGGCTCTGTACTCTCCTACCTGTCTGCGTGCAGCAGTTGGTGATGCATCTTGCGACGAGCTGGTCTATGATGGCGCAAGCAAGCTGGAGTAGAGTGTGCTAGATGCGGACAACGAAGAGATGGCATGCAGCGCGGCCTAGAAGCCAGCCAGCAGAAAAGGATACAGTCTGAAGATACAGTCTGAAGACACCGACGCGAGACGTATGAATATGCTCTCGCTCCTGCCTCCGCATCCATTCGCGCGCGCGCGCGCTCTGCGTGGCGAGGACGCGCCGTGCGCACGGGACTGGGGTAGCAGCTTGCGCGTGTGTGAACAGGTTTTGTGCCTATGTCGAGAACGAGAACACCTGGAAGTGGAGTGAAGCGTGGCATCACCTTTCCATCAACGAACACCACGCGAGCGACGCAAACAACATGCCTCTTCCAACAAACATGAAGCACTTGCTGAATGACGGCTTGCCGGGTGAGCGGCCACCAAAGAGGCACTCGACCTCGCCACCGTCGCTGCCTACTTTCTCGTCGCCACTCACTCCCGCGCCTGCTGACGAGATGGAAGATCGCACTGTGATCGCCACGCACAGTACGCCGCCAAAGAGCATCAGCGAGCACTATACCTACTTCAGCGAACAAGGAAAAGACTCTACGCCAACCGAGACTCGCAGTGGTCATGTAAGTATCCTGGCAGTGATACCCTCCGAAGATGAGTCACGGATACTGACAGCGCGATAGATGGCATCATTAGTGTCCACCGAGTGCGAGGCTGAGGACAGTCAAGGACAGGGAGAGCCCGAGACAGAGATTGAAGCAGACTTGCTCGGTGAGCTTCAGACGGCGGACAACTACATGGAAGTCATGGAGCCTGTGCTTCCGGAGGAGCCTTCGCGAGCACAAACGCCTACCACATCGGTATCTCAAAGCTTGCGAGATTACTGCAAGCTGATGTACGGCAAGCTCTACGTGCCTCTCCAAGATCTAACATACCCAGACGAGTGCAGATTACACCCCGAACACAAAGACGAACTCTTCGACGCGTTTCTCGAAAACGTCACTGTCATTGTGACCGTCTGGACAAACTACGATGGACTCCTCAAGCAATTCTTCGGAGAGCACGAGAAGCCTCGATTCCAAGACTGCGGCAAGGTCTACCTTTCCCCCGAACAGCGCACGCGACTCGAGATGATGGATAATGCCAACGGATTCGAGATGAAGAATGTCCAGCTCAACATTGGCACACCCTTTCGCACATTCTTCACACTGTATTTCCAGCACGATGGTGAGAAAAAGGTTCTAGTCAACGGTGAGGTTTTTGATTACTATGGTCTCGGTGCACCACACAAACCGCTGTTCGACCTCGTTGTTCAGAACATGGAGGAGTGCTCAAACTATGAGCAGTGGTTCGGAAAGGCTGGGCTCAACCTGACGGACCTGGATAATATCGCTCGGCTGTTTCTCGGGTTCGCGTGACTTGCAAGCTGGAGCGAAGCGCAAGTGAAGAAGATACAGCAAGAGCGCAGTGCAGAGGACAGACCGGCTCCAGATTTCACATCAGGAACAGGCAGCAAGTCAGGCGGCAGCAGATGGTGAGGCATTACATCCAGAGACGATAGCGCCAGCGCCAGCAGCAAGAATCAAAGATATTCGCACCATGCAGGGCGGATAGCGAGGAACCAGTATCAAGGTAGGTACTTCAACAGTACCTACTTAGGTACCTAGTGTCTCGCACAGCCTTTCATTCTGCATACCTACCTACCTACTTTCAAGGTTCGTATAGGTGTGGGAAAAGAGCGTTGCTTCCCCTTTACGTAGCATGAGAAAAGAATCCACACACTATAAGCAGCCAGTGAACCTGTAGGTCAGTTATCCAGTAAGTCAGTGATCCAGTAAGTCAGTGATCCAGTAAGTCAGTGATCCAGTAAGTCAGTGATCCAGTAAGTCAGTGATCCAGTAAGTCAGTGATCCAGTAAGTCAGTGATCCAGTAAGTCAGTGATCCAGTAAGTCAGTGATCCAGTAAGTCAGTGATCCAGTAAGTCAGTTATCAAAGGCAAGGCAAGGAATGGAATGGAATGGAAAAAGGGTAAAAAAGAGAAACAACAATTCTCTACGATAAAGAACACTTCGCTGTTCAAAATCCATCCATCCTATCAGCAGCCCAATCAACTACCTAAGAAGGTAGGTACGTTGTGAACCAGCTAATCATTCAGCCAGCCAGCCATTTGGTTCCTTTCAAAACGCCGTAGGATCTTTTTTTTTCACGACCACCCTCTTCTTTTTTCCCGATAAGAGCCCGAACGAACCGAATCGCAGATGTGAAATAAAAAAGTATCCATCATCATCATCGTCATCAGGCCCAACCATCGTCTTTTGGTCGGTCGAGGTCGACCCGCATCTTACGTCGTGAAGCCTTCCTACTACCACCACCACCGTGATGAGATCTCTTCTTTGAGGCCATGTTGTAACCACCAAGAGAGGGATCCTGCTGCTGGTGCTGCTGTTGAACTGGAAGTTGAAATGGAGGTCCAGTGGCTCCACCGCAATTCGGGATAGGATGATGAGGAAACGAAGGAGGAGGACCACCAACACCAGAACCAAAGAAGAGACCTCCCTTCGACAAATTTCCACCGCTGCTTACGCCGGCAAATCGCATACTGTTGTTGTGGTGAAGATATTGTCGTTGTGGTCCTCCGCTGCTGCTGTAATTCATGCCATTCATCTGCAAATAATGTTGTTGATGATTCGGTGGGTGCTCCTAATTCCCTCCTCTCGCATAAGGATGATAGCCGCCTCCGCCTCCACCACGTCCACCACGTCCACCGCCACGATAGTTGGCACCGGGTCGACCGTGATTCTTGGGACCTGTGGGAGCGCCTACTGGAGCGTTGGGGTTGGGTGGTTGAGCAGAGCCTTGTCTGCCGCCACGACCACGACCGCCACCGAAGCCGCCGCGTTGAGGTCCAGGTCCCATGCCGTCTGGAGGTGGGACATCGTCGTACATACCATCCCACGTATTCTGGCCCCCAAAGTTTTGACCTTGCATGCGAGCCAGGGTTTGGCGTTCGTACTTCTGTTGCTCGAACATGAGTTGTTCTTGGGCTGAGAATCCTGACTGGTTTCCGCCTCCAGCACCACCATTGCCATTACCATTGTTAGGAGCACCACGTCCAGCTCCGCCGTTCATGGGAGATTGCGAGCCTTGCATGCCGCCTCCGCCGCCTTGCATTGCCATCATCTGCTGCATCATTTGTGGGTTCATCTGTCCACCCGCGCGCATGGCTTGCATTTGCTGCATCATCATGGGATTCATACCACCCATCATACCGCCCATGCCACCACCTTGTTGCATAGCTTGCATCTGCGCAAAGTACTGCTGCATGCGCTGCCAGTACTGCGCCATCATAGCGGGGGTCATGGTGTTCGCGTTACCGTCCTGGGCTGGTGCGGCGGCCATTTGATTGTTGTTATTGTTGCCGAAGCCACTATCGCCTCGACCACCGCCTCCAAATCCGCCTCGCCCTCCACGGCCTCCACCGAAGCCGCCGCGGCCGCCAGCATTCTCTTCGTCCATCTTACCGCGCGGCTGGGCACGCTTCACTTCGATGGGCTTACCGAGAATGGCAAGGGGGCCTTCCAGTGTGCGCTCGACGGCCATTTCGTTGTCGAAAGTCACGAAGCCGAATCCTCGTGGTCGTCCAGTATCTTTGTCCATCATGAGCGTAGCATCAAGCACCCTGCCAAACTTTTGAAAGAAAGCTTCAAAGTCCTGCTCGGTAGCATCTTGTGATACACCACCAACGAAAATCTTAGCTGTGCGCTCTTGTTCATCGCGGGGAATGGCACGCTTGGGATCGATCTTTATTGCACAAACGTGTGTGTTAGTGGATCATTCCTTCGTCGTCTCGAGTTTCTGCTGCTTTGCCTTGCGGCGGTAGCGAGCATCTTGGCATGTTCTTACAAGTTTGCCGTCGAGAGAATGTTCTTTGACCATGACTGTATTGACTGTCTTTGGGTCTCTGAATGTGAGAAAGCCGAAGCCTCTTGATCGACCAGTGGCGCCGTCGCGCATGACTGTGCATTCTATGACTTCTCCGAATTGGGAAAAGTAATCTTTGAGAGACTCTGTTGTTCGATCTTAGATGTGGTCACCAAATGTTTTGATATTCGAGGCTTACGATCAGTCGTCTCCCAATTAAGGCCGCCAATGAACATCTTTCTATAAGCATATCGTTAGCTATCTTGCAAAGTCCAGTATATAACCCCGGGACAGCAGCGCAGGCATGAGCGTGAGCGTGAGCGTGAGCGTGAGCGTGAGCGTGAGCGTGAGCGTGAGTAGTGAGATAGTCCAGTCCATGTCCAGTCCATCCAGCACATATCCGCCGCACGCCCCCTCGTCTTTGCTCGATTGAAACTGCCACGAATACGTCGTCCAACATGCCGCATCTCTGACGAGCACGCCAGCTTGAAACCCTTCCGGAGGGCACAACAATGTTCTGCTTGAGTTCTTGATTTATGTGGCATTGGAAACGATGCGGGGGACCCCGATGCCACGAACTCTGTTCAAGAGGGAATTCTGCAGAGTACAGTCGGCAGACGTTGGCGGTTGAGTGGCAGTGACACCACAGACTTTCCAGCTGCTGCTCTCCAGCTTATGTCGTTCGCGCCGTATTCGGCAATGCAGAGTAGTATATCGCACGTGCCTCTGTAGAGATGGATACGAACGCGGAACGCCATCTCATACCAGCAGAGTGGGGTAGCCGAACACCATGAACTCTGTCCGAAAGAAAGGGTTCTCATCAGGATGACGATGGCGACTGTGGTATGGTCTCTGATCTCGTGCTTCTTCGGTATCTCAAGCTGATTGCATGCTATCAATGCTGGCCATGTGCGCACGTCTAGGCGTGGCAGAAACTGGCTCAGCGGCATGGCTATATCGGCTATCTCCTCTCTGATGATATCTGTCTGCCTGTCTGCATGATCTGCTATTTGTCGCTGAGGAGCGGTTATTGTGTTCAAGCTATTGCGCTTCTGAGTTGTACTTGCGTTCCTGATCTGGTATAACGGCCCAATACATGTCCTTCCACCAAGCACATCACAGCAGGTAGCATCATGGTAGTAGATAATGTGAAGAACCAGTTGTCCAGCAGCTTCGCATCTTTCGAATTCCTCATACCTTCACCGCCAGATACGCAACATTGTGCACCAAGTATCTGATGAACGTGAACTTCGAACACTCGGACTACTCCCTGAACGCCCTGCGCTCTGCTCTCTCTGCGAATGCCACCACCCGCCTCCAACAATGTCGGCTCCAGGATTTCGGCTTTGCAGCATCGACAACGCGTTGTCTCCAGCTTTGCCGGAGTGCGCATTGTGAACGAATTGGGGCCAACCATGCGATAGTTGGAGAAGCGCGTGCCAGTGTCCCTCGAGTTGCAAGATTGTATGATTTGTGCTGTATGACGCCGGTGGTGCTTGTGAACACGGCCAGAGAGACGTTCTTGCATAACAACGCACGATTGTGTATCGCAGCGCCAGTAGACAAACTGCAGCAGGCGCAGGCCAGGCTGTACTTTGTGTTTCTAACAGCGTATGGGTATCCCGCTGGTGTTATGGCGCTAATTGCGCGCCTCACCAGACTGTCACCCTCATACGTAGCGGTGCCTCCTTTTGACACATCACGCTCCACGATGAGAGCGCGGATCTCAGCTGTGATATGCTGATGGTCGGGTCCCCGCTCTTTATGTGACAAAGTTCGTCACGCATTAAGTGCTGCTGCTGTCGCTCATGCCCGCGCAAAAATGACAAAGGGAAAAAGTACTTACCCATCTTCCTTGCTTCCAATCAATGGTCGATTGTCAGGCTCCGGCTCTCGGAACTCGTTCTGCTGGCCGCCCATGTCTTGATCGTATGACTGCTCCTGCTTGAAGCCATTGCTTTCGTTTGTCTCGGTGACGGGCTCGGCTTGCTGCTGGCTGAGAAAGTCATCAGCGGCAGCGGCAGCAGCATCAGCAGCATCTTGCGGGTCGACCTCCGGCTTCACGACGGGGGCCGGGGTGTCATTCGCGGTGTCGTCGCCATCGTAGCTGGTGAAAATTAGTGTTGTGCGCGGGCGTGGTGACTGGTACCTTGACGCGCAGACTTACAGATCGGCGAAGAGATCCTCATCGTCCATGCCGGGTTCGGCCATGTCGCAACGGCGAAGGGAGGCGTGTCAATGGGGTGGAAGATGAGTGGTAATGCGAGAGGCGGAAGAGTAGGTGGTGGATGTGGTGTTGTGTCGATGAAGTTGACTGAGGTTGTGATAAAAGTGGAAGAGGTCAGGCAGCTCTCAGTTGTCAGTTTGTGATTAAATCAGCGAGGCGGAGCTCCGGCGAATCATATTTCCGATCCGTCAGTTCTCCTCACTACGGAGGTAGTAGTCAGCCACCAAAAGGTACAAATTACAATAATGGGGTAACGGTGACTAACCATGTTATAAAGGTGGGTACCGTAGTGTCGGCGTAGGAGGAGGTATGCCGTTTGTGTACAGTCAGGTTGCTTGGGTGCATTGCGTAGTAGCAAGGTAGTCAACCACTACTGTACCTTACCCTCCCTTTGCATACCACATCCGCTGGTACCTTACACGTGCATATTGGCGACGACATCTACCATGAACTTCAAGAAGCCGTCTCATCAGGTACGTACGAGCGAGAGAGAGGATGTGTGTATGTGGGCCGTGCCTGGCGTTACCACTGTATACCACGATATCATACCATACCATACCTACTATACCATACCATATGGATGAACTGGCTAATGCCATCGCGCACAGGAGATGGTCCAGGTCGGTTCGTGCCCATACTCCAACTACTGCCCCCGACGCGCTCTAATATGGACATTTGGGAATTCATAGACCGGACTGAGTGAGCTGCCTCCCTTCCTCCGCCCGAGGCATCACGCGCTCGACTGTTCACTGATGCAGACGAACAGCACGGCATCTCCATTCTGGCGTACCACCTCGAACAGCAGCAACCGGAGCAACAGCAGTAACAACAACAACAACAATAGCAACAACAGCAGCAACAACAACAATGCGGCAGGATACCCGTCGAGTCGCCAGAACTCCGACACGCCAGAGCCCCCGCGCAAGGTGATCGGGGCCTCATACAGTCATGCCGACGTCCTCAATCTCAATCAATTGTACGACCTGACCTGACATGGCCTGACCTGTGGAGGCCGAGTGTGAGTGGTATGCCAATGTTCTTGTGCTCATGCGTGTAGCTAGGTCACTCTCGGGCAATGATCGACCACGAACACCACCGACCGCCCCACGTACCACCAGGAACACTCCCTCGCCGGGCGGCACGCGATCGCCTCCTGCGCGACCCAAATACTCGAGCTTTCTGTCGGAATCGAGCAATGCTTACGATGACGATGACGATGAAGCCGATGCCTTTGGTCTGGACGACGATGAGGATGAGTTTGGTCTGCCCAGTATAGCGTCTATGCGTCGCAAGAACAAGCGACTGGCGAATGTGAAGGGGAAAGATCCAGGTGGCGGTGGCGGTGGAGGTGGCATTGAAGCGCATGGCAGTGGTGCTGGGAAGAGAAATAGCAAAGCCTTCGGCGGGACATTGAACAGAAATGGGACCAGTCATCCTGCCTCCGCCGCCTCATGGGCGATGGATAATGGGGATATGGCAGAAATGCGGACCCAACTCCCAGCATATCCATCGCTCAAGAAGAGCACCGAAGGACAAAAGATCTTGCGACCACAGTACAAGGAAATTTTACGGGATCCAGCCAACAGCCTTCACTTGATATCGCATCCTTCACTACCTATGAATGCGACTGCAAAGGAAGCTGAAGCGCACTCGGCACGAACGACACGCATTCACAAGTTCAAGCGAATATTGCAATCCTCATCTGTCAACCTCGCCGAATTGAGAGACTCCGCATGGTCTGGCCTACCAAGCGAAGTCCGTGCCATGACATGGCAGCTTCTTCTCGGCTACCTTCCTACGAACTCTGAAAGACGCGTCGCCGCACTAGAGCGAAAACGAAAAGAATACCTGGACGGTGTCCGACAAGCATTCGAGCGAGGGGAGAGGTTGGCAGACGCCACCGCTTCTCCCTCTTCTCCACGGACACGAGGGCGGGGTCTGGATGAGACAGTGTGGCATCAAATCAGCATCGATGTACCTCGCACAAATCCGCATCTGGAACTGTACCGTTACGAGGCCACACAACGCTCCCTAGAACGGATTCTCTACGTGTGGGCCATCCGTCATCCCGCCTCGGGTTATGTCCAAGGCATCAACGATCTCGTTACGCCTTTCTGGCAAGTCTTTCTCGGACAATACATCACCGATCCCGAAGTCGACTCAGGCATGGACCCCGGTCAATTGCCCAAAGCAGTGTTGGATGCTGTGGAAGCTGATTCTTTTTGGTGTTTGACGAAGCTGCTCGATGGCATTCAAGACAATTACATCCACGCCCAACCTGGAATCCAACGTCAAGTCGCACAGTTAAGAGACTTGACTGCAAGAATTGATGGCACCTTGGCAAAACATATGGAACAGGAAGGCGTGGAATTCATCCAATTCTCCTTCCGATGGATGAACTGTCTGCTCATGAGAGAGATCTCCGTAAGGAATACCATCAGGATGTGGGATACATATCTCGTGAGTTCGCTTCCCCCTTCCACGCATCGCACAGCACCCTCTCCACTTCCTCTGCTAATACTGTATGTGTCACACTAGGCCGAAGATCAAGGATTCTCCGCCTTTCATTTATACGTTTGCGCGGCATTTCTGGTGAAATGGTCAGACAAACTCGTCACTATGGATTTCCAGAGCATCATGATGTTTTTGCAATCTTTGCCGACCAAAGATTGGACAGAAAAGGACATTGAGTTGTTGTTGAGTGAAGCCTTTATTTGGAAAAGCCTGTTTGCTGGCAGTAAGGCGCATGTCAGGCAGGGGAGTAGCGGGTTGCCTAGTTTGACTCTTTGAGAGAGAGATTTCACTGAAAGAGGAAATTGAGCTATAGGAAACTGGTAATGAAGGACGACTCGAAACGGACGGGGATGAAGGATGATGACCATTCACTCGAGATGACGAGATGCATACATGAGACAGACAAGAAGCATAAGGTGCTGTGGGAAGATCTGATTGTTGAGGCCAGTTATGAACATTGCTCACGCTTGAAAGCATCGGTCCGTAACCTTCCCCCTCCGTGAGAGAGAGAGAGAGAGAGAGAGAGAAATAATGGATGTCGTTCATACACGACCTCAGTGCATCTATGCCTCCAACGTTGACTACAGGTGGATGCAGACCAGTGTAGCCATTAGCTGTATCTGATCACATTTTCAACGGCGTTCATGACATGTTCCATTTGCGATCATCCGGGCCTTACCGCGCCTTTACTTATTTTCTGTTGTTGTCTGGTCGTCTTGAAGCTTATCGTTGTGGTGGTTGTATAGAAGCAGGATTGGGATGTTGCTTTTCGCTCGTTGCTAGGTAGGTACATATGTACTCATACGATTGTGGTGCTGCATGACTTATATGTTTTTCATCACCTTGCCCATGATCACTTCCCGTTCATTCCGCTATTGATCTTCTCCTTCACATTCCTCTGATCCTCCTCTACAGTGAACACTCCATGAGTCCAACTTTCTGCATCTCCCGATCTCCCCGTCCGTCTGGGCGCTCTCCCACTACTCACGAGATCTTCCCACATCATGCCCAGATCCACGAGCCCTTCCTTCGGTGGACGAAACTGCCTCAGTTTCACGCCTGCTTCCAAGAAGATCTTCGCAGCTTCGGCGTCCATGTAGTAACTCTGACTATATACCACCTCCGTAATTCCCACTTGCACAATCTTGATGGTACATGTCAAGCAGGGGCACGTATTGCAGTAGAGTACACCCCCGTCACCCACTCTCTCCCGTCCTGCTTCCAGCAAAGCATTCTCCTCGGCATGAATGCACAGACACGTGCTCAAATCTGCTCCACCAGAAGTCCCTTGTAAAGAAGTCGTACCATTGCATCGGGGACACCCGCCTTCAGCGCAGTTCTTGATATTTCTGGGTGTGCCGTTATACCCCGTGGCCAGGATTCTTCGATTGCGAACTAGGACACACCCGACTTGTCTGCGCATGCAGTTTGATCTTCTTGCGGCGAGGGAAGCTAGGGTCATGAAATAGTGATCCCAGGCGGGGCGGATACGACTCGGATCTGTCAGGTTCAAGCTGTCCAGAGATGCCCAGAGTTTGGGTAGGGACGTGGTGGAGTTTAAGAGTTTGATCTGTGCTCTGCTGGCTACGGTTGCGAGACCTGTTGATGGATCGTAGAGATGTTCGTCGTTGCGGAGGACGAACGTTTCGAGAGTGGGAGGGGTGAGATTGGAGGAGAGGCATTTTTGTTTGAAGCGTGTCCAGCGAAGGGAGATGGGGGCGTCGATGTGGACGAGGATGAAGAAGGGGCGACGGGAGAGGACTTCGAGGATGGATTCATCGTGGATTGAGGTCGTCACGAAGTTTTCTTGCCAATATTTGGTGGTGTAATCGAGGAGGTCCTCGATCTTGGAAAATGTTGTGCCAGGGTGCCTCTTGGTCGATGAGACGTGGGCTTCAGATGCGGAAGTCTCTATTGCTGGTGTCGATGTGGTCCTCAAGAGAGTAAGAACTTGAAAATTGTGGCGTTGGACTAGGTACTCGAGGACAGAATGTTTGCCGGCGCATATACCTGTGAAACATGAGCGGGTGGTGGAGAATCTGGACGGCTGCAGTAATAGACTCGCCGCCGCAAACACCAATTAGCATGGTGACCAGGCCGCTCGTTGCTATTGCTTCGTCGGTCGGCTATATCATCTGATGGTGGGCACAACTTGCGTACAGAACAGGCTTCCAATGTCATGTGCCATGTATATCAAAGACAGAGCAGGACAAAGGACCATCTGATAAGTAAGCTTCTGGCTAGCGCGTCTTATTTCGGACGCGACGTGAACAACCACAAGTCACACACGGGGGTATCGCGGTCTATTGTCCACGTCCATCAGACAGTGATAATGAGAAGAGGCCATGATGATACTCATCCCCTAATCGCCCCCTATCCCTCCCCCTTTGTCTTTGGTATGCGAGATCAAAGCGAGAAGGGCGGGCGATGGAGGGTAAGGTAAACAATGCTTCTCTCTCCACGCGTGCCCCCGGCCCCCCTCGTCACGAAAGTGAAGCGGGCTGCGGAAGTGGGGCGCTCATTGCTGCAGGAACACGCGATCAACCTCACGACCGCATTGTCGCATGATCGACTGTTGTGATTGCCCGATGTGTCATACCTATACCTACCTTCTACCTCGTCCTCAACATCCTCACTTCGAACTTGCTCGCTCACCCACCGCACCACTCTCCCTCTCTCCGCCCACCAGCACCAGCATCACCCCCCACCACCACCACATTGACCCTTCCTCACCCCCACCGCTGTCGTCTTTACGACTGTCACCACCGCCGCAATGCTGCTGCTGCTGCAGTACGCTCCTTGGTCCTCCGACATCGAGCTCTCCTTCTACTCGTCGCTCGCTTCGCTCAAGATCAATCATGACAAGCTGGATTCATCGGCGCGTAAAGTGCTCGGTCTGTACGAGCTGAAGCACACCGATGCGCCCGAGCGAAGCACTCGCATGCAGATCCACGGCTCGGCTCTCACAGCCGACGAGTAAGTCGTGAACACGAGGTGCCGTTCAGAGAGTCGCATGTATTGACAAGTTGCTCTTAGGCCACCCAGAGGACTCTACCGCGCCGAAGGCCTGATTAAGAACTTCAACACCATTGAGGAGTTCCGAAAGGTTGACAAGGCTGCACACATCGAACGAGCTGGACGCATGATCTGGGACGCCATTAGTGATGGAACCATATTCTCATGCCCCTCTCTGCTCACCTCTTTCTCAATACTATGCTATGCCGATCTGAAAAAGTACAAATTCACCTACCACTTCGGCTACCCCGCCCTCCACTCAGACCCACAATGGCGCTTGGTTGCACCATCGGAAGACCCGGAATCTGCCACGACGAAGCTGGAAGAGAAAGAGACGACGTTGCTGGTAGATGCTGTGCAGACATGGAAATACAGCGTGGACGCCCGCCAACACGGCTTCTTCCTGGCCAAGCGCTTGCGAAAGACCGTGCTCGAGCAAGAGTGGAAGCGAGGCTGGGGCGAAGTCGAAGAGGAGGAAGAAGACGGCAATCTTTGTTCTAAGAGATCGAAGAGCACAAGATCTTCGAGCCTCAGTGAGCTGGGATTTCTGTGGTGGATAGGCTCGCTTTCAAGCTACGAGACGGGCTTCTTCAAGAACGCGAAGCCCGAGGACTGTTTCGTCTGCTTTGCGGATCCTTCGACCTTTTCGGTGAACCCAGGATGGATGCTGCGCAACTTGTTGGTCTTGGTTCGCCAGAGATGGCATTTGGACAAGGTGCAGGTCATGAGCTACCGCGATACGCACGCACGCAGAGACCAGCCGACGTCTCTGATCATGACGCTACAGTCGTCAGAGCCCGTCTACGATTTCTCAGCAGAAATCGAGCTCAAGAAGATGACGGCAATGAGTGCCTCGTCTGCACTCCTCCCAGGCGAGGTCGACCGTTTCGGCGAGCTCGTGACCACCAAGCCAGCAGAGCAGACGGTGGGCGCTGAAGACCTGGCCATACCGCCACCAGAGAAGGCGACTGCATTCCCCAAAGTGACTGGATGGGAGCGTGGTGATCAGAACAAGATCACCTCGCGCACAGTCGACCTAGCAGCATACTTGGACCCGTCCCGACTAGCAGATCAAGCAGTGGACCTCAACCTCAAGCTCATCAAGTGGCGAATTTCTCCGTCCATTGATCTGGACACGATCAAGCGCACCAAGTGCCTCCTTCTGGGCGCTGGAACTCTCGGAGCATACGTTGCACGGAATCTTATGGGATGGGGAGTGCGCAAAATTACCTTCGTCGACAATGGTCGCGTGAGCTACTCCAACCCTGTCCGTCAACCACTGTACACCTTCAAGGACTGCCAGAAAGGTGGCGCGTGGAAGGCACAGCGAGCCGCCGATGCGCTGCGAGAAATCTATCCTGGTATCGATGCCGAAGGTGTGGTGCTGAATGTGCCCATGGCAGGCCATCCGATCGTTGGCGACGAGTCGAAAGTGGAGCAGCAATACGATCAGCTGAGAAAATTGATTGATGCTCACGATGCGGTCTTCCTACTCATGGATTCGAGAGAGTCGCGCTGGCTGCCAACTGTGATGGCCAAAGCAGCGGACAAGATTGTCATCAATGCAGCGCTCGGATTCGACTCGTACATGGTCATGCGACACGGCATGCGTGAGAAGAAGGATCCGCCAATGGCGGCGACGACGGAAGGCGTGGTCAACATTCAATCTGCAGACGACCCAGATCCTCTCAAGACCGCCGCTGGTATCCCATCGTCGGGCACCTCACACGCCGCTGCGACTCAGTCAGATGAACTGAGCTGCTACTTCTGCTCAGATGTTGTTGCACCAGCGGATAGTATGAAGTCAGCGACTCTTGATCAGCAGTGCACAGTCACACGACCTGGCGCCGCGCCTATTGCAGCCGCTCACTGCGTCGAGCTCCTCGTGTCCATCACGCAGCACAAGCTCAAGGGCCACGCGCCTGCAGCGTCGCCTCCCACTTCCACGGCCATTGCGTCGGCGCCTCCTACTGATCCAAGCCTTCCGAACTCACATCCACTGGGCACTGTACCTCATCAGTTGCGCGGATACATGTCAACATGGCAGACGTTGCAAATCAAGGGCAAGGCTTATGATTGCTGCTCTGCTTGCTCGCCGAAGATTATGGATCTCTACGAGAAAGATGCATGGCAGTTTGTGAAGCGCGCGCTGAACGAAAAGGGCTTTGTGGAGGACGTCAGTGGGCTGGCCGAAGTCCAGCGACAAGCCGAGGCAGCAGCCAAGGAGATGGAAGATCAGGAAGGCGACTGGCCTGATGAAGACGAGGAGGGCGAACTGGTTTGATGAATTCCAGAGAAGTACAGCTTCGTGGATCGTCCTTGCTACGCAAAATGCGTCGCTGAATGATGAGACTCTTCCGAAGAGAGTCAGCAGCCCTGCTGCAGTATAGCGACACGCTAAGGGAAACCCCCAAGATCGAGAAGGTGGCTACCTTAGCTAATGAAGATGAGGATGTCGAGGGGGCCACTTCTTTCTCGACTGTTTTTTGGCGGCGCTGAAGCTCGCGGGCCAGGTACATTTTGCTGGAAAATGTACCTTCAGCGTCGATACCGATGATCACTCTTGCAGCTTCACTGCGAGTGTCATGTAGATACCCCCTCCAGCTGCGAAACAGTACATCTGTTACAAAAATCACTTTTAATCCTAGCCATGTACTCGCTGTGTCCAAGATGCCGTCTCATTGTCAGCCAGTGACAGCCACTGAAGATGTTGCACAGCTTCTTGTTGGTGCAAGTCACACGCTGACGGAAAATCTGCCCTAGTCGTCTGTCGTCTGTCTTTCGGGTGTGGGTAGGTGAAAAAACTCGAGTCAAGATACTGGCAGCACCCTTCCCTTCGTACTTGAGTCTCTCGAGTGCGAGGGAACGTAAATGGCACTAAGGTAGGTACAGTATCATCCTATTTTGGCGTACTAAGGCAGGGAAAAGCCTTTTGGCAGACACACGATTGTCATTGCAATGCCCGAGAAAAGTTGATCAGGTAGGTAGGTACGTACCTGAGGTAGGTAGACCACTGGCATGCATCCATGTAAATGTGTGTCCACCATGTAAGTTACTGATATCAGTTCGCGCCTCAGTCTTAAGGGACCAGGTACGAGATAGATGTAGCCTTGTCCTTGTTGACGGAGAAAGAGAAGGGGAGTAAAGTGTTAGTAATCTCTTGTAGCTCCTATAGGTACAGGTAGATCTGAACGGACAAAACATGGAAGACTTGGACATGGGAACGACGGGAGTGAGTCAAGCAAAATTGAAGCATTCAATTAGGTACCTTAGTCGTCATCATCATCCCCATACACTCATCACGTGCAGCTTAAGGTGAGTAAGGTAAGGGTAGCCACCCACCACCTTAATGGCCAGGCCAGGCCGACTTAACTGCACTCTTCCTCCGATTTCATCTCTTGCACACCATCCTACCATCCACTCTCTCTCCATCTCATAACTCATAACTCATCCTTATCGCTCGACGACGAAGCTCCACCAAAACCAAGAGCAGCCTTCACCATACCCAACGCAGGACCTTTTAAATTTTCACACAAAAAGTTTCAGAACCGGTATCCCAAAACTTCGCTTGAAAAGGACAAGGCTTGTGTGGGTAGTGGTAGTGGTTTTTAAGCACTTGGGTTCTTACCCATGGGAGGATAGCTTTTGCCGTCCTTTTCGACTTTGGGCTCACAGGTGCAGCGATCGGCTTCGTTGATCGAGTCCATGACACTGGGAACGTGAGAGCCACATCCCCACCTAGAGGAGACGGATGGAAGTGAAACACACGGAGAGTTAGTGAGGGGTTTTGGAGAGAGGGAGAGGGAGAGGGGGGGAAGTAATGTTTACCAGGTGGACTTTTCTGTGAGAGAAAGAGGGGTTAGCAAGTGGTGATGTTTAGGGGGATTCAGCTACGAGGGGAATTCTTACGGCAGGTACCGCAGACAGCTGGCTTGCACATGATGATGATGATGTCGATGGTGATGTCTGTTTTGCTGGAAAGGGTCACTGTTGTGGTGTTGTGGTGTTGTTGTTGTGGTGAAGGGTGTGTTGTCTTATCGTGTCTCGATGCAGCAGGAAGGTTGGTTTTGAGTTGGGCGATAGTCGGCGATCACTTGTCTGGAGCCCCGACTTGGCGTCCCTCCATTGGTTGAAACGACATCCACGGCGTATCCAGGGTCTATCTCGTGGTCCACGATATATTCACCACGGACATTGCACGTGAACGTTGACACTTGAAACTTGAAAGATTCAGCCTTCAGGCACCTACGTCGAATTGCGTCAATAATCGGTCCGGATCAAGCGATGCCCGGATTGAGATCGACCTGGTGATTTCAGACTTCTCAGCACATCAAGGATTCAAGATTCAAGGCTGGATGGAGGCTGAGCCTGGAGGTGGCGACAGTCTGCCATGAGGAGGATGTGGCATTAGGCTGTAGCCTCGGCATAGGTCGGTTTTGAAAATGTCAAGGGCATGGAATCGCTGTTTTGACAACGCCTCTCAACGGCGTCTCCGGATCCAGAAACGGATGAAGCCCATCAAATCAATTCAACTGGTAAGGTATAATCGTGAGGTTCTGGCCCATCACGGGTGCTGAGACATGCACGACACCGAAAGGGAAAAAAAGGAAAAAAAAAGGAAAAAATGACATCTTTCCGGAGGCATCGGAGGATTAATACGGGCTTGTGAATGGGCGAATATTCATCAATACGTGATGGATCTGGGGACGATCGGCGCGGAGAATAGCCAATACATGTAGCTGAACTGACGTTTTAAAGTCTCCCTTCCGCCTTCTCCGGACCGTTGCCTTCCACTCTCCAGCAAGGGCAGGGACAAGCTTGTGACAGCTCAGGGTCAGGGGGGGGGGGGAAGGGCTAGGAGGTAGGCTATTTGGTAGGTGCTAGATCTTTTTTTCAACTACAAGCCTGATGGTGGTTTGTTTTTCTAATACAGAGGTTTTCTCGTAGACTCGTATGCCCTTGCACCTATCACAAACCAAATTCGACAGTACCTTTCTATACCCCATCATTTGTGTCATCATCGAGGCTGATCTCACTCTCCCTGCCTGTAAACATGGCTTCCTCGGCACCACGCGTTGCATACGAGCATGGAAGAGGCTTCGGAAGCCTATGGAAGGAAGGTTCTTCGAAACGATCAATTTCTTTATTTAAGGTATTTTTTTTTATATTTTCCATTTCTTTCCGGTTCGAAGATTCAGACGATGATGCACCGTGCACCCCTTCCCTTCCCTTCAGAAATGTGCAACGATAGGTTTACAGTTCCTCGTCAGTGTTTTGTTTATACTTTCAGCCGCAACGCACGATCTTGGAAACATGGGGGAGCAAGAGCATGGATACATCCCTCCGTATGCAGCTGCCACCTGGACTTCTGCCAAATTGACAGGTAGGGCTCGAGCCTCCAACACGACGTCGTGACGACAACGACGACGACAGGACGTCTCTCGTTCCTAGGCTACTGGCTGCTGGCACCGCCGTTTTATTATTAGGTAGTAGGGATTGGATGGGATGGGATGGGATGACCAGCCAAGGCCCGGATGTCGAAAAACCTTCATCACAAGAGGGAGGAGGAAGAAGAATTGGACATATATAAGTACAGTTGCATGTAACGCTGAGAAAGAAACTGAACACCAACACAGCAATCTCCTTCCAACTCAATCCAACTACCTCTTCAACAAACCAACAACCAACAACTTCCTACACACCAACAACAACAAGCACAAAATGTATACCAAATTCATCGCCGCTGCTCTCTGCTTCAGCGCCGCTCTTGTGGCTGCTCGTGAAATCAACCAGGACGATGTTCCCGACCAGTGCCTGACAACCCCACAATGCCAATCCGTGGTCTCAACAGCAACCAACTGTGGAAGTGCTGCTACCGCAGGTATGTATACCCTTCTCTTTTTTTTTTTGACTAGACCAATGACGCTAATGCAACTTTCTCTTATTAGACAATGGAGATGTCTTCAGTGACAAATATTACCTTCAATGCGCTTGCCAAGTGGATCACCATGATCTCAACGATTGCGTGTCCTGCATCCAGTACTACAAGGACGGCGGAGGTACGTTTTCTTTTTGTCCTTGTTCTTGTTGGACCGTGAGCATGTTGGCTGATCACAGACAATAGATATTGCGAAGCTTCAGGACGAGTGCGGACACTCCCACGACTAGAGGCGGACGAGGCGCTCGTGTGAGGGACGAGACTATGGCAAGGGATGAGCGGTACTCATCACATCCTCAAGGTCGACAGATACTCGTAACGATGGGGGAGAGTGTTGTATGATGAGGGTCGATTCGTATATCTGGGCTTCACTCGTTGTGTGAATGAAACTTTGTACATCAATCAAATGTGATCTTGGTCGCTGCTTTCATATCCGTCGGGTCCTTGTAGAACGCGCCATAGGCATCGTGAGCCTTCTTCTTGACTGTCGTTCCAAACTTTAAGAGGCTTTCGGGCACGGGTTGGTTGGCGCCTTTCAGAACATTGATCAAGCCACCTGAAAGTGGCTTCTCAAGACCGTCAGTAAAAAATGTAATGGCATGACCGTCTTGTCCTGCTCGTCCAGTTCTGCGCAAACAGGTCAGTATCGCCTCCTCAAAACTGTGAAAAACACCATCACGATCACGCACCTTCCAATTCTGTGCACATAATCTTCAACTGTCAGTGGAAAAGTGACGTTCAGCACCAACTTCACAGCCGGAATGTCAAGACCACGAGCAGCGACATCCGTCGCCACCAAGATTGGCACATCTCCCTTCTTGAAGGCTGCCAGACTCTCCTCGCGCTTGGCCTGATTGAGATCACCGTGGATGCCTGCCACGCGGAAGCCCCGTCGACGTATCGTCTCCTCGACTCGTGTGGCCTCCTTCTTGTACAAGCAGAACACCAGAATGCGGTCATTCTTGTTCTTGCCGGATTGGTACTGCTTGAGAATTGCAAGCATACGATCTTGCTTCTCGCGCTCGCCGAGCACTTCTACCTCTTGAACGATTCGGGTGTTGGCACGAAGCTCCCCGGATGCGTTCTCGCCAATCATGATTCGCACCGGCTCGCGCAAGAACTCGGATGCGAGCTTTCGCACTGAGTCGGGCCACGTTGCCGTGAACATGACTGTTTGTCTCTTGTCGCCTGGCGCAGCTGAGCTGATGATGTTCCTAATGTCCTGTTCAAAACCCTTGTCGAGCATGCGGTCTGCTTCGTCCAATACCAGATATGTAACTCCAGACAAGTCGATTGTGCCGTCGTTCATGAAGTCGTTGAGTCTGCCGGGTGTTGCGACTATGATCTGACTACCCTTTAATTGTTGTCGCTGCTCGTCCTTGTTCGTGCCACCATATACGCATGTGGCCTTGAGGCCCCGCGGTGTCGTAAGCTTGACCATCTGCTCCTGAATTTGGAGTGCCAGCTCTCTTGTCGGACTCACAATGCACACCTGGACTTTCTTTTCCTTCGAAATGCGATTGATGCACGGAACACCAAATCCGTATGTCTTTCCAGATCCAGTCTCTGCAACACCAATCACGTCTCTGCCATTAAATAAATACGGCCACGTCGAGGCCTGGATTGGAGACGGCTCCTCGAAGCTCCCGAAGAATGCCTTCTTCGAGGCGTCGTCGAAGGGCAAGCTGTCAAAGGATAGTATGGGGCCAATGTTTTCCTTCTTTGCGTCTTCAATGGCAATTTTCTTCTCGGCGTAGTACTTTTCTGCCTCACTCTTCCCAACCCCAGTCACTTTTGCACCACATTCGACCTGCGCAGCATTCCCGTTGGTCTCGCTCTTTATGGCCACGACATTCGCTGCCGTTTCCGCTTTCCTCGCAGCCTTTCTTGCAGCCTTTCTCGCAGCCTTGGCTGCAGCCTCATCGTTATCATTTGTTTCTGCGACTGGCTCTGCCTCGGCAGCTTTCGCAGCCTCTTTCCTTGCGCGCTTCAAGGCCTTGCGCTCTTCTTTTGACAGGCCGCTCTTCTCGTCTGTTGCGACTTTGTCTGCCTCTGCCTCGACTGGAGTGCCACTTGCGACAGACACATCTTCGCTGGACTTGTGCTTCTTCTCTTTCTTTTCTTTTTTATCCTTCTTGAGCTTCTTGCTGGTAACCTCACCAGCATCAGCTACAGCATCAGCTTCTTCTCTCGTACGCTTAGACATGGCTGAATTAGTGATGTGTAGAGCGAGTGATTGATGCACGAGAACTTTTTTTCTCCCCAAGCAGAGTTTCGCGTAAAGCGGCAGCCGTCTTGGCGCGAGAGTCGCAATCACGCTTTCACTCGTCAGTCGTCACCAAAAGTCCAAGACTCGCCCGTCGCCACCATTGAAAGACGTTATGTACGTTGCAAAGAGCGCTTACGGAGTTCCGTCTCCAGCTGGATATTATAGTGATTATTTCAGGGGCAGGGCGTCCATGGCCGTCCCATGCCCACATTGGCAGCGACCTTAACCATTATGGACAAGAACAGCTTCATTATTGACCCTGCACTGGGACTGGCAGGGCGTAGTGGGGACTATGAGCAGTCACACCACCCGCACGACGGTCAGGATGGCGAACGCGCGCCGAAGCGTGCGAAACCGTCGCCTGATAATCATCCCATCGCACGGCATGTGGACTTCGGAGGCTCGCGTCCAGATCTGCAAGCGCTCGTCGCAGAGCCTCTTGACTATCCTCGACGTCGGGCGACCATTGCCTGCGAGATTTGCCGAAGCAGAAAGTCGAAATGTAATGGAACTAGGCCAAAGTGCAAGTTATGCACAGAGCTCAATGCGGAATGCATCTATCGCGAGCCAGGCATCAAGCTCGATGCTGGTGACAAGCTCATATTAGAGCGGCTCGCACATATTGAAGGTCTGTTACATTCGAACATACTGAGTTCTGTAGGCTCTCCCCGCGCCGCCATTGGGCCCATGTCGCCAGCATCGAGCAATAACACTGCCTCGGAAGAACTGCTGTCAAAGCGAATGGGCACGACTGTGGCAGAATCCAGTCGTGCTCCGTCCAGCAGCTTTGGATATGCTACCAACATTTCGACTATGCCCAGGGCTCATACCACCCCGGCTCTGCATCTGCTACAGTGGCCAGTCATCCGCGATCTGGTCTCGAGGCAGTGTGATCAGCAAGCCCTGATGCAGCTGGAGCTGGTGCGACCTGGGCTTGATCTGCATCCCCCTGCATCCCTTGACCTGAACCTGGCGCACGAGGCTGGCAAGCCTGCAGCATATATACGGTCTTTCTTCAACAAAGTCAACGTTTGGTACGCAGTGGTCAATCCATACACCTTCACGACTCTATGTCGACAGGCATCTGCTGTTGGTTTCCAATATGGAGTGGAAACCTGTATCGTGCTTCTTGTCCTTGCACTGGGCCAAGCTGCAGAGTCTGGTCAAAGTATCGCTCTCCTCCCTCCAAGTCAGCCACCACCAGGCACAGCATACTTCAACGCAGCGTGGCTTCTTATGCCAATGCTCATGATGCGTAACGACGTTCAAAGTGCTCAATGTCACGTCCTGGCTGCTGCGTACCTGATGTACCTGGTCCGGCCGCTAGAGGCATGGAATCTCCTCTGCAGTGCTTCGACTAAGCTGCAGCTATTGCTTCAGACCCCGGCGGCCATACCAGAGCAAGTCAGAGAATTGAGCGAGCGAATCTACTGGAACATTGTGATGATCGAATCCGATCTGCTAGCGGAGCTGGACCTGCCGCACAGTGGCATTGTGCAGCTGGAAGAAAGCATACGACTGCCTCGTAGCTTCCCTTATGATGCAGCTATGATCGGCTCAGACGACTTGCCTGGCAGCGATGATATCTGGTACTTTCTTGCTGAGATTGCTATGCGGCGTCTATTGAACCGTGTGTCACACATGATTTACAGCCAGAAGCAAAAATCGATCGCCTCTCTCGAGCCCATTGTTGCCGAGCTCGAGTTCCAACTCAATCAGTGGTACGAAGGACTTCCACCTCCTATCCGCTTCCCTCGCAATGGCGATCCACCTGAAGGCCATGTACAGGCGGTACTAAAGCTCAGGTACTTTGCCTGCCGCACTATCATATTTCGACCGTATATTGAAGCTGTGCTTGGAGAGGAGAGCCTCATCAAGGAGCCTGGCGTGAGAATAGCGTGCGAGAAGTGCTTGAAGGCTTGCATGCGCCAGCTCGAGCGCATCGCTTCGAACCATGCTGGCTACCTGCCTTACCTCTTCCAAGCCATTCTTTCAATGACCAGTCAGACACTTCTACTCATGGGTGCGACACTTTCGAGGGTGTTGAGTCCCATGTTACCGCCCATAGTTCAGACAGATGAGGTGATTAGGCAGGTGCTGGCTGAAACGAAAACTGTGGCCCATCTTGCACCAAGCCTCGGTCTCTGTGCAGACATCGTGCGAGAAGCTGAAGAGAGGAGGAGGCAGATCCTGCTTCAGGTACCGCCGCCGGGACGATGCATTTGATTCTCATCAATTATCATGTGAATAAGATCCAGAATGGGTATAAGGACGACGTGGCTTCTATTGCACTGCGGGACTAAAAGTGGCAGACCTCAGCAACATGAATTGGGGGCGAACGTTGATCGAGCAATGAGGAGATGATGAACAAAGCCATCGGCTTGGAGAGAATAAGGCGTTTTGAAATCATGCCTTCAACGCCTCGAACGCGACTGCGGACGGGATCGGGAGAACTGACCACTGGCTCTGAATGACGTAACCGTCACCAAAATGGCCTCAAGCTTGAAATCGAGGATTTTGCGCTGCCAACGAGTGACTACAAGTGCATGTATGTTCAACGCAAATTTTGGTCAATCTAAGGAACAGCAAACTCGGGTCGGAGTCTCAAGCCAAAGCGATACGACATGACGATCGATGACTTCCCAGAATGATGAACGACTGAGCATGGAGCTTGAGCTCCTTCAGTCTATCTTTCCAGAACAAGTTGTCTTCATCGACAAAGGGCGAGAACTCAATTACACTTCCGAAGCAGGGAATTTGACGCTACGCCTGCCCGATGGCTATCTACAAGATTCTCTTCCAGACGTTGTCTCCGCCAGTGCAGGAAAGCAAGACCTGAGAGATGAAGTCAAGCGTCGTGTTCAGCAACGTGACGTGGGCGAAGAAGTTCTAGATGCCATTATCAACGACTTCATAGATCTGAGCAAAGACAGTGCTTCAGTTGCTGCCACGCCTCAGCAATACCACAATACCGCCGCGAGCGATGGCACAGCGACTATCATTGTCTGGCTTCACCATCTCCTCAACACCAACAAGAGAAAATTAGCTCTACATCCAGCAGCATCTGTCTCTGGTATTACCAAACCTGGATATCCAGGCGTTCTGGTCTATTCTGGTCCCGCAAAAGACGTCCATGAGCATATCAACGAGCTCAAATCGCAGAACTGGCAGGCCTTCCAGTCTCGGCTGGAGACAGAAGACGAGTGGGTTTTCAAACATGGCAAGGGCGTAGTGGAAGTCGAGGCTATGAAGGACATTGTAGCTGAAATTGGCGATGAAAGAAAAGATGAGTTCATGGAAGCTATGAGGATGAAGTAAAACTTTCCTCTCTCTCTCTCTCTTCGACAAAGACTGCTCAAGATCACACAGTCTGTAAGACACAGTCTTATTATTCTTCGCCATGGATAGTTGTGCAGAAGCTGGGAGGAACCTAGGTACAGAATAACATTTTTTCACAGTCTATAACTACCTGACCTACCTAGCCCATGTGTCCACCAGAAATTACAACATCTATTCCTGGCATCTTGCAATCAGCATCTGCTTATTTCTTGCGTCACAATGTAGCCTGTATATACAGCAAACTAGGTGGTCAGTCATCCAATCACAGCTCGGGGATGTGGTTTAGTGGTATAATACCTCTTTAGCATAGAGGTGGTCCAGGGTTCGATTCCCTGCATCTCCAGTTCTTTTGTCATTTTCTTGTCTCTTTTTTTATTCTTGCACATCGCGAGTAACATTATAGAATTATAGAACTGTGTGATATTTTTTTTGGTGGAAAGAAGGTTTGTTTAGATAGTTAGGAAGTTTTACTGAATGAGAGTTTGCTTTTAGATCTGGGAGATGAGAGGCCACTTAGCTGGGGTTCGCTGTATAAAGTACTTCTACCTTACATAGAAGAACATGGGCATCGCTTTCGCTTGGGCCAGTTTGTAAGGTCAGATAGAGCACTTCAATGGCATTTTGGTAGGTGCGATGTTGGCATCTTTTCTGATACAGGTCTGCTATTGTCCTGGATATAGATAGGTAAGGTATCTTTGGTTCATGGTGGCTGTGAAACGATCGAACGTGGCTTGAAAAAGGCTGTTGGGACACGGGAATGAAATATGTACTTGTGGGCATTTTCATGTTCGAGCTACTTCTAAAGTGTAGTACCTTTCGTAGAAAGAGAGACCATGGTAACGCGAATACTGGCACGCATGTATCCAGCTGTTCTTCACTATCACCTATCCTTTATCAACATCCTTCAACACCATCGCTATGTATGTTGTGCTGCTCTGAAAAATGACAGAATCGCGCCAGAGTTCTCCTCAGATATGCCTGCTGTGCGGCATCAGTGCTGGACAGCCTAATCCGTCTTGCCAGCCGCGAAGCTATCGGCTATCGCTCGGATCAACTCAGTTGTGATGGTAGTTCCTCGTTCTAGCATATCTCCATTGCTTTCAGCTGGAACATGCAAGAACAGTACCGGCCTCGCTGTGATATCGCCACCTTGCATCTTCCCGGAACACCGTCCCGTGTGCGCTAGACTGTTGAAGTAAATGTAGTCGCAGAGGTAGTGACCAGCGTCATGGCTTTCCTTCACCTCAGCATCGCAGCCCGGTGTTCCCTCCGGTATTCCCAGAACATTGCTCTGCCATTTCAGCAAGATGTCATCGTAGTCCAAGGACGTGGTCATCTTTGGAGGACAGTCTCCGAAGATGGTACGGCCCTCGTCCGCAGAAGGCATCTTGCCATCAAGATCCCTGTTCTTGACGTAGCCATCTCGATGTGCATATCGCTCAAGGCAGTAGTGTTTGCGTCCAGATGCCATTCCGATATGCAGCACCGCATCTATCGTACCGGCATAGTCATTGTGGAGAAGTGGAACCAGCTGGCGAACAGTTTCGAAGGCCACCCGTATGGCCTTTGGATACGGAATGATACGAATTGCCGGGTGCTTCTGAGACGTTGCAGGAAGGCACTCGGGCAGTCGTTGCGTGATCTCGAACGAGGGATTCACCGGGAACTTGTCTTGGAATGGTCCGAATCCAGTGACCAATATCGTGAACTTCTTTCGAGAGTGATGTCCGTTGGACTCAGCAGCTCCGCTTGCGCCTGACTGTGCATCGCCGAGTGGTTGCTGTAGAGCTGGTGCCATTCGCTCCCCCTCAATGTGATTTGCTCGCAGTAGTGATACCAGTAGTAGCCGATGGAGTTGCTGGCGAGTGCGAAAGGTTCGTTCGCTATATGTATCAGTGGCAGAGTATGGAAGGGGCGCATCGCCTCCGCATATCTTAGAAACTGCTTCGGTATTGATCCGGCCCGCCGGCCGAGGCAGACGATATCTGATTGGCCGTACAGCTGACCAGTGCTCCACCACTGCCAAGAATTCGCGATTCTCAAATTCCATCTTCGACTCGAATCTCTGCAGCTTTGCGAAGTCGGTTCATGATAGCCGCAGCTGTGGATCCTTCGTTATCATCGATTCCCTCGACGAATATGGCATCAACCTCTTGTCTGTCCAGGTCTCGGAGTGCCGAGAAGATGCCTCGTGCAATGTCATCAGTATCGCACCCCAGACCAAGGTCGAGAACGTTGGCTTCAGCACCATCGATAGAGACGATATGTGTTTCAAGACGAGCTTTTGCCCAATCGCTCCGTTGAAGGGTTTGCAGCATGCCGGCAAAGCCTGCTCTGCCTTCTTGTGGTACACTTTTTACTTGTTTGGACTGATGACCATTGGAGAAGATCACTGTACTGGCAGCTGGGGAGATGTCCAGCTGCCAGGTCTTCGTCCTTAAAAGTCCGACTTTGGCCTTCGAACCAAGTTGGGCCTTCAAGTTCGCATTGGTTGGTGGATTCTTTCCAGCTTCGTACAACACAACAGTTGCTTTCGGTGAGTAGTGACGATACTTCATACCAGGCGCTTTGGGCTGTGTGCCTTTCTCAGAAGTGTTCTTGTAGCCAATCTGAACGGACTCCCATCCAGGACAGTTACGAATTTGTTCGATACTGATGCCACCAGGTCGAAGAATCAGTGGTGGCTGTGATAGACCATCCACGACTGTACTTTCCACGCCAACGTCGCATGGACCACCATCAATGATCGTCTCTATCCGGCCATCAAGATCGTATGCGACATGCTCCGCTGCTGTCGGCGAAGGTTTAGTTGACGCATTGGCTGATGGAGCAGCGATGGGCACATCCGCTAGGGAGAAGAGAGCTAATGCTAGCGGGTGTCTGGGGATGCGAGCGCCAAATGTTTGTAAGCCTGCGGTAACTTCTGGTGCCAGTGGTGAGTCCTGGGGATTCGGAAGAATGATAGTGAGTGGACCCGGCCAGAATCGAGAAATCAATGGCCTGTATATAGCTGGTATAGGATCTCCACTACTGCCATTCGCTTGAGATGATGCATGTCCATGGAGCAAAGATCTCAACTGATTCAGAGAGTGGAAGTGAACAATGAGCGGATTGTCGAGAGGTCTTTGCTTAGCCTTGTATATGCCTTGCACTGCCGCGCTTCTGGTCGCGTCCGCGCCTAATCCGTACACTGTCTCTGTGGGAAAGGCCACAGGGATGTCGGATGTCCTGAGCTGTTTCGCGGCCTGCTTCAGATGAAGCGCGTCGGGAGATGTTTCATCGATTTGAAAGCTCAGCTCGTCAAGCATGTCATCTGGCAATGGGCTGGCGTGCAGGATGCCAATGTTGCTGACATCGACAGGAAAAGTTTTGGTATCCATGGCGAGGAGAAGAGGCGCATTGGCAGCAATGACGGAGGACGCAGGACTGAGATGCTGTCGACAGAAGGCAGACTGATTGTGTGTGATAGCCTTGACCAGCATCAAGCAGCGAGTGAAGAGGTTGAGTTGGTGAAGCAAAGAATCGAGGACCAAGAATGTTCACCTCGAAAACATACTTAGTGTACGCACGGGTGAGTCAGCCCGCTGTCACACTAGTCAGCCAGAAGCAGTTTTTCACATGAATGGAACTTTACTCGACTTTATTCTAATTTCTCGTCCGACGTCCCCTAACTCACCTTACCGTCCTTACGGCTCATTACCTCGCTGACGGGGTATCGCAAAACGACATTTTGAGGCACCACAGGACCTGTTATAGGTCATTCATGTCCGTCTACGTGGGTATGAATACGGCAAAGACGGACAGGCTTGTTGGTTGTGCGGCGACTACAAGGGAAGCACCTCCTAGTTCTACTTAGTGGGGACAGAACTTCAAAAGTGCCGTGGAGCGCCCTCGGGGCCAGACAGAAATCGAACGTCATTTCAATTACTTCCATTTGCAAACACCTGCACTTCTCAGAGTCACATGTGACATCGCCGTCAACAACCTGAACTTCACTTCTGAACTTGTCGCTACATCATACATGTACCACCACCCTTTTAATGTCTATTACAGCTTAATCGCGACTCGCACAAAGCACTTATTCGGCACCAAATTTACAATTCACTAGTCTAGCCCCAGGTCACCAGGTGCGGTCTTGTCACAAGCTTCAACCGTGCGCGCGCCTGCGCTGTGCAAACGAGTCGACGAGGATCCGAAGGTGAATAATGGCGGGCTCTACCGCTGCACTTTTCAGCGGAATCGCAAAAGATCGCGTATCGGCGAGTAACCCTGCCAGCTCTGGCACCGACATCGATGCAGACCGTTGTGCTGCTCTGCACAACACCCTCACTCTGTATGGTTGGGTCTGCTCGGGCAAAAAGATTTCTACCCTCACCAAGCGAACCTGGTGGAGCACACATGGTAACGAGAGACTGAAGCAAATACTGCGCCCCAAACTGGTCCGATACCTGTCCAAGATTTTTGAGGTTCCCAACTACAATTTTTTCTACCATGTTTCCGGTCTGGCCACCCCGGCGCACATGCTGGGCTTGGCGGATGTGCTAGAAGATCCGGACCACGACCATGACGACCCTAAAGAGGACAAGTATAGATTTGTGATCATCTACAAGAGCTCAGAAGCTCTTGTGACACAGCCCGCGGGCATAGTCTTTGATCAGAAGACTGGGAAGGCACTCCTGATGCCCACATACCACCATGTATTTGACCTCAGGAACCCAGAACTACCATGGCAAAGAATGGAAGCAATTCTGAGTGCGTACATCGAGATGATCGAAGCTGAGAAGGCAGTGGCAATCCACGACGAAGCGACCATCGAGGAGCCCAAGACGGACATCACGGGAGGCGACCTGGTCCAGAATAAGACCTTCGTTCGTTACAAGACACGACCTTGGATACTGCAGCCCTACACCCTCGAAGATCTGCACGCCTGTATTGACACCTGGGATGCGCTTGTGTCCGCGATTGAGAAAAACGCCGGGATTTCGAAAGCACGACCAGATCCCGAGGGCGAGGATTACGACCCAGAAGACGAAGCGCCTTTATGTTCACGAACTGCCCTCAAGATCGCCGGCATACCTCGAGGGTTTGCCTACGAGATTCTCTCTCATGCGCGACAATCGGATATCTGGTTCATCGCGCCCGGCATCCGCCTACCCAAGGTTGAGGAATTCCTACAACAACCATTCAAGCACATCCCGCAGCAATTCCCCAAGGAAACAGCAGGCATGAAAGTTCCCTTCTTGTTCTTACGATGTCCTGGCACTGTTAGCGCCAAGGAAGCCAAATTCAGGTATCCATTTTCGACGGTGGAATCAGTACCTTGTGGACTGTATCTCGATGCATTTCCCAACGCGCAGAACCCATTCGAAGATGCATGCCGACTGGTCTTGCCCATCAAACTGGGCGATCGACGCCATTATGCCCGAACGTCCGATGGGAGGCCCATCCTGAAAAGTCACAGCGAGCTGTATCAGACGGGAATCAATCCTTTCGTGATGCGGCATGGACCGAAGTTGTCTGCAGTGCTGCAGAATTGGCGCTCGCATGTGGAAAGTGGTCATTGGAGTGTGAATGAGCGAGGTGTGGAAGGTGGCGTGGGAGTTTGGAGACAAGCTGATACGAGAGAGAATTGGTGGCGCTACCAGAGTGAGCATCTCGTGGTCTAATCGAAGCGGAGAGCGGGTACATGGCAGAAAAATAGGAAGATGAAGCATGAATTCCAACCAATACAAATCCTTGACTTGATTGATCCATGTGGTTTACCGAACATATCTGAGCCATCTGTGTTGGAATCTTTCAATGCGGACCTACCCCCGCAAGGCAAACTCGATGGATCAAGTGAATAACATCCAATCAACTTTACCGCAACCTGTACCTAAAAGGGCTCCGTTGACATCTAGCCCACCTGTGCGGCGAGCAGTGAGTCTGAACAGGCTTTGTCATTGCCATTCATTTCTCTATCGGTAGTGGTGGTGCTCCTCCATATCGTATCGTTCTTCACCTCCCCCCCCCCCCCCCCCCCC